GGCTTCATCGAGCGCAGCAGCTGAAAAAGCCGCGAGCTGGTCAACTTTCGGCGTGGGCTCGTTGAATTCCTCCAAGCCTGAGGGGACGAAGGGACGTGGATGAGAGCGGATTTCTTCGACGCGGTTTAGCTCTTCGTCGCTTGAAAAGGTATCTCCAGCGTAAACGTTCGCTCGTGCGTTCGACGAGTAAGGATGGGGGATCCCAAGGACGTCGGCGGCCTTTCGGTTGAGGTTGAGATACACTGCATTCTGATTGAGATCAGAGCTAGCGTGATCCCAGCTCTTGACACCGTGCGTTCGACTGTGAAGCAGCTTGCGAGAGAAAGCGCGCGTCTTGCTTCCTGCGTTTGACGCAAACGTGCCTGGAACGTCGACGTGTCCGGTGACGCTGAATGGCATGCTCTGGGGTCGATGCTTTCGGCTCCGAGCATCCGCCGACGATGCGACGAGCGAGTGAGAGCGTGGTGCGGGATCGAGCTGCTGGTTGTGAGCATTTGTGGCGAAGAGCATCTCCTCGCCGAGCATTTGCGCAAGCTTTTTGGTGCGGCGCACTTGCTGGCGCCGCTCCTCGGCGGACAGCTGATTGGTGGTCTCTGGGCGGCCGGAGCTGGCAGAAAGATTGGGCCGGGGAAAGTGGAGGTCGCGGAGTGGCGCAGCCGAGACAGTGATGCTCCCGACGGTCGCAGGTCGCTGGGAACGGCCGTGCAACCTGCCTGAGGTGGCAGCGCGGTTCAAAAGAAGGGGGCTGAGGCCGCTCTCGAAGCTGTTTTGGTAGCTGAGCAAGCTGCCTTCGGAAGTGGACGATAGGATCGAGGCCGTGTAGGGACGCTGAAAGCGTGCTTCGGACGGGCTTGCTCGAATCGAGCCTAGCGAGCCTCGTCCGAAAGGCCTTGCAGGATGAGGAACGTACTCGGGCTCCAATTTTGCGTGAAGGCTGGAAGGGGTGCCAGTGTCGTGCGCTAGAGAGGACAGCGAAATACTGCTGTGACTGGCCGAGTAGTTGTGGTTGGAGCCCTGGTGTGGCTTGGCGAGAGCTGCGTGAGCGACGAGCGAGGATCTGCGCAGCGAGGCCAATCGCTGAGGGACCTGAGCGGGCGTGCCTGGAGTGCTGGAGGTAGAAGCCAGCGACTCATGTTCCGTGGTGAGGGGCCGCAAGCCCGGGCGATAGTTTGCCCAGGCCGCCTCGGCTTCCATTTTGAGTTGGGACAGATGTGTGTCTTGCTTGACTGCCTGTGGTGTCTCCTCTTCCGCGGTCAGGGGTGCCGCAGCGGGCTGGGCCTGAGTAGACTGCAGAGCGGTGTCGTTGGTTTGCAGAGCCGGTTCGGTGTCGGAGCCCTCGTCAGCGACGCTAAGAAGGTCCTCCTTCGCATCGACCCAAGCGGCAGCGCCCTCGTGCGTGTGGTCTGATTTATCGCTCCACGGACCAAAGGTGGCACGGTTGCTTTTCGCTTGATCGTGAAGGTGGTGGTGGCGAGCAGGAAGGACGAGGTCAAAGTCGGGTGGCAGAGGAGATGCGTCGTGAAGGAGATTGGGCACGCCAGGAGACGCGGCGAGGGCATTGTAATGGTCGGAGTCGATGACCCAATCGATGCGCGAGGCGGGTCTGGAGCGCAAGCTGAGCTGACCCTTCATCCTGGCGAAGTCGCCAGGCTGCAGGACCTTGTAATCGTCGAGGCCGCTGCTGCCATGGGACGATGTCGATCCGGTCACTTCGCCGAAGCGATGCGATTGGGACGATGTAGGATCGCGTGTGGATGCGCTGAGAGCAGCTGTTGGACTCGGCGCTGTTGGAAGACCGGTGAAAGACATACTGTGAATCACGAAGGAGAGGACCGTGGACGTTTGCTCGCATGCGCTTTGAGTGGGCGATCGGGCTGAGATTAGTCTCGGAACTTCAAACGAAAGACGGCATGAAGAGGATGGCAGGCGGCGCCGGGCGAATGGACGAAGACTTGTGCAGAGTCAGAGCGAGAAGGATGTCGAATCGACGTGATGGTGGGAAGGCCGAACGTGAAGCTGGGACGAGGGGAGGCTAGCAGCAAAGGAAGAAGAGGGGTGCAAGAGTGAATGATGCGAGAGGCATTCAGGGTGATATTATGGTCGTCGCAACGCCTGCGTCGGGATGACTATAGGTGTGGTGGGCCAAAACGTCGTGTTGTGTGACAGTCGGTAGGGCTTGACACAAGCTAGCCAGCGACTCGTCGAGACCCGACAAGACGGGGACAAGCAAGAGAGAGCGCGTTGGCGGGCGCAATGTGGCACTATTTGCGAAGCGAGGAGGCGCTGCAGATGCGGCCAAGGAGAATGGTGCGCAGTTGTCGGAAGCGATCCGAGAGGTGGGGGTACGTGCCGCGCCCAAAGCTCCCTTCGACGCTCTGTGTAGGCAAAAGGCGGCCACAATGAGAAGGACCGAAGAGAGAGAGTGAGAGTCGGAGGCTGGCAGAGGTCGACGATATGCAGAGCCGGGCCTTTCTTCGGGCCAACCGAGACCGCAGAGGCACGGGACGCTGCCCACGGCAAAGTGGAGAGCGAAATGCAGCTTACAGCCACGCTACCAGGGGTACAGCCGGGCTACACGCGAGGAGGCCAGGGCGGCGCGCCCACTCAGCGCAGTTCAAGAGAGCGTGCGCATTTGCAGTTTGCAGCCTCCGTCCTGATCCCACGCACTGATCCCACGCACTGATCCCACGCACTGATCCCACGCAGGTCTGACGCTCCAACGCAAGGGGCGACGCGGTCCCTAAATTCCAGGCTTTTTCCGAGCAAGTTATCCTGCGGCGGCCCGTGTGGCAAGCGGCCTAACGCACCTCTGCCTCTGCCGTGCGCGTAGATTTCAGTGAGAAAGAGCTTTACCTCGCTTACTGCTTGACGCGCTGAACGCGATCCACGCGATGCCGTCCCGTTCAAGCTCTCGGCCCCGCCTTTCTGACGTCTTCGCGAGCTGATTCGAAGCGCAAAGGTGAAAGTGACTGCTCGGCTTAAAGATCGGAAGGACGGCAACGAATGACATGCCTTCCGTCGTTATGAACACAATCCGACTCGATGCGATGCGCCCACAAATTGTCGGCCGCAAGTCGAGGCTGCATGAGGCCCACCCGTTTGCAGCTGATGTTGCTGCAGCCAAGTGGGATCGCGTGGTGCTGCGCAGGTCAGGAGGTGCTGTGAGGGCAGCGGAGACGGAATTCAGGAGCACGAGGCCAAGGCGTCTGGCTGCAGTGATTTAGTGTGGAAGCCTCGCGCACCAGCACCTTCTACAGTATGCAAGCCCAAAACCACAAGAACTGGAGCTGCATGCAGTCGGGCGCACAATGCCCTTGGCTGCACGGACGTATAGGTGCGGAAGTCCGCCGGCTGTCACGGGGCTCATCGCTTCGCGACTGTTTGACTGTCTTCCATCTTTCGCTGCGCAGCATTTCGGCACCCCCACTCGCCGTCGAGGCCACTACGCTAAAAGCCTAACCCACACTGCGCAGTGCTATCGCATCGAAGTCGAGTCGCCTCTTCATAGCTGCCGTGAACCTGCGCCATCTGTCTTTCGATCCGCTGACCTGAAATGGTTGCTTAGGGGGTGCTGATCGTCGTCAACGGTTTGAGAAGCCTGGACCAGGCTGAGCTAATATTCATGTCACTCCGACCCGCTTTGCCGTGCCCAGGTGCGCATATTGAAACGAGTCGGGCCAGTTCGATTCGTCCAAGTACGCTACTGTACCTTTGAGCTGGCAGGCATTGCTGCAATAGCCTCGCCTTGCTCAGAACAACACACCCGACCTTCGAAGTTGCCTTTTCGTGTTGGATTTGCCTGACTGAGACAGCATAGGCTTTGTAACTGACTTCCGTTCAGTCAGCTACTGCAAGAACGCTGCTGTAGGTTACTTCGGAATTGCAATCAAGTCCGCGCCCAGTGCCTAGGTCGGACATTCCGTCAGCGGAGAAAAGCGTGCTTTCATTTTCACCGTTTCAATCGCTGAGACGCTTATAGCCGCCCTTGCCCCGCATCAATTCAGCACGAGTGTCGATGTCGGCAGTCGCCTTACAGCATTGACGCATCTCGACAGACGATTCGTCTACAGCTATTGGTCGCCAGGAACGAGACGTGAGGTTCCGAAGCTTCCACAGTATATTCGCATCCGAGGTCTTCCGCCAGGTTGCCGAGGAACAGCCCGGAATGCCAAACAAACTGTCATGTCTCGCTAGATCTCCGCCAGCGACGTCGCTCTCCTCAACATGCACAAATGTCTCATGTCAGGGGGTTCAAATTCAACTCCGGTCATCGCAATTCCAGCTCTCCTCATCTCGCTAAGGGCCCGCCTCTGACGGCAAATGTCCCGTCTTCGAGTCCCGCTCCGCTGCATGCTGCCGGCTACAGCATTCGAGATCCATGATCGCTGCTGGCTCAACAGGAAGCGGAGCTCGGCAGGCTAACGTGCGTCGGCATCTCCTGATGACAAACGATGCCGTAAGATCCAGGGCGCCAAGTGTTAGATCCAGCCGATCGCTTCCATCGAGTGCAATGGTTGCGAGAATCTGCCGATCCCGATCTTCGTTCTCACGTCCTGCACACTTGGACACACAAAGGGACCCATCAAAGCAAAAGAATCTGCCGAATGTTTACTGTAGGTCCCTTTGTTCGTTCTCTTCTGCCTGCTCAGTCCATGGTCCGTCACTGGATGTCGGCGTCGGCAACCCTGCTTTCCCACGCGCGCGATGAAGGTACCTTCCTTTGTTTGACATAGCCTTGACCGGCTGAGTCCAATTCGTGCCTGAAACCCTTGGTTCAACAAGCTCGGCTGGTACACTGCCTCTGACGTCTCCGTGCTTCCCTTGTCCTGGCCGTCTGCTGCCTCCCTTTGTTAGCCTTATTGTCTCCTCCACTGTTTGGCTATGGGCTAATTGGACGACCAGTGCTGTCCCCCTTATAAATGCAGCCCATGTTCGGCCCCTCACTTGAAGGGTCGCACTTCTGAACCTTCATCTCGGTCCACTACTTCAGCACTTCCACCATGACGATGAACCATCCCAACAGGGCGCCCTTCTCGGCCAGAAAGATCTTCACGCGCCCCGCCAACCTGCACCTTGTAAAGTCGAATGGAAGGGGGCCTTCAACTCTCGCGCCAGTCGGCACTGCCTCTGAAGAGCCGCACTCGAGGATGGAGGATCCCAAACCGCATTTCACTCAGCCGCCTATTCAGACTCTCTCTCCGTGGACGTCATTGAACGCTTCCCAACCGGGAACCACTCCGCACCCCTACAGCTCATTCTCTTTTTCAGAAGAAAGCGCTTGGGCTAGCAGCCCTTGCTCGTCCACCATGTCACGTCAACTGTCGGTCCGGTTCTCGACTGCGCGGACATCGTCCAAGACCGTCTTGAAGACAGGCGAGCTGACGTGGGCATATGCAGGAAGCGGAGCGAAAAGGATAGCAAGTGGCTTCGAGCGGAGCACGAGACGACGACACCCGCACGAGCCCGTCGGCGGCCCCAGTCAGAATGTGTTCGCGGTTCTCGAGCGCCACGACTCCGAAAGTCCGAGACGGGAGTCGTACGCAGCACGACTGGACGAATACGGTACTCTTCAGCGTACACCGTCGTCGATTCCGTACCTTGCCAGCCCCGGAGCATGTGACCCCTCACCTTTCGACAACAACGAGCTCGAATCGTTGGTGCCACCGCCGGTGCCACTCTGCCTTGACGATCTCAGTCGATGGACGCCACCGTCTGAATGGGCCGTCTCAGAATCGGGGTCCAGCAGCCAAGAATCGAACGGCAGATCTTCGACCCCGTCGAGCTCAGACCATCTCTCCACCCCAAAATCGTCGCCGGGCACCCGCACAGATCAGCAGGAGACATATCTCAATCTCTATTCTCGCAAGTCTGATCTTTCCCGCTCTTCTTCTGGGCGCCCATTGATGCAGTTGCTCATCACAAACGACAGTACGGTGGAGATTCAGCAGTATCGAACTGAAGTCCCTGATCCAGGCTCGTCCGAGCATCCAGTCCAATGGCAGATCATCGTCACGGGGCATTCGACGGCGCAGCTTTCTTCCAGCGAGATCTACTCCACCTCGAATTCCGCAAACAGCGATAGCACCGAGTGCAGGGCTGTCTGTGCCTTGACTTCGCCCAATGTGGCGGAGTTGAGGTCGTGGCTGGACTGTCTCAAGTCTGTCATCCAAGCTTGCAGAAAGCTCAGCAGCAGTAGCAGCAGCCGATCAGAGTACAGGAGATCGTCAAGCCACTCGATTCTTGCCACCATCCGTCTGCTTGAGCAGCTCGAGCTGCAGAGTCGGTGTGAACGTGGTATGCATCGCAGCCCATCAAGCAAGGTAGACGGAGAAGAACCTACGACTCCCGTCCTCTCGTCTCGCTACTTGTCGCCGACTGCAGCACGTGGAAGCACCGCCGCTCCCAATTGCAGTTCTGGCTTTTCAACATCGTCCTTCATCGACAGCTACGCACTGAGCCCAGCATCGGCGGGTGCGGACGTAGCCGTCCAAAACACGAGCGGCACGGAGGCGGTGTACGACTATGAGGAGGCCTACTCGAGCATCATGCAGCGATTTTCGGAGTACGACATCGCGAGCCCCATGGAAGCTCTTCCGACACCGGCACGGCTCGATCCTCATCGGGGCCATGCGCGGTCAGCATGCCTTGACGTGCCCGTGTCGCCATGCAGCTTCGAAATTGGTCGCGACAGGTGGGTCGAATACGAAGGCGTGCCGGGCAGCCCACTCGATCCATGGCTTTCTCATCATATCTCGCTGCCCATATCTGGCCGAAAGATGCGGGACGAGGATGGGTTTGGCGACGATGCAGTCATGCGGATCTTTGCTGAGGGCTTCCGACGTCGGTCGTCAGCGGCTACCACAAACAGCATCATTCTTTCGGCCGAAACATGATCTCTCTGCCATCCCTGTCCTCTCGCCGGATCTGTCTTTCTTCTTTCAATATGAGCAGGATTCTCGCACCTTTTGCCCTGTTTGGGCCACAGGTACTTGAGGGACTCCATGCTACAGTGCGGGCAATTCTTCAAGACCATCACGAATGCCGGTCTTTTTTTTCAGAATAAATTGTACACAATTTATCTGTTGAGTGTCGAAATAATTCCCACGTCATGCATCCTGTTCGGCATCAAAGCTTGGAATTTCGTTGGTCGTGTGCGCTTGACGTTGCAGCACTGACCGCATTCCTTTAGCTGAGCTATACACATGCTCACACAGGCGGTCTGATATGGAAGACCAATGAAAGGCAGCAGTGGCATGGTTTGGCGGTATGGCCGGCTCACGCGGGACCGAGATCGCGGTGCTGCAAACGCGACACGCGCTGGATTTAGGCAGGAGGCGACCCTCTACGTCGGTCTCCCACTGTCACCGAGGCAAGGAGGAGATGATCGACGCGTCGGCAGGGGCTACTCGGAGCTGGACCCTGCACATCACGCTGGCTCCTTACCTGCTCGGTCGCTCGCTTCGCCATACGCGTGTACCTGCCGCCCCACGCCACCCGGCGCTGCACCTGCGAGGTCGCTCAGAAGCGTGCAAGCAAGCAATGATCGCGGCGCGCATGAGTTGTTATAATAGTACGCGACGCGAAGGTGATGGCAGACGCGGATGCGACCACAGACTGCGGATAGGCGCGGGATTCGACGCTCGACTCTGACCTACATTTGACAGCTGGCACGTCGCGATGATGGCTGTCAGACGTCGCGGCCGTACCGTGAGCCGAAGAAAAGGCGTGTGTGGCTGCCGGTCAAAACCACCTGAGGATCTCTCAATCACGCAGAGCGCTGTGCAATTGTTCGTAGCAGATCGCGCTTTCTGGCAAAGCAGCTTTCTTGCATTGGAACGGTCCATCATGGTCGCCAAGATAGTCGGGACGCCATCGCCGAGGCATGGAAGCCAGCGCCAATGCGAGCGCCTCGCTCGGGGTCGCTTGTGGCACACCGGCTAAGCGAGCGAGATGGCTCGGAGATGTGATGTCAGGAGTCCTGCGAAACACGTCGTTGGGACTGCCGGCGTTTCGAGAATTAGAGTGCCAGGCAGGGCTCATGCTACGAGGCATTCGGGCCCAATGTGAGGGGCTGCTGCGCCAGAAAAGGTCGACGGAAGCTGGATTTGACAACGCCGGAGGGAAGAGCTGGGAGGCGAGGCTTCGCCTTCGAGAGGGGAGGCCGGCATTGTGTCTGCTCGCATAGGCCGAGATTCCCACCGTCAATGCGAGAGGAAGGGCCCGTTCGTGGGGTCGAGAAAGCCCAAGTGTGGCTGCGCTGAGGGAGCCCCTTGCATGTTTTCGACACGCGCGCAGATCCAAGCGGATGGAACCCGCGCGTGGCAGGGACCGGTGAGGTTCCATCTTGCCGCCGTGTCGAGTCCCGAGCGCCAGTGTCCGGCCCAATGCTGCCGGCCATGGCAACTCACTGCAGCGCAAGGCAGTCAGAGCTGCAACTGATAGGCACAGGGCAGAGCACGTTCTGCGCGCATCGCAGCGCACCGCATTGCAGCCTGATTCCGGTACACCCGACGAAATCTCCCCGCAGCCCCTACAGAGGACCCCGATTCTCCAATCCGCCCGTGTCGGAACGAGACTCCCGCCGCTACGTCGAGGTCGTCGATCCAATGGGCAGCGCAGATCAGGCGATCGAAGAAGCCAACAATCGGCGTTGCCGGCGCCACACACACGCTTGGGCCGAGCTATGACGCGGTGTACTTTCCCACAACAAGCGTGGGCTTGTTGTCCGATCCGTCCATCGGCACACGGTAAGATGTCATTGCGCGGGCAAAGGGTTCGAGCGGCCCTTTCCTCTCCCCAGCGAGCGGACTGCGAAGCAACAATCGTTGAACGAGCCCGGCTGCCATCAGCCTCATCCAACTCTGACGCCCGCCCTTGACGGACGAAGCAGGAGCCTCTCCGACCTCGAATTCGGCTAGGAGAGTGCTCCGGGTCTAGCTGGCCTCGCTTCTCACAAGCGAAAGTCAGATTCGCGTCTATTTTTTTGGAGATTTTATTTTCGGGTTTTCGGTCTCGCGCAAAGTGTTGGTCTCGGACCGACGCGTCGTGCTGACTGATGGACGGGAGCCCATAAAATTACTGTATCTACGGTATTCGCCTTTTTCAAGCTGATCTGCTCCCAGTCTGCAAGCCACACCAGCCAAGCACGCAAGCATGCATGCACGTTCACGCGCGCCCTGCCGATTGTTCGAGCAACGAGGCGGCGATTGTGCTGATCGCTCACAAAGAAGTGGCTGAGAACAGACGGGAAACACGGGCTGCAACGCCGCTGTCCCGCCGCTCGCACCAGGTCGCCCTACTCATCCCTGTATGGGAGCCTATCAGTGCGCGCTCATCCTGGCGGCCATCCTACCGAGGGCCTGGATCTGACGTGTCGGTAAGGCAAGGAGCGAGCGGCCTCTAGACGTCGCCGAGGAACGCCGCGAGTAAGAGTGGCGGCCAAGGGCGAGAACTTCCGATAATCGCAAGAGGGCGAGGGGGGGGCGGCCGTTTGTCGGGTCCCCCCGATTCGACCGCACGAGAACGACGGGAAAGAAGAGGCGACCCCTGGCATGGACACCCAATGCACTGCTTCGACGCTGTCCCGGTCCATGGAACCACAGCTCGAAGAAATTGAGGGCGTCCTGCCTTCCCGTCGGAGCTGGGTTGTAGGCGAAATCCTACGCAGAGAAGCGCGACTCAATCGGGCAAGTCGGATTGACAGCAGAGCGGCGCTTGAACGTGGGATTTCCCGCCAAGCACGACAAGAGGCTGGGCTGGAATCCAGCCAATAACCTGCGTTCCACTGCAGCGCGGCGTCGCTCCCATAGCCCCGACGCTGGTCGCCTCCTGCTTATCCTCCTTGCTCGCTGTCTCTGCTGCTGCTGCTGCTGCTGCTGCAGGCGCCGACGCAGCGGCCAAATCTTGCTTTGGTTCTCCTTCGATGCTATCGCAGCTTGACGTGTCGACCTCCGCTTGAAACTCCGCCTGCCGCCATTGAGCTTCGGTTCAGAGGAATCTTACGCGCAGCTCGATACGACCCTCTCGGCCTCTGCTGCCTCGATGGATACCCTTTGTCCTCTGCAGCCGCTTGCCTTTTTCGGTCGGGCTGCCTTGGCGACGGCGGCCGTTCCGACTCCGCTTGTCGCTTTGATGTCGGAGTTGCCAGAGGACGCGCTGGGCTTGAGGTCTAACTTGGCTTGGACTGGATCGACGCGCGGAGGCACAGGCGGGGCATCAAATCTCGCCAACAGATGTGCAGATCCACAGCTTCGGGTGCGCCGACTCAAACCCCGCTGTGCCCCACACGCGCCTTTGTCGCAGTCTGATCAGCCGCCCTTGCCTTCTGCACCGCTTCCATGCACTCGAGCTGGGCTTGCCTCGCCCATACGGTCTCAAAGCAAGCTTGGACGTGGGATGAGCATGGTATCTTGCCGCCTGTCGTCTCGCGTGCATCGCTTTGGCCCTCTGTCCCTTTGTGCTGTGTCGGACACTGCAGCCTCTCTTCCGGTGCCCCCTCCGCAAGCAGACGCCACCTTCGCATTGGGCCGCATGCTTCACGAAGCTCATCAACGTCCCTGACCAATCTCAGTCGGCTTTCGTCACCGTTCCTAACCAGCTGGGCCCCAACAATGCCGCAAGGCTTGGCCGTTCCACCAGTGCTGCCGTTGTCCACCAAAGGTCTGCCATCTAGCCGGTCCCTCGATGATTGCCATATATTGAGACACCCGAGTGCGCTTCTCGACATTCCGACTCCCCAACATAGTCTCCGCTATCGTCACCGACCATCCACTTCTCCTCTCCTTCCCTCTCCGCATCAGATAGCCATCTTATCTCACTTCTCTTACCCTTCCCGTTGCCTAGCATGACCGCCGTCCTGTCTTCCAGATTCTCGGACTCGACCATCGCGTCGGCGTCTTCGAGCTTCAGCCGACTCTCCTCGGCGAGCAGCGTGTCGTCTGTCGAGGACCTGCTGCTTCCGTCCCTGGATGCTATTCCCAAACCCCCACCGCGCACCTCGTCCATCACTATCAACAGCACCAAGACGTACAGCGAGCGACGTGAACGTAAGAAACCCGCTCCTCTGCAACTCGTGAGCTCAAGTCGCCCGATGCGCTATACAGCTGCCTCCACCAACTCAATCAGCGACGACGGCTACTACAGCTGCAAAGAAGATCTGCGCCGATCCGGCACTCGAGCCGCGTGCTTTTGCGGAGCTGATGTGCGTCCCAGCACCAGCAGCACCACATCGTCTTCCACCGAGATCTACTGCTCTCGCAAGTGTGCCAGGCAGGACGCCCTTTATGCCCTCGAGGGCCGCTCGCCGACAATGTCTTACCTCTCTGCCTCGTCCTCGGACATCGAGGAGGACGAGGACTTCCCTGTAACGCCGACCAATGCCTTCGTGCCCGCCACGCCACGCGCACCCATTGCCAAGGGTCGCACGCTCGAGCTCCGTGACCGTCCCTCGCTCATGAAGAAGATGACAGGTATTGGAGCAAGTCACTATCGGAGGATGGAGGCTCTCGGCCTCTACGATGCCGACTCGACGCCAACGCGCCCGTCAACGTCGAATCCATTGATGGACCCCATCGACCTCATGGTCGCACACTCGCCCAAGAGCAAGTCGGTCTCTTCGCTTGCCTCATCGAGTGACGATGAAGACTTCGACTTTGACCCCCGAAAAACGCTTTTCTTCCCTGTGCCTATCTATATGGGCGCTTCCACCCAGCCCTGACGTGTCCCCAGCATACCCAGCACGTTGCAATCGCTTCCAGCATCTGTCTTTATCTTACACATTGTATTTGTATCAATGATAATGGATCATCCGCACACAAAGAAGCTGCTACGATGCCGGTGATGCTTTGAGTGCTGAAATGTGAAGACATGGCTTGATGGTGAGCAAAGAGATTGGGGCTAGGCGGACAACCCAACGCGGGATGAAGGTATCGGGCGCGCCGTGTTCCGTTATCCGGCTTCCGAAACCCTGCCTCAATTTTTGGTCTTCCAAGCTTGAACTCCACATAGCCCAGCTTCCTCACCATCCGCGATCCTTATCACCCGTCGAGACAGCGACGCTTCGTGGGCCGGTCACTCCGGAGGAGCTCATTACGATGGCAGGGACCAAGTTCGCTTACGTGCGGAACTTTGAGCTGCCTGACAGCGTGATTCCGGACACCTACCTCGTGGTTCGTATCGACGGCAAAGGCTTTCACAAGTTCTCCAAGGCGCACGACTTTGCCAAACCGAACGATGCGGCTGCGCTCGAGCTGATGAACGAGGCAGCTAGATATGTGATGCAGTCTCTCAAAGGTCAAGTTGCTCTCGCGTTCGGTGAAAGCGATGAATACAGCTTCCTCCTGCGCAAGTCCACCACGCTCTACAGTCGCCGGAACAGCAAAATCACCACACACATCGTCTCGCTCTTCACATCCGCGTATGTCTGGAACTGGTCCAAATTCTTCCCAAATCAGCCCTTGCTACATCCGCCGAGCTTTGACGGTCGTATGGTCGTGTATCCGAACGACCAGGTGGTGCGTGACTACTTCAGCTGGCGTCAGGCGGATACGCACATCAACAACCTGTACAACACCGCCTTCTGGGCTCTCGTGCTACAGGGCGGCAGAACAGAACAAGAAGCGACCAAGGAGCTCGAGGGCACCTTCTCCGCAGATAAACACGAGATCTTGCACACCAAATTCGGCATCAACTACGACCAGCTACCACCCATCTTTCGCAAAGGTACCACGCTCGTCTGGACCACCAACACCTCAGAACCGCTTACCCCCACTCAAGACGCAGGGTCGTCTACTACATCTCCATCCAAGACGACCGCTTCTCACCCCGGCTTGGCAGAAAGCTCAGTCGATGCAGACGAGGCGAGTCAAGGGCCGGTGCTGGCCAACGCAAAGGACGAGAAGCTGCGACTCAAAATCGAACGCAAGCGAGCTGCCAAAGATGCCAAGAAGCAGGAAAAGCGCGACAAGAAAGCCCAGCTCTCCACGCTCCGTACGCTGCATTGCGACATCATTGGTCAAGACTTCTGGCAAGCGCCACAGGTGGCGACGCAACCTGCTCAGCACGGCTCGGCTCAAATTCCACAATCGGCTCGAGACGTCTCGAGCTCTCAACCGTGGAATGATCCTGTGCGGTTCGACGGCACAGGTCTCGGAGTCTCTGTATTTCTAGATTGACAGTTGCGAATGGCTCCCATGCGGTCGTAACGGTGACGTGACGTCTATGAAGCCAGCGGCGCACTCGAGAAGCCGCCGTTTCACCGCGCTCTCGTGAGTTCATGGAAGTCGGAGAGAGAAATTTTGTGGACGGGGACGAGATCACCAGTCGAAGGCCTCTGTGTGGAGATAGAGCTCCTGCAATGTGCTTGACGAGGCCATGACGTGCGACCATTGCAGGCGGGCCACGGTGTTGGCGGTCTCGCTCAACATCGACGCAGGCCCACAGACGGCGACACCGACCGCGCGGTTCGACGAGCTGCTGTCGACAAAGCTGTCGATGATGCCCGGCACGTTGGCACGATCAGTATGGATGCGCACGAACGATGCCAGGGCCGAAGATGACGACTTGGCCGATGCGGATGTGGAGAGGTCCTCCGACGTGCCTTCTCTTGTGGCCTTTGACAGGGCTGCTCGGCAATACACGTCCAGCGAGGCGTCGACGCCCACTGTTCTGAGGTGCTCGAGCATCGGCCGGAGCGCAGGCTCAAAAGCCTCGTAGAGGCGCATCGACGGAACGGCCCAGTGGACCGCGACGCGGGAAGTGAACGCCTGGCGCGATGATCGTGTTGCAAGGCACAGCGACATGAGTGCCGGAAGCGTCGACGTCATACCCACGCCTCCTGCGAGCATGAGGTCCGCATGGTACGCTGCAGGCTGGAAGGGCGAGCCATATGGCCCATCGAGCCCGACGGTGAGCGCGGTGGAAACCTTGCCTTTGACTGGCGGTTGGCGCATGAGATGCTCCCAGATCTTGCGGGTCAGGCCGTCACGCGCCTTGAAGTAGAAGACGAGGTGCGAGTCCATGTTGACGTCAGGCGAAGCCAAGTTGGCCACGGTAAAGGGATGCGTCTGGTAGGGAGCCGACCTGTTGATTGTTGGGAAGCGAAGGAAGAAGTGCTGGCCTGGCAACCAGCTTACAGGCGCAGAGACCTCGAGCCTGACGAGGCTTTCGTCCTCGTCGACGAGGGTGACGGTGGCCGGTACGCCCGTGAAGCGGCTGATCCGGAGCGAGTTGGCGAATTTGAGCAGCACGTGGAAACCCCAAACGCCGATGGAGGGCCAAAGCCACGCCCACGAATGCAGAAGGTCGCGGGTGTGCATAAAGTAGAAGACGAGGAAGAGGATGATGGTGATGACATGCTGAAGCACGAAGAATTCGTACGACATGCGACGAAAGTAACCAAAGGACGACACGACGAGCCAGGCAAGCATAGCGAGCGCGACGGTGCCAGTCCACCAGATCTTGTCGTAGTAATACCATGCCTTGAGGTTGCTGAAGCCTCCGTCGTGAACGGGCTGCCAGAGAAAGGGCACGGTGTGGACGATGCTGAAGAAGAGAATCAATCGTGCCAACCACTGGTGGAAGAATTGCAGCTTTTCGTGGCTGATGCCGGTCAGGAAAGTCAAGGGGTTGAACTTGAGGCCGAAGGCAAAGAGCCAGGGGAAGAATGCATTGGCGATCATACCGGCGCGTACACCGAGCGGCGTGCTACCCCACACTGCGGCGGGGCGGTAGTAGGGCTTGACGGCGAAGCACCAGCAGATGAAGCCGAGGGACGGTACTGCCATGGCGATAATGTTGCCTAGCGAAGGGAAGCGGTCGGCCGAAACCAGCTCTGCAAGCACCGTAGTGCGGGCAAAGATCCTCTTTGGGCGATAATATCCGATGCCCCGGCAGAGCGCTGCCAACGAGCAGTAGCCAGGAATGGACAGCGGTGCTAGCGAGAGGCGAGAGCGAGTGCTGTGGCGGACCGAAGCGACGAGATGGCGAAGCATAACCACGCCAAGGAGGGCGAGTAAAACCCAGGTGGTGATGCGGCTGTATTTCTCCATTTCGTAGTAGCTATCCTTGCCGGCCATGGCAGCTTTCTTGACTGCCGATGGAGGCCTGCATCCCGGGCCGACCATGCCCGGCTGCCATACGCATCCTGGCACTTCCTTGTGCCTTTTAACGAGGACGTGCTCCATTGTAGCGTCCTGGCTCTGTCGTGATTGTGAGGAAGCTGAGCTTGCCGATGCCCAAGCGGATGTCTTCCGAGCTGGTCTTATACCAAGCGTGCACCGGCAAGGCGCCCCACTTCCTGGCCTCGGGGGCCTGTCTTGACCCGGCTTGCAGAGCCTGAACTGTCGGGCCCTTTCGTGCTGCTGTGCGCGAATCGAGCCTGGATCGTCGGTGCGCCAGGGCTCTGGGCGTTTCTCTGTCGGTGCTGTGGCGACGGACTCGAAGTGAGGGTGATGAGGGTGGTGATAGACGCTGTGACTTGAGTGGGAAAGCCACCGACCAACCCACGGGGGACTCACAAGCGGGCCGATATCGTTCATGCAGAACCCAAAAGGCTCCGAGGTTGCGTTTGAGCTCGCCGGTCGCAAGCAGCCAGAGGCGGCAAAATGCCAAACTTCGAATCCGAACGCATCCAAAAGGCGCCGAGGCCAGGTCCACGCGACGCAAGAAAGCTTGGCAATTCTCCTTCCCTTTGTGGCAGACACATTCATCCGAGAGCCTTCTTCTTCACTGGTATTGTTCAGCGTTTTGAGCAGAGCCATCCGGCATGGTCACGGTCCATGAGAGAGCTCTGACTGTCGTCGGTATTGTCCCGATCGTGGTCATGCGGCTGAAGGGTGGAATCAAAGTGGAAGCCTGGTGCGTGTGCAAAGAAAAGGCAAAAGCGGAGGGGCCTCGGCAGGCGTTGCCGCGCGTGCCGCGCAGAAAGCTCGTCAAATTGCTCTTTGAACAGCGAAGCGGTGCAGACCGATCGGTGATCAGCATCTGCACATTCGGCTTCGATCCCTCCTGGCGGCATGATCCTGGATCATCGTCGTTGCAGTGAGGCGTCGACCCCGGCATCGGTGGGGACCACTTGGCCAACCACGGCCGGACGGATCTCCGAAACACAATTCTCCCGTTTTCACCTTGCCATGGACGAGCGGGCCAATGATGGACGCCAACGCGACTCAGAAACTCAAGGATCTTCTGCGATAAGGCTCAGAGAAGATTGCCGCAACTACAAGGATCAAAACAAGGATCAAAGAAAACGGTCGATTGCGGATTGCGCCTAACGAAGCTCAAGGAAATGCAGGAGTGGCAATTGCTTTCTCCGGATCTATGGCTGGAAAGCTTAGTCAAGCACGTGGTACTTTTGCTTCTTGAGACGAGCACCACCGGTCTCGAGGGGCTGCTCGAACCTTGTGGTCGGTCGGTATCTCCTCAAGTATGGTGCGGCGGTGTCTTCGAGTGTGTCCGGGGTCATGGCGAGGTCGGCCCAGCTCTTGGTGCCCGGTGCATCCGGCTTGTCGTTGATGTATCGACGAACCACCTCGTCCGGCGAGATCATGGGCCACCATGCCAGGTCGGCGATCTTAGCAGCCAGCTTGAAGGCGAACTTGGGGGTGTTGAGACCGGGCTTAGCCAGCGACGTGAAGGTAAGCGACTCGACGAGCTGGAGAATCTGGCCGATCGTGTACTCCTTGGGGCCGGCAAGCGAGAACGTAGCGCCCATCGACGTGACGTCGGCCTCGAGCATCTTCTCGAGAGCCTGCGCGACGTCGAGCGAGTGTACGGGGCGCATCTTGGTCAGACCGTGGTTGACACGCCATGCGTAGGGGTAGACGGCCATCTGGTTGAGGAAGCGGTCCTCGTGTCCCCACATGGTGCCGGGACGCACGATGGTGGCACCTTCGAAAGCGCGCTTCACGGCAGCCTCGCCTTCTGCCTTGGATCGCAGGAAGGACGACGGCGAGTCGGCATCTGCGTTCAGGTGCGAGACATGGATCAGGCGGCCGACACCAGCAGACTCGGCGATCTGAGCGATGCGCTGGGCGCCAGCGACGTGCACGTCGTTGAAGGAGAAGTTCTTGGTCTCGTAGTGACGTCCAGTCAGGTTGTAGACCACATCCGAGTGGCGCACGCACTCCTCGATCTGCTCGTCGTTCCTAAGATCCCACTCCATCGGCACAATCTGGCCGAGGTCTCCCATGACCTTGAGATGCCTCTTCTCGTCCTCATCACGGTAAGGAATGATGACCTGCGAACCCTTCTGCGCGAGTCGGTTGACGACATATCGTCCCAAGAAGCCGGTGCAGCCGAATACAGTCACAACGTGGCCCGAGACCGAGGATCTGGATGAGAGGCGAAGTAGAAAGAGCTTTGAAAGTAAGTACAACGTTCTTCCTTTCAACGGAGCAAGACAGTGAACGCGCTGCCATGCATCAGGAAGAGCGGAAGCTTCGGAAACTCACCGACCACCGGCGTATGGGCCCGACTTGATGATGGGCTTGCCCGTCTTTCGGTTGATGGTAAGATCGTGGATTGCGCGAGCCTGGACGGCCGGGGCGCCACGAAGAAGCGTGGATCGAGCCGCAGCCTGGGCGGCGCTACTAGCACCAACGAGATGAACCATCTTTGCCCTTCTAGCAAGCTGGTTGCGCGGTACGGAAGGTAGAGCGGGCCAAAGTTGGAGATGGTGGATGATCAATGCAGCCGAGCGTGGAGTGGGTCGATGGCCTGAAATCACTCGCTCCCATTCGCGACACTCTGGCCGCCGACGGAGGCCCTCTTCTCCAGAGCCACACACTCTCCCTATCGCGCTCCAAATTGGAATTCCAGAGCCATGGCGAGCGGCCGGCGTAGGCGATCACCAGCCCGGCGCGGTGAAATGCTCCACTTCAAATTTCAGGATGTCCGCTTTGGACGCACGTGATGCGTCAATTCAACCGACTAGTAGGGTCAACTTGAGCACAAGATGTCAGATCGTCATATTTACACTCCATGATTGTTGCCAATGTCGCATGACCCTAGGTGTCAACGAGGGCCCACATGAACATGCAGGCGACGGAGCGGTACGGCGACCAGTCCTGAGCCAGTGCCTTCATCTCGTCGGGGCTCAGATATTGTCCGCCCTTGATCTTGTTGCCCTTGGCACGCGAATGGAGAACTTGACGACAAAGGCCATGCTCGTCCGGAATGAGGTGGTCGAGCGACGCAGAGCCGTCCTCCGCCGCGCCGAAACCGGCCTCAAGTTTCGGCATGACTTCGGTCTGAGAAAGAAGCGGCACCTCTTCCCCTTTCGCCTGCGTCGGTTCCAAAAGTTCTTCTTTCGGAGACGCCTCCTTCCTTGAGGTGTTTTGGTCTTGAGCTTCGTCCTCCTCTTCGCCAGGTTTGCGTTTCTTGACGCTGATCTTCGGACCTCGAGCATCGCTCAGGAAGAAATTGAGCATGCCCTTTTGCACTCCAAGATCTGCACACGGCAAGATGTCCGGCTTGCGCATGGCAAACATGAGGATCATCTCGCTCGTCCACCTACCAACGCCTTTGACTTTGCTCAGCTCGGTGACGCAAGCTTCTTCATCGTCGAGCTCGAGGATCTGACGAGTGTCGAGGCGACCATCGACGAAGCGTGCTGCGAGGTCCTTGACGTATTTGATCTTGGCGAACGAGAGGCCGGCTGCTCGTAGATCGGCGTCCGAGGTCCGTAAAACCATTAAAGGCGTTGGGAAAGGCCACTGTTCGCGAGGAAAGCCGACAAAGTCGGGCTTCTCGGGCATCTCGCTGGGATGGAAGAGGCGGCAAAACTTGTAGAGAACCGATCTCGCAGCCAGCCACGAGATCTGCTGTCCGAGAATGGAAGTTGTGACGGTCTTGAACAGGTTGAGATCCTTGGTGTCAGAGGCATCACCATCGAGCGCCTCCTCGTAACATCGAATCGGAATCTTCTGGAAGAGGCGCTCGAAGCGATTGTCTCCAGAGCACAAGTGGGCTCTCGCTTGTTCGAAGTCAAAAGGCAGAGCGGGGAAAGGGACTGTGGTGCGTGTCGAGCAGTCCTCTTCGGTCGCATCTTGGGGTATCACAAACGGCTCCTCTGGCGCCTTGGCCTTGGCTGGGCGGCCATTTTGAGACGTTGCTTTCGCGATTGCTGACGAGGATGGCGCGACAGTGCGGCTCCGTTTTGTTCTGTCCTTTGTAGGCTTGACCGCGAGGATGTCGCTGTCAGTGGCCGAGCGCTTGATGCCTTTTGCCACCGGTGTCGGCCGGGTGGCGATCGATGCCTTTCTGGAAGGTGCGAACGACGCGGCAATCGATCTGGCCGGCGTTGCTGAGCGAGACCTGGTGAGCACCATGTTGCTTCACTCGAGCTTCTTGTCTTTCGTGGTCTGGAGGGAAAGAGGCTAAAGTCGAGGATGGAGGCCTCCTGAGGTATATTGGAGTACCCTGCCGGGTGGTCACAGCGAGCGGATGCGGGAACTTGAATTTGGATTGCCGCTGGACTCAACCCTGCCTCAGATGCAGGGTCCGCAACTGGCGCAGCTCTCCTGTACCGGCCGATTAGAGATTGTGTTAGACCGAAAAGCGTCTTCCTGCTCGCCTGAAGCACGCGGAGCTGCGGCGCTACTCAGAGCCCTTGCCGTGCAAGTGAGACTCTGGCAGCTCAGCAACAATTCCTGAGGCATCGACTAGCTTGGATCAGATTCGAATGGCGAAGCACCACACATGGCCCGAGGTGCTCATCATCATCCATCATTCAAACCTTTGGCCAACGATGATGAGGAGACCGCTTGGGGATGGCTGTCAAGCCGTGAGGGTGTTGAGGCCGACTTGAAATTTTTGCTTCAAGGTCGATTTGACTTGAGGTGGGCCCGTTTGAAGCGGACGAATAGGAATTTCGCACGAAGCAGGCGCGAAGAAAGGGCCTTGTGGTCGAGGTTCAAATCAGAGGCAAGAGGCGGCGCGGCGCTCTCTGCTTCTTCAATGCCACTGGGCAGTCGCGTGTGAGCAGAGCAATTCTTCTTCTTCGCAGGCTGAGGCACTCTGAGCGTTCAACACTGGCAAAAAGTGCGGATTGGTGACCACGATCTTGCCCACCATCTCGACCTTTTTTGGTGTCCATCGCAACTTTACATCGTTGCTCGCAGAGGACCCATTCACCTTCGACAACCCATCTCCACTCGCTCGCACTCTCAGCACCGGTTCGAGTGAACGGCGCGCGACCTTACGACCGTCGCAATCATGGCCGAGAAGTACGACCTGACGCAGACCCTGCTGCCTTACCTCGACAGGCATCTCGGTCTGCCGCTCCTCTCGCACCTTGCTGGCTCCGGCATCTTTTCGGAAACCGACATCGCCAAGGCCCAGTATGAGCTCGCAAAGAACACGTCGATGGTCGACTATGCGCTCCAGCTTCACGAGCAGGCCTACCCCAACCAGCCGGCACCCGCAGAGATTGAGAAGCAGCGTGAGAACGCCATCGCTCTCAACGACAAGCTTGGCTCTGAGGTCGACCACGTACTCAACGTCATTCAGGACCCCAGCGTCGCCTCGGCGCTCAAGCAGGACAAGACGCAGAATCTGCAATGGCTCGAGGAGAAGTACAACCTCACCAGCGAGCAGATCAACGCCCTCTACCGATACGGCTACTTCCAGTTCAACTGTGGTAACTACGGCGATGCCTCGTCATACCTCTACCACTTCCGCGTCCTTTCGACCGACCCTGTGCTCACCATGAGCTCGCACTGGGGTAAGCTCGCCAGCGACATCCTCGTGGGAGAGTGGGAGCAGGCTCTCGACGAGCTCAAGCTGCTGCGAGAGCAGATCGACTCTTCGGCCGCGCATGCCGTCGCCTCGTACGCCCAGCCTTCGACCTCCAACGGCACCGCACAGAACGACGACTTGACCCAGGAGGGCTTGTTGAAGAAGCGCGCATGGCTGTTGCACTGGGCGCTCTTCATCTTCTTCAACCACCCATCGGGCCGCGAGCAGCTCGTCGAGATGTTCCTTTCGCCCGTCTACCTCAACACCATCCAGACCACCTGCTGGTGGCTGCTCCGATACGTCGTTGCCGCGCTGCTGCTCTCGCGTCGCACAACGCGCGTCTACATGGTGCAGCAGCCCGCTCCCGCTACGCTCATGGCCTCGGCATCGGGTGCCAACGTCAGCAAGCTCAGCCCGCAGCAGGCGATCAAGGACGTGGTCAACATCATCGACTCCGAGTCGTACCGTCTTGCCGGCACCGACCCCATCGTCGACTTCCTTTCCAAGCTGTTCGTCGACTTTGACTTTGAATCGGCGCAGGAGCAGCTGACCCTGCTCGAGCAGGTCGCCGCCAAGGACTTCTTCCTGGCCGACTACAAGGAGGAGCTCGTGGAGGCATGCCGTGTGGTGATTTCGGAGGCATACTGTCGCATCCACTCCAAGGTGGACATTGCCGACCTCGTGCAGCGACTCAACCTGTCCAAGGAGGACGGCGAGAAGTGGATTGTCAACCTGGTGCGCGACACGCGCGCCGATGCCAAGATCGACTTCAAGGAGGGCATGGTGTTCATGAACCCCACGCACCCGCCCGTCTACCAGACCATTATCGAGAAGACGCGAGGCTTCACCTTCCGCACCTCGGCCATGGGCACGGCGATCGACCGCAAGGCGCACCCGCCCTCGCTCAACAACACACACAACCTCAACGGCAACGACAAGCGCGGCGGCGCCGGCGGCCGGGGCGGTCGCGGCGGCCAGCGCAACCAGGGTGGTCAGCGCGACCGATCGCACGCCAACAAGAACGAGTCGAAGCCCGATGGCGAGGCGGCACCGGCTGCCGAGGCGCAGCAGCCTTCGCAACCCATCGCTGCGGCCTAATCGCGCATTTCCTCGCCCCCTTTCCCGTCAACCCATCTTTCCTTCCCCCAAAAAGCAAGGCCGCTTCAAAGTCGACTGAGATCTTCTTCGACTCGGCCTTGCGAGAGCTCGTCTCTGATGATCTCAACCTTTATGTAGATTATGCAGCGCATCATTGACGACACACCATTGTTCATAGCGAACCGCGAAGAAGCGCTCGTCGGAGCAACTTGAGTGCGAGAGCGACATGGATTTCGACGATGATCTGGCGGACCCGTGGTAGTCGAAGGGAGCCGCAGCTGGGCCTAGCTTGACGGCTCAGCCGTGGAGGATTCATGGACCAGTGCCAGATCCGTTCTGTTACGAGCGCGACTGAACATGTACCGGAAAATGCGCCGAGCATTCCGACCAACCGCGCGCAGTCGTCTGGCGTCGGAAGCGGCTCGTCCGAAGCTGCATGAATCGCGCAGTCGTGTCGAGCTCGCCGCACCACACGGCATCGTGGAGCCAACAATGGAATGCACGAGATCCGAGCATCCCTCGGCGTCCTCCCACTAGCCTGCGTTCCTCTGAGCGTGTATAGGGTGATAAGGAAAAGCCAGCGCCAAGTTACCGTTCTCCGTTGGATCAGCGCGTGATGAGAGACTCAGAAATCGCGTTCCAAAACCCGGTAGCGGTGACCACCGAGAGCCAACGGTCAAGGGTCCTCCACAACTCGTGCAATTGGTGACACTCTGCTCGTGCTCGACGGCTCTAGCACTAAGCCTCCCTTCATAGATAGTGTAGGTGCTCACAAAGCCTCTGCCGGTCTTTGCAAAGTAGCCACACCATGATCGCGTAGAGTCGACCGTCCACTTGCTTCTCCTTCGACTACTTGCCAGCGCCTCAGTACCTACATCCTGGCTGACCAAACGTAGACCAAGTTGTCCGGCCGCCCCTGTCGGCTGAAACCTGGTCGAGATGACCCGGGAACTGGAGCCAGATCGCAATGAGACGACGCCGCTGCTTTCCTATCGGGACCGCGGTGACGGCGAGCGACGATGGTCGATAGCGCGCCGTCGCTCGTCCGCCTTCCTCTCATTCCTATCCGAGCCGGACGACAAGGACGGCGACGAGTTCCAAGAGTACCACCGCAAGCGCGCCATCTACCTCATGGTCTTTATCAGCACCGTATACAACATCGGCGTCGGCATCTATAATTCGTTTGCCGTCGAGCTCATCCAGACGCTCGCATGTGCCGAGTACTACCACGTCTCCTCGCCCTCTGCACCCGACGCCACCTTCCCCACACTGCCAACCGCAGGTGACCCTCTCGAGATCTGCTCAGTCCCCTGGGTCGACAAGCGTACCAGTCAGATGGCTACGTACTCCGACACGCTCACCAGCATCTCGGGATGCATCGTCTCGCTCGTTCTCGCAAAACAGATCCTGCCGCGATTCAGCAGACGCGCCGTGTTCATCGCTTCCATCTTGGTCTCCCTGGTCAACTGCTCGCTTCTTGCCATGCTGCCGACGCACTACTCTTTCGATTCTACCGTACCCTCCGGCTCAACTGTCCATCCAACCGTCGCGATGCACCTATACATCGCTCTTTGCTTCGTAGGCGGCCTCTTTGGAGCCTTTCAGACCGCATTGTTGCTCCTCGGTCAGGTCATGATGCTCGATGTCTGCAAAGAAGACGAAAAGACGGCGGCTTTCGCCAAGATCTTTGCCAGTATCACACTTGGCATGGCCATCGCGTCGGTCGTCATTCGCCTTGTCTTGCCGGCCTTCCATCTCAACTTCAGCATTCTGCACCACACAGGCCCCTTTTCGCCCTTCTGGGTCTGTGTTGGGGTCTGGCTGATTGCACTAGCCCTCGCCACCCTCTTCCTTCCGGAAACAAAGCCGCTTGCTTCCAGGCACGGACGCTCGCGTCGAGGCTCCGATGCCAGCACCGCCACAGACGCCAGCGTCAGCCACATCCAGACAGCCTCTCCATCAACGACGCAGCCGAGTGCTAGCAGGTCTTTGGCTCGAAGAGTGATGGCAGACCTCCAGGAGACTCTCGGCCTGTTCGGCTACCTTGTGCCGTACAAGCCGGAAGCGGGAGCCAAGAGGGACTACAAGTTGCCGCTCATGATGTGCGCGCTGGTATTTTGCGACACCATCACGCTGATCTGGTCGAATCTGGTGGTGTTCTGCTCGACGCACCTTCACTTTGGGCCGCCCGAAGTCACGACATTGCTCGGCCTACTGGGCGCGACCAAGGGCCTGTACAGCCTGTTTGCGCTGCCGTGGATCGTCAAGATAGTACATCGGGCGGTGAAGCGGAGGATGCGCGACGAGATGGTTGCCGCCTCGATCGAGGAGCTTCCAAGCGAGGTGCGCATTGCCAAACGCGAGCAGTCTGTCATCTTCACCGATCAGATCGTTGCCATGGCTTCGCTCTCGTGCGACTGTCTCGGCTTCATCGCCATGGGCGTCGCAGCCTCCCACCTCTCGGTGTCAGGCATCTATGGCAGTAAGTCAACCACAGCATCTTTGACGACACTTTGAGAACAAGACTGACACTGAAGACCTTGCTTTCTATTTTTGCAGCTGTCTTCTTCTTGCTGCTGGGAGCGGGTGCGCTTCCGTCGATTCAGGCGCTCAATGTCGACCTCTTCCTGGCGCAGGACCGCCCCGCCGAAGACCCGGTAGCAGCGCGCGACGCCTTTGTGGGCTTCCTCAATCTCCTCCAGATCGCGCTCTACACATTCTGTCCACTCATCAACAACGCCATCTACACGTGGTCGGTCGACCACAACCTGCCCGCGCTCGTCTTCCTTTGGACCGCCACGCTCTCCTTCACATCGCTCTTCTTTGTCTCCACCGCCTCTCTCTTTGCCAAGTAGATCCGCCAGCTACAGCATGTGCAATACCCACCGCTCTCCGCTCAGACGAGGCACTGTCTGCGAGCTCTTTTCATGTTTGCGAAGAGTCTGAAACTACACGTGGCTAAGGTCCGCAAAGCAGGGAGAGAGGAGAATGCCGGTTCTCAGGGAGTTGCGAGCTTGGGAGAATCAGCTTCGTGGTCTGGAGGTGCTGCGATGGCTTCCGCGCTGGGACTAATGTCAGCCGGGTTGGACTCCTGCACGAAGGTTGTCGTGCGTCCGCGCTGGCGTCTGGAGTCGAGATTCCAGGCGCCCGGCTCGACGAGCGCCGGGAAGCCCGTCCACGTTCTCGTGCAGTGCTCGTGGAGCTGAGCACCTTCCGGGACACCGGCGAAGCTGCTCGACTGCTGGTACCACGGAGCATTGGGTCCGTCGAGCGAGCCGAGCTCCTGCCACAGCCAAGCCGCTCCGCCCAAGGCCGCAGAGATGCCGAGAAGCGCCGTCGAGTTGATGTGGTGCTGATCAGCGAGTGGCAGAAGCAGCACGACGATGGCGGCGACAAAGCGTGGTGCAATGCGCACGGGCTTCGAGAAGAATAGCTCTCCTGGTGCGTCGAGTTCCTTCTCGAGCATCACGAGCAGTGCGGTTGAGACCATACCAATCGCATACGTCGCAGAGTAGATCCAGCGAATGCCCTGCGCAACCTCGTTTTCTTTGACGAGCTCGGCGGTGGCGTCACCACACAGCGTGATGGCCGAGACGAGTGGGAGGTGTAGGCCAAAGAAGGGAATGGCATACGACATGCTGCGGCGGATGGGATGTGTGATACGCTTGCTGCCAGCACCAGTGCAGTAAATGCCGTGGAGGACAAATGCGACGACGGTGGTGAGGACGACGCGCGCCACGCCAGAGTGCACACCGGTCCCAGCGGGATGTCCTGACAGCACGCTGTACAGAAACTCGCCGTGGACCAACGTGACAAAGTCGGTGAATCGGTCAATCTCGTGCTCGATGGCGACCGCCGACGAATATCGCAGTTTGGCCAGCCTCTTGAAGAGCGGACTGTAGAAGAACATCAAAGAGGAATACTCGAGCACGAGCGCGACGGCGACGAGGGCGATGCAAGCGCGCACCGAGACGAAGATGCTTCCAATCCAAAGTCCGACGAGGAGGATCCAAATCGTTGCTTGGCTGCGGATCTGGATGCGATACTGGCAGATGTAAAACGAGTAGAACATCATCAGACCAAAGATGAGCCCGACAGCGACGAGGTACGATCCGATGGCGGTGGCGCGGGCGCCCGACTCTTCCAGCAGCTCCTCGGCGGAGGGGGCGTTGTTGCCATAGACAACGAGACAGGCCATGACGGCCAGCACGAGCACGCGCTGGGGCAGGTCATCCACGAAGAAGGCGTTGAAAATCTCGCGCATGTAATTCCAGACCATCCAGGCTGCCGTGTAAGTTAGGATGTAGCGCACGATGGCATCGCCGTTGTGTTCGTGCACAGCCTCCTCGGCGAGAGTGGCAATGAGTCCGACGAAGACCAGGTCGAAGAACAGTTCGAGGCGGTGCGAAGAGCGTTCCTCGTTGGAGCGAACGAGGACGTTTCCGCGGAAGTACTGGAGCGCACGCGGACGGCGGAAGAGGTAGCGACGCTGTTCATGCATGGCGCGGCTGTGTGCTTCGCGACGCTCCATCGATCGCCACTTGCGTGCTTTGGCATCGCGCGGCAACTTGCCGTTGGAAGTACCGGACGAAGTGGACGGGGCGAGGCTTAGCGTGTCGGACGTGGCCGCATCCGCCTCTTGCGCCTGCGCGCCTTCTTGCTCCTCGCCTTCGTCTTCATCGTCCGAATCGTCAGGATAGAACCCAGCAGCAACGACGTTGCCGTACTTGAGGTGGTGCGCCTGATGGGCGTGCTCGGCGGCAGCCAGCGAACCAGTGGGCGCGGCCGAGCCAGTCGAGGCGACCGAGCCACGATGCTCCGTCGGCATGTCGCGGAAGGATGCTCGGGACGGTGTACAACTGCCTTGAGAGGCCGTTCGAGATGGGGGACAGGAAGGTAAGACCGCAGTTCGGGCGTCTATAAAGCAGAACGGGCACGGCTAGGCGTGCAACCGGATCCGGCTTTTGCAGGGCGCAAAGTCTGTGCAGGAAAAAAGTGGTCACAACATCCGCTTGCTCACCGTGGTGGTGCCTGCGGCTGCTGTTGCGGCATGCCGCACCGGGAAGGGTTCGGCTAGGGTTCTAGCGCAGCGCACGGCTGGACGGAATTAAAGCGCGGCCCTACGGATGTACCCTGAGGCGTCGACGGCGGGTAGCGAAAAAGTAACGGCTTGGCACACAGCTGTCAGAGCCTAAACCAAAAAAAAAAAAAAATCTTAAAAAAAAGCATATGAAAACACGCCTTGTCGGCTCCCCGCCCTTGACCGCCCTGACGGCCGCAGAGCAGTGTTTGGCACGTGCGTTGCTGTGACATTTGGCGGCACCTGACCACGCCATGCACGGCTCCCTTTGACGATTTCGATGAAGCGCATCACAGTTTTTGCGTATACAACGGACAGAAAGAGACAGTCGATCTGCGATGGTGAGCCTGATTCGTATTGCCACGCACAGCCGGGTATAACAACAGCAAGACCGAAGGCTTTCGGCCGAAGCTGGAACAAGCACGATCGATGTCGGACATAAAGGCACGGGGTTCATAGGGATGCGCTTGCGGAATGCTAACGCCCTACTTCCGAGATGGGCACCCCGACGCCACCGCCGCCGCCAATGCTGTTCATCATGGTGTTGTTGGTGGCATGATCAAAGTCGTTGAAGATCGGCAGGATGCTCTGCATGTACTGGTCCAGCAGGTCGTCGGTGCCCAGCCAGGTACTAGTCACCGGATCCAATCCCGAGGCGCCGTTGCTTGCCATGGACGACGGCACGGTCGCTGAACGGTACGCCGACGAGAATGGCGACGCACCTCCAGCACCGCTGCCGCCACTCAACATGCCTGCCATGTGGTTCGTCGAGCTGGCGGCGCCAGTGCCAGCCGCCGGCATGAATGCATGCGACTGACCAGCTGCGTTGGAGATGGATGGCGACATGGAGTTCGCGGCGGCACCACCTGGATGGCCCATCATTGCCGGTCGTCCCATCATGCCGGGCGTCTGCAGCCCGCTCTGGGCCGCAGACTCGAAAGCGAATGCCATGTCACTCATCGCGGCGGCTGGCACGGAGGTGCCTAGGCCGGGAGCAACGACAGCCTTGCCTGCATCGTGGCTGGCCGCAGCGCTGCCTGCCGTGTTGTGGCGAGCCATGTTGCTTGCTTCGCCGCGCGGGCTCGCGATGCCTACGCCGCTAGAGCCTGTCGACATGTGAGACGATCCTCGCAGTCGCTGGCGCTTCCTGCGGTGCTTTTCGGCCCGATCCCGCTCCACCAGCTCGGCGCTGAGGGAGAGGATGAAGCGACCGTAGAAGCGCGCAAAGGAGCGCGAATGGGCAGAGTCCAGCGGGTCGCCGGCCAGCAGCAGGCCCAACTGCACCACCAGGCCACGAGTATCGATCGGTCCGTTCTTGAGCAAATGCACGCCTGACCAACCCAGCATGGCTGCCACGATCCTACTAACGGTGTGCGCCTGGCCTTGCAAATTGTCAAGCGCCAGTCGACACGCGTCCTTCAAGAGCATCACGCAGCATTCGCGCGCCGCTTTGACCGATTCGCCGCAGATGCGCAGGATGCGCATGTTGGACGATTCGCAGATTGCCCTTCTGCGGTCAGACTCGCGAATGGCATGCGTGTTAATGAGCACGCGCACGTGCAGTCCAATGATGCGCATAATGGTCGAGGTGAGCGGGTGCTTGTCCAGCGCCGGATGCTCGCACCAGGCCTCGGACCACGCCTCGAGAAGCACGTTGGCAGAGACGCGGATGCTCTCGATCGAGCCGACCTCGTAGTAGCTCTGACTGAAGATGCGCGTCCGCATGATCTCCTCGATACGGCGCAGATGCAGGAACGCCACGACCTGAATATCGCCGTCGAGCGAGATGGGCGATTTGAGCCAATCGTTGAGCGTACCCCAGTCCACGTCGAGCGTGGTGTTGGGACGCTGGCCCGAGAAGGACGAGAAGCTTCTCTCCATGATGGCAGCCAGTGCCCATGTCCTGGAGCGATCACGGGCGTGACGACGAGCGAGCTCGTCTTCCTGCGGCACGTCGTCGCGCATGGCAAGATCCAACTCCTTGGCCATGCGTGCCGCCGTTCCGATAAGCAGCCACGCTCGATCCTCGGCCATCAGGGGGGTGAGATGCGCCCACATGGGCCACACGATGAGGCCCTTGACGACCTCGACGCTCTTGACGTTGCGGCTGAGCACTTCGACAACGAGCGAGTCGACCAGCTTGCGCAGGAGCTCGAATTGCCGGATCGAGCGGGGACTGCGATCGATGGAAGTGGCGATGGCCAAAATGACCGAAAAGAGAAAGTTGGAGGATTCCTTGATGGTGGCGACGTTGTGAATGACGGGATCGAGGATGCAGAACTGCTCGTGAACCGTGTCCATAAAGAGCTGGAACAGGCGACGTGCTTCGTCCATCGTCACGATGCCCTGCTCCAACGGATCGCATCGGCGCGTATCCCAGCTGGCTGACGCGGATGCGCCGGAAAAGTACGAAGCACGTTCGCATGCAGCATGGGCAAGGCACGAACGAGTCCAGCCACTGCTCTCGAGCATGCTTGCAATCTCGCGAGCCGACTTGGCCTGGGCGTCATCCTCCTCGTTGATCAAGTCGTCCACAAACGGGTGGAGGGCCGAGCGTTTCTTGCCATCCTCCTGGTCTCCCAGAAGCTGGGCGTCTGCTTCGATGGGCTCGTTGTCGGCCGCAAGCTCGTCTTCTTCGCTGTCAGATTCGGTGCAACGTTTACCGAGCGCAGCCTCAGAAAGACAAAGGAGCGGATTGGTGGAAGAAGGCGGCATGCGTGATTCGCGAATGAGGAGGCCGTCGTGGTACTTGGAAGTACGTCGACTGCTGTTGCCGCTGAAGTTGCTCGTGTGACTGCCGTTGTGACCATTCGAAGACATGGCGGTGGGCACGGACGACGAGAGATGCGAGCCGGACGACGACGAGGCTGTGGCTGTGCTTTGAGGTGACTGGTGGTTGCTTACATCGGAGCCGTAGCGATGCATCAGGCGCTGTTCCGTCTCGGCAGGGTGCGGAGGATAGGAGGTCGACGCGCGCGGTTGGCTTGCCGGGTCCCATGCTTGTCGATAAAGGCTGGGTTGAGAATCATACGCAGGAGGCGAGCTTCGATCGACCTTGGTGTGGAGCTGCTGCTCGAGCTGACGTTGGAGGGCTTCAGACTGTTCGCGCGCACGCGTAGCCAGACTGTTTGGAGGGAGAGAGAGAGAGAGAGGGGGCAGCACAAAAGGAGCGCAGTGAGGTCAGCATGCTGATGCCCGGAAGGTCTGCGACGGCATCGGATGTTGAGGAGGCTGTACGTACTTTTTGGTGCCAGGCTTCTTTCCGCGGCGTGAGGCTGTCCAAGAGCAATCGAGCCCCTTGGCTTCACATCTGGAACAGTTCTGCGCGTCTTTGCGCTTGCCGTTGCATTTGATCTTGGCTTTTCTGCACCTGTGTGGAGACGAAGAGTACCGAGGAGACGATAAAGACAGGGCGAGGAATCGGGTAGGACAGAGGGACGGCGCAAGGGTCGCCAGGGGGAGGAGAAGGACGGGAAAGAGGCGCGCCAGGCGTGTGATGGCAAAGGAAAAGAGCGTGTCAGTGGATCGAGTCTTGCGACGGCGGAGAGAGAAGGCGGCGATGGCGGCCAAGGGTGGAGTGGCGTTTGCATTGCCGCGAGACTGGACTGACGGCTCAGGCGCAGGCCGTGACGAGTGCACGTCGCAGTGCGGGCATTGTAATACTTACTCGAGGCAGGCTTGGGAGTTGCGGATCCTAGGTCGATCATCGACCAGTTCTTCGTCCATGGTGTCGATGCTGTGAATGAAGAAACGGATTGTGGTGGAAGGGGGGCGAGGTGGTGGGGTCGAGGCGGCCAGTATCGAGTCGAGCGAAAAAGCTAGAATCGCAGAGCGCGGCTGAGTTGCGCGCTGCCAGACTGCCGAGGCAGGAGGGAAAATTTGCCCTCTGGTGTGGTGCGGTCTTTTGCCCTGCTGGACCCGGGCAGCCAGCTGCCGGCTAACCAACTGCAGCCGCCTTCTGCGGATGGAATTTTGGCAAGAGTTGCCGAAAAAGAAAGGGTGGAAGCGACGTGCGACCGACGACCGCCGTGTCCTGAGCTTGATGCAATTCCGCGCCAACGGCAGATCGAAGCGTCTCTGCCATGTGAGCCCACGGATACGTCGCCGCTGCTTTACCGGCAACTTACCGCACGGTAGTGAACAGGCGCCAGAGGCACACTCGCCCTTCCGCCCTTTCGCTGCGTCTGTGGTAGACTGAGTATGTTGCGATCCCACATGCCTCCTTCCAGCCTGTGCATTTGACACATTGGGCCGGATCAGCCGATCCGGTCTTTGGAGCTGCAGCCCATTTTGGTCAACGCGAAGGCGGCAGCTTGTTGTGATCTCACACCGCCGGAAAAATCCGCACCCTCGGGAGCTGCACGATTACGGTTCGGAGCGCCGTCTTCCACCTGAGATTCGGATGCCCGCATGGCGGTCCCTAAATTGGCCTGGCCATACACCCACACGCCCACCCACTGCGCCTTTGACAACTCAGGCCATCGGTCGCCAGCTTTGACGAGTCGACTGATAGTGATAGTGGGCGGCGAGAGAGACCGTGCAGAATCGACCGGCGGGGTTGCGCCCGTCGGAGCGGCCGACGTCGAGCCCGTGGCTGGGCTCTTCAAGCGGTGCTTGCAAGCTGGGCACGCGAAATCGAAGTCCGCAGGATGACTTGCGAGCACGGCTACAGTAGCTGGGCTGCACCGGTTCCGATCGAGCGCAAACTTGGCCGACCAAAGCAGCAAAGCAGCGTGGGTGAGCAGCCGAGCCCTCCCACATGTTGGCCAGTGCCCATCCAACGCAGCCAAGACCTCCAAGGGGCCTCGCTCGCTGCCTTGATTGCCGCTATCGTGCGTCCGCCGCGCCGAGCTGCGCCTGAGTGCCCTGGCAATTCTGGCCCCTCCGAATCAATTCCTTCGCAGATGCTCCAGCCGCGACGGCGTGCGCCTAAATTCGCTTTCCCTTTTCTCGCTGCCCCCCACGCCAACTGGAACCCAAGCTGCAACCGCGCCGTGCCCGTTGCAGATCTCCACCTTGCTGCTGCTGCTGCTGCTGCTCCCTTGCGCCGCTCTGCCGTCGTGGCGTGGCCTCGCGTCCCTGGATGGCTCGGCTGCGCTTCCCCAACCCTCTCTCGGCCTTCTCTCTGGGCTTCTCGCTTCCGTTCTTTGCCCCAACCACACCCACCGCAGTGACCTTTCTCCTTGCTCCACACGGCCCACCCCTCGCCTTGCCTTGCCTCGCCTCGCCTCGCTTCGACTTGCCGGACCGCATCCCATACAACCATCGAGCCTCCGATCCGTTATCCCGACCGGCCCTCCCCCAAGGTCGCCAGTCCAACCACCATCCGCATCGTTCGTTCCATCCAAGACGCAACCACAACCACTTGCGTCCTAGGTCGCTGCGCCAAAACCTGCGAGGCCGTAGAGTCTTTGCTTCGCTTGTGTTGCTTGGGCGTGGGCCAAGGCCATTTAGCCAGTCGTCCCAGCGGTGCAAGCCCTGCGAATCACTCACATCACACTCTCTCCGCTCCCATGGACAAGATGCGTCGGTAGAGTCCCGAATCATCGAAGAATCTGCTTCCGTTTCGTACGAGTCTCTCTAGCCTCACCTGCTTCGGTGGTCGGCGCTCTCGTCATACACTCCACGACTTCGAGCTTGCATCTGCAAGTGCCTCGGTCATCATGTCCTTCAGCTGGAAAGGTCTTTTGGGCGTCAATCAGTCCTCCGCCCCGTCCTCCACCACTTCTGCACCGAGCGCTCCAGGCTCACACCAAGCCTCGGCATCCCCAGCGAGCCATGCCTTGCCCATCGGAACGCCCGGCTCTTCCATCGGCGGCAGCGTCGCGTCCCCAACTTCGGCCGGCTCATCCGCCATGAGCCCGCCATCAGCGCGTGCTCCCCTCAACTCCAATCCCTTCGCCGCAACACAGCCAGCCGTGCCGGCCGTGCCATTGTTCGGAGGCATGATTCCCTCGTCCAACTCTTTCCACAGCACCAGCTACATCCCTTCCTCCTCGGCAACCACCCAGTCTTCCGTCATCTCTCGCAAGCCCTCCGAGATTCCGGTCAACGCCGCCGAAGGTGGAGGCTATCTCCTCGGAATGGAAAACTTTGGCAACACTTGCTACGTCAACTCCATGCTCCAATCGCTCTACTTTTGCCGCCCCTTTCGCGACTCGGTCCTGAGTTACAACGTCGCTCACCGCGACCGCTCCGAATCCGATCCGGATCACCCAAGAAGCCATCATGACAGTGTCAACTCAGCAGTCCCAACACCTCTCAACTCAACATCCGAGCCCGCCGATGGAATTCCGCCAGCAGACACCCTCTTTGCTGCCCTTCGTGATCTGTTCGAGGTTATCCAGCAATCAGGCCATCAAAAGTCGCTCTCGTCGCCTACGAGACTCACAGCTCCCGGCTCTTTGCCACTCTCGAGCCCTATCACACCCTCTCCCCCGTCTCTAGGCTCTGCAGACCCACCGAATGTTGCAAGGAGGACATCCATCCTCGGTCGTCCCTCGACCGCAGGTGGCATCGCTGGCAGGGGTGGAGCCGGCAACCACATCGCAGCAAACCAAGCCGGCAGCACAGCTGCCGCCGCCGCCCAAGCGATTCCCATCGCGGCCAGCTCGTCCGCCGGCGCAGCTCCTCCTACTCTTTCCGTATCTACCAGCTCAACGGGCACGCTAGCCTTGGGCTTCCCTGCAGTGGATTCCAACGCGGTCAAGGCGTTCCTGGGCACCCTCAAACGCGAAAACGTGCTCTTCGACAGCACGATGCACCAGGACGCGCACGAAATGCTCAACTTTGTGCTCAACAAAGTCGGCGAAGACCTGATCGACGCCGACAAGGCGCGAACCAAGGTAAAGATGCAGAGCCGCAATCCCTACCTCAACGCCAGATCCGAGTCGGACAAGACTGTCGATGCGCATCGCAGAAACAACGTCATGGAAGTGGGGCCGAGCGGAAAGACGTGCGTGCATCGGCTCTTTGAAGGCGTTCTGACCAACGAGACCCGATGCCTGACGTGCGAGACCATCACTTCGCGCGACGAGTGCTTCCTCGACCTCTCGATCGACATCGAGCAGAACTCCTCCGTGACTTCGTGCCTGCGCCAGTTCTCCGCGTCCGAGATGCTCCGGTCGCGAAACAAGTTCTTCTGCGACTCCTGCTCGGGACTCCAAGAGGCGGAAAAGCGCATGAAGATCAAGAAGCTGCCCAACTTACTTGCGCTTCACCTCAAACGCTTCAAGTACGAAGAGACCGTCCAGCGCTACGTCAAGCTGGCCTACCGCGTCGTTTTCCCGCTCGAACTGAGGCTTTTCAACACCTCGGACGACGCAGAGGACCCCGACCGCCTCTACGAGCTTTGCGCCATCGTTGTGCATATCGGAGCTGGACCCCACCACGGCCACTACATCGCCGTCGTCAAGGTTGGCGATCGCTGGGTGCAATTCGACGATGATGTGGTGACGTACATCGACGAAGCTGAGATCGCTAAATACTACGGAGACCGACCCGGCCTTGGTAGTGCTTACGTGCTGTTCTATCAGGCAGTCGACCTCGACTTTGATGGACTCGGCCTCGTCGATCCGGCCATCCAAGCTTCGATCCAGCAGAAGATGGCCACGAACGGACGCACGAACGGCCGGGGTCGGGCCGGCTCAACGACCACGGAGCCGATGGATGCGCGCCAGCATGTCCCCTCGCCCGAGAGGGCGGGCGGCGCAGCGCTGCCGAATCGATCGCGGCTCGACTCGGTGACAGAGGGAAGCCCCCTGGTTGCTGGAGCTGCGGGTGGCTCGGCAGGCGCCGAAGCCGGTCAAGGCGCGAATGGCTGGTTCGGCTCGTTCCGCAACCGCGATAAACGCGCAGGCAGCCAGTCAAAGAGGAGGCCAAAGACGACCTCGTCCGTCGACCCGCTACCGGCCGGAACGGCCGGGTTACCCGCATCCGCAGCTTCGGCGGATCCAACCAAGCTCGGTCTGGGCGACGTTGAGGGAACGACGCCTGACAATGCCTCGGTCTCGACTCACTCGACGAGCGCCAACGAGGGCGCTCCTCGAGGCATCACGACTGCATCTGCTTCCATCACGCCGTCGACGGAACTCACTGGATCTGCGATTCTGCCTGGCTCACAAGCCGCTGATCACGAGGCCGATGCTTCGCCTGCGCGTCACGGCCCGATGACGACGACGCCTGCCTCTGAAGTGCTGTCAAGTCGAGGCACGACCGAGTCGCCCAGCGAGTCAAAGTACAGCCGGATGATCGGGAACCAGGCGGATGCCGCCGCGAATCGCGAGGCGAGAGAGCATAACTTGATGCGGGGCATCATGAATCGTAGGGCTCGAGCTGCGTCGGAAGGCTTCCCATCCCCAGGTGTACTCTCCGAGGCTGCTTGGGGCACGAAAGGCCCTTTGCCGTCGCCTGGTCAGCCTATGCTGGGCGGTGGCTTGGTCGCGGATCCCGAGGAGGCCACGCACGCTGGGCACGCTGCGCACACGGTGGTAACACCCTCTGCCATTGACTCGGGACCCAGTCCTGCTTCGACGATCCCTATCGCTTCGCAGCAGCGGGAAGGACCGTCTGGACCTTCCTTTGCGCCGCTGGAGAGACTGCTGTCGAAAAAAGACGCCAAGACAAGGAATGCGCGGAGGGCATCCTCGGGCTACACTCCAATGTCGCCCGGGACGGAAAAGAAGGAAGGGATGCTGTCGAATCTGTTCTCGTCGAGCTCGTCAGCCTCGTCCGCGGCTCAGTCGAAACGCAACTCGATGCAGCAGATGCCAGCAGGCTCGCCGTCGGAAGGCGGGGCTGCAACGGGAGATGGGCTGCCGCCCTCGCGTAAACCCAGCATAACGACTCGAACGATCAGCAAGACGTTCGGATTCGGTCGGAAGCAGACCTGAAGCCAGGAATATCGGCAGTGACGGGTACCTGCAGAAACGATGAGCCATGTTGGCACATCGAAAGGTCCCATGCGGACGGGTCATCGCGTTGACCTTGCACAACAAAATGGAATGCACGTGCTGTTTATGGTACAATAGACACAGCTGCCTTCGCCACCACCACCGCTCAAGGAGCGCGACGAAGTCTTGTGCAAGCCGAGCGCTTGGTAGGGTGAGAGGATGATGTGTTTGGCTGAGGAGGCAGACCATGCACTATGAATCATCTGTGCTCGCCAGCGCGAAAGAAATGACCTCTCTGACAATCAAGTCCGGAGGAAAGCAGGGTCCAAACTCGGGCATGACTTCCGGGGGGAAATGGACTTTTCTTTCTCTCAAATTGGAGCCCCGCCTCGGCCATGCAGATTGTAGGTTTGAGGCCATGCAATCCAGCACAAGCCTTGCACAGAGTGGTGTGAGGGATTGCAGTATCGATCGCGGACAATTTGGCGGAGGGACGGCGGAGGGACGGCGGAGGGACGCGTCGGAATCGATAGCCGCGTGCGTGTGTGTGCGTGTGTTGATGTGTTGTAGTCGCCGAGCTGTACCACCGTTGCCGAGCGCTCGATCGCTACCGCCCTCCTCAGCGCGTGGGCGGCTGCAGCACGCGACCACAGTGACCGACCTTCGCCACGTGTCTGCGAAGGAACGGACCATCAATTCCACACCCCGCTGTGGCTGGCTCGCAAAGGCTCCGCTGCGGTGCTTAGCGTCCGCACCACTAGACCTGTCAAGCCTGCAGAGGCATGCAGTGGTCTGCATCACTCGTGCAACTGCAGATGCACCCGAGCACTTGATTCCTATCAGCAGCATCGATGGCGCCAAGCGCCTCGACTCAACGCCATCGCAAACCTATGTGGCTGGCGGACCTCTTGATCTTGTCCGATCGCCGCCTCGGCTCGCAAAAGTTTCGCGTTCCTGAGACTGACAGCGGGCAATGCGAGGGTATTTTGTGGCTGTCGTGCCTTTGGATGTGCTGTTGCTCCCAACGCTGGCCCCTGGCTTGCCTGTTGCTCCATTCCTCCTGCACCGAGTCTGGGGCTCTCTGTCCACCCCGCACTCTACGCACTCCGGTGAACCCTCTCTTGGCGAATGGTATATAGATGTGTCTACCACGGACACGCTTGAGCCCCCTCCGACACCTTCTTCTCCTCGATCTCCCTGTTCGCGCATCTTTGTTGGTATTGTCGTCGAAGCGCCATCTGCTGGCCTGCGATCGGCTTTCACGATGCGTTCCGCACCTATCTTCCAGCCTGCGCTGGGCTCTTTCCGCTCCGTCTCTCTAGACCAAGTCTGCGGCGATGGTCTCAACTTCGCTGCACAATACCCCGTGGACGAGTATGTGGCCTCGCTAGCTAATGGCGCTGCTCGTCTGGAGCTGTGGACGAATCTGCCAGTATCGCAGAACAGCTCCGAGTCTACTTCGCGACCCGTCGCGTGGAACGCGTATCCTCTCCTTCCCGTCCGGGCCGCCTTGGATCGTGCGACGGGCTACTCGTTTGCCGCCCGCGTGCAATGCCTCCCCGCCGCAAGCGAGGGTGTGTTCAACTTCACCTATCGAATCGTACATCTGGACGGTCAGATTGACTGGCTCGGCTCGCCCTCCACCGACGGTCGCATTCGTCTGCCCTCCTCCGATACTTTTCCTCCGGCCATTCGACAGCTCGTGCTGCCTCACCGTGGCACCCGGCTCGAACTCAGCGCTTTCCAGGAGCACGACCACTCCGTCGAGCTAGCCACTCTTACACCCGGTCGCAGCGCTTCTGCGACGAGTCTCTCTTTCGACATTGATGCGAGCGATGTTCAGTCGGGCCTGGTAATCGAGCGCACCAAATCGACATGGTGTACATCCAGGCGCTTTCAATCTCTGCACGAAGTCTCTCCCGACTTTGCAGCAGGCCTGTTGGTGCTCGAGCTCAACAAGGCGGCCGCGGGCGAGGTGCTTGTCCTGATGCCCGTCTTTGACGACACCGTGCTGCCGCCTAGATTCGTCCGCTCTTCAAGCAGCAACAACAAGGCCACCTTTCAGATCGAGGTCGCTTCGCCGCATGTCCAAGTCAAGGTCGCGCTCGCGCTCGGTGCCTCTACGCAGCTGGAAAGTACCATCAAAGCGTGTCGCTCCCACGCGGCGAGGCTGCTGAGAACCTGCGGGTATGAGCCTCTCGGCCTGCCTTGGTCTGCTGCCAAGGCCCTCGACGTCGAAGCGCCTCTCGCAGCAAGTATTGACGTGGTCTCTGCGGACACGAAGATTTATTCGGAGCCCGAGTGCGTCGACATCTCCTTTTACTCGGATTCGACTGCCGTCGAGGGCACGATCACCACCCAGGGCATGGAAGATTCCCAACTCCTGTCCACAGACGACACGCAAAGTATCAGCGACTCGGACGATGCCTCGACGATCCACGAGGACCGCACCATTCTCGCGGACAGCCCGCCAGGCTCCGGACAGCCCAAGGCGGGTCTTGGCTTTTGCACCTGGGAGGCGATGCAGAACCACGAACGTCGTCCGTACCTCTCGGAGGTCGTGGCTGCGCTCGAGGCTGCCGAGAAGAGGACTGGACCTGGCTTCATCACCTCTCTGCTCATCGATGACGGCTGGCAGGACGTGCTGCACGCGCAAGACCATCGAGGTCGGCTGAGCAGCTTCGATATGGACCCGACGATGCTGGACGTGGGCGATGCCGTGCATCCTCAAGATGGCAGCCAGCCCGTTCTGGTATCGTACGTCGGCTACATTCGAGACCGATTTCCGTCGATTCGTTCCGTGGGATGCTGGATGACGTTGGCGGGATATTGGGACGGCATCAATCCCGATGGAAGCATTGCATCAAGTCTGAGTTCGCCGCTCAGGTCCATGTGTATCCAGGACCCTTATCGCCACGCCGATCGGAAATGGTGGGTGCCCGCCACCGAGCTCGATATGCACCTGTTCTGGGACAAAGCCTTCCACTCGCTCCGCTCCAGCGGCATCGACTATGTCAAGATCGATGCCCAGGCCGAGTGGGAGTGGGCGCAAGCTCCGACCGAGCCGCTCACCAAAGGAAGCAACGCCATCATGCCAGGTGGCGGAAAGCTTGGCAAAGCCATGTTCGAAGCCATGGAGGGCGCAGCTGCACGCTACTTTGGTTCGGGCGGAGTGATTCACTCGATGGCCTTCACGCCCGCACTGACGAATACCGCGAGGACGCTGCACGGCCAAGGCATGACCATCCGATGCACCGATGACTTCTTCCCCAACATTCCCGATGCGCACCGACATCACCTGGCGCACAACGTGTACAACGCGCTCCTGCTTCCAGAGCACGTATGCGATGCAGACATGCTGGCTCACTGCCACATCGAGGCTGCCTCTCGGCAGGACTTCACAGGATACCACGCTTCCTTCCGAGCCTTTACGGATGCCAAGCTGTGGGTTTCAGACCGAGCAGATGCGCCGACGAGCGCGTCCATGCGCGCGCTGGCGGCTCCAGCCAAGCTGAGCTGCCAGAGCGAGCGAGTCCGGGTGCAGGAGAAAGGCCATCTTCTCTCCAACGCCGCTTTTGAAGATCTCATCGGCGACGGCGCAGGACCTGCGCTCAAGCTCGGCGTCTGGCACGAGACCACCAAGAGCGCCACATTGGGACTGTGGAACCTGCGAGGTGCGGGCGCATCGACGTTCGACGCGCTCAACGTTGGGCAACTCTTGCAGATGCCTGAACAGCGAGTGGCGGTGCGAAGCTTTCGATCAGGCAAAATCTGGTTACTGTCCGGACAATTCTCAGAAGAGAACAGCGGTCTGCTTGGCACGACACTCGAGGCAGGATCGTGGGAGGTGCTGACGGTGGCGCCCGTGCAGATGGTTCCGTCGACAGGCGTCGGCGTGGCGATGCTCGGCTCCAAGATGCACTTCATGACTCCAGAAGGTATCAGTCTGGTTACCATTTCGGCGAGCAGCTCGATGGATGACGGGCTGAAGAAGCGCCGCTCGTCGGTCTCTCGTCGACCTTCTCACCAGCGTCGTCATTCCACACGCTCTGTCAGCACGTGTGACGACAGCGCCAGCGAGACATCGCTCATTGCGCAGTCCGCGACTGACAGGCTTGTGCCGGAGGTCCCGTCAGACTCGCGAGCGGTGCTCTTGTCACTCGCGGTGATCAACGGATTCTTTGCCCTGATGCAAGGCGCTGTCACTGGCGCCACAGGAAGCCCTCGCGCTGTTGCAGGCCGACCGAGACCGAAGATCAAGCGAGGCCGAGTCGACGTGGTGGACACAATGCTCGGGCTGATCGATCAGCTGCAGACGCTTGTGGTGTTTGGCGTGCTAATCCTCGCGTCTTGGACGTTCATCCTCCCGACGGAGCGGAAGGGCGGTGCTGCTAAGTCGTGGTTGCCGTGGAGGAACAGCCAAGGCAGCGACCAGCGCGTGGACGACAACGAACTTAAGCGCGTACGTCTGAGTCCGCACGATGCGGTGACGACGCTGAAACGCTGTCTCACCTCCCGCACCATGGCTCCGCTTCGCGAGATGCCCGTCGCAATCACCGAACCCAAACTCACGCCCGCGAGTCCACGACCGCCATCGTCACGCAGGACTTCGAGACAGTCGAGCTCGGACGTGGTCTTCTCGTGCTTGGTTGACGCGGCGACCACAATCGGCTTCCTCGTGCTATGCGAGGGCAAAGACAAGATCAAAGAGTGCACGATCGATCGCATCAGGTACGACTGCACCGCGACGCCATGGATCTCGATCAGCCCGGTCGACCTTGAGGAAGGATCCGAATCGTGGAGTGACAAACACAGCGCCTGGAGGGTCGATGTTGACATGGAGGCATGGACGGAGCATCAGGACGTGACGTACGTTCAGACTATCGCTGCACCGGTCCGTGTTGCGCTCCGCATTGCAGCCACCGTGTAGAGTACGAAATGAAGTCTTGCCCGCAATGCATCTTCGCTTGACTGTGCGCACTTGTGAGCTGCCGCTACCTCATCACTGAGTGGGTTGAATCAGCTGAACGAGGCCCGAGCGTGGGTTCATCTCCGCACAATTGCGGTTGCCGCTCAGGCCTTCCATGCGGGTCCCGCAGCGGGCGTGTGCAGCTGCAGCTGTCACTTTGCGCTTCCAATTTCCGCACCTTGTCATCCGTCATGATCATCATGGTCTCGTCACCTCAAGCGCTCAATTCAAATCCGTTGCAAAAGAATCGATTGCGTGTGCTCTAGTAGGGGTATCTGAAGGTCGTACGCTGCTTGTCTGTGAGATCCGTGAGGTCCTCGTGGTCGTCTTGTGCGCCTGCCTCGGCCTCGGTAGGTTTGGCGAGCAGACCGTTCTGCTTGTTCCACAAGTAGTGGACGGAACCGATGGCGGTCAAGCACACGGCTGCCGCTCCGAACATGGCGATGAGCGTGATCTTGGCAGGCACGTAGTCTGGTGCATCCTTGGCTCGGTAGGTCTGGGGACCCACGAGGTTGCCCACCGAGTATCCGACTTGGAGAACGGTGTTGAAGACGATCCTCTTGGACGTTCCGGACACGCTGGAACTGAGCCAGCTGTAAAAGAAAGGGCTAGCGACGGGGTAGCAATACACGATCACATAGCCGGTAAAGCGAGCGGCCTTGGCATGAGCCGGGATAGCGATCATCATGGTGCCTCCGACGACGGCGAGCATGTACATGAGGACACCGGGGATGACACGGGTGCCAGTGGCGAAGGCGAGCCAAGCGCCGAAGTAAACTGCGACGACCTCCAACGCGCCTGGTGCCATGCCGAGAAGCGCTGTAGTCTTGGAGTTGTAGCCGAATTGCTTGATGATCTCGGAGCCAAAGTTGGAGACACCACCGTTAGCGACGTTGGCGGTGAAAACGACCAGGAAAAAGAGGTAGATACGTGGGTCGAGCACGGCTTCCTTGAGCTGGTCCCACTTCCACTTGGAGTCGTGGATACCGGACTTGTTCTGCTTAATGCGGTGCACGGCCACCTGGCGCTCGCGCTCGTTGAGGTATCGGATCGTAGCGGGCGAGTCGGGCATGAAGAACCACACCACGATACCGAATGCCAGTGCGACGCCGGCCAGGATCAGGTACATCTGCTGCCACACCTTGAGCTTGGAGGGCTTCTGCACCTGGAGAGCGTACGAAATGCCTCCGCCGAGGATCTGTGCCCAACCGTTGTTGGCGAACCAGATCGAAGTGCGTGTGACCTGCTCCTGCTGGGTGTAGAATCGACCAGTGAGGAGAATGTTGGCCGTTGTGAGGGACCCTTCAAATACACCGAGGAAGAAGCGTGCTGCCAAGAGCTGGCCATAGTTCTTGCAAGCTGCGTGTGCGCCGAGCGAGATGGCCCAGAGGACGATGCAGATGGCGACGTAACGCGGGAGGCGCATCTTTTGGAGGAAGAATCCGTGGATGGGGGTGGCGACGAGGTAGCCGACGTAGAAGAAGGAGCCGAGCCACGAGTACTCCTGCCCCTTGAGATTGGTGTCCTTCTTGAGGCCAAGGAGCGAGGCATAGTTGAGCGAAGTCTTGTCGAGGAATTGCAGCAGGACCGCGACGCACAGGAGGGGCATGATGACGAGATCGATCTTGCGCAGCACTTGTTTGAGCTCTTCCGGAGTGATGGTCGAAGCATCGATGTCGAGCGCCTGCGCCTTGGCGTTCTCGCCGTCGGCGGACGAGACGTAGGGCGTCGAGCTGACTTCGCCGACGTATGCATCGAGCTTGGCGTCGTCCGCCGCCTCGACCGAGGGGGACTTCGAGATCTGCATGGTGGCGACTGGTCGTTGGAGGGATGGACAGGCTTGACGGTCTTCTGAACGATCGCTACAAGACGCTGACTTATATGTGGTGGACACGACGCTAGACTACGCTGCCGCAAGACCACGAGCTTTGGTCCCTGCATAGCGAAGCACGCGTTAGAGTGGACACCATGCGGAGAGATCCATGCGTGATTTCGATAGGCTCGCCTGCATCCAATGAGCTAGTGCCGTTGGGCATCTGTGGCCGCCCCGAGCTCGCTTGACAGTTCTTCTTGTCTTATCTTTTGCGTCCCCCGTGCCGCGTGGGAGGCGAAGGAGAGGTGGCGGCGAATTCGCACACTACTGCGTCGGCGAATTCGGAGGGCGAATTAGGGGCCGTACCGCAGGCTGTCATCGGCTTTAGGACCAAAGATGCCACTCAAATCCATCAGCGACCAAATCCACCGCCACCTCCCTCCCTGGCAAAGCGGCTCAAGACAGACCCGCTCTGCTGAGCAATTCGCCTTCTTCGAAGCTTTTCTGCGTTTCGCGTGGCGTCCTTCCTAAAACCCATACAGACACGAAGGCACTCTATTGCGGCCCTTTCTGGATCCACCGCTGCTCTGCGGCCGACAGATCCACTTGTTCGGAACGGCTGCCGATAAGCTCGTCCGACTTTGGCGCAGTGACCGGTGTGATTTCGGTCAAGTTGCAAAGTCGGACCCTCGTTGGAAGGTTTCGAAGGTGCAAACGTCCGATGCAACCGTCCTCCTTATCTCGGCTGGGCCATGATAACAAACTGCCTCGGCAGGCCGGTGGGCCAATCAGAGTTGTGCCGGGGCGGAAAGTCGGGCGAGCCGAGATAATTGCAAATCTAACAGATACCGGCTTTTGCCGTGAATAGCCTAGCCTCCCTCTTCTATCTCGCAGGCCGGTTTGGGTGGGCAAGCATTGCTGATTCCGCCGATGGGGGTCATGATGCAGATAGGTTCGCAGGCTCTATCTACGATCAGTCCCTGCATGAGCTTGCAGACTGAAGCGCAAATGTTTGTGGGTATAGTTCATTCATCAGGAACGAGCGACGGCGTGCGAGGAAGCGCACGTTTCGTGAACGGTTGGAGGCAGAAAGGCCGGTACAAATACAAGGGCGTAGGCCATGCATCTTCGTCTGTCTGACGAGCTGACATAGCGAGTCGGGTGGGAGAGGGGCTGATGAACGAAGCCGAGGATGGTGCAACCGATGCTGGGCGACGAACAAGTCGAATCGTTGGGGTTTACTCGAGTGAGCTCTTTCCTTGCACGTCTTCGGCATGAGCGTCCATGTTGTACAGGTTGAATGCTGCATTGCGACGGTACTGTTCGAAGCGATGGGAGAAGGGGACGAGCAGGAAAAGGTCAGCGATGCCGCTCTCACCGACGGATGTGCATGTGCGACCACGACTTACGGCTTCCGAAAGATCCGACACGATGATGACGGCCTGGTTGTGGTTGTTGATCTCGACTACGGATCGGTCGAGCTCCTGCAGCGCTTCGTTGAGGCGGTGAACGCTCTTGGTGATTCGCTCCAGAAGCAGCGATTGCCTCTCCTCCTGCAATGGCGCATCCACATTTCACATCTCGTCAGCTCGGCTTCGCGGTGTAGTCCTCCTTTCTGGCGCGTTGAACTCACGTGTGGATTCTCCATGATGCGATCTGGTGATTATGACGGTGGTGATATGGTGGTCGTGATCATCGTATCTGTCGCGATTCAAATTGTGTTGGCTGGCTGTGTAACTTTTCCCGCTGCGGAGGTGTTGCTCTCGGCGCAACAACGCCAGCCGAGACGCGCGCGCGTCTCTGTCCGCTCCCTCAGTTGCTGCTCTGTCGTGTTGAGCTACTCGTGCGACAATCCACGTGATGATTTGTCGTGACAGTCTAACATTTTTGAATTTCGGCGTTCTCAAGTCAAGTGGGAAGCCGACCTTTTCGAGCTGGCCGCGTAAGAGAACGTCGACGTGGAGCGAGCGAAACGAATCCGAGAACAGCCAGGAGGAAGAGAGGCAGGCTGGCCGGGGGCCAATCAAGCCTAGCTAGAAAGGCTGCGAGCGGTGTGTGGTGGTGGAGCCCGCACAGGAAGATCTTCTCGCTGGAAGTGCGCGTCAGCCACCCCACGCCGAAATCAGGTTGGCTTGCGGCACAGACCCCTTGTCCTTCCTCCCTCTCGGCCATCACTGCACAGCACGGTCATCGCCAACAGACTTCCACGCTCCCTCAGGCGTCGATCTCTTCGTGCCAAGCTCGGACGCTTGCACGCAACGCACATTGACACAGGCCTCGCTGCTGCTGCCGTCACCGCTACTGCTGCTGCCGGAAAGCACCGGTCGCCGCAGTCGTAGCACAGCTTCGCCCAGCATGAAGCTTGCGATCCAGTCCCCAGAGATCGCCAGCATCTCGCTGCACAAGCGCATTCCAACCCACCTCCACCTCTACGTGATCCCCTTCCTCTCACTCTACCCCATCTGGGCGTATGCCTACTTTGTCAAGTACGACGAGTGGGTCAGGTCCGAGGAGTGGACCTTCGTCTTCACCGTCCTTCTCATCTCCGGCCACGCACTCAGCTTCCTCATCACCAAGTGGAGCATCGCCGCCAGGGCGCTCACCACCTGCGTCTCCGCCAAGGGTCTCGAAGATGCCCAGCTCGTCCGCATCCACCCTTTGCCCCACAAGGGCGAGGGTGCCATCGTCTCTCTTGACCGCGTAGAGCGCTCCAACCTGCCCATCGAGATCTCCTTCACTTACCAAGCCGATAAATACATCCTCGCGACCCCAGACCCGTCCGCGGCCCCGACCGACATCTTTGTCTCGCCGCTCATCGATGTTCCCACCTTCCGTCGCCTCCCTTACCCCGCTGACTCCAAGCCGCCCCTCTCCAAGTTTCAGTCCAACCGCGGCTTCAAGACCGAGAAGGACGTCGAGCTGGCTCTCGGCACCTTTGGCAAGAACGAGCTCGACATTCCCAAGCCCAAGTTCGTCGACCTCTTCCTCGAGCACGCCGTCGCACCCTTCTTCGTCTTCCAGGTCTTCTGCGTCGGTCTGTGGATGCTCGACGAGTACTGGTACTACTCGCTCTTCACGCTCTTCATGCTCATCGTCTTCGAGTGCACCGTCGTCTTCCAGCGTCTGCGCACCCTCAGCGAGTTCCGGACCATGTCGATCAAGCCGTACAACATCTGGGTCTACCGCGCCGGCAGGTGGGCCGAGATGCAGACCTCTGACCTCCTTCCTGGCGACCTTGTCTCCATCGACCGATCCAAGGAGGACTCTGCCACTCCTTGCGACCTCTTGCTTGTAGCAGGCTCGACTATCGTCAACGAGGCCATGCTTTCCGGTGAGAGCACGCCGCTGCTCAAGGAGAACATCGAGCTGCGCGACGGCAAGGACATCCTTGACGTCAATGGCGCCGATCGCAACAATGTCGTCTTCGGTGGTACCAAGGTGCTCCAAACCACTGCACCCGAGGCTGACAGCAGCTACGCCAAGCTGCGTGCTCCGGACAACGGTGCGCTCGGCATCGTCCTCCGCACTGGATTCGGCACGTCTCAGGGTCAGCTCATCCGCCTCATGGTCTTCCAGAACGAATCGCGCGTCACGGCCAACAACCTCGAGAGCTTCGTCTTCATCGGTTTCCTGCTCATCTTTGCCATCGCCGCCAGTTGGTACGTGTGGGTGCGCGGAAACGAGATGGAACGCCCCAAGGGCAAGCTTCTACTCGATTGCGTGCTCATCATCACCTCGGTCGTGCCGCCCGAGCTGCCCATGGAGCTGTCCATGGCTGTCAACGCTTCGCTCATGGCTCTCGCCAAGCACGCTATCTTCTGCACCGAACCCTTCCGCATCCCCTACGCCGGCCGCGTCGACGTTTGCTGCTTCGACAAGACCGGTACCATCACTGGTGAAGACCTCGAGGTGCAAGGCGTAGTCAACTGCTCTCCCGGCGGTGACTCGCCGCTCATCCCGCTCAAGGAGGCTTCGGCCGAGACGACGCTGACGCTTGCCTCGGCTCACGCCCTGGTCCTGCTCGAGGACGGCCTCGTCGGTGACCCCATGGAGAAGACCACGCTCGAGGCCATGGACTGGAAGCTCAACAAGGGCGACCTGCTCACGCCTACGGACCCCAAGGCTGGCCCGCACCGATTTGGCGTTCAGGTCCGCCGCAGGTTCCAGTTCTCGTCGGCTCTCAAGCGCATGTCGACTATCAACCACGTGATTGACCAGTCGGGCAACCGCCGCGTGATGATCGCCGTCAAGGGTGCGCCCGAGACGCTCAAGACCATGTTCGCCCAGCTTCCTGCGCACTACGACGACACATACAAGGGCTTTACGCGACGTGGATCGCGTGTGCTTGCGCTCGGATACCGATTTGTCGACAACGTCTCGGCCAACGACACCAATGCCATCAACAACATGCAGCGTGACCAGGTCGAGGCCGGACTCAAGTTCGCCGGCTTCCTGGTCTTCCACTGCCCGCTCAAGCCCGATGCCGTCGAGTCGCTCAAGCAGCTCAACGACTCGTCGCACCGCTGCATCATGATTACGGGTGACAACCCGCTGACGGCCGTGCATGTGGCTACGCAGGTCGAGATTGTGGACCGTCAGACGCTCATCCTCGACGTGCGCGAGGGCGCGACTTCGGAGCAGGACCTCGTTTGGCGATCGGTCGACGAGTCGGTCGTGATCCCGGTCAAGGCATCGGACCCGATCGACACCAAGCTGTTCGACACGTACGACATCTGCATCACGGGCGTCGCCATGAAGCAGTACCAGGACAACGCGACGGCTTGGGACGCACTGGTGCAGAACACGTGGGTGTATGCACGTGTCTCGCCCTCGCAGAAGGAGTTCATCCTCAACTCGCTCAAGTCGCTTGGCTACATCACGCTTATGGCTGGTGACGGCACGAACGATGTCGGTGCGCTCAAGGCGGCCAACATCGGTGTGGCGCTGCTGGACGGTACGCCCGAGGACCTCGCCAAGATCGCCGAGCATCAGAGGATGGAGCGCATGAAGAAGGTGTACGAGTCGCAGCTGTCGCTAACGGCGAGGTTCGGTCAGCCGCCTCCTCCCGTCCCGCCCATGCTCAAGGAGAAGTTCCCGGATCTCGAAAAGGCTCGCGAGGATGCTCTGGCCAACATGAACAGTGCGCGTACTACGGACCGCGCGGCCAAGTTTGACCTGTCGACCATCACGGCGTCGATGGCGGATGCCGAGCTCGATGACGGTCCGCCGCAGATCAGGCTTGGAGATGCGTCGGTTGCGGCGCCGTTTACGTCGAAGCTGTCGCAGGTGGCTTCGGTGCTGGCGATCATCAGGCAGGGAAGGTGCACGTTGGTGGCGACGATCCAGATGTACAAGATCCTGGCGCTCAACTGTCTCATCCAGGCCTACTCGCTCTCGGTGCTGTATCTGGATGGTATCAAGTTTGGAGACTACCAGGTGACGATCTCGGGCATGTTGGCCTCGGTTTGTTTCCTGTGCATCTCGCGAGGGCAGCCGATCGACAAGCTTTCCAAGGAACGTCCTGTGGCCAACATCCTGAACGCCTACGTTTTTGGATCGATCCTTACGCAGACCGCGCTGCACATTGCGACCATGTACTACATCCAGCGTCTCAGTGTCGTGTTCGAGCAGCCGGAGGATGTGGTTGATCTCGAGGCCAAGTTCTCGCCTTCGCTCCTCAACACGGGCGTGTATCTGCTTGGACTCAGTCAGACGATTTCGACGTTTGCGGTCAACTACATCGGTCGACCTTGGCGCGAGAGCATCCGCGAAAACAAGTACCTTTACTACGGACTTGTTTCCGTGGGTGGTATTGCGATTGCGGGCGCCACCGAGTTCATGCCCGAACTCAACGAGTGGCTCCAGCTCGTCAAGATGCAACCTGCGTACCAGGTCCAACTCGTCGCTGCCATGGCCATCGACTTTGTGGGAAGCTACATCCTCGAGTCGTTCTGGAGCCTGTTTGCCGACGTCAAACCCAAGTCGCTCGTCACAAAGGGCCAGGAAAGGAGAGTCGAACGACGCAAGCAGGAACAAATCGCAAAGGCCATCGAGGCCCAATCGGCCGAACAAAAGAAAGACCTCTAGTGTTCTTCCCCATCCATTCCACAAGCTGTATATAGCCCTCTCGACCTCAATATCATTCGATCAGTCTAAACTCAAGTCCGTGGTGTGATTGCACCGATTGCGGAAATGAGCTTCCCCAGCCTCGTCCAGCGTCGCACAACTGTGAGAATCATTTTTTCGGCCATTTTCAAGGCCTTTTTTCCCTCAACCTTTTTTGAAGTCTTTCAATTTTTGGTGACTGTCCCTGGATTCTTGTCGCCCATGCACGGATGCTCAGCAGCTCGGCGCAACCCACGGCCACAGCCAGGAGCAAGATCATCAAAGGCGATGGCATTGAGACATCGAATCGAAACGCAAAGCTACAGCAATGATAAGGCGATCGAGAGATGATGGAGTGGCAGGCGGTCAACGCGGAAAGCCCGAACCAGCCTGCAAAGAAGCGGCTCGAGAGATCCCGTGGACAATGATTGCCTGACCGCTGCAGGGCATCCGGGAGTGGAAAAGCGGGAGATACAGGTGAAACGAAGTACATCGACACGAGAGGATGATGGGAGGGAGGTACTGGACCCCAGAGCCGTGCCCTTGCCGGAACGGGAAGGGCTAGCGGCTTCTGGGCGTCACTGCGGAGTCAAGTCCTCTTCGCAGCCAAGAGTGTTGCTTAAGCGTCCTCGGCGCGGGGCTCCTGGGAGATGGCACCGTAGCCGCCCGAAGCAGGCGTGCCGGCGGGGGCGCAGAGGCTTTCGGGAACGAGGACGTGGCCCTCGTCGGGAGTGGCAATGAGGAGCCAGGCGCCCCAGAGAGGCTTGGCAATAACGTCAAGGATGGCAAAGAAGAGGATCTCCTTGTCGGGGCTAAGCTTGCCGGTGCCCTCGCAAAGAGCGAAAGCGACGGGGTAGAGGGTCCAGACCACGACGAGGGCGAGCGAGATCTGGTTGTAGAGGCCGCCGACCTTGGGGCTGCGGAGGAAGGCGGTGGAGCGGCCCGAGGTGACGAGCTGGAAAAGGACCCAGGCGAAGGCAACGCACGAGAAGGTGAAGAAGCCCCATTTGCCGGTCTTGGTGGGGTGAACGCCAGCGATGACACCGGTGACGATCATGACCTCGTCAGCGAGAACGAGGACGATGATCTCGGCAACGGGCAGGCCAGCGAGGAGGGTGAGGTCGAAGAGAAGCAGCGGCGTGGTGAGGGCCCAGTCGAGGTCTGTCGAAGGAAAGGATTTCGCAGACAAGCCAAACAGAAAGCGGAAAGAGTCAGCAATCCGGTCGAACAGCTAGGGACACGGTGTTTCTTTGGCAATGGGGAAAAGAAGCCGCCGAAGCACGCGAGGACGCGCAGACTTACATCGAGCGTAGAAGAACTCGCGGGGCGCGCCGTGACGGTGTTCGCCAATGGTGGTGAGGGTCTTGCCGACGCCGGTGGCCATGGCAAAGTAGGAGAGAGCGGCGATAGCAGTGATGAAGAAGGTGGTGGTGTGCATCAGACGGTAGCGGTAGGAAGCGCGCTGGGACGAGATGAAGAAGAGCACGGAGAAGCCAGCCATGATGAAGAAGACGGCCCAGAGGTAAGTGTGACCCCACTGGGTGGACACGATGGGGTGCTCGAGGTGAGGGGGAATAGGGGGGATGGTGACATCGGGCTTCTTGAAGGCGTCAAGGACGCTGTCGTAGTAGAACGAGTTCATGGTGATGGCCAAGGTGGTGTCGATGCTTGGGGAAGTGCTTGATGTACTCCGCGAAGTTGGGAGGGGGACGGGCAGCGACGTTGGCGACGGCCGCGATATCAAGCAAGGATGATGGAGGATGGGGAAGAGGTGGCGACGGTCAGGCAGGGAGATGCGTGGCTAATATGGATGGGCGGCTGACTCTGATTGCTGCGGGCGACTGGGAGCGTGGGAATCGGTGGGGGCTCTCCGAATGAGCTCGGGTGAGGCAACGAGAGAATGTGACGGCTATGAACAGCGAGGGCACAACGGCTACGCCCAACGGCTGCAGACGAGGCCCAGGTGCAGCGGCTGCGGTTCGGATCAGTGCACGGACGGCTCAAGCGCTCAGCCAACGTTAGGCAATGCTGCAGCAGCCAGTGAGACGGTTGGCAGCCTGGATTTGGTGGAATGATGTGGACCGAAGATCGTGCAGAGTTCATGCGCAGCCCTCAAGCGAAACGGAGGGCGGTCTGCGACTATGGGCAGGCATTGTCGGCGAGGCCGAAGGGCCCAAGGGGGATGCGAGTCGAGCCGAGAGTCAGTTGACCTCTCTGTTCAGATCGAAGATGGCTCGGGCACCTGCTGTCTGGCGGCGGAGCAAGGCAACGCTCGATGAGTGGAGGTGGTCTGGGCGGGCCGCGAACGGGGCAGCTCCGATGCCAAAAATGAGCTGAGCTGGGACTTCGCCTGAGGTCAGCAAGGACGTCCCGCACGCTCCCATCGTTCGCCCTGTCTGGGCTCGGCCATGCTCCGTGCGCCTTTGACGGAAGAGGCGGGCACATCGGTGGATTCAGGCGCTGGGCCGCAGCTGCATCCATGCATCGCGCTCAGTTTTGTGACAGCTGCAATGCATCCGACGCGCATGCGCCCGCCCGTGCACCGCAAATATCTCACCCTTAGCTTGCCGCCATGGCTCGTCAGTCATCCGTCGACCATACTCTGATGTTCGCTTATAGGCGTGGTGTAGACCATGACAGCTCGTGGGCGCGGGGCAACATCTTGCGCACGCGCCGCCGTTCCTAGTAGCACGTTCTCGCTCCAAGCACTCGACGCTAGCAGTTGGTATCGACGCTTCACTGTCCACCTCGGTGACGGAAGGACGCCCGAAGCCAAAAAAAAGCAGAAAGAGAAGGGAGATGCAGGGTGACTTCATTTTTTGCATCCCGTACTTCTCGAATCGAGCTTGCTCCTGCCGAGCCTGTGGGGAACAGACCGCCTCCACGCGCCGACCTGTGCCTGCTTTACCTTGTCGATGCACGTCCAGTCACTCTACATGGACCGACTCGATCGCTTCCTTATCAGCGAGAGTGAGAGGAGGTCAACTTGGAAAGGGAGCTCAATTGCCAGTGACCGGTAACATTCCGATGGCATGCTTCAAACACGGCTGCTTGCTGGAGGACTGTCTCAGGTAGACAGTCGTGTCTGGTCTCGATGGCTCGGCTCGGTACGGTAGCACGGCGCTGCTCATTCCAAAGCTGAGGCAGGACGCCGTCATTTAGGCGCACATCGAGCTTGGCAACTTCAGCGGCCCTTTGAGCGGCCGTTGCGAGAGGGTCGGATGGATTTGACGCGCATCGATCGATGCGTCTGGAGCACGGTTATGCAGGGCCGTCCAGGCTCCACGCCCATCCATGGACCAGCCGAGCTCGAAGGGTTCCTGCCGCTCGCTCGCTCAGGGTGCACGCTCCCAAAATTCCAGAATCCTCGATCCGATGCTCTTTCGAAAGGATCCGCCAGACCAACCACAAGGGTCGTCGAAAAAAGCAAGAGATGTCAGATTGAAGAAAAATCCATTCTAATTTTCAAAAAATTCTGGTTCCGGTCAACTCGGGATTGCGGGACCCCACGTAACCGGTTGGTTGGGCACCGCTCCAAGCGAGCGAGAAGGAAAAATGCCGCAAGTCTCAAAAAGACGGGCTTGCACACCGCAGTGCGCTGAGGATCCATGTGGAGTCGAGCCGGACGCAACGTTCTGTGAAAGTCGAAAGGGGCTCGTCGTGCTACCGTCTTACCACCAACATCATCTGCTGTGACACACTTTCGCAACACCTAACTGCCTCGGCCCCTCTCGCACCATCCACTCTGGTCGTTGATCTGTCACGGTCTGCTTCACATTCGGCTGGACCACGCCTCTCCATACTCGATCGCCATGGCATCCAACACGGCGGCCAAGCGGCTGCTAAAGGAATACCAGACCACACAAAAGGAGCTTGGTCTCCTGCCCAACACGACGCGATCGTTACGCGCCAATCCTGACCTGCTCGAGCTGCGGCCGTGGGACGTGGAAGGCGAGGATCTCACCGAGTGGATCGCCACACTGCGCGGGCCGTCTTCGGGCAACTATGCGGGCGGCGTGTTTGAGCTCTCGATCCAAGTACCGCCCACCTATCCGACCAAGCCGCCGGTGATCAAGTTCCGCACGCGCATCTTCCACCCGAACATCGCATGGAAGGATGGCGAAATCTGCCTCGACGTACTCCAGTCCCAATGGACTCCCGCTTGGTCGCTCAGCTCGGCGTGTACTGCGATTCTGGCCTTGCTCGACGCACCTGAACCAGATAGCCCTCTCAACGTCGATGCTGCAACCCTGTATAGGACGCAGGACGAAAGAGCATACGCCAGCATGTGCAAGATGTACACCGCCATCTATGCAACTGCGCAAGACGACTAAGCATACCACCCCACCATCACACTCACTGTACTTTTATTGCATCAACAACCCCAAGCATTGCCCCACAATCATCTCCAACCCCCAAAGTTGACGATGCGATCGAACGATTGCATTCATGTACAAAGCGAGAACGGCGCAAGAAAAAAGTCTAATCGTAGATGAGCAGCGGGTTGATGCGGTCCATGGCAAAGAGGAAGTTGTTCGAGTGGTCTTCGGCCTCCAAGAAGCGGGTAGGATGGAGGACTAACGAGCCCCTGCACTCGTCCAGCAGGGCTTCCATCTGGTCGAGTTCTCGCGTCGAGAATCCCTCGACGGCCTTTTCCTTGCCGGGGGCATTTTGACTTGCCTGTGCATCTCGCAGTGCACTGGGGATCTGGTCCTGGTCCGTCTTGCTCTCCTCCCCCTCTTGCTTGGTTGAGGTTTGGCCGACAGGACCGCCGACGCTGGCACCCGGTACACTGTGCGCCTGCGCATCGCGCACGTCTCGGCTCTCCTTGGCTCCAAACTTACCCGAGCGCGCCAACCTATCCGCCCACGCACCAAACGCCTTGTACTCGGCCCAAGTCGTCACCGTATCGTCCGGTACGCACTTGAACACCTTGCGGAAGATCTGCGTGTTGTGCACCGCACACGTCAGCCAGTAGTCAATGTAGAAGCTGTCGTCCACGGGATCCTGGAACTTGAACGGATCAATCTCGAGCGATGCCGCAGGCAGATTCCACAGACTCGTCGACATGCGGCCCGAAATCTTGCGCCGCAAATCCTCGGGTCCACCCACGTCCAGATCGTCTCCAAGCCCGCGCTGGCTCGCTCGCTGCAGCATGTCCGTCTCCCGTTCCGGTCCCAGACTCGACGAACTCAACGAGCCCAGCAGACGGTGGTAGTCCGAGGACGGTCTGGTGCGCTTCGATTCGCCGTCCGCATTGGCCGTGCGACCGTTGACCGCAGGAACGTCCTCCGCCAGAAGCTTCTCTTCCAGCGTCGGCTCGAGCGAGCTGTCGTACCTGCCTTCCGCGAGGCTCTGCGGCTCTTCGCCACGCATCGCCGCACTGACACGCTCGGAGCGCGCAGCCTGGTACCTCTCGTTGTGGTTGGCCGACTCGGCAACCGGATCCGCCGTAGCCTCCATCTCGGTTTTGGCCTTGCTCGTGCCGTTGCTCAGCGTGTCCTTGATCTGGTGGCGCAGTTCCGAGACCGTCCCGTTGCCGCGGTCCGCCAGCTTGGACGTTGCATGCTTCAAGCTTTCTTTCGTGGTCGGCACGTCGACCACATCGGACGTCGAGGCCTCCTTGCTCGCCTGACGCTTGAGTCCGTTGTGGCTCTGCTCGTGGTCTGGGTCCCACTCGCCGTCCGAGTTGACCGTCTCGACGTCATCCGAGTACACCGATGCAGCCGCTGCCGAGCCCTCGCGCCCGTTCGTCGAGCCGTGGCCGTGGGCAGACTCGCGCGCCTCACCAGTGCGGCGCTCGTTGGCCTCGAGCTCATCCACGTCGACACCGAGATGCTCGCGCATGAGCCGCATGCGCAGCGTGTGCGCGAATCGACCCACCTTGTACGGCTTGCCGCCCATGAAGCTGTCCACCATGTCGTGGTCGCGGATGACGCACGCCAGCTCCGAGTCGCGATCGCCGCGCTGGCTGCGCTCGTTGATGTTGGCCGAGCCGATGATCGCCAGTCGGTCGTCGACGATCATGATCTTGTCGTGCAGGTACACCTGCTCCGTGGTCAGCTGGCCGCCGCGCAGCTTGCCCCACGTGCGCAGCGAGAAGAAGCTGATGTAGCGCTCGGGATCGATGCCCTCGCGGCGCAGCTTGCCGAAGATCGAATGCTCGCCCCTCGAAATCGACCGGTTCTGCAGCTCGACGATCAGTCGCACCGACGACGCATCCGGATGGTCGATGGGCATCGGGAAGCCTGGGATGAGCGGAATGACGATGACGGCGCGCCACGGCGTTCCTTCGCGGTGCGCGCGGATGATACGGCTGACGAGCGCCTCACCGATCTTGTTCTCGATCTTGTTGCCCTCCATGATGGTGGAGGTGACGAAGAACTGGTTCTCGATGTAGACGAAGTGGTCGCTCATCTGGATCGACTTGAGATAGGCATTCTGGATCGAGTGTTCGATCTTGTTGGCCGTGCCCAGGCTCCACGGGCCTGCGGAGCGGCAGATCTGCACTTCGCACGTACCCGTCAGGCCGTACTTCTGCAGCTCCTCGGGCGTAAAGTCGGGAGGCGGCACCAGGAAGGGCATCTGGCGCGTGTGGTTCTTGATGCGCAGCAAGAAGTTCCAGCGCTGGATGAAGTGACGGCACAGATCGCGCGCGGGCTGCCCGACCAGCTGCAGACCGACGTCGTGCCAAGGCATGCGTGGGAACTTGTCACGCGCAAACAGGTCTTCGGCAGGCTTGCTGAGCGTATGCCACTCCATGACGCGCTCGTTGGCGTAATCCTGACCAGGCCAGATGTGCGCCTCGCGACCATCCTTGGTGGGACCGAGATAGCCAGGCGCGCTCGACAGGCCCAGTTCGGTTTCCGACTCGTTGTCGCGCTTGTGGTAGAGGGCGTCGTCGACAAGCACGTGCGCAGGCGTATCGTAGCGACCAAAGCAGAGATCGAGACCGCCCATGAATGCAATCGTCTCGTCGATCACGCAAAGCTTCTCGTGATGCGCCCAGTAGAATGTGCCGGTCTTGAAATGGCTCGGCGAACGCTGGACAAAGATGTTGCGGTGGAGACCGATGAGCCGCTGCTTGGTGTAGTTCGAGTCGGTGGGCGTAAAGTTGTTCGACACCTCGTTGTAGATGATGACAAAGATCTTGACGCCCTCCTCGGCCTTCTTCTTGAGCACGTTGTCCAGCCTCCACTTGGGATGGCCGGGCCTGCGCAGGTAGAGCTCCGGGCTGAGCCACCAGTCGTGGATGAAGACACGATCCTTGGCCATCATGAGCGCCTTGCTGAGATTCCAGTAGTAGTCGCGTCCATCTGCCAGCCACTGGGCTGAGACGTTGAGACGGATGGGCGCGAAGCTCTCGAAGCGATTCGTGCCGCCAAAGATGTTTCGCGCCGCCATCTTCTGCAGGGAGACGATGAACTGCTCCATCATGCGCTCGTTCTTGGCGACGAGCTTGAGCTTTCTCTCTGCGTTGCGGATATAGAAGGTGTGACTGCTGGCATGCCTTTCGGCATCGTGGGCCTCGTCGCGCTTCTTGGGGTCGACGTCTTTGAAGTGGCCGCCGGTGAGCAGCGCGGTCTGGTCGTACGAAGCCTCCTTGGATCCAGAGGCGTTGGCGGAATCGGGCTGCTCGGAGCTCTCGACCTCGGGACCCTTCTTGTCGTCGCTGTGCGTGAGGCCATGGGCGATGTGCATGGTCTGCTTATATAATCGCTTGGGCCGTTCGACCTTGAACTCGTTGTCCATGAGGAAGACATCGTAGAGCTGCAGGCTGTCGGGCTCATTGACGATGGCGATGAAGCTCTCGCGGACGATGAACCACTTGGGCTCGTATGCCTTTGCCCAGCGAGCTGGAGTCAGGACACTCTTCTGGTCTTTCTTGCGCGACGAGCGAGAGAGGATGCGAAGGTAGCCTTGCTTTCCCTGGTGGCCGCCACGGCTGGCGAGCGAGACGGAGAGCGCCGAGATCTCGAAGAACTTGCAGAGGCGATTGGCCTCGGGACGGAACATGGTGCGGCGGATGAGCTCGATGATGTAGTTCTCCAGCGCATCTCTCTGGGCTCGGGCGAAGTCGGCGCGCGAAGTCTTGCCCTGTCGCTGGAGTTGGTTGAAGTAGGGCAGACTCATCTTGGGGAAGCTGGGCAGGCCGACGTCGCCCTCTGTGGAGTTGCCGATGGATCTGCCGAGGTAGCCACGCAGGGCTGCGGCTCGATAGTGGGCATGCAAGTTGATAAAGTCGCGAAGTTCGCGGTAGATGACCCACTTTACGAGGCCATCGCCGTACTCGAGCTCGATGCGGAAGACAGCGTGCGTATTGTGCATGGGGTTGACGCTGTCGGTCACGCGGAGACGGAGATGGTTGAGCAGGACGGGGATTCGTCGACGCTTTGCCTCGTCGCGTTCCACGGCCATCTTGAGCAGGAAGACTGGCAAGATACCGGTCTGAAGCTCCTTGGCCAGGTCGAGGTTGACGGCACCCGTCTTTGTCTGCTCGCGTTTGGCCTTTTGGGACTCGCGCACCTTCTTCTTGAGCTGAGCCCATCGCGTCTGTGCCTGTTGGGGACCGCCGCTGCCGGAAGCGTCGGGCGAGGCGGGCTCGTCCTTGTCCTTGTTGGGACCGAGCATGATCTTGGTGATGGCGCGCAGCTTCTGAGCGTCGGGCGAAAGCTCTGGAGTGGGCACGTCGTCGTCGTTTCTTTGTGGGCCGTTGTCGTCGGTGGCTGTTTCGGCGGAGGGTGTTGGGGGCTCAAATGCATTGCGCATTCGATTCGAGTTCTCAGCCCATCGACTGGAGGAGCGGGAGGCTTTGTTGGCTTCGGTCATGTCGTGCTGCTTGCCCTTTGCGTCGGAATTGTTGCGAGCCGCGGCGTCGACGTCGCCATCCTTGTTGGCGTTGCTGCGCAAAGTGGAGCTGCGCTGCGCACCGCTGGGGCCAAAGATGTTGAGTGCTGGGCGTGCGGGAGAATGAGTGTCGAACATGCCGCTGAAGAGACCCGTGCCTCGTTCCTTGTCGGAATCGTCTTGCTTGTCGGAGTCCTTGTGATCGTCGCTGTTCTTTGGCTTTGGGGTGGAAGGAGCGGAGGCGTCCGAGTTGGGGTTGAAGCTGGAGAAGCGTCGTTTCCACGTGCCTTCCTTCTGGGACTCCTTCATCTTTGCGATTTTGGCGCGTTGTGCGTCGTCGGGACGGGATGCCCAAGAGGGACCGCGGTTGGCGGCGTGCGGTTGATGCGCGTCTGCACTCGGACCGTGCTTGTCGGGGTGCTGGTTGCGCTCGGAATGAATGGGCTGGCCGAGCTCTGCAGCGGCCGTCTCTGGCTTTGTCTGCTTTTCAGTGTCCTTGTAGGAGCCGTCCATCTCGTTTTCGAGTTGCTTATCGTAGACGGTGCCCTGTCGCTGTGCGATCATGCCCTCGTCGCCGAGCGCGCGCTCGATGATGCCTTGGCCCATGTCATCGTGAGGAGGGGCCTCTGATGCGTGTTTGAATGTCTGACGCTTGTGCTGGCCATGTTGTTCTGTGCTGGGGTTGTCAATCTTTGGCTCGGCGCGGTCTGCACCGCTTGCAGCCTGGGCGGGTTTGTTGACTGCGTCTGGATGGTTGATGCGGGCGGCAGGGTCGTTGGGATGGTTTCCAGGCGCGGCGCGGTATGGATCTTGGGCCGGACTCGCTGTGCCTGAGGCATCGTTGTGATCTTCTTTTCCGTTCGGAGTTCGGGCGTTGGGTTTCTGCTGTTTGTCTGCGTCTGACTGCTGCTCGCTGTCCTGGTCTTCAGGCTGCTCGCCGATAGCCGAGAAGCCAGTGAGTTGGGCAGCAGTGTCCCATGCCTGATGGGCCAAGTCGGCAAAGGAAGTGCCGGACGACATGGCTAGGCTCGATGAGGGTTGTTGGGCTCCTCTGCACAGCAATCGAGGGTGTCTTGCACGATGCGAGCGTCGGTGTGCAAGGTGGTGTGATGAGGAGGAGCCTGGCGAAGGGGTTGACGAGCGGAAGAGGGCTGCGATAGAAACGACGTTGAATGGAGGACGAGAAAGAGGAGGGATGTCTTACATAGCTGTAGCTGTCGGCGCGAATGCGAGGTGTATGCCTGTGCGGCATGTGCTGCTGGTGTCTCGAGGGGCGGGTGAGTGGGGGTTGGCTCGCTTGCAGCTTTAGGCGGTGGGCTGCTGTACCTGAACGTGCTGCTGCTGGGCGACCAACTTTTGGCCCCGCTTCGACTGTGGAGCGGAACTTCTCTCTCTTCGCGCTCTCTCTCTATCCGCGCTGACGCGCTGCTGTCATGCGTGCGGAATGACGAAAGCGTTGTCCAAAAAGTCCGTCGCTTTATTTTTCCACTTTTTCTAGGGCCGGCGCAGCACCCCACAGGCGGCCGCTGCCTACTGGCATTGATATTCTCCCGGTCACCCCGGCCATCATGAAGCCAACTCGGCTCCAGCTTGTCCCGCCGGCGTCACGATCTCTCAGATAGCCGACCGACGAGGGCAATGAAGGCGGCTCAGTCCGCAACACAAAGACAGACAGCAGAATCGAATGAATTGCGAAATGGTATACAGTTGCGGCGAGAATACAACACGAAACAAGAGAGGCCAACAAGTAACAAAAAGCGCGCCTCACTTGGCGGCCACGCTGCTGGACTTGGGCTTGGAGCCCTTCTTGATGAGGTCGAGGAAGTTGGACTTGCTCAGGTCGGCCAGACGCGCATCCTTGCTTGCCAGACCCGCCTTCTTGCCGGGCGCTGACGATGCTACCGAAGAAGCCTTGGCGGCGCCCTTGGCTGCACTCTGCTTTGCCTCGACCTCCTCTAGATCGTCCTCGGTGGTGGTCTGTGCTGCGCGAATGGCGTTGAACAGCTTGACCACACCGCGCTGAGCCACCTTTCGCAGCTTGCGCTCGTAGACCGTGCTGCCGCCCTGCGTGACGAACTCTTGCAGCCGTTCAGCCTCGTCACCTGTGGCGGGCGCGGTCTCGATGATGTTGCCGTCCTCGTCCTCCATGGGTGGCAGCACGCCTGGCGCGCCCCAGCCACCGATGACGTCCTTGACGTGGCAGCGCTCTTCGCGGCGACGCTTCTGCTCGAGCGCGATGCGTGCCGCACGTGCACTGAGCGATGTCGACTGGGCCGATCGACGCAGATGCGGCGCCAGCGACAGAATCGCAGGAACCTGAGCCTCGGCCTTGGTGGAAGTCTGCTTCGCCTTCTTACGGCTTGCCTTCTCCGCTGCATTCTCGTCCTCGTCCGATTCTTCGAGCGTGTCGAGCGTGGCTGCTGATGTCGAGGGCGCGATGCCGAGCAGACCCTCGAGCGCATTACCGAACGAAGTGGGCGAGGTGGCCCTGCGCTTGCGCTTGGCAGTCTTCTTGCTCTTGGCGCCAGCTCCTTTAGCTGCCTCAATCTCGTCCTCGGTGTCGGGTTCGTCGTCGTCCACCTCGTCCTCGTCGCCTTCGAGCGAGATCTGGTCGTCTTGCACCGCCTCGTCCGAATCGCTCGCATCTTGAGCTGCAGCAGCCGGCTTCTTGCTGCCTCGGTTCGATGCGGATCCGCGTGGGCCTGAGCGGCGAGCCGGACCTGCAGATGACGAGCCGGCCTTGGTCGCCCTCATGGTCATCTTGGACCCGCCCTGTGCAAACTTGGCGGCGGCCATCTTTGCGTGTCTTTCCTTGCCCGTGCTTTGAATGGAAGGGGTTGCTGATGTGTCGTGCGCGTGTGATCTGCGTGCCTTGTTGTCGACACTGGGTAGAATAGGTAGAAGAGTGTTCGCCGAGAGCACGAAAGAAGGTCGAGGGAGTGATGGAGGCAATCTTCTGCCATCTGAAGCTCGCCCCGCTGAAGAAGAAAATCCTCGAGGGTCCGTCCAGCTGAATTTTTGGGAAGCGGCCCAAACCCGACTTCCGTGAACAAGAAACACGCGTTGCAAATCGGGGAGGAGGTCAGATTCGATTCGAGCAGGGAAAGGCGGAAATTCGCCAGTTTGAGGTCGTGATCGGAACACGTTGGAGAGTGTTGGCAGAAAGGAGCGAATCGGAGGCTGGGACGGAAGCGCGGTGAAGCCGTGACGGAGAGCTCGGCTCATTCCGTCCGAGTTGAACTGGGCGTCAAAACTGGCGTCCGTGTCGGCCGCCGTGTCTCCCGCCGCTGCTGCCTTTGCACTGGGCAAAAAGAGTCGGTGCCCGTCCGTGCCTCGCTCTGGTCAAAATGGCCGGCCGGCCGTGTGTCTCGTGTCTGCCATCGGGCAGAGCGTCGAGTTGAGCTTCTCGACACAAACGCAGATAGCATCGCGCTTGCTTTCCTTCCCTCCCACCTCCCCCTCCCCACGTCCCTCTCCGCATTCCCCTCACGATGATGTTCAACGCCCTCCGCACACGCGCCTCGATGGCCAGGACCATGGTCCGCGGTGGCCAGGCCGCCGCCCAGAAGCGCTACCTCTCGATCCACGAGCACCTCTCCATGGACATCCTCAACAAGTACGGCATCGCCACGCCCAAGTACATCGCCGCCAAGACGCCCGACGAGGCCTTCAAGGCTGCCCAGTCGTTCGGCGGCAAGGAGGTCGTCATCAAGGCGCAGGTCCTCGCCGGTGGCCGTGGCAAGGGTCACTTTGACTCGGGTCTCCAGGGTGGTGTCCACCTCATCAAGACGCCCGAGGAGGCTCGCGACCTCGCCGCCAAGATGCTCGGCAACAAGCTCATCACCAAGCAGACCGGTGCTGCTGGCCGTCTGTGCAACGCCGTCATGATCGCCGAGGCGCGCCCGCCACACCACGAGTACTACGTGGCCGTGCTCAACGACCGCTCCACGCAGCTGCCCGTCATGATCGCCTCCAACCAGGGCGGCATGTCGATCGAGGACGTCGCCGCCGAGAACCCGGACGCCATCATCACCACGCCCATCGACTTTGAGAAGGGCCTCAGCAAGGAGGACGCGCTGGCCATCGCCAAGAAGCTCGGCTTCACCGGCGTCAAGCAGGAGGAGCAGGCCGCCGAGACGTTCCAGAAGCTCTACCAGCTCTTTGACGAGAAGGACGCCACGCAGGTCGAGATCAACCCGCTCGCCGAGTCCAAGGACGGCGAGGTGCTCTGCATGGACGCCAAGCTCGGCTTTGACGAGAACGCCGACTTCCGTCAGGCCGATGTGTTTAAGCTGCGCGACACCACCCAGGAGGACCCGGACGAGGTCGAGGCGGCCAAGTACGGCCTCAACTTCATCAAGCTCGACGGCAACATTGGCTGCCTCGTCAACGGTGCCGGTCTTGCCATGGCTACGATGGATGTGCTCAAGCTCAACGGCGGCAACCCGGCCAACTTCCTCGACGTCGGAGGCACTGCCTCGGCGGCTTCGGTGAAGAAGGCGTTCGAACTGCTGCTCAACTCGAACCAGGTGCAGGGCATCTTTGTCAACATCTTTGGCGGCATTGTATCGTGCAAGAAGATCGCAGAGGGCATCATCCAGGCCACCCAGGAACTCGACATGTCCATCCCGCTCGTCGTGCGTCTGCAGGGCACCCACGAGAAGGAGGCAAAAGAACTCATCAAGAACTCCAACCTCAAGATCTTTGCCTTTGACGGCCTCGACGAGGCCGCCGCCAAGGCCGTCGAGAGCGCCAAGAAGGGCACCCTCTAGATTTTCCCACTCGCCCTTCTGCCTTCGAATCTGCCATCGATCTTTCCGTGACATTCACGTTCGGCGTGGTCTTTCCCCTGAGTGCAGGCGCGGATGCAATGATGAATTCCAGCAAACGACAAGAGTTGAGCAGGGTATCGTTGAGCATGTACGACCGAAACAAACATGATCCGTTGCTACAATGGTTCTAGACGAGGTAGAACTCGGCCGACGTAGCTTGGAAGGGCGAGATCTTGCCGGTGAAGGGAGCCTTTCGATCGCCATAGTACACGATCCTATACAGCCCCTGTTGGGTCCACGCCTCCACCGCCCAGCTGATCTGGATCTTAGACGATCCGTGCAGCTCGTTAGTGCGTGTCCAACGCATCGTGGTCGAGTGGTGTCCATCCGTACGCTCAGTGACCCACTCACCACGGTCACTGTAGCGCTGCACCTCAAAGTACGTCCCTTCGAGACGCAGGTTGTTGCGCGGATTGCTCGCAACAAACGTCACGCTGATGTTCGACGGTGCAGCCCGCACGTCCACCGGCGAGTCGTTGAACAGCGTAGCGTTGGCACGGTTCGGGATCGGATACGACAGCAGTGGCTGTTCGAGCACGTCTCCAAACGCGTGTCCGATCGGCGGGTTGTCGTACACCACGCCCGTCTTGAACTTCCACGCCTTCTGGATGTCAAACGCGCGCTGAGGGCCCACGGGCAGGTCGCGCGCCCCTTCGCGCAGCGCAGGCACCAGACGACGCGAAAACACATCCATATATGCCTCGAGCGTATGCGGCCCAAACAGCGTACTCGCCCCTTCGTACCGCTGCACGCTGTACTCCTCCTCCGTCGTGACGTAGTGCCCGTACGTCGAGGCAGGACCGCTCACCTGCACGATCGGCTCCATCCCCTCCGGCAGCAACCCCGCGCGCACGATCGCGTCCGACACGGCGCGCTTCAACCTCCTGCCGGCCATGGTCGTAAACTCTCCCGGAACGATGAGGATGAACAGCTGCCCAACACGCAGCATCTGCACTTCCACCACCGACGGTCCCCAGTCGTACGGCTTGTGGATCTCGCCAATGTCGAGCAGAACCGCCTTGGGAGCCTGACACTCGATCTGCTCCGGGCCTGGGTTCTTGATGAATCCCTTGACCACGTCCCAGAACGGGTTGTGATGGTCGGTCTTGTTGCTGCCCTGCACAAAGTCAAATGCACCGGGTCCATCGGTCGTGCCGCCCGCAAAGCCGTACCCAAGCGCCGCAGGACACGTCTTGACGCGCGTACCATCCGGCCTGTAGACCGTATACTGGCTCATATCGACGTTCATCTTGACGCTCTTGACGGGCCCAGTGAGCATCGTCGTGCGCTCATACTCGTCTTCCACATGTCCTGTGGCCTCGGGATCGCGCTCCATGATGCTGCGGGCCGCATCGACCTGCTTGCGCGCAATCATCTCGTTGGACGCAAAATCGTAGCTGCCCGTCGGGCTGACCTCGATATACTCGTCGTGACCCCAGGCGGGCCCGCGACCATGACAGGTCTGCACGCGATCCTGGCCCTTGCTGTTGCTGCAGGTCGAGTGTTTGTGTTCGCACTTCGAGCCATCGTCACACCACGCACCCTTGGTGTTGGGCGACGTATCGCCCACCAGAGCCTGTGAGAAGCCGGCGACAAAGCTGTTCTGCCCCGGCAGCTGGTCGGGCTGCTGAGCACTCTCGTACAGCAGCGCCGCGAGCCCCTTGTTGTCGCCCGAGGTGAGCGTGTTGTTCTCGTACAGCGATGTGCCGTGCACGGCGTACCAAGATAGAAAGCCAGCTGCCGAAGCAGGCTGCTCGTCATTCGGGGAAAGATCCTCAAACTTGAGCAGGCTAAAGTCGTGATCCTGGTCTTCGTCGTTGTACAGGTCTCGCTCGTGCTGCGGATTCTGCTCGTACGCATAGCGGCTGCGCTGGATGTGCGCATCCTCAAGCCTCGTCTTGCCATAGCTGAGGCGGGCACCTGCTCCTTGGGCGATGCGGTCGCTTCGTGCCTGATAATCGTCGTGCGCACGAAGAGCGGCACGGACGGTTCCTTCGACGATGGCGTCGAAGTTCTGCAGGATGACGCCCTTGGAGGTGAGCGTGGGCAGCAGTGCCTGCATGAACCCGCCAGGTCCGGCGTGCGAGTGGGTGCCAACAAAGGCTACGTTGCGCTCTCCGTACAAGCCTGGATGCTCTTGGCGGAGGCGGTCGACTACGGCTTTGCGCAGCGCGCTGTCGCCCATGCAGATGTCCGAGTTAATGAAGATCCATCGATCGGCTGCGCCATCGGCGGTCGGAATGAAGCTCTTGAATCGCGACGCGAGTCGTGCGTGGAAGCTCGGCGATTCGGCCTGAGCCGAGCCGACAATGAAGGCGCGGGAGCGAAGGCGGATGTGGAGTCCGGTGTTGGTCTGCGGAAGGGAAGCGTATCCCATCATGTTGACTTCGACCACAGGGCCGGTCACATCGCCGATACCGACGCCGAAGTTGACGCTCTGGTCAGTAGCAGCTGAGGATGCAACGTGCGGAGTGATGGGTCTGTCCGTCCAGACTGCCTGGAAGGAAGGGCTGCGGTAGGCACAGCATGCGGCCACAGCAGCAGAGCCCAGGAGAAGGACGGAGACGACCGCCTTGAGCAGCAAGAAACGGCGGTTCCTGCGGGTTGCAGAGTTGACACCGGTGCCCTCGATGGACACAGGGACGGGCAGTTGCTGCTCCTTGAAAGCGGCCTTTGCATCGCCCTCGGACACGCAGGTCTCCTCGCTGTCCCGGCTTGGGACGAGCTGGTAGCCGGCGGCGGCCATGCTGGAACCAGGCCAAAACTGACGGCTCAGCTAAAGTATGCGCGAAGGTTCGAAGATGCGTTCCCGGGCTGTTGGCTCGATCTGGTATTGGTCCTTGAGTGGGTGAGGGGAGAGATGAGGTGACAGGTGGATGGGAAGCCAGAGATTCGGTGGCGAATGATCTTGCGAAAGAGCGGCCTAGATATAGTGGAAGACTTGGGCGGTCTGGTGTAGATGGCGTGAGCGAAGATGGCAGTTATAGTTCGGCTTGCGCTTGGAATGTCTCCGCTTGAAGCTGGCCTGGGATCGAATCTAGCCGTTCTAGATGGAAGCTCAAGCCGGAGAGGGGGCGAGTGGCGACGCTATCAGGCAAAGGGACGGCGGTCCGAATCGTGCATTTCCAGCCGCGCCGCAGCGATACGCGGTGGCTCAGCCCAACTGCGCCGAATAGAGGCCAAAAAGCAGTCGCATCTCGAATACGCGGAGAGGGGCTGCAGCAGGACCCTGAATTTCGGCTGATTTGCTTCGACCTCGACCCCGGCCATCAAGCTCACATCCTGATTGGCCGTGTATGAATGCCCCGCATTCATATCTCCTTTGGCGTGGCTCTCAGGGGTGCATGCCGCTCCGCAATGCTTGAGCTGATGTCCAGCTCGCGGAGGCACGTGCATATCGGCACAGAGAATGGCTCGGATGCGACACATCAATGAAGGCGTGGAGCGGGGAGCAACCCCCTATCTTGACCAGACCCTGCATGCTGCAACCCCCTCAGAAGCGTCTACCCCGCAGCCGCTCACGTTCACAGCCGACTCGTGGAATCACCTGTCAGTGGTAATGTGGCAGGATCAACGTGAACAGTCATCGAAACCGGAAGCGAGCCCCTTAAAAATACAAGCCGAGACAAGAACTAAGTAAAAAGAGAGAGAGAGAGAGAGAGAGAGAGAGAGAGAGAGAGAGAGAGAGAGAGAGAGAGAGAGAGCAGATCAAGCAGTCGAGGTGGTGGCGCCGATGCTGTCAATGTCCACCTGCGGATGCACCATGAGTACGGGATCGGCGGCCGAGCCCTGCACGCCGCTGACGGTGACGTCGGTGCCGGTGATGGGATTGCCCTCGTCGTCGATCGAATCGCGGATCTCGAGCAGGTACGAGTCCTTGACGAGTCGGGTGAGCACCTTTTTGATCAGCTCGGTCTCCTCCTCGAACTGCTCGACCGTTTCCATCTCGTTTTCGCGCTGCAGCAGGTACCAGTCGACCAGCTCGGACTTGAGCACGCCGCGCATCGTCTGACGCTCCACCTCGTTGATCCGCAGCACCACCAGGCTGGTGATCTCCATGTACCGGTCGAACGTGATACGGATCTTGCGTGTCGACGCTCCCGAGGACGCGGCCATCTCGCCTGTCGCGCCGCCCGTCGCAGCCGCCGAAGAGGCCTGGCGCATCGACTCGCCGTTGGGGTCCATCGAGTCCTCGTCCATCGCTCCGAGCGACGACGATGGCTGTGTGGTTGCCGCCCTCTTGAGTGGCGAGTTTTGCTGCTGCTGCTGTTGCTCCTCCTCGTCGTCAAAGTCGATGTCGTCCTTTTCGACGTGGATGATGGACTGGCGCAGCAGTGAGTACGCCTCGCGCACGAAGGCCGGTGTGATTTCGTGGCGGCAGTTGGCACGCGCGATGGCCTCGCATAGACGGATCATGCTCTCCAGCTGACGCACGGTGATGCGATAGGAGTTCTTGCCGGGTCCCGAATCGTCCTGACGCAGCTGACGATACTTGTCCACCAGCACATCGCTCGCCTCGGGCGTCAGCTTGGGCTGGAAAGTGCGTGCGTAGCGAATGTAGCGCTGGATCGCCTCGGTGCTGAACTCCGGGTCGATGGCCGCATCGCGGAATCGGTGAACATTGACAATGTGCTGTGCAATGTTCATGTCCACCGCCTCGTTGCACTCGTCGAGCACCACAAAGAACAGGTCGAAACGCGACATGATGGGCGCCGACATGGCCACATTGGCTCGCAGCGTCTGCTTGCGGTTGTACCTTCCGCCCACCGGGTTGGCGGCGGCCAGGATGGACGTGCGCGCGTTCAGCGTCGCCTGGATACCCGCCTTGGCGATACTGATGGTCTGCTGCTCCATGGTCTCGTGGATGGCCACCTGATCCGCCACGTCCATCTTGTCGAATTCGTCGATGGCGCAGATGCCGTTGTCGGCGAGCATGAGCGCACCTGCCTCGATCGTGAACTCTCCCGTCTCCTCGTCCTTGACCACGGCGGCGGTGAGACCGGCGGCGGACGAAGCCTTGCCCGACGTGTAGACGGCGCGCGGCATAAAGCCACAGACGTACTTGAGGAACTGCGACTTGCTCGTCGAGGGGTCGCCGACGATGCAGATGTTGATGTCGCCACGCAGGCGCATGCCTTCGCGCGTCTGCTTGTGCACGCCGCCCATGAGCTGCAGCAGGATGCCCTTCTTGACAATGTCGTGACCGTACACGGTCGGCGCGATCGACTGCACAAGACGGCTGTAGATGTCTTCGGACATGACCATGGCCTCGAGCTCGTCTCGCTCGGCCTCGGTGAGCGAGTCCATGAGAGTTTCGGGATCCTCGTTGTCCTCGGTAAAGTCGGCGCGGATGTCGTTGCCTCCGCGCGCGTCGGCGCTCTGCACCATGCATGCGAGGAAGGCGGTCTTGTAGGTCAAGTCGCGCACACCGAGGCTCTTGAGGCCCGAGACACCCTGCGCGTTGACGCCCTCAGCGGGTCGGCCGCCCTGGGCCTCCCTCTGGATCTGCGCATTGACGCCCGGAACGCCGAGCTGCGACACATCGGGCACGACGATGAACGTTCCAGTAAAGATGCACTTGTCACCGGCCTTTGCGCGCTCGACGACCTCGGAGCGGAGGATGACGTCGAGGCTGCGGGGCATGCTGCCCGTGGGGATCTCGTTTGCGTTTTCCTGGATTCGCACCTTCTGCCAGTCGCAGAATCGGCTCTGGTCGACGTTGAGCTGCCACTCGCGCCGGTTCTGGCATACAGGGTTCCTGCACATGACGGGCTCGGTGTACTTGAACTGCTGCTCGACGTCGCGCACGGTGGTCTGGCACGTGTTGCACGTGAAGGCGCCGTAGAGCAGCTCGGGCCTGACCTCGCTCGTGCGCGTCACGGTGCCGCTGATCGAGACGAGCTTGCCGACGCGGTCGGTGCGCAGGTCGCGGATGCCCGAGACGAGGCCGAGGTTGTAGAAGGAGACGGAGAAGTCGCGCGGGATGAGGCCGGTGGCGGCGGTTGCGGCGACGTGGGCGTTGAGGTAGAGGTAGTTGGGCACGTAGGTGTTGACGAGGTCGAGGAGGGCGCGACGGAGGTAGGGGACGAAGCGGTAGTACTGGTCGCTGACGGCGCGGGCGAGCACCTCGTCGTGGCGCAGGATGTGGCTAAAGTCGACAAAGAGCGTGGTGCGGTTGTAGTCGCGCAGCGCATAAATCTGGTCGATGTAGAGCGGGTCCTGCACCTTTTCACCGTTGGGGTCGGGCGATCCGGAGAGCGGCTGGTCGACGAAGCTCTCGAGGAATTGCGCAAAACCCTCGCGCACTCGCTCACCCACCTCGTCGACGACGGGCGGAATGTCTTGTGTGTCGACCGCCGCACGGGGACGAGGTCGACGAGGTGTGGAGTCCTCGTCCATGGGTCGCGAAAGCTCTCCGTTGACGGTGCTGGCGTCATCTTCGTATTGTCCGCGCAGCTGGCGCTCGAGGTTGAGCGAGCCTGCTTCCGATGTGCCTGGCGTGAATGCACGCTGGGCGTTGCTGCCGGCTCCTGTGGTGTTGGTCCTGCCGAAAGCGAGCGGGTCGAGACGGTTCTGGTCTGTGCTTCGTGTCGCACCGCCGACCCTGCCCAAGGGAGACGACGGCATTGCAGACGACGACGACATGCTTGCGGTTGAGGAAGTGAGGATGAAAGCCGTGTGTCAGATGTGCGCTCCACTCGTCGCTGCCTTTTCTATCCAGTCGATGGTGCGTGGGTGTGAGAAGAAGGTGGGGAGGCGAGTAGATGGAGCAAGATCAAGATGGGCGCAGAAGGATGAGGTGCAGAGACAAGTGTTGGTGCCGCCCTGGCTGAGCGAGATCTGTGTTGATGCGGTCGCCGTGCTCTCAGCCTCTTCTCGACTTTGCATTCCAACCTGGGCGAAAGAGCGCTCGTTCACTGGCGCGCGTGCGCTGGCGCGCGTGCGCTGGCCGTGTGTTTCTTTGCGCGCGACGCAGATGTTGACCTGACTGCCTTTGTGTGCGTGTGCGTTGTCTGCCGCCCTTTTTTCGGCTTGCGAGCGCAAAGCTGCTCGACGTGTAAATGGATTTGGACGCGTCGGACGCGTGTCGCGTAAAGTGGCCCTGATGCCAAAGCCAGCAGCCACGCGTCTCGGCCGCGCGTGTCGCAGCCCCGCCCACTCCCTACGCTTGCAGCAAAGAGAGCTTTCCCAGCCCGCGCAGCTCCGGATCGCACACAGAGCTAGACATGGATCGGCAATGCCGCCGTTAGATCGGCGCTTGGCAACGTGCATTTGCAGCAAGTGCATTGCTTAGGGTTCCTGTTACCAACGCCACAGCCTCGGAGAGCGAACTATATTGTCCAGGACTTTCCTGCCTCGTGTTACACCCGAACGGTCGTAGCCATCCACGTCTTCTGACTCCGATGCCGACATTGCGATTGCGACAGAAGTATGCTTTGATTAAGTCTACAAGTACATATGAGCTGGCTCCTCCTTGCGGAGGGGGCCTATTGGTACAAAGATAGCCGCGGGGGCACATGGCCGCGTGGCATCTGCGCTGTCCGGTCCGAGCTTGTCTTGCGCAGAGCACTAGGGCTTTCCACGGAGCTCTCGCAGCTTGTCCTGCAACTCTCGGAGCTCGCGCGTCACTTTATCGTTCTGCGCCGTCTTTTGCTCTGCCTGCGCCCTTGCCCGGTCTCTCTGCGCGATCCTTTGCGATTGCTGGTAGGACGTCCTGGCGCGCTGCCTCTGTGCCTCCTCGAAGCTCATCTTTGTCCCGCTTGCTCCCTCCGCTCCAGCTTGCTTGCCATCCTTGGCGCCCACAGTTGGGAACGGCGACGGCTCGTTGTGCGGCTCGCCGTGATCCTGGTCCCATTCGCTCTCGCGCATGCCAATTGGCGGTTGGTACGTGGGAACCTGTCGGCCTTGCATCCTGTGTGGCACGTGGTCGATCTCGTGAATCATGCGATCGACGATGCGGAAAAACAGTGGAGACTGGGCGAGCTTCCGCGTGAGCGCCTGCGTGAGGATCGTCGCCACTACGCGCACCAGGTATGGCGGGAGCTGCGCCATCGTGACTAGCGTTGCATCCAGTCGGTGGTATGATCGAAGTCGGCGCTTCCTTGATTTGGCGGTCCCGAATGCGATGGATCAAAGGCAAGGCGACAAAGGGAAGGCGAGTTCCAAGAAAGCTGGAAGAACGTAAGCGGTGTGGCTGAGTTATTGGCAACTGCTCCACATCCAGCGCATTTTTTTGAGCCGGCCGAGAATTTTGGGGTTGGAATCCAAAGTCGCCGTGCTTTTGCCGCGGAGCTGTTGTTCTCGGGCCCACCTTCCATCCACCACCACCAAAGGGCATCAACATGGCCAGCTTCGCCGACGAGCTTCTGGCCGACTTTGGCTCGGACGACGAGCAGGAGATACTCGCCCAGCCCAGTGATGATGCGCAGGCGTCGACGCACCAAAATGGCACCAAGCGCATACATCCCGAAGAAGACGATGAAGGAAAGGGGGCGGAGGACAGCAGCAGTAAACGCATGCATCTCGACGATGCTGATCTGGACGACCTCGAGGATGGCAGCGACGACGAAGCCGATCCGATGGGCAAAGGCGAGGGCTCGAGCTCGAACGGCTCGGCAGCCACAGGAGGCGTCACACTTGGACGCAATGCAGTTCAGCCTGCTGCCGAGCGCGACCAGGCCGAGGTGGACGAGCTCGACCTGTCCAAAACCACGAACGTTCGCAGCGTCGCCTCGCTTCTGCGCAGTGGCAGCAAGGTCTATGGCGTGCTCAAGCAGATCGACCACTTCATGTCGCTGCCCGAGCCCGACCTTGCCGGCGTACTGGAAGACTCGCCCGAATACCACCTCATTGTCACCGCGAACAACATCGCCGTCGACGTCGACAACGAGGTGATGGTGGTGCACAAATTCATCCGCGACCACTACTCGCCTCGCTTCCCGGAGCTCGAGACGCTCATCCCGGGCCCCACCGAGTACATTCAGGCGGTGCAGGCGATCGGCAACGACGACGAGATCAGCAGCGCCAAGCTCGAGGGCGTGCTCCCGCACGGTACGGTGGTAGTCATCAGCATGACTGCGTCCACGACATCGGGGCGTCCTCTGCCTTCAGAGGAGTGGAGAGCGGTGCAAGAGGCGCTCGAGATGGTGTTGGAGCTCGAATCGGTGCGCAGCCGCATCCTGGCGTACGTCGAGTCGCGCATGTCGTTTGTTGCGCCCAACCTGTCTGCGGTCGTCGGCACGCGCACGGCGACCAAGCTGCTCGGCGCAGCCGGTGGACTCGAGGGGCTCAGCAAGATCCCGGCGTGCAATCTGCACCTGCTCGGTGCGGCCAAGAAGAACTCGATCGGTCTATCGACCGCGCACGGCGGCTCTTTGCGCTCGTCCGGCTTCATCACGCAGAGCGAGCTGGTAGCCACCACACCGGACGACTACAAGCGCCAAGCCGTGCGCATGGTGTCTGCAAAGGCGCTGCTCGCGGCGCGCATGGACGCGGGCAAGACCACGGCGCGCGACGGATCGTACGGCCACAAGCTGCACGCCGAGCTCGCGCGCAAGATCGAAAAGCTGCTCGAACCGCCTCCGCAGAAGCTCGAAAAGGTGCTACCCGTGCCCAAGGAGGGTGGGGGCAAGAAGCGGCGTGGTGGAGCCAAGGCGCGCCGGGCCAAGGAGAGGAACGGCATGACGGAGCTGCGCAAGATGCAGAACCGCATGGAGTTCGGCAAGCAGGAGGAGGAGGCGTTTGGATACGACGAGTCCGTGGGGCTGGGCATGATCAACTCGTCGGCGTCGGGTAAGGTGCGCGCACAGACCGCAGAGGACCGGTCCAAGGCACGCATGAGCAAGGCGAACAAGAACCGCATCGCTGCGCTGAGGGGCGCGGCCGGTGGAACCCAGTCCGTGCTCGGCAGGGGTGGGGCGGATGGAACGGCGTCATCGCTGGCTTTCACGCCCGTGCAGGGAATCGAACTCGTCGATCCGAGTAGGAGAAAGGCTCAGGAGAACGAAAAGTGGTTCAAGCAAGGCCAATTCTCGCTGCTTCCCGGCGCAAAGTCGTCGCTGCCAGGCTCAATGCCACCCCCACCCAAACCATCAAAGTAATCGCCCGCATATGTCACACCCTGCATTTGTATTTGTACCGTTCGCAATCGCATCGTGCACCAGCCATTGCAAGTCCTGATTCATTTGGAGACGAAGCGACATTCGAGACGTGCTGGGAAGCTAGAGCTTGCTCTTTGGCTGTTCGCTCGCGAGACGGATGACCACCTTGCCACCGGACCTCTTATCTGCCTGAGCGAGCAGCTCAAATCCCCTATCCGCCTGTTCCAACCCGTCCAGCACGGTATCCACAACGGGCACGATTCTATGCTGCTCGACAAAGCGGATGCTCTGTTCGAACTCCTTGGCGCTGCCCATGGTGCTTCCGAGCACCTCGATGTTCTTGAGCACCTCCTTCATCGTATACGTCAACTTGGGTGCCGCCGTCATGCCAAAGATCACCACGCGGCCGCCCGCTTTCAGCCCAGCCTTCTGCGCCTGTGCGGCGATCTCCCCGCCGGCACTGTCGATAACGCAGTCCAGATACGGCCGCGCGCGAGGCAGAAGCTTACGGATCTTGCCCGGCCAGTTCGTGTCCTTGTACTCCGTACCGGCCTTGGCACCGAGCTTCACTGCACGCGCGATCTTGTCCGCCGAGCCTCCCGTGACGTACACGTTGGCACCAGCTGCAACGGCCATTTGGAGCGCCAGCATCGCTACGCCACCACCTACGCCCGTCAGAAGCACGTTCTGCCCCTTGCTCACCTGCGCCTTGGTGAACAGCGCCCTACCAGACACCCAACCCAAGACAAAGGTTCAAAAAGTCAGCATGTTGTACAGCATAGAAGATGGCGAAGGGTGGAACTTACCTGTAGGCAGTGACTGAGGCGCAGGGGAGTGTGGCGGCCTGTTCGGCGGTAAGGTGCTTGGGCGCCGCAACGATCTGGTCCTTCTCGACGGCGACGTACTCCGCGAAAGTGCCGACGCCGTTAGTCGGCGCCGTAGCACCCAAGATACCGAAGCCCTTGCCGCCAAGTCCGTTGGACCTTTGTTCGTCGCTGAGACCGGGCAGTTCGGCTTCCGGTCCGTCCTTGTCCGAATCCCAACCACGGGTGGGAGTCAGCAATACCAGGCCGTCTGGGTGCTGGTTGGGCACGCTGAATCCCTGCGGTGCAACGACGGTGCCTGCGCCATCGCAGCCCATGGTGGCATTGGTGTACACGAGACCCGGGTAGGCGCCCACCATGGACCACTCGTCCCTGCGGTTGAAGCCGGCGGCGTGGATCTTGACGAGCACCTGGTCGGACTTGGGCTTGGGCGTGGCGACCTCGCGCACGAGCGCCACGTTGCGCTGGCCCTTCTTGGCTTCTCCGGCGGGCCGCTCGAGCTGCAGCGCCTTCATGGTGGGCTTGACGCCCGCGGGTAGTGACATGGCGCGAGTCGAGTCAGCAGGTGTTGCAGTGGAGGTCGAGGTGGAGGAGGCGTTGGGGCTGTCGAGCGCGTCAAAGTACTGTTCGATCGCCTTGCGCACTGTATCGATCACGTCCTTGTCCTCGATGGTGGGTGGAAAGCTGGATGGTGAGCACAAGCAAAGACAAGGTTGTAGGTGTCAGCGACAGCTTTGGGTGCAGAGAGGTGGTTGGACCACGGGCCGTGCGCGCCGATCCTCCCAGCTCGAAAGCGGGGCAAACGATCGCGCGCCTCTGACGCCCAAAAAAAAGGCTTTGGAAAAGGGTATTTTTCCGCTGCGATTTTGAGTGTGCCTACGCGGCGTAATTTCGCACCGGCAGCACCGGCGACCTGACGTAGCCGGCTGCTCGTCCACTCCATCACACTTACTCGACAGGCGCATCTGCGAGTCAAACCCACAGCAAGATGTCAGCGACCGCAAACCCAGGCAACAGCATCTCTCGCTCGCATGCATGCACTTACTCCTCTTTCCGGCGGCTGCATTTTCGACTGCCTGCCTGAGACTCCTTCGGAGCGTTTTTCCCGAGCGCGTCTTGGGCAGCTTCTGCGCCTCGATGAGGCCCGACAACTGGGCGATGGGGCCCATCTCCTTGCGAACGTGGTCGTTGATGTTCTTGAGCATCTGTTTTGCCGACTTGCTCTGTGCCGAGTTGTGCGGCTGGTCGCCACTGGCCGCTGCCACTCTGGCGTGCGCCACGACGATCGCAAACGGCGACTGGCCCTTGAGTTTGTCGGGCGCGCCCACGACGGCGCACTCGATGACGTCCGGGTGCGAGGTGACGACCTGTTCGATGAGGCCCGTGCCGAGGCGGTGGGCCGAGACGTTTATGATGTCGTCCGAGCGCGCGAGGATGCTCACGTAGCCATCGGGGTCGATGACGCCCTGATCGCCCGTCTCGAACCAGCCGCCCTTGTCGGCAAAGGTAGCAAAGTAGCTCTTGTGGAAGCGCTCCGGATTTCTCCACAGGCCACCGAGGAAGCTCGGGCCCAGGGGCGTCGCTAGTACGAGATTGCCCATCTTGCCATGCGGCAGCTCGCGGCCATCGTCGTCGACGATGCGTACGTCCATGCCGGGCATTGGCAGACCCGCGCTTCCCGGTCGCGCAGGCAGGGGTCCAAACGCCGACGACAGCATGAGGCCTGTGATGGGTGAGCCGGATTCGCTCGACCAAAAGTTGTCGTTGGTCTGGGCGCCCGGTGCGGCGAGCTCCTTGAGCAGCCGCTCGAAGCGCGCGACGATCTGGGGCTCGGACCGCTCGCCCGCGAGGAAGAGCGTGCGCAGACTCCTCAGGTCCACACCGGGTGCGCGCATGAGCTGGGCATCTGCATCCTGCCCCACGATCGCACGCAGCGCCGTGGGCGCACAGAACATCTGCGTCACACGGTACTGCGAGCAGATGCGCCACCAGATACCCGCGTCCGGCAGCACCGGCTTGCCCTCGAACACAATCGACGTCGCACCGAGCAGCAGCGGTCCGTAGTGAATGTACGAGTGGCCCACGACCCAGCCCAGATCCGAGGCACAAAACATGACATCGCTGGGCGTCATGCCAAACGTATGCTCGATCGAATATCGAAGTGCAACGATGTGGCCCCCGGACAGTCTGCAGACTCCCTTTGGCGCGCCCGTGGTTCCGCTCGTGTAAATCGTGTAGATGGGATCCTCGCTCGCCACGGGCACACACTCCCAGCACGGCGATCGACCGCCCTGCTTGTCCGCCGTGAGCTTGCTTTCGGTCTCCCAGTCCCACTCTGGCAGATCTGCGGGACCGGGCTTACCCTCGGATGCACACGTCGCAGGAGTGTGGCCCTTGATGGTGTGCCTGCGTAGGAAGAGCAGGCCGGACTGCGGCTTGTGCTCGGATACCCGCAGCGCTTCGTCGACCAGCGGCTTGTAATCCACAGGCCCCTTGGGCTCCAATCCACAACTGGCAGCGATGACCATCTTGCATTTGGAGTCCTGGATGCGCTTTGCGAGCTCCTTGGGAGCGAAACCGCCAAAGACGACCGAGTGCACCGCGCCGATCCTTGCGCACGCCAACATGGCGATCGAAGTCTCGGGCACCATGGGCATGTAGATGACCACCGCATCGCCCTTTTGCACGCCCTTGTGGCGCAGAATGCCCGCTACGATCTGAACCTGCTGCAGCAGCTCGTAGTACGTGATGGAGCGTGCGTTCTGCGTCTGGAACGACAGCGGCGAGACGTGGTGGAAAGCGACGCGGTGTGCGGTTGGGGCGAGCGCCAGGTGCGGAGTGTCGGGCGAGGCGGTGACAGGGGCCGCCGAAGCGTGGGCCTGGGTGTAGACGTGTCGATCGACGCAGTTGAAGCACGTATTGAGCTGGGCGTCCGGGAACCATGTGGCGCCCTGAGGATCGAGGTAGGGCGCATTGCGGTTGGACGACACGCCGTGCGCGACGGTGGGCGGCTTGTGCCAGTGGATGGCGCGTGCCGCCCGCAGCCAGAAGTCGTCCTTGTGGTGGATCGACTGTCGGTGGATGAGGATCTGCGGATGTGTCTGTGCCATGATGTCGATGCGGCGAGTGATGGTGGTAGGGCGTCAAGTGAGCTGCGCTGCAGGTCTTTATGAGGCCGGGGAGCAGCAGTCCGGCTAAGGCTGTCAAAAAAGTGCGGGGAAAAGCCGGCTAAAATCCGCGCGGCGACGCACTGACCAGCTCCACTTTTTTGGGTTTCATTTCGTCACCTGTCCCACCCTTCCTTCGCACATGACCTTCTTCCTCTCCTTCTAGTCGCCTTGGAGCTGGGCCGCCCCGCATCTCGTGACACCGGCCCGCCACGACACTTGGTCAGAACCACTCGAAGTGGGCCTCCGCAAGGCTGCGGACACTGCCACCTCCATCATCCTTGCATCCTAACTTTTTGTCTGGTCTCGCAACGATGCCAGCCAAGATTCCGTTCTTCGAGGCGTCCGAATCGCTGCAGCAGCGATGGCGCGAGTCGACCGCATCGCTGCGTGTCACAGCACAAGTCTACGTATTTGCGCTGCTCATCGCCATCGGGCTCTTCCGCCATTACCTCGCACCTCGATCTTCACCAGACCACACGTTCGGTTCTGCTGCTGCCACGGACGCACCCGGGGCCAAGGACGAGACGATCGCCGAGGTCGCCGAGATCTTTATCTACCCGATCAAGTCGTGCGCCGGCTCGTCGGTGAGCCATGCACAGCTCACGCAGCAGGGGTTCGACCTCGATCGACGATGGATGGTCGTCCGGCTGCGGGAAGGCAAGGTCGAGAAGATGTCGCTGAAAGAAGAGCCCAGACTCACACTCATCCAGCCGAGCATCGACGAGGCGCACAACAGGCTGAGCATCAAGCTGACCAAAGAGGGGGAGAAGGTCCACAAGGGAACGAAGCTGGGAGAGACAGAGACGGTGTTAAGGCCAACGGCGGAGGAGCTGAGGAAGTGGAAGGAGGTACCCAGAGTGGAAATGTATGGCGATTTTGCCGACGGCCGTGTGGCAGCGCTGCCAGATTCAAGCGGCCGTAAGCTAAGTCCCAGCGAATGGATCAGCGAAGTATGTAACCCAACCTCCTCCCACCTTGTTCGCTTCGCAGAGTGCTGACCGATCACCGATGCGGGGGTGTTTGGAGTAGTTCTTGGGATACGCTGTCTTGTTGATCCACTTTGACACGACATCCCGAACGGCGCGGGCGGCGTTTCCGATCTTCAAGCCCCCCACCGACAGCGCGTCGTGGTCTTCTCAAGATCGGGGTGAGCTGTATCGCGAGCGCGGAATCGAGTTCCAGGACGAGTATCCCCTGCTGATCGCGACGCAGGAATCGCTCTCGCTTGTGCGCAACCAACTCACCTCCGCACTCAGCCCCAACGGCACCGAAGGTCGACCTATCGCCGGTATCGATGCTACCAAATGGGCCGATTCGTCCGCACTCAGCATTGCGCGCTTTCGACCCAACATTGTACTGCGCTCTTCTCCCGGTGAAGCTTTTGCGCCATTTAGTGAGGATTCGTGGGAACGAATTTGGATCCTCCCCAACGGACGTTCGCGCTCCAAGGCAGTGTTGCAGCTCGTGGCACGGTGTCAGAGATGCCTGCTCACCGCTGTCGACCCCATCACTGCCGAAAAGGACGCAAGTGTACCGCTGAAGTTGCTGAATCGAAGTAGGATGCGCGTCAAGAAAACAGCCAGCGAGGGGGGAAATGGAAGAGCGGGTCCGTGCTTTGGAATGTACGCCATCCCTTTGCCGCTCGACACTAGCGCCTATGGCGAGCTCAGCACGGGCGATAGCGTCAAAGTCCGATGGCGCCCTTTCAGCACCGACGACGAACCAGACCGTTCGCATCTCCCCACCTAGTCCAATTTTCCCACTTGACAATCAGACATCCCCTGGACAGGACCGCTTGTGGTTGAAGTGATAGATCCATTGCATGATGCTAGCGGATATGAATGCGACGCAACAAAGAAAGACAGGGCAAGAGCAGTTGGGGTCGGCGTATCATCGCGAGCGTTCCAGATACCTCGTAGCGGCAATGTATCCCGAAACCGCAATGACGACCATAACCGAGCAGATGCCGGCAAACCAGTGCAGGTTCGTCACATCCTGGCCGGGCACGTTGACGTTCATGCCCCACAGACCGGTGATGACGTTCATGGGCACAATCACCGTACCGAGCGCGGTGAGCTTGGAGAGCACGTCGTTAATCTGGTTGTTGGCGTCGGTCATCTCGATCGAGATCTGGGCGAGGTAGTTGGAGTGCGAGCGCGACAGAATCTTTTCGTAGTGGTTCAAGTTCTGCGTCATGGTGATCAGGTGGTCCTGGATGTCGGACAGATACAGTCCAATGTCCGACTTGGGTGCCACGGACCAATTCTCGTTGCAGCGCTTGGCGAGTCCCTTGACCACATCCGCCTTGTTGCCCATCAACCTCAACAGGCCCATCACCTTCTTACGGCACGTGCCGATGCGCCGAAGCATGTCCGACTGCTCGGCCTCCTTGAGGATAAGCACGAGCTCGTCGATCGAGTCTACCTCGTACTCGATCGACTGGATCAGCGGACCAAAGGCGTCGGTGATATCGTCGATGAGCGCATACGAGATCCAGTCCGAGGTGACGTTGATGTAGTCCTTGAGCTGCTTGATGCGTCTGCGCACGTTTTGCGGATGCGGCGTGCCGCGGAAGTGGAACGAGAGCGTACCTTCGCGGAACACGATGATGTACATGTTCAGCGGCTCCAGATACGTCGGGCTGTACGGATCCTGGTCGAATGACCGGAAACACACCAAGTAGTAGTTGCGGAACAGCTCGATCTTCTCGCGCGTCTCCTCCATGAGGATATCCTCGGTGGTGAGCGGGTGGATGCCAAACACGCGGCTCAGCAGCTTCATCTCCGAGTCGGTGGGCGAGAGCACGTCGAGCCACCACGTGTTGGCCTCCGGATCCGGATCCATGCGGATGCCGCCGCCCGGCAGCGCCTTGGTCCTGCTGGCGCTGAGACCGCCCATGGCCCTCGCCGCCTCCTCGCCCGTGTGAACGGGCGTGTTGGAGCCCGTAGGCGGTGCGGTGGTGCCCTCCATGCGACCAAACGTCTGGCCGAGCGACGCCATGCGCGCCGTCGCGGCGTTGATCGTGGGTGCACGGCTGGCGTTGCGGCTCTGGCTGCCCTCGGTGGGAGGCGAGTGGTCGCTGCTCTTGCTGCGGCCACTGAAGAGCTCCTCGAAGGTCTGTCCATCGGCGGGGAGCTCCGAGAGGTGGCGTGCGTGGATGGTCGACGGTAAGGCGTTCGAGTAGAACGTGAAACGGTACGGCTTCTCTCGGTTGCTGTACGCGCCCGTCTGCGACCTGGCGCGCGTCTGTGCCGCTGCACCTGGCGTGGTGGGTCCGAAGCCGCTCTGGGACTGGGAAGGATGGATGCGCGAAGCCGTGTTGGCGCCGCCGTGGTAGGATGGGAGCGTGTCGTTGTCGAGCAGCGGGGTGTTGACGTCGACGGAGCGCTTTGCCTCGCCCGTGATGAGTGCGGAGCCACCCATGATGCTGTTGGACGCAGCCGCGCCCGCCACGGGAGGCGGTGCGCTTCCGCCGCCTTCGAAGAGCGCAAGCTTGCGCTGGTACTTGCTGCTGCCAAACGCACCTGCCGAGGTGCTGAGCTTGCGCGGACGGCGGCTGTAGAACGTGGCGTCATCACTGTCCGGCGAGATGCTGTAGCCTGGGCCGGCAGGCTTCTGTGCAGCCGCGCCGCGTTGACGAAGCACCTGGTCGGGCGAAGCGGCTGCGTTGTACGACGATGCGAGGCCGATGCGGTCGCGTTCTTCCGAGGCAAACTCCTCGAGGGCGTCGAGATCAAACGTGAATGGATAGCCGAGCGGCATCTCACCGTTGTCGGGTCGTGTGTTGTAGGCATGACGGACGTCGGCGTGCAGCTGCTCGGGACGAGGCTCGTGCGGACGGCCCTCGGATGTGTGCGAGTCGTGCATGGGGAAGCAGACGTCGTCTTCGGCGCCGGAGCCACGACGGAGGAAGCGGGGCGGATCGTCGTCGTGGTCGTCGAGGTGCACGAGATCGTCCGAGTGGATGGAGCGAGACTGGTGGCTGTTGCCTCGCGCATGCTGAGGACCGCGGGAGATGTGGGAAGACTCGCCACCAACATCCTCTTGGTCGTCGTCGATCAAAGCGTGTTCGGTGGTGCGGCTGGAGGGGAAGTAGGCATTGGGGCTACGCATGGGTGTGCGCGAGAGCGACGAACGGGCACGCAGGGCGGAAGGCGAGTGGACATTGCTGAGCGAGTGTGCCTGGTGGCGGTGGTCGATGTAGTGGTGCTGGCTGTCGAGGCTGGTGTTGGAGCCGTTGCGATTGTGCTGGTAGAAGCGAGCAGCAATGGCTGAGGAGGGTGGTGCGGGAGTTCGAACAGGGACGGCCGCAGGGCTCCTGTTGATGCCTTCGTGGAAGTAGGGCTCTGCCTGGTCGTCGGAGAAGCTGCCGCGCGGGGGGCTGGGGTCGTTACCACGTGCCTTGCTCATCTGACGGGCGGCATCGAGATCCTGCTCGAGCTGGTGGCTCTGCGGGCTGGCAGCTCGTCTTCCATCTGAGCGAGACTCTGGCGGTGGAGACACGGCTCGGCCGCTGGAGAGCGAGCCGTAGAAGTGTTGAGGCGAGGACATGACGGATGGGAACAGCCACCGCGCTCGAGGTACGCCAACTAGAGAACGGCTTCGAGTCTATGGCTTGCGGTCCGAATGCTTTCTTGATGCGTCCGATGCTCCGTTGGAGTCGCCTATGCAGCGCAAAGTGGACGTCGAGGGCAGCGAGATGAAGGTGCAGCGGTGGACGGCAAGCAAGCGTCGGATCGAGAGATTGGGTCGAACGGCGATTAGGCTTTTGACGCCCGACAAAGGCGACTCGAGCGCGGGCAGAGCGCTGCGAAATGCGAATTTTCTGCCACCGATGCGAGGTCAACAGGCACACACGCCTGGCAAAAAAAGAGAGAGGCGTGGGAGCGTCGATTGCGCTGCTCTCCCGATGCACACCCCACGCAGCCAATCTGCAGTCGGCGGTCAAAGTGCATTTTTCTCGATTCAGCCTGGCGGGACGCCCCACCCAACAGCCCCCAACAGACCCCAACAGCCCCCACTGCAGCTCGCCATGTCGCCAGCTGCTGCTTTGCCTGACTCTGCTGGAGTGGCACTTGTCCACCGACGGCAACCCTGGCGGCCAACCACCTCTACAGCGACCTTCCGAGAGCGAGCATCACAGGAGAAGATCGTTGAGGCTCACCAAGGTTGTCCAGGGTTCGGCCCAGGGTCACGGCGAAGAAATGCTAGGCGAACCTCGGTGCGAGAGGAACGTGCTATCAGTCATCTCCACATCGACCGATGCAGTGACAAGGACCAGCGGATCGGTAGATCCTGGCTGTCAGTGTGTCTCCAAAAAAAAAACACTTTGAATGCAGCCAGTTTATGCACGCGTGCATGCCACCACCTGTCCAAGCACAGCAACGCGCTGCTACCCATCCTACCCATCCTACCCCTCCTACCCTTGCAACGTCGTATTGTGTGCATCTGCGACAGACCTGCCATAGCGTGAACTTGACGAATTGAGGCGAGCGCACACGGATATCCCTGACGACTACCCGTGCACGGATATCCCTGCGGGATATCCGTGCACTGTTAGACCGCTTCGGGTGAGCATGCATAGGATGCCTTTTCGGCCTGCACGATGACGAAACGCTCGCTCTGTCAAGCGTGGGGCTCTGCGGTGAAGCTCGCCTCAGCACGAGCGTCGATCCCGGATCTTTCGAAGGTACGCTTCAGATGTCGCTGATGCTCATCGCGCTGTCGTCGGCGCATCCGGATGCACTAAGCGTCCTGCGTGTCCTGTTCCCGGCATCCTCAATCCTGGCGGAGAGAGCTTAATGAGAAGCACCGTCTCTTCATCAATCTGATCCACGACTCCTGACCGATGCTGTTACGTCAATGCCAAGAAGCCGACGAGCAAGGCTCAGGTTGATGCGGTTGGCACGCGAGTGCCCGGTGCACGTACCAGTAGTGCCATCTATTCTTTGAACCCTGAACATCATGGTCGCGGTATAATAATGGTGAAGAGCTCTGCGGAGAAAATGACGTCGGTCGCGGCAGAGACCCTGCTTCTGAGCTCACAGACAATTGAAACTGGGGGAGAGGATGCTTCCATGTCGTCACGACCGGCCACCGAGGTCTCCAGGTTCTGCCGACGTGTGGGCCATTTTGGAAGCCAACTCGACTTTGGTCAAGCAAGGAGGAGGGCAAAAGGATGCATGTGCGGGATGCCAAATATAGCGTTGCCGCTGCAAGGCCAAGCTAGGATTGCATCTCAGCGGCTCATCGGCAGCTGCTGGTCATCACCACGCTGCAATGCGGCAGCAACCCTTGCTACCGGAGGAGCCGACGCTTTGGTGCAGTGCTAGAAGCACGCAGCCCGACGAGGCCGGCTGTGCCGACAACGTGCCTCTCAAGGGCTGAAAAGCGTGCTGGTGAGCGTGAGCGTGTGGTGGACGCCGGCTCAAGCCGATACTTGGCACAATTAGCGTGTCGACTTTGGCCGTGGTTGCGTGTGACGCATCTGTTGGAAAGCGTCATCAGAGGCTGCGACCCTCAGGGCCTCTTTCCTTTTCTTTTTCTTTTTCTATTTTTCTTTTCCCTCAGGAGGGTCAGGTGGCGAGCTGCATGGAGGATCTAAATAAAATCCAAAAAAAGTGCAAGGGGAACAGCGCAGGGCGACTCGTCATCTCACCGCTTCATGCAGTGGACCCAGCTCGTGCGTCTTTGCCGAACGCAACTTGGCGAATCTAGAAAAAGTCGCCAGTGCGCAACCCCAGCGACCGCTCGATGCGGGCCTGTCAAACTGTCGCTCGCTTGCAGCGTTGATCCTCCGTACTTTCGTTTGCTATTCCGCCAGTCGCCATCAGTCCTCTGCTGAGTGCATCCTTCGATTCGGCTCGCAAGGATTGTAAGCAGTCTCAGCGTTCTCGAACACTACAGTCGACCTTACTGGACGCTTTCTGGCTTGGTGCCAAAGCTGGGACTGCACGAAAGCCTATTTGCGGCTCGGGGACGACGGCGACGCAAAAATGCGCTCAACGTCGGCAACTCCGACGGTTTTTGGCGTGCGCGGGTCAGAGGCCGATGAAGTGCCCGAACCCGCCTCGAGGTTGCGTCAAGGATCTACACATGTTTAGCAGCAGACGCGAGGCTGCGCAGCGTTGCCTGGTCTGCCGGCGCTTCCGTCATAGGCTGGGAAAGCGCGTTCGTAGGCGAATCGTCAGTGTGGCATTTTTAAATTTCTGGCTCGCTCTTGAGACAAAGACAGCCAAGCCCGCCTCCCGCCCAGCCTCGAAGCTGCTCGACACTGCATTTGGGTGAGAAGCGCGGGGCTGATGGCTGGGGGCTGAGACGAGTCGCCGGCCAAAAGTAGCACATTCCACTTTCAACGCAAACGCATCTCGGGTGCACTCGTTGCTGCAGTCTGATCGATTCGGAGCCATCGACAGGCTCGAGGGCTCGAGGCTTCGAGGCTCGGATTCCATCATGCTCGTCGGCTCCACTTTCGACGACGCGGCGGTGTGCTGTGCCGTGCGCTGTGCTTTGGCTGTGCTTTGCTCTCCGCCCTGCCAAGCAACCGCCGAAAAAGCACGGCCGTCTGCCAATTCAAGCACCGCCTGCAGCGCCCATCTGCCCCTTCCTGCCCATGTTGCCTTGCCCTGCGCTGCCCTGACCCGCCCCGCCCCGGCGCATCCTCTGCAGGCAGAAGTGCCCGTCGAGGTCATCGTCATCCTTCCCTCGCTCGCTCTCGACTTTCTGCTGAGTGATGGATGGCCTGCGATACCGCCCATCCTTGCAAGTGAGCTCCACATAAGCCTCGTCGCGCTTCCTGCTTCTTATCCCCTCGTCACCATCGTTCCTGTCTTCACCACCACCACCACCACTGCTATCGTCGCTACCGCCTCCCTACGTCACTCCGTCCTCGACGCCGCACGATCTTCGCGACTCGTAACGGAATACCAGCGGATCATACCCACACCCCCTTCAAATCACAGCACAGTCGCCCTTAGCCCATCATGGTTTTCAGAGGCCTTTGCGTCGGACTCGGTACGTACCATTTGTTCCCATTGTTCACGCGCACAGTGCTGCGATCTGTGCTCTTCCGGAATTTGCACGCGAGTGTGCGAGCATCCCACGCGGACGAGGCGGTGGGCTCCTTCCAGGCTCGTCAGGCCGGTCGCTGCGGATGCGCAACACGCGTGGCTTCAGTTAGGAGCTAGGCCCGCAGCACTTTATAGGGCCCAGGGCAAAGATCTGCACAAGCTTCAGAGCGGGCTTAGGGTTGAGAAGACCGGTGCTGGCATGGCCCCTTTTGCCCTCACACGTCGCCCACCCCAAGTGCTGCAGCTGCGAATTCCCGCGCAGCACGCGTCCCTGTCGTGATCTCCATCTCGTTATAAGCGATCTCGAATAGCATGCTGACCCGCTCGTCTGTCCTTCTCATCCACCCCTCCTTCCTTCCCCGCTCGCTTGTTGCGACGACGGCGATATGGCGGTCACCCACTCGCGCGGCGCGGCGTACAATGTTCGCAACTGCTGGGCCTCGTTTGGACTGTTCTGCATCCATGTAGGCGAGTTCCTCACGTTTGCCGCGGTCATCCTCATGGTCTTTGCCAACATTGGCCAATTGACCAACAACATTGTGACGCGCAACATCCGCTACGTCTCGGTGGACGCTTCGAACCTCGGCAACGCGCTCGCGTCGACCAACACGGCCACCAACGACCTGTACGCCGCGAACCCGGCGGCTCCCGTGGCGCAGGGCAACGGCATCAGGCAGAGCTACCAGTGGGGTCTGTACAACTACTGTGCCGGCCAGCCCTCGGGTGACTCGCGTGCGTGCAGCGACAAGAGCTTTGGCTTCGAGTGGCAGCCCGTGGATGCGCTGCTCAACGATGCGCCCCAGGACGCACGCAACGGCATCCAGAACTTCCTGCCCGAGGCGACGTTCCGCGACTCGAAATACCTCGGCGACTACTCGAAGCCGGCCATGTACCTGATCTTTATCGGCTCGTGCCTCGCGCTGCTCTCGTGGATCTCGGGTCTGCTGTCGCATCGCTTTGCCTTCCTCGGCGCCGCGTTCATCGCGCTGCTTGCGGCTCTGACGCTCGGTGTGGGCGCTGCACTGCTCACCGCCATCTACACCAAGGCGCGCGACTCGGTGGGTGTGCAGTACGGCGTGGTGGTGCACTACGGCAATGCGCTCTGGATGACGTGGGGCGCGTTTGTGGCGTGCGTGCTCGCCATCGTGCCCTACATCCTCTCGTGCTGCACGGGCAGGAGCGACGACTACTAAGCTGGTCATGTCGACGCGATCGTTGCGGCCAAGGTCTCTCGAGCTCCTACCACTGGGCTTTGATTGAGGACTAGGTTGGGACGATCCATGCCCCCGGAAACCTTTGCGTGGCTGGTCGTGCGGCGTACGATCGTGCACACTTTTTTTTCTTCCACCTTTGGATGTAGCCCTATGTTCTTTGGCGTTGTGGCTCTTTGACGATTCGGCTCTGCTCTTGCAGAGATGGCCCGCGAGATATACCCCGCGGTCTCTTTTTTTTTTGCCTCCCTAAACTCCCCCTTTTGACGTTGGTACGATGGATTGGCAGCCACTTCCCATTGTTTATTCCTTTGATGTCCGTCTGCTACGTATCTCTTTTTCTTAACGCCGCGATTTAATCACGAGCCGAACGGCCCAAGGGCGATGTGGCAAGAATGTGTACAAGCTTGAGCGGTGGGAGATGCGGTGGGAAAGCAAGACGGTTCTTTGGCGAGGATCAGGGAGGACTCGTGGATTGGTCAAGGCGATGAACGAGCTTGAGATTCGAAGTGATACGAGGTTGTGTCTCGCACAGGTGTGTTGCGGTTAGCTCGGAGAACGGGGTGAGGGAGTGCTGGACCAAGATCATACCGACGACTGCTTTGTGCTCGCCGATTCTCGGGGGTTTGCAGTTCGTCGATTCTGCGGTGGCGGCTCGTAAGAATTGACACTCGTGGCGACTGGGCCACAATTGGCTCTTGCGGCCGATTTGCTCCTCGTCCAAAGGCACACTTGTCACACTGCACCAGATGCAGTCTCCTCTTCAGCCTCTGCATCTCAGTGCACATTGTCACTCGTCACAACCCTGCACACACCTTGCTTTTACACTGGCAATGGTAATAAACTACTTCACTCGAGCATGTTGCTTCCTCTCTTGGTTGTCCTTTCGAGCAAGCTGCCTAGATCTTGGAGGATCCAAGCCACGACGACCCTCGCGAAGAACTCGGAAGTCCTTGTGAGCTTGCCTTGGATCGTTTGCCTGATCCCTTGTGGTAGGACGGAATAAGCCGTTCTGTTATGCTGTGCAATCCCAATTCCCGTTGGACTTGGCATGGCACCCGTTGGCGACACCACTCTAGCGGCTGGTGGGGGGATACTCTCATCCGCAATGAGAATCCATGTAAGGTGGGAGGACAACACCCGCGTGCGTGTGAGCAATCGCCCCAACAGGTCCATATACACCCCCAACGATCCAGCATCCACTTTACTCTGCCCCGAACCCGTCATCCTATCCAAACCCCTCGTGAAGCGTCCAAATCCCCCCGCAAAACCCTTCTTTCCCCCTCCCATCCCAGCTCCACCCCCAGCTGCCTCGATAAACGCCAGCTTCTTGGACAACGTCGACTGCACCTCGACCATCGTGCCTTCAAACTCCTCCAGATGCTTTACAAATCGACTCGCGTTAGACGTCTCCAACCCCGCCCCACTCCCAAGCGGCAACAACAACGCCTCCCCACCTCGCTCCACCGTCTCGAGGCCAGAGATTAACGCCTCGATCGCTCGAACCTTGGTCTCGACAGCTAGCAGCTTTACCCCACCCTGACGCCAGAGCGACGCGGGGACGTACAGCCGCTCGGTAATCTGAGCTCCTGAAGTCATCGACTTGCTCAGCTGTGCCATCACAAAGAACGGCTTCAACATGGCGTGCGGTGGCTGCGGCAGGCTCGCTCGGCGCGCGGCAGGCAGCCCTCCCGAGGCGTACGACGGTGCACCTGCCGCAAGCGATGGCAATCCCGCCGGAAACAGGTCAGCTATCAGCAGCGGCCCCTCGCCCGCATCTTGACCAGCACCGGATGGTGAGTCGGTCGGCATCGACGTCTCCGCATCGCCGGCCCACGCGCGAGGTAGCGGCATAGCGAGCGACGTCGCCACATCGCCACTACCTCGTGCTGCCACCGCGCCCTTGGCGAGCTGCTTGGCATCCACCGCGCGCGCGAGCTCGAGCGCCGACAGTGTGCGCGCCAGATTCGGCACGGGCGGCAGCGAGTCCTCGCTCGCCGGGGTCGCACCGCCGACCAGCGCCGACGGCACACCGCCCGACGCCGCCGAATTCGCGGCCAGAAACACCGCCGGGATCGACGGCCTCCTCGAGCCCGGCTGCGACGTGGAGCGTTGCCGACTCGACATCGGCACAGACTGCGGGCCGTGCTCTTCGCGAGCATCCGTCTCGTCCATCCCCGGTGTCGCCCTGCCTGCCTGTCCGTCTGCTTCGCCCGCCGCCTGCGAGTCCGCACCATTGGTGGCGGTGGCGATCTTGCGGCGCTGGCTGATCGTACCTGCCAGCACCGACGAGCTGACGAGCGCCGACGCCGTCGTCGCCCTCGGCCGGTTCGGCGCACGCACAGTAATGTTCGAGCCCGCCTCTTCGTCCCACGGCGTCGGATGGTCGTATGCGCTCTCGGTCGGCAATGCAGGGTTCGGCTCGTCGGGTCGTGATTCCGCCGTGCCCGGCCTGCGTACCTGACTCTTGGCGAGCGTGGCACTGTTCACCGCCGCTGCCTCCTCCTTCTTGCGGTCCGAGAGCGACGGCATGCTTGCCTTTTTCAGCAGCGGCCCCTTGAAGCTGAGCGCCCTCGCCCTCTGCGCCAAGCCCATCTTGGCCGGACGCTCGACGGGCTTTTCTGGCGCCTCGACACGCGGTTTGGACGCCGGCGAGGTCAACGACAGCTTGTGCTGGCGCGCAGGCGCCTCGGCCGGGCTGACCACCGCCGAAGCGCGCTCGTCTGCGCCCAGGCCGACATCGCCCGAGGCGTCAAAGTACGGCGTGACGGGCGTGCGCACTTCGTCGTCCAGGCCGTACGAGCGGTATGCGAGCGCACTCGGCTTGAGACGCGCGGCGGCCGTGGTGCTCTGGTACGAGCTGTCCGAGTCGGAGCGGCCGTGCTGCATCTGGCGAGCCGCCAAGTCGGACGGTGAGACGCCACGCTTGTGCACGCCGGCGCCTGCGTCTTTGACGGGCGAGCCGGCCTCGCGGTCGATCTCGGGCGTGGTGGCCTCGATGGCGATGCTGGGCATCTCTTCGGCGATGGCGACAGGTGGAAGGCGCAAGTCCTGCACCTCTTGTTCGTCTGCGATGGAGAGCGAGATCGAGGCGCGGCTGCCACGCGACCCGCGCGAGCCGGGCCTGGCGTGGTCTCTGCGTCGTCTGCGCGGCGACGAGTCGAGCGAGGGCGAGAGCGGCGCATTCTGCATGGGCGGCGACTTGGGCCACGGCAGCTTGGCCTGCGCAGGCTGCTGGTCGATTTGCGGCGAAGAGGACGCCTGCGACGCCGGCGGGAAAGCGCTCTGAACCGGCGTGATGGAGAGAAAGCTTCGCGAATTGTCGCGTGGCGAATAGTGCAGCTCATGCTCGAGCGCTTGACCGTTCATGGTGGGCGTGACTGCTGCCGGATCGTCCTTGGTGTCGTGACGCATCCTGTCGAGCCAATCTGGCTTGGAAGCGGACGGCTGTTCGGCGCCGCTGAAGCTGGTATCGGTGGTGTCCTCGTGTGCGTCCGAATCGTCGGGCGAGTAGATCATGGAGAGCAGCCGGATGCGGTCTGCATAGGTATCGTGGATGACGCGCAGCCTCCTGCGCTCCTCCTCCCTGCTGGGTCTGGATCGCTTGCCATTGCGCGGCGCGATGCGCTCCATGACTTCCTCGAGCAGCCTCACCGCCTGCTTGTACGCCGAGATGGCCTCGGGCACGTTGTTGGCGCTGTCGAGCTGTACGGCATTCTGCGCCTTTTGCAGTGCGATGGTGAGGATGTTTTTGCTGCTCAGAGGCGCGCCGTTGGCGTTGAGGAGCGAGCCGGCCGAAGCGCCGGGCATGGCGCCCAGCGCTGCGATATCTGCGTCGGACAAGGTTCCGCGAGGCGAGTTGCTGCGGTGCTCGGTGGATCCCGTCGCACGCGCAGCTTGCGCTTCCGAGGAGGAGCGAGCGGGCCTGTTGTCTGTGTCGGCGAGCGACTCTTGGGCCAAGGGTGGAGGGATGCCTTGCCGGCTGAAGCGATTGTGGTAGCCGCTGCCGAGCATGCCTGCGACGGACGGTGCGCGCGAGGAGCCGGCGCTTGAAGAGGGGAGCGAATTGGACTGAGACGAGTTGGTAGCCATGCCGACGGCGTGACGATTGAGCATGGCGTCTGGTGCGTCTGTGCGGTCGTATGCATCGGTAGGCGCTGTCGAGAAGCCAGGGGGCGAGTTGGCGCCATCGATGCCCAGGCCACGAGGCGCGCCAGATGCGCTGGAATGCGACCAGGGGTGCGAGCGTTCCACGTCCAAGCTGGCATTGCGCGCCTCCACGGCGGATTGAAGCGAGACATTGCGCGACTGGGCGATGAAGGCGATAGAGTCGTCCTTCTTGTACGCGAGACGGCCGAGACGACCGCCCCTGGACTGGTGTGGCGCTGCTGAGGCCGACTGGGGCTGGTCCCTGGTACTCGACGGTGCGACGAGAGTGTCGGTGAGGTTAGATTGGAGCAAAGGTCTGACTGGCCGAGTGCGTCCTGTCGATGCGTCGTCGCGAGCTCGAGGGTCAAAGTCGAGCATGCCCATTGCGCTGGCGGCGCGTGTTGACTGAGGCTGATCAGACACAGCTGCGGGAAGCGACGAGTGATTCTCCTCGAGCGACTCTTCGATCTGAGCTGGGACTGCTTTGTTACGATTGCGACGGCCGAAGAAGCTGGAGTCGTTGGATGAATAGGTGTCGGTGTGATTTGTGGAAGTCGAGGCGGTTCTGGAATGGGCGGCATCATTGGCTGGTGTGGATCTGCCGAGCAACGCACCGAGACGGCTGCCGCGCGAAGAGGGTTTGGCGTTGGGACGCGTGGGTGACGAGAACTCTGCGCGACCTGTGGGTGGTGGTGGTGAAGAAGCCGGACCACGCGAGCTGCCGGGTCGGGAGCCCGAGCCTGGGGAGCTGTCGGAAGCCGAAGCGCGCATGGACGATGACGGGTAGGTCGACACGTCGTGCGAGCCGGCGTAGTCACGCTGGCTTGGCGGTGCGACCGCGGCACGCTGGGCTGCCGACATGGTGCAGCTGATCTAGCCCTGATGAGCGCAGGAGGCGGGATGAGGGGATGATCCCTCGGCGCCCGATGGATGTGCTCTGACTCGGGGGTCAAAGATGGACGTGGCGGGCGAGCATGAGAGCGGGTGTGAGTGCGATGGTGTTGACGACGGTGGCGATGTTGCGGTGTGGAAGGTGGTGGAGAGCTTGGATGAGGGACCTGATTCAGATGGCCGAGACACGTTCGGTTGGCGTTGGCCGCGCACTCACGCGCTGCTGCTGCTGCTGTTGCTGGTCTGTGTGGTGCAGCAGCGCTTCACTCACACTCAAATTGGGCGCTGCCAGATTTGCGCTGCCAAATCTCAGAGCTGCTGGCGCTGCTCCGCGTTTGGCAGAGCGCCGCCGCTGAATTTCGGCACCTTTTCCGGCCTCAGCTTGAGCTTTTTCAACTTTTTTGAGCTTTTGGACCCGCTCTTGGCGCGACCCCTTCAAAACCACGCGCTTGCTGTGCCGCATGCTGCTCGCTCACTCTACCTATCGCAGTCAAGTCTATACGACAAAGAAAGTGGGGATGGAATTGACACCATCATATGCGAGCAAGCCAAGAGAGAGAGAGTGAGAGAGAGAGAAAGCACAAGAATATAAATAATACAGCGGTGGACCCATTACACGGCGGGACCCTTGAATTGATCCCATGCTACACACGATCGAGACACAAGAGCGATGGAGAGAGAATTGTCAATCCAAGCTCAGGCGCGGTTGGAGATGCAACACGCTGGTGCTGCCGTCGCCGAGATGGGTGAGCGTCTTGCCGTCGTATCCGACGAGGTAGCCGCTGTCGGCGCCGGCGCCTGCAGCCGCGTGGTCCTTGCGTGTGCGTGCAATGGCGTGCTTGAGGCCGCGGTCAAAGTTGATCATGCACTGGATCGTCATGGCCGCCGTGATGAGCAGCAGCAGCATCGAGAGCGTCGAGAAGACCGTCAAGCTCTTGTACACCTCCTTGTACAGCGTATCCTTGAGCTGCCAGATGCGGAAGAGCTTGTACACAAAGTACACCATGGCGCCCGTCAGTCCGACCAGAAACGCGAGCATGCCGTACTTGAGCTCCTTGCGCACCGAGTACCACGCAAAGAAGAGGATGAGCAGCGAAAACGGCGCCGAGATGATGGTGATCCAGCGTTCGGCCGTGCCGATCTGCTTGACCACCAGCACGAGCTGGATGCAGTACGCGATGAAGATGAAAAAGTCAAACTTGAGCAGCGCCACGTAGACCTGGTAGTGCAGGTAGCCGCGCTTGAGGCTGCGGTCCGCGCCGATCTTCTTGTAGATCTGCCAGCCAAACTCCTTCCACAACTTCCATCCGAGCACCACAAACGAGATCTCGGCGAGCGCGATCACGATCGGGATGGCGCCCGTGAGCACCTGCACGGGAACGGTCTGCGACGAGCCCTGCGCCACGCCGTCGCCGAGCACCGTGCGCATTTCGGAGATCTGGATGAGCGAATATACGAGAAAGCACGCGTTGAAGATGATGGAGCCGATCACCAGGATGGTGTTTCGGTTGATCACCGCATCCACGGCGAGCAAGAACTGGTAGATGTGCGCGATGGAGAAGACGATGACGAATACGGGCAGCGCTCTGGATTTGGACTCGTCGTCCGGTGTCGGATGCGTCTTGCGGTGGAACTGGTAGCGGACAAAGAGCATGCTCTCGATGGCAATGTTGATCGATGCCTCTGCCAACGTGATGAGCAGGAAGAGCCTACACGCCCACGAGTCGGGGATCCACGCCCAGCATCTGCTGATGCCCTTGGCGGGTGGCGGATATGCGTACGATCTCTGACGGCTCGAGCCGCTGGATTTGGAGGGGATACCCATGACCGGCAGGGATTCCCTTGAGGTGCTGCTGATGGATGCGGTGTGTTGACCCCAGGTGTAAGGTTGCTACTGAAAGCTTGGCAGACTGTGATACTGCTGCGATGCTTCGATGACGCTTTTCACCTTGTCGCAGGCTGGACCGGCCAGAGACGACAGGAAATGGAAACGGGATGAGGCTGTGCCTGTGGCGCTCAAATGAATGTGGTAGATGTCGGACAGACGCGGATGCGCGATTGTGAAACACGGTCGAAGTGTGGAAAGGTGGAGAGACGAGGTCGGCTGTTGCAAGGCACGGTAGTGTGAATGGAGCCGGTCGATTGCGCAAGGTGGGATGGGGGAGGCTGTGTCGATAATGAAATGAATGTGTGAGTCTGGTGTGGGGTGGAGAGAGACGGCGCGTTTGTTCACGGTCGAGCGAGCCAGCGTCGGCGATGAACAAGAGAGCGAGCGACGGGGAGAGAAGAGTCCAGATGGAGAGGGTGGGGACGAGGTTGAGATTGAGGTTGAGGATAGGGTGAGGTGATGAGGAGAGTGGCAGGCGACTGACTCCAGGCGGTGGTGCCAAGGATATGCAGCCGCTGCTGCTGCTGCTGCTGCTGCTGCTGCTCGTCTCTCCAGACTGGGCTCAGCTCGGCGAGGGCGGCCAGGGGGCGGCACCAGAGGCAGAGGCTGCTCTCTCCAACGGGACGTGATGCCAAGCGAGCCACCCCGAAATCAAAAAGAGAGAGTCGGCTGCACCGCGCCGCTCCACGCGCCCTTTCCACAAATCCGCTGAAACCAACACGACAGCACACAGAGCAGCGCAGCGCAGCGCAGCGCCGCCCTTTTTCAACACCTCGGACGCGGACCCCTCTTTGGCCCCCCCAAATCCAGCTTGGCCTGCACTCGCTCGGATATTGGCCTTGGCCTGCGCTTGTATCGGCAGGGTGCGCATCGGGCATCCAGCGACCGTGCATCTAAATTGCCTCCCAAGATCCCGGCTCAACATCACCACTTCATCGCCACATCTTTTGCACTATCCGACCGCATCTGCGTGTACGAAAGGAAGAAAGGTTGCATTGCATACTGGCGATAAAAGAAGGAACAGGTGAAAAAGGTGAAAGATGTGGCTGATCATAATTGTGCCCGCATCTATGGGCTGGCATTCCCGAGTGGGAAGCGCAGAGACGGGGCACACTCAAATCGTCAGCCTACGCCCAGGGACGATTTGTTCTGAGAGCCTTCGGTTTCCGACCTCGGACGCGCACATGGCGAGCCGAGGCGTGAAGGGACTGGAAGGCGCATCAGACGCCCCCTCCGTCACCTTCAGACGCTGGATATGGAAGAGAAGAAGGATGGACGTGCGACGGCCATGCGAAAACCAAAAGGGCAGCGGGCGCTCAACCTTTTTTTTTTCCCTCCCGCCTTGAGGCATCGCAAGATCCGAATCGACTGGCGACTCAAGATCGGCGATTTTGCTTTGGCTTGCCGCGTGGCTCTCGGCGGCCCAACCGACCCGCTAAATCAGCAGAGCGGGTGCTGGCGCTGTGTCGCTGGCCCGCGGCGCACTGTCCAAGGCCCACAAAGTGAATCCGAGTTGGTTGGCCGTGGCCGAGAACAACACCTCCTGCACGTCACAAGTTGGCACCCAACCGTTAGAACAAGCGACTGCCGCTTGCAATCCCAACCCATCCCGTCTGGCTCGACAACCACCTCCTCCCACCAACGCAAACAGAGTACGGCGCCTCTACACCACCATCACATCATCGATGGCCACTCGCATCTCACAATGATCCATGCACGATAGACGTGGCTCTCAGCATCTTTCCCCTCTAGCACTTTCCGCCGCGACCTAGCACTGTGCTCGCTCCGTCATGACAGCCGACGCAGAGGCGGCGTCGAGCAACTCGGCCGCAGATGTAGCGGCTGACCACCCAGACCAACAGAGCCACCCCCACAGCGCCCCAGATCTCGACCTCAGCGTCGTACAGGACCCCATCCTTGATCTGTGTCCATCTCTCGACATCCTCAAACAGATCGCACGTTCCACCGCTCTCGATGTCCAAGTCAAGAAGGACAAGCTCACCAGGGCTCTCCTCCGAGCCGCCAGCAACGGCGACACCGACATGCTCTCCTGGCTCCTCGACTCCAGGGCCGAAGCTCGTCAGCTCATCTCGCTCCCATCGTCCCACAGAGACTCGCACGGCAGATCCGTCGTCGCCTTCGATCAAATGCGCGACGACGAAGGCTCCGGTCCCGTCGTGCTCGCTACCTGTGCAGGTCACATCGATGCCGTCACTATGCTTGCGCTCAACGGCGCGCCCATCGACGAGCGCGACGCTTGCGGCTGGACTCCTCTAATGTGGGCCATCAACAGCTCCAACCTCCAGCTCGCCAGCTTCCTCCTCAGCCGGGGCGCCGACGTCGACGCAAAAAGCTCCAAGGGCACCACCTGCGAAGATTTCATCCTCTCCGCTGCTCCTCAGGCCGCCACTTCCCAATCACCTGCTACCCAATCGCGCTTCTCCACCTCGGCTTCCAACGAGCGCGAGGCCATCGCAGACCTCGTCTACGAACATCAGCGATATCTCTCCGTTCAGCAGTCCGCCGCACAACGCCTCAATTCCCTCTACCTCGACTCTTCGCCCGACCGCAATCCTTCGGCGCCGTCCAGCGCCGCCGACTCGGATCGCCAAGACAACAACGCCAGCCCCACCCGTGCGCCCAGATCCTCGGCCTCGTCATCCAGCCCTTTCAAGCCTGGCCATTCCCGTACCGGCTCCCAACTCACACAGCGCAGGCTCGTCGGTCGATACGAACGCGCCCACCTCGCAGAGCAGAAGAATAAGCAGAAGGAGCTCACCGACACGCGCAAGAGCGCCATGGCCGACATTGCAACCCTGCTCGAACTCGACCTCGACAGCCTCATGGGCGAGCCCACCTCGGTCGACTCGAATCCGGGCAATGCCACTTTTGCACGTCGCAGGAGGGGCGCTGCCGCCAAACCCGCCCATGCCGGCCTTGCTTCCGGCTGCGGCGCCGCCGAGGTCGGCGCCGATCTGCTCTCGGTCGAATTCGACTGGAAGAAGGTGTGCAGCGACCAGATGCTCGTCTTTGGCACCGCCGACCTCGAACCCCTGCTCACCATGCTCATCACCCACATGAAGCCCGTCCGAGCTCCCTGGACCTCGCGCGCAGCTCCCGCCAACGTCATCTTCCTCTGTGCCAGGTACGCCTGCTCGTTGCACGACGAGGATCTGCTCGAGGAACTCTTCCTCGGCGCCATCGACCGCATCGAAGGCACCATCTACGCAAAGCCCACCGACATGACCTGTCTTGCCTTCTGGCTCTACAACTGCTGCCTCCTCCACTACTACGTCGGCAAGGACCGCACGCTGCGCAACTCGAGCTCCGTCACAGAGTACCGCAGCCTCTTGGCCGACCTGCTCAACGAGATCTTTGTCTTTATCATCCGCGACGCAGAGAGGCGCATCGACAAGGTGCTCGATGCCGCCATGCTTGATCACGAGCCCATCCCCGGATTCGAAGAGGTCCGTTTCGAGGGCGAGTGGAAGTTCATCAAGACTTTGACGGGCAGCGTCAAGGGGATCGGGCAGCAGGGCTCGCTGTCGCAGGGGATGACGTCGAGCCCCAGCTCACGCACGCCCATCAGCCAGATCTTTGGAGGCGGCCGTAAGGACGACACGCAGGGCTCGAGCCATCCCAAGAGCGGATCGGCAGAGGGGCCGACGCTGTCCTCCTCTCCTTCCATCGGCAATGGTCGGCCATCGAGCGCGTTCAGTTCCAACACGATTGGACCTTCCACCTTGCGCTCGAATGGCATCGATGGTTCGCCACGCAAGGGTCTGGGTGAGCCCTTCCGCGCGATCCGCGAAGTGTCGTACAACGCAAGTGCCAACGATCTGCTCACGACACCGACGCCACGAACCATCACCTCGCTGCTCACGTCGACGCTGCAGGTGCTGCAGTTCTACGAGATCAATCCGGCCATCATCGTGCAGGCGCTCTCGCAGATCTTCTTCTGGGTGGGCTGCGAGCTCTTCAACCGCGTCCTGACGCGCAAGCGCTACCTCTGCCGCTCTCGCGCCATTCAGATCCGCATGAACGTCAGTGCGCTCGAGGACTGGGCGCGCAGCAATGCGTTGCCGCTCAGCATTGTGCATGCTCATCTGTCGCCGCTCTCCCAGCTCATCTCGTGGCTGCAGTGCCAGAGTTCGCTGCAGGAGTTTGATGGGCTCATCGCCACCATGCAGGGGCTCAAGGCTCTCACGCCCATCCAGATGCGAAGGGTGGTCAAGGAGTATCGGTACGAGGTGGGCGAGACGAGGATGAGCGAAGAGTGCGTGCAGTACTTGGACCAGCTCATCATCGATTGGAAGCGGAGACAGGAGGATCAGCTGCGCCAGGCGCGCGAGGAGGCACGAGATGTGCAGCGCAGGAAGAAGAGGGCCAAGAAGCAGCAGTCGCACCACCAGCGCTCGGGCACCGCAAGGCAGGAAGACTATACGCCCGAAACCAGTTCGTCTCGCTCACGGTCGTTGGGTGAAGAGAACGACGTCAGTGATGAGGAGGACGAGGCAGACGACGATATGCAGCTGTCGAGCGAGGCTGATGGGCAGGCGGGGGATGCAAGCGTCAATAGCACTGGTACGGCCAAGGTGGCTCGGCACGAGGCTGAGGCGCTCACGGTGGCGGAAGCGGTTGCGCGATCGGCACAGGAGATGATCGACGGGCTGTTTACGCCCGGCAAGAGCATGTCGGACTATGTTCCGCCATGGACAGCTGCTGGTCCTCCGCTGGGTCTGCACGACGATGTAGCTGGAGGAAGCGTACCTCCGTCTCCGGCAAAGGGTGAGGGGCTGCTGAATAGCCGCGAGATGCTGCCGTTTGCACTGCCGTCTCGACGGGGTGCGCTGATCGTGACGCCTGGTGACGCATTCGGCTTTGGACGCGGACACTTTACGGGCACAGGTACGCCATCGGTGCGCAGCGTGAACGGCGACGTGTCGAGCGGGAACAGTTCGGCTGCATCGTCGCGCCGATCGTCCATCTCTGCATCCCAGTCGGTTGCGGGCGAGGAGGTCGAGATGGACAGTGACACTTCATCGCGCACGGATGCAAGCGGCGTCAGTCGGGCAAGCAGCCTCTTCCCGCAGGGTAAAGGTTTTGCTGCCGGTGGGTATTGGTCACCTGTACCGTTGCTGCCCGATGGAATGCTGGATCGGATCGACGCGATGATCAGTGCAGCCGCGGCTCTCGCTCCTGCAGCAGATAAGGAGACGAATATTCTGTTGGCCCGACATGCGTCCGATGAACATCTCCCGGGTGCGGGGGATGTCGGGCTGCCAAGAGCCAGCAGGATCGTCATTCCCCCCAGGGACGGGTCGATGGCACAGCCACAGGTGGACGAGTTTGGAAGGTTAACTGGGACAAAGGAGGATGTCAAAATCCCAGGCCCGCAGAGGAGGGATACGATCAAGGCGTCCATGTTTGGGTAATGCTATTGCGACGAATACCGAGTAGCAAGGGTAGCGACGTGCTGCGGTTTGTGTGGAAAGCGATGCCGGTATTCTACCCGGGCGGTTGTGGTGGTGATTGCGAGACGCCGACGTGGATGAGGCCGATATGGGAATCGTCCATCGCCAACGTGGCAGTAGGATTGGAGATTCACCCGTGCAGCGCGGTGGCCTGCAGACTGTGATAAAGCTTGCTGCAACACAAACGGTCAATTGTCGCTTGGCCTCGCGATGGGAGTCGACGATCCACACCTGCCTGCACCGAGATCGACGTTTGGTTCAAGCTGCCGTGCTCGAATCAGAGATTGCCGCCACGAGTGCACCTTTACAACCACAGTCTTTCCTAGCTAGCCGTGAAATGGACCATCACAGGGAGGTAGAGTCCTGGTCGGCGGGGAGCGATCCGAGGCCGAACCGTTGCATGAGCTGCTGGACGGGCCCCGTGGCGGCCGCACCCGACTGGGCCTGGAACGAACGTAGGAACGAGGCGAGCTGGTCCGCCTCCACCGCCTTCCCACCGCCAAGCAGCGTCTCCAAAGATGCAGGCAGGTCGCTCTCGGACGTGAGCAGGTGCGAAAGCAGCTCCGCGTCCATTGAGTCCGGCTTGGAGGAATCCTCATCACCACGAGAGTGTGGGAGATTGCGGCTGGGAGAGGTGGATTTGAGACTGTTGAGTCGACGATCCATGGCGGCCATCACATCTTCAAACGTAGACATCTCGACGTCTTGCACTTGCCCCTGCAATTCCTCCTCGTCTACTCTTGCCGCCTTGGCCACTTTGGCCGGCTTGGGCGTGTTTGGCGCTGATGTCTTGGCTGCGCTCGATTGGGACGGTACGAATTGGCCCCTCTGCTTGCGCTCGCTGAGAATCTCTTCGTACTGCTCCTTTGAGAGGCCAAGACTGATGCGCGCGAATTCGAGCATGTTGGCCACCTCTGTCTCCTCGTCCCACGCCTCGGGTCCATCCTGCACATCCAACTCGGGCTCGGGCACGTCGGGATCCAGGTCGTACTCTTGCGCACGCTGACGTCGGATCTCGGGCTCAGCTTCCTCTTGGATCTCCCCGTCCGAGTCGTCCGCTCCGTCAATGTGCTCGTGACCCTGGCTAGAGAGCAGTGCCGAGGTCTCGCGCATGTACTGCGACGCCAACCTGCGTCGAAGCTCTCCCTCGGCCGCACTGAGGTGGTTGCCAACAGTCACTGTTCCTTCTTCCGTGACCGGCTGGGGCGCGCGAGAGGCGGAAAGCGCGTCGATCGAGTCGACAAATCCTGCATTGCCCTTTGCAGTAGAGGAGGTCGTGGGACGCAGCCACTCGGTATCCGACATGCGCGGAAGCAACCGCTCGAGCATCTTGCGTTTTTCTTGCTCGCCATCGCGCTCGAGACGCTGCGACACCTCGACGCGAATGCGCCGCTCCTGCTCTTCTTCGTCTTCGTCCTCGAACCAAAGCTCGTCGTCGTCCAGCATGGCCTCGGCCTCGTCTTCGAACACCGCACCGCGCACGTCCGACTTGGTCTCGAGGAACGCAGTCATCTTGGTGTTGAAGGCACCCAGCCGTTGAAAGGCGTCTTCTTCATCGACAGCCCGTGGGGCTTCCTGAGTCGGCCCAGATTTCGCAGCAAGGATCGACTCGACGTCGCCGGGCGAGAGATGTAGCCACGCATCGTCGTCTTCGTGCCGCCGAAGCTCATCTAGCGCCGCTTCGGGGGGATGCGACTGCACAGCCGGTATGTCTGAGGCGAAGCCCGAAAGGATACGGTCGACTGTCTCGCAGAGCGGAGTTTGTTCGAGATCAATGTCGGTAGTCGCGGTCTGGGCGTACTGCGCGAGTGCCTGTGTCTCGAGCTGCTTCCACTTTGCACTTCCCTGCAGTTCGCCCTGAAAGAAGCCGAGCCGTGTGAGGCTGGCGAGCAAGTTTTGACGCTCTGCCTCCGAAATGGCCGCCTGTGGGCTCATAGAACGGCCGCCGGAGCGGGTTCGACGGGAAGAGGATTCGGCAAACGCCATTTCGAGACCGCACCAGATCTTGGCGCCCAGATCATGCCAACGGCCGCGTGCGATTTCAGCCTGCACTTGCTGCTCGTCCTGAATCTTTGGCCCGCTCTGGGCAGAGCTGCGAGAGTGTACATGCACACGGTAGCGCTCGACAGCGGCTTGCCATTGCGGCCCGAGCTGGCGCGGAGGGAAGAAGCGGTCGTGCAGCAGCTGGGCGTACAGATGGCGTGTCATGCGGACGCGCGTCAACACAATGTCGTTCGGGCTTGATTGATCCTGCTGAGAGGCTGTTGCGACGCTGCTAGAGGATGTGGGTTGGGTGGGCGGTGGGAAGCGGACGAGACGAGATGCCGAGCGAGAGCTGAGCGGGTCGCGCGACTGGATGGCGGCAACGCAGCTGGCTACGAGCTGTGGCTCCGCCTCGAGCGCCTGTGCGACCTGGCGCGGGAGGAACACGAGTGTACGGTGGTGGTGGCTCGATGCTATTGACGGATACTCGTATGCACGCGCCAAGGCTGCCGCTTCGACATCGTCAGGCGCCCTCGTGAGTACGGACGGGTCGCGCACCAATCCGATCGCCCGCGGAATCGGGATGGCTTCGTCAGAGTTTTGCGCAAGGTGTGGCGCCACGAGATGCAGATGTCCGTTATGTATCCATACGCGGTTGACGACGCTTTCGGGCGTGACCCAGTCTGGCAGATGCTCGGCCGCCTCGATGAGCAGGAACTGGCCATCCTCGTCCTCGATGCTGATGCAAAGCGCGTGCTCGGCGAGCTCGCTCGAGGCGCGCAGCAGCAGATGTGTGGCAAACCATTCATCCTCCATGCATTCGCCACCGGTACGCAGATGAAAGAGGATGTGCGCTGGCTGTGCTGGCTGCTTGGACGTAGAGGGACGAGACGAGGCCGGCGGATTGACGATGGAGATGGCTGGCGGCTCGCGGTGCCAGATGTACTGATCGATGCCGAGGTCAGGCGAGGAATGCGAGTGGTCGTGAATGATCTGTCGCAGGCGAGCTGCGACAAGTGAAAGCTGAGCGAATTGATCGATGGAAGAGGACGACGAGTTAGGTTCGGTCGGTGAAGCTACGTAGATGCGTGCCACCAGCGCCTGTTGCTTTTCTGCGCTGGCAGCTGCCGCCAACAGCCCCGTGACATCGGAGAACGGCAGCGCTCCATCTGGAGGAGCATTGCGTCCCTCCATGGCTGCAAGGAGCGAGCGGGTGATGGTGACGGTGGTGGACGAAGAAAGCTGAGTCGAAGAAAGCCTGTCCAACTCGATTCCAACTGTCACGGCGTTCTTCCAACTTTCCAACTTTTTGCCTCCACATTTCGGCCTCCTTTTTGTGATCTTTATTCCTTTTCTTGTGCCGCATTTGTCGAGGTGATTTTTTGGCGCAGTGCGGCTGCTGTTGGCGCTTTGCAGCGGAGAGTGGAAGAGCGGATTTCCGCCATGGATGCCTCTCTGTCAGTCTGCGATGGCCGGCTTCCGCATTGTGTGTTGAAGCGCGTTTTGGCCTTTCCTTCTCGCTTCCACTCGACACGACGCACACGCTTCGTCACTCAACACTTGCCCACCACCTCATTCATCCTCGACCTCGACCTCATATCCATTGCCGCACGTCAAGGATCCAACCCATACATCGTAGCCTCCGCACGACACACTACACCGAAGCCAGGACGCCATCCGCGCCTGTGCGCGCTATGCCGTCCAAAAGAAGGCGCCCGGCGCTAGACTCTCCCGCACAGAACCACGCCGCATCATCCTCGTCATCATCCTCCTCCGCACAGCTGAACGGTATTCTACCAACAACCCCGACGCATCATATGGCATTGGTGCAGACCGGGCAGCAATCTCCCTCGTTCTTTCAACGCGTCGCTCACTACGCCCGCCTCTTTACACCTTCTCGCAAGCGCCCGCGCATCGACTCAGCCTCTAGCTCCTTACGAGACGCTTCGCCTTCCGCCAGAATACTAGCTTCCGACGACACCCCAGAAGCTCCGGCCAGCGGCTTTGTCGAACTCACGCCTTCCCGATCCTCCCAGTCCTCGGCTCTTGCTTCCGCATCGCCCGCCGACAAACTCGCCGCGCACTTGATCTTCCCTCAAGAAGGCGCCATTCGCGATCCTCTCGGCCGCACATCGGTCGGATCGCCCCTCGGCGCCCGCTCGGTCTCCATTACCGACACCCGCAGCTCGTCCGAGGAGGCCGCAGAGATGCAGATCGAAGCTCCCTCTTCCGCCTCGAGTCCGAGTCCTCCCACCAACGCCGAACTGCCGCCATTGCTCATCGAGTCCCGCAACACCGACGGAAAACAACCTGCTGATGACCAGAATGCAGCTCAGCCAAGTTCAGCCGCACTACCATCATCTCCACTTGGTCCGCTTCCACCAACTCCTAGCACCGAGGCATCGTCCCAGCTGGCTTTGCAGCCAGTCGACCACAAAGACGCTCCCCAACAGCCAGCTCTGCAGTCAGACACTCCCAAGCCAAGCGCCGAAGCAGACCTGATTCCATCAGCGACCGCCGAGACTGACGACATGGCCGCCTCGGATGCGCATTCACACTCGTCCTCATCCGTGCACGACGATTCCAAGAGCAGCAATGCCAACGCAGCTCTTCCCACAGATGCCGACGTCGACCACATCCAGGCCATCTCGACTGCCAAAGTCGGCGACAACATCGAGGGCCTCCTCACCTGGTCAGCACCGCTCACCACGCAGGACGTCGAGCCGCCCTCAGCTTCGCCCTCCGAGGCGGCTGACTCTGCGTCATCGACAGCCGAGTCGGGGACGCGGCCGGATCCGCCCCCGGTCGCTGCCAACAACGTCGTCGACATGACCGGCCTCTCGGACGACTCCTCCTCGAGCGAAGACGACGACCCGGACAAGGAGAACGACATCTCGCTCGTCCAACCCTCGCCCCTCCTCACCTCGGACGCCACGCTGACGTCGTTCGACAACTTTACCCCTTCGCAGCCAGACTTTCGCGCGCCGCAGTCGAGGCACTCTTTCGGCGGGCCTATGACGCAAGCGGCTCTGCGAGAGCAACGCAGTGCGGCGCATCACTCATCCCGATTTGCGACGACGTTCGGCGCCGCTCAAGATGGTTCCGCAGACGAATTGGCAACCGAGCAGATTCGAAGCATCGGTCTGCAGAGCATCGGTCGGCAGACCTCCTTCGTCCAACCTGCCCGCCATCGCCTGCCGCAGGCCTCCACGCCTCGTCAAAGCCTCCCATCGCCCGGGCTTCATCGCTCCATGTCCATCGACAGCACCGCCTCCTCCCTTGCCTCGGACGCCACAGCTCACCGCAAGAGGAGGAGCTCCGGCATCGGCTTCACCAAACGCACCCACATTTTCCAGAAGCAGCATGCACAGGTCGTAAGCGCCTACAATCTCGATGCCATCAAGGCATCGCTCAAAAAGATCAACTTCATGCGCACGTCGCAGCGCAAGACGCTGCTCACGCAGGAACAGTTTGTCGGCCTAGCACTCAAGAGGAGGCAGGTGCAGAGGTTCATCGATGGCGAGAACAAGCATCCGGCGTCGCGCGATGATTCGATAGAGATCCTGATGCGCAAGTTCATGCGCCAGAAGCAGATCGATGCGCAATCCGCCGTGCTCCCCGTCTCCGGCCCCAAGCTGGTCCAGATGGAGAGGCTGGCGCGCGAACGACGCGCCCAGGCAAAGAAGCTGCGCGGCGTGCTTGGCAGGCAGGCGCTGCCTGCTGAGCTGACCGAAGAGCAGGACAAGATGGCCAGCGCCACACTCTCCAAGCGCGGCCAGATTGCGGCGATTCCCGGTGCCCAGGTGGAGGACCATGATGTGCAGAAGCTGCGTCCGCGCCAGTGGCTCAACGACGAAGTTATCAACTTTTACGGCAACCTCATCCTGCAGCGCGCCAACGATGCCGACAAGCGCCGCACAGAGGCCATGAAGACAGCCACGTCCGACGCGAGTGCCGCGCCCGAAAAGCCATTGGTGGGCAAGTCGGCTCGGGCTGGCGGCAAACCGCAGCCAAAGCGGCCGTACGACGCAGCGCTCGATGCCTTCTGGCGCGTGCACTTCTTTTCTTCGTTCTTCTGGGAGAATCTCAAGAACCGCGGCTTTGACGGCGTCAAGCGCTGGACGCGTCGCATCGACATCTTCACCAAGGACCTCGTGCTCTTCCCCATCAACCTTGGCAACTCGCACTGGGTGTGTGGCGCCATCAATCTGCGTCGTCGGCGCTTCGAGTACTACGACTCGCTCGGTGCGCGCAATCCGCGCGCCTTTGAGCTCATGCGCACCTACCTCGCCGAAGAAGCCAAGGACAAAAAGAAGAAGCACATCGACCTGCGGGGCTGGCGCGATGTGTTTAGCGACGAGTCTCCGCAGCAGGAGAACGGATACGACTGCGGCGTGTTTGCCGCCCAGACGCTCGAACAGATCAGCCGCCGCGACCCACATACGCCGATTCCGATGGATCCGCCGACGATTTCGTGGTCTTCGGACGATATCGAGGCGGACGCAGGCAGGATGAAGATCACCGGCGCCGACGCGGAAGAGGACGACCACGATGTGGATGAGTACGAGTGGAATTTCGGCCAGGAGAACATGCCGTACCTTCGCCGAAGAATGGTGTACGAAATCGCCTCGCAGCGCTTGCTTGATTGAGAGCGCGCGGTGCGCCGACTGCACGTGGCGTCGTGAACAGAAGCTCTAATCAGAACCATGTACTTGTAGCTCCGTGTGCATCGTGAAGCGGCTCGACTGAGGTGCGCATCTGAAGTCTCTTGTTTGGTGAAGGGTGGAGTTCAGGGTCCAGTCTGAAGATCCGAGAGCCGAGTTCCGCGGCATGTCAGTGAAAAGATGGCCGTGTGGAGCAAGAGGACGTTCATCTCTGCTTTCATCTGCTTAAGGGGGGCAGCTGAACAGCTTCATAGCAACACCAGCCGTGGTGCGGGCCCGCAATGGGGGTGCTGGAAGACGAGGTGGTGATTCGTTTCGAGACGGCGCCTAGCTACCGCGAGTTCTTCGAACGGTGTCTGGTGGCCAACCGGCCATGCATCCTACCGCGCTCCCTCATAAGCCACTGGCCAGCCGAGCAGTCGCGTGCGTGGGTCTCACCTCACGACGGCTCCATCAACTGGTCTGCACTGAAGCTACACTACGGCTCGCAGACTGCACCGGTGGTCGTAACACGGACGAATGCACAGGGTGACGAGGAGGAAGACAGGCAGGACATGACGATCCGTGATGCTATCGACCTCATCCTCGCCCACCGCACCGACCCTTCCAACATCAAGGCGATCTACATCAAGGACTGGCACATGATCAAACAACTCCACTCCGACGGTTCTGGAGTGGGGGACCCTTATGTGGTGCCGGAGATCTTTGCAGACGACTGGATGAACAATGTTGGTGCGGGGGATGATGATTTCCGCTTCGTCTATGCGGGTACTGCTGGATCGCAGACTCTGCTACACCGCGATGTATACACTTCATACTCGTGGTCTACGAACGTGGTGGGTCGCAAGCGGTGGCACTTGTTTCCTCCGCGTGTGGTGGAGCATCTGCGTCGATTCCCTGCCGTCGACACCTCCCCCATGGTACCCGACATCCAAAGTTTGCAAAACATCATCGACGCAGGGACGGAGGGGAAAGAGTACAGCGAATTGCACAGGGCTTGGGAGGCAGTGCAGGTGGTGGATCAGCAAGAGGGCGAGACGATATTCGTGCCGAGCAACTGGTGGCATCAGGTGCACAACGTGGGCGAGTGCATCTCGATCAACCGCAACTGGTGCAACGCCGTCAATGTGCCGTCGCTGTACAAGTCGATCGAAGCCGAGCTCGAACATGTCGAACAGTCGCTCTGCGATGTGCGCGAGATGCTCTCCAACAACACGGAAGGACAAGAGTGGAAGCACGAGTTCTATAAGCTCGTTCAGGACGTTGCAGTTCAGGACGCAGGTTGGGCCTGGCATGGGTTTTGGAAGATGGTCCTCAGGAATCTGCAAACCCCGCCGACGGACAGCAGGTACAGGCCGGATGCAGAGTGGGTGCAAACGCGCATCCTGCCCCTTGCTCAGCAGTTCGAGACCAGGCAAGATGCTCAATGGCTCGACGCAAGCATCCTCGACACTGCACGTCAATGTCGACAGATGTTACAAGGCCAAATGGGATAAATACAAGTGGCACGATCACGATGAGCACGAAGGCAGATTGCCCGTCAACGGTCGACCGAGCGAGCACAGACGCTGTCCACACAAACAAAGGCGTCAGCAATCTATCGTCCACATCCCATTGCGAAAGGGCACAACTTACGGCTTCTTCAGCGACTTCGTCGGGCGACTTGCCGTCTCGGGGCAGGCCCCAGTCTCGGAATGGATGGGTGGCCATTTCGAGCACCAAGGCGAGTGCGTCGGTGTCGTTGTGCTTCTCGAGACGGTCCGCAACTTCGTTGGTCACCCAGTTGCGCAGCACGAATCGCGGGTTCCTCGTTTTCATCTCGCGCGCCACCTCGTCGCCATCGCGCGCCTCGGCGAGCAGACGCCGCGCGTATGAGAGCAGCCACGCGCGCGCCTGCTTCTCCTTGGGCTCGCGCGCGTACTCGGGCAGCACCGTGGCATCGTACCACACCTCCACCCCCGCATCCCTATCCCCCGCAAAGAACGCGTCGACGATCTTGATGAGGCGGTCTTCGTCATCGGTGCTCGCACCGCGCGCTTTGAGCAGCGCCGGAAAGCGCACGAGCGAGCGCAGTGTCGAGGAGAAATCCAAGTCGCCCAGCACATCCGACAGTGGATCGATGAGCGCCGTCTTATCGTCGGCGCGTACGGTCGCCAGGCCCAGACGCGCGCAGTAGGCCTGCTTCCAGTGCTCGAGCAGCGTGCTCGTAAACAGCGCCTCGAGCGACTCGGAGAAGTCGTCCGAACACAGCTCGCGCCACTCGTCGATCTGGGAGTCGCTGGCGCGCAGAAGCTCACCGGGCGCCGGTGCACGGTCGTGCTCGATCTCGAAGCCGACCAGCGGCGCCACGGCGTTGAGCAGCTCGCGCAGCGCAAACACACCCATGGTCGGTTGGAGGCGGTAGGCGTAGCGACCCTCTCCGTCCGAATGGTTGCAGATCTGGCCCTCGTCGTACAGATCCATAAAGGCGTACGGACCGTAGTCGATCGTGTGGCCGGTGAGTGCGATGTTGTCGGTGTTGAGAACGCCGTGCATAAAGCCGTAGACCTGCCAGAGCGCAAATGTGCGCGCATTGCGCGTAGCCACCTCTTGCACCATCCGCCGCGCCCACATCGGCCGCTTTTCCGCTTGTTCCGAGGAGACGGCACCACCTTTGACGACGTCGGTGAAGCCAAAGATGTCGTGGGAGACGTACTCGCCCAGGATGCGGGATGACTCCCATTCGCCGCGCGAGCTGTGGATTTGGAACGAGCCGATGCGCAGCCACGACGGACACATGCGCGTCGTGATGGCTGCCACATTCAGACGCTCGCGCACCACTTTCAGCTCGGGCAGCGCCACGACGGCGAGCGCACGGCTGGTGGGGATACCCAGCGCCGCCATGGCCTCGCTGCACAGGAACTCGCGCACGCTGCTCGTGAGCGTCGCCAGACCGTCGGCGAAGCGCGAGTACGGCGTGCGTCCGGCACCCTTGAGCTGGATCTCCCACCGCTCGCCCGTGGCCGGGTTCTTGGTCTCCATGAGCGTAAATGCACGCCCGTCGCCAAGCTGACCCGCCCAGACGCCGAACTGGTGCCCCGCGTAGCACAGCGACCACGGTGCATACTCGCCGCCGGCGCCCGAGGCGCGCTTCTGCTCGAGCTCGTCCAGCCGACGCAGCGTACGTGCCTCGGTGCTCTCGTCGACTACCTCGCCCTTGATGATCTTTTCGCGCAGACGCATGTACTTGGTGCCGTAGCCAGCGCGCTCGTCCGCCTCGAGTGTGCTTGCGTCGCCAACGATGCGCGCACCGATCAGACGGCCAGCCACAAAGTCGCTGAGCGTCTTGCGCGCGGCCACTTCGGGAGAGACGTCGGTGGTGGTGGCGGCATCGGCCATGGGCCCGGAGCTGTACGAGCTCGGGCCAGCGGACTTGTTGTTCTTCTTGATCCATTCGAGCGCATCGCCCACATCGAGGTGCGGCAGGCAATCGCGCAGCACCGCAGGCGACACACCGAGCAGCCGTGCCGAAGGAAAGTGCTGGTGCTTGCGGCGCGGAGGCACGTGGCCCTGCAGCCCGTCACCACCCGCACCCGCCTCGGACGGCTGCACTTCGTACCGCTGCAACATTTGCTCGACCTCTTGCATCCTGCGCTTGTGTGCCTGCTCGACCTTTTCTTTCTTTTGCTGCTCGGTGAGCTGTGCCTCGTCGCCATCGTCGCGCTCGAGCTCCTGCTGGTGGCGCTCGCCCAGCGCCAGCTCGCCCTCCTGCTCGGGCGGGAACTCGTATGGGAACGAGAGCGGCAGGGTCGACAGGAAGCTGAAGTGGGCGCCCTGGCCGACGGGACGCGCGCGACGCACGAGCGAGGGCGACGAGCCGGACACCGAGACGATCGAGCGCGGCTCCGGCGTGACGGGATCGGCGAGCAGGTTGACGGTGAGCCGCTCCGAGGCGGGCACGAGCGGCAGGTTGAGCACGTCGTACGTCTTGATCTTCATGTTGGGCGATGTAGCAGTCGAGCTAAAGGAATGGGAAGGCGTGCAGGCGAAGGGGTTTCTGGCGCCGATGTTTCGCAGATGTCGGAAGGAATGGTTGGAGCTAACGACTGCAAGTCGATGCGTCAATGTCATGGAATCCACGATGCCGTCTTGTCGGAACTGCGGCGTTGCGAAGTCCTGAAAGAAGCGCAGCAGCGATGGCGGACGGGATGAAGGAGGCCGGAAGGAAAGGAGGCCGGCCGTCTTGCCGGTGCAGCAACTTCCGATGAATCACCGCACAGTCACGCTGAGCTCCGAGTGGAGGTTTCTGCAAGTCGCCGCGAACAGACAGGCGTCGTGCAGCGGGCCAAAGACGTGCGACCAAGTGAGGCAAAACTAAACAATGTTAGACTGTCTCTGTTACCAACTTGTAATTTTTCCTGCGTGGCCTGGCGCGCCACTTTCCCCGCATCGCTGAAAGCGGACGCGTCGGAGAGCAGAGTGTGGCAGCAGCGCAGGGCAGCAGTTCCTTTCTTTCTTTCGCTGTGGGCGGCGATTCGTTGGCAGCTCTTCCGGATGCAGGAAAGCAGGAAGAACAGGGCAGCCGAGCTCTATCCGGCGCCTTTTTTTGCTTGAGGCTGCTGCTGCTGCTGCTGCTGCTGCTGCTGCTGCTGCTGCTGCTGCTGCTGGTGTTGGTCTCGCTCGGGCCGCGCGACCCTGGATGGACGGCGCATTGCTGCCACGTTTGCACGGCCCCACATCCATCCACCACGCTCTGCACCTTGCACCTTGACCACCACCACCACCTCGACAGGCGCCATCGCAGCGTCGAGCTCGATCGCTTCGCAGCATCCAACGCTCGCGCCATGAGGAGCTCCGTGTGGCCAGGGCTGTACATTGCAGCTGGCATTCTGCTCCGCGTCGGCCTCTTGCTTTGGGGTCAGCATCAGGATGCCAACCACGCCGTTCCCTACACCGATGTCGACTACTACGTCTTCTCCGACGCTGCCAAGATGGTCGTCGACGGCTGCCCGCTCTCGGCCATCATTGAGCATCTCGACTACGACTCGGACATCGATCTGTCGGGCCGCAAGGACGTCCAGTGTGCAAACGGCATCGTGCCCGAATCGGCGCGCTTCCTGCTGCTCAACGACCCCAACAGCCATGCGCCTACCGACGGTCTGCGTCCGGACGAGTCGGATGCAATGTACTACTGGGCCAAACGCTCGTACCGGTTTGCAAAGCCGGCATTCGATCTGTTCGCCTCGCTCGGAGATCCGTATGCGCGCCCCACGTACAGGTACACGCCCTTCCTCGCGGTGCTGCTCGCGCCCATCCATCTGTTCGGGTGGGCCGACTTTGGCAAGTACATCTTTGCCGCGAGCGACCTGCTGTGTGCAGTGTTCATGTGGCTCATCCTCGACGGACGCCGCCCGCAAGCCTCGTCCGCCGGAGTATTTGTGCATCTCCCAGGCTTGCTGTGGATTCTCAATCCCATGGTCGCCCAGATCTCGACGCGCGGGTCATCAGAGTCGCTCGTGGGGCTCTTTGTCCTCTCCTTCCTCTACTTCTTCCTCAAGGCTAACCCAGAGGCGCCGCTCGGTCTCAGTGCAAAGTACCTGCCCGAGTTCGGTTTTGCCTCGGCCTCAGCTGATGTCGACAACAAGGCGGGAAAGGCGAAGGATGTGGTGGCAGCTGCTACTTACGAGGCACTACCGCCCGAAAGCGCTTCGAGTCTGCTCGACTGGTCGCTCGAGGCGTACGTCGCACCTACGCTGCTGGGCTTGGCGACCCACCTGAAGCTGTTCCCCGTCATCTACGCGGTGCCCGTGCTTGCGCACCTGTACCGATCGACGGTCACCGCGTATGCACCCGAGCGTCGCGCGTCGCTCAGCCTCTGGACACGACACGCGGCGGGCATCCAGTTTGGCTTTGTGGCGTTCTACGCCTTCATGGCGGCCAACGTGGCTGCGTGGGCCGTATGGGGGACGCCTTTCATCGAGCATACCTTCCTCTACCACCTGCGCCGCGCCGACCACCGCCACAACTTTAGCCCCTACTTTCTCGGCACGTATCTGTCGCTGTTTGCGGCCCCGGCACACGATGGCTCGGTGGTCGAGCGCGTGCTTGCATCGCCGCTGCTGTCGTTCCTGCCGCAACTGAGCGTTGTGGTTGCGCTCGGATACCTCCTGGGCAAGCGCGACGTGGTGGCAGCCATGACGGCACAGACGATCGCCTTCGTCGCGTTCAACAAGGTGTGCACCAGCCAGTACTTCCTCTGGTTCCTCTGGCTCCTACCGCTCGTGTGGCCCAGCCTCAAGGTCGGAAGGATCGAGACGGGTGTAGCGGTGGCAGCGTGGGTGAGCGGACAGGCGCTGTGGCTCTCGCAGGCGTACCAGCTCGAGTTCCAGGCAAAACAGGTGTTTGTGCGCGTCTGGGCGAGCGGGCTCGTGCTGTTGGCCATCCATGCCGGTCTGCTCGTCTGGTTCCTCTCGTCATGGGCCAGGTTCCGGGCTGAAATCCAGAAGCACGGTCTCAAGCTTCGTGACGGCAAGCTGGTCAAGACGCTCAAATCGCAATAGACAGCTCTAGGTTTCTGCTCCCTATCGTGTGTGTGTGTGTGTGGTGGGCTCTCGGTCCCACAGACGGTGAAGTGGCGGATAGGGTCACGGCAATGCACCGTCTGCGAGTCGCCCCCGAACAGCGCCCCCTTCTAGTTGAACCTCGTGGGCCTACTGAGCCGGCGGTAGAGTCGAGCTGAATGCAGCCACGTCTCGTCTGGACCCAGACCCTATGAGCTCTCTTGGTGGCTCCTAAGCGCTCTTCTCCGGACAGCGGCCGGCTGACAGAATGCGCACCGGTAGATTGCCGAAGCATCGTTTGGCCGCTCTAACAAAGGCCGATTTTCTCGCGAGGTGCATTTGTGGTCTGATTTTCGACCACGCGTTTGCAACAGAGTGGCTGGCGGGCTTGGCGAGCAGCGGCAGATCTCGGCGCGAACGTCAGCACGCGCGAAGCTCGTTGGCGTCCACGCTGACAAGCTCTCGAAAGAAAAAAAAATCCAAAGAATCCATGCGGCGTCGGAGAGGCAAATCGGAGTCGCCGCGAAGTAGCGCTGCACGGTGGCACTTTGCCAGTGTAGGATCGACGCGACATCAAGGAGCCACACGGGTGCCGGAGAGCCTTGTTTCTCGAAGGTTTGAATCAGCGTGTCAACGCGTCGGTCGGCCCCCACGCACCCACGCACGACGGGTGAGAGAAATAATGACGCTGCATGGGTTGCTGAGATTGCTCTTGGCTCACAGCAGCAGGGCACGGACGAATTGCAGCGCGTGCGGTTAGCACTCTCGGACCATGTCGATCCTCTTGCGCAACCGCTGTGGATTGCAATCGAGCGCATGCGCAGAGCTCTGCGGCTGCACGTCCCCTCTGCACGGGTTTTTTTTTTTTTTTTTTTTTTTTCATTTTGACCGACATTTTGCACCCGGCCGTCTTGATCCGCTCGTCACTGTTGCCATTGTTGCCGCGGTGGTCGAGATCCGACGCCTCGAGTCAAGCAGAGACGCGATGTTGCGCAGACCAAAGATAACGATGCTGAGGTCTTGGCATGGAGCCTGAGTTTGAGGCCGAAGCTAACTCAATCCCCTCCACCCCCATCTGAAGCTCACGTTCTTCCTCTTTCGCTGCGGAGGCGCGGGGGCGGGGTTGTGGGAATGCGAGAGGCGCGCACTGGCGCGGAAGTGCCGAAGGAATTGACTGCCCCGGCACAGCCGCAATTCCCAGCTGCGAGCTTCGGAACAGAGCTTCCGTTGGCGAGAGACGCAGCGCTTGCAACTCGTCCGTCGTGACTCCGTGCAGCTCAAGCAGCCACCCATGCTCCCTCCAACTCAGAGGGTTCGGCTCGGCTATTCCACCACAAAACCCTTCGCAGTGGACATGGCAGCCGTCGCCGCATCACCAAATCAGAGCCAAGTCATTTTTTTTTCTTTTTTTTTTTTTTGCTCCTTTCGCGCCGAAGCGTTTTTTCACTCATTAGCCATCCGAAGCCAATTTAATCCTCCGCAGCCCTCAGTCAAATCAGCCAAGCGAGCGATGAGCAGTGATGAGCAGCAGCAGCAGCCAGTGAGATGCCACTCCGAAGCCACACACGCTGCTGAGCTTCACCGACGTTGCTGGCTCGCCGCGCAAACGAACGTCGCCTTTGGCTCGCCTCCGCGGCAGTCGAGTTTTGGATGGCTCCGCCGTCGGCGCCTACTCCTCCTTCCTCTCCAACCCCCATCCATCCTCCCTCCTTCCATCCTCCCCGCATCCTCATCCCCACTTGCGATCGATCGCTCGTTCGCTCGCTTCACGTCCCTCTTCGATCTGCTGGGTCTTGATCGCATATAGAGCGCCCCTCGTAGTCGGTTGGCTCCACCGATCCCTCCGTCTTCCACCACCTGCTACCGTCTTCGTCGCCGTCCTCGACTCGGCCACGATCCAAGCGCTGCTTTGTTCCAGCTGTTCTGTATAGACAAGCCTCTGCTTGCTCCCACGACCCCATCTCAGGTCCGCGCATTCACTCCAAAAATGGCCTCCATCCTCAACGCTGGCCAGCAGGGCCTCAACTTTTCGCAGTCGGCCCCCTCGGCGCCGCTGGCGCGCTCCGACTCGGTGATCGGCAAGCTGCTCTCGCTCGTCGACCTCACGCGCGTGCCCTCGTTCCAGGAGGCCGATCGCACCACCGTCGTCTTCTCCATCCTCGCCGTCGTCGCCACGCTCCTCCTCGCAGAGCAGTACAACTACCAGAAGAAGAAGGCCTGGCTCCCCGGCCCCAAGTGGACCATCCCCATCATCGGCAAGTTTGCCGACTCGCTCAACCCCTCGCTCGAAAAGTACCAGCAGGGATGGAACTCGGGCCCGCTCAGCGTTGCCAGCGTATTCAACATGTAAGTTTCAGCGACTGTCGGCATTCCTTTTGGTTGCGGTGACTGACTTTGTTGCGACTTTGCATTGGGTTCCACAGCTTCATCGTCATTGCTTCGTCGAACGAATACGCCCGCAAGATCCTCAACAGCCCCACCTATGCCGAGCCCTGCCTCGTGGCTTCCGCCAAGAAGGTGCTCTGCCCGGACAACTGGTAAGTCATGAAACGGCTCTCACCCCACACGTGCGCGCTTCTCCGCATCCGCACGCAGATCCCACTTTCAGACGAGGCTCTTTCATCTCCTCGCAGTAGCGCAGCCGCGCTTCATTTCGGCGTCTCACCAGGATGAAATGCTGACGCCACCTCTTCCTTTCGGATCGGAAATCTCACAGGGTCTTCCTGAGCGGCAAGACGCACGTCGACTACCGCAAGGGCCTCAACACGCTCTTTACGCGCAAGGCGCTGGGCATCTACCTCGGCATCCAGGAGACCATCTACAAGCGCTACTTTGACGAGTGGCTCGCCGACCCCACGCCCGAGGCGCAGCCGTACATGATGAAGTTCCGCGACCTGAACATGGAGACGTCGCTGCGCGTGTTCTGCGGCAACTACGTCTCGGACGAGGGCGCCAAGGAGATCTCGGACAACTACTGGCTGATCACGGTGGCGCTGGAGCTGGTCAACTTCCCCTTTGCGTTCCCGGGCACCAAGGTGTACAATGCGATCAAGGCGCGCAAGACGGCGATGAAGTGGTTCGAGCTGACGGCGCGCGAGTCGAAGAAGCGCATGGCCGAGGGTGGCGAGGTGACGTGCCTGACGGATGCGTGGATCAAGGCGATGCTCGATGCGCGTCTGCAGAAGGAGAATGCCGATCTGGAGGCCGAGACGCGCCGGGTGCTTGTGCGCGACTTTTCGGACCGCGAGATCGGCATGGTGCTGCTGAGCTTCCTGTTTGCGTCGCAGGATGCCATGTCGAGCGGACTGACGTATCTGCTGCAGCATGTGGCGGACCGACCCGAGATCCTGCGCAAGGTGCGCGAGGAGCAGTACCGCATCCGTGGCGACGACATCAACGCGCCTCTGACGTACGAGGCGATCGAGCAGATGGACTACACCAAGGCGGTGGTCAAGGAGAGCCTGCGCATGAAGCCTCCCGTCATCATGGTGCCTTACCTCAACCACAAGGAGTTCCCCATCGACAAGAACTACACGGTGCCCAAGGGCAGCATGGTCATCCCGAGCTTCTGGAACTCGCTGCACGACGCCAACGTGTACCCTCAGCCGGACGAGTTCAAGCCCGAGCGTTGGCTGGATGCCGAGGATCCGGCGCAGAAGAACCCCAAGAACTACCTCGTGTTTGGCAGCGGCCCGCACAACTGCATCGGGCAGCAGTACGCCAACATGCACCTGACGGCGGTGCTGGGCACGGCGAGCGTGCTGATGAACTGGCAGCACGAGGTGACGCCGCTCAGCGAAGAGGTGGAGGTGATCGCCACCATCTTCCCCAAGGACGGCGCCAAGATGAAGTTCGAGCGCCGCGCGGCTCCTGCGCCGGGCACTGCGCCCGAGGTGGCGGCGCGTGCGTAAGGTGGCCTGCCGTGGCGAGGCGGGTGTTGCCCGGTCGACCGGCTGGAGTTGACGCCTGGGCCCAGTCATGAGGCGACGCGACGCGATGCGCTACCCTGCACGGTCGATCCGTTGTTGGCGTGCGTAACGTTGGGGATTGCAATGTTGTTACGATGTTGACTGCAATCTCAAGCTGTAGATTCAGTATGCGACCAGGCGGTGTTTGCGTGTGTGATGGCGAGAGAGAGTGCAGATTGCGAGAAAGGTGCGAGGTACAAGTACAGAAGGAGTCCAGAACGAGGCAGCAAGTGGATGACTATGCGGTGCGCTTGTTGGTTCGCTTGTCGAAGGCGAGGGTGTTTTGGGCGTGGAGGCGGAGGGCTGCAAAGGGGCTTTTGGTGTAGGCTGGGTCGGAGAGGATGAGGTTTTGACGCTGCATTTCGACGGAGCTGCGACACGACACGAAAGAAAGCAAGGGTAAGCACAGGCATGTCGGTACAATCGAGATACGAGCTGTATCAGGCAAGAATGAAGACTTACAGGGCTGCTTTGCGGGCCTTTTCTGTGACGGTGGCGTCTTTGCGAGACTTTTGCGCGCCCACCAGCGGGTGTGTGGAAGATGGCTGATTCGATCGTGCCGAGTATGCGCCCATATCGTCATCTTCGTCCTCGTCATCGTCGAGCTCTTCGGCACTTTCATCGTCCTCGAACTGTTGTGCGACTTCGTCCATGGCCTCGGCAAGGTCCTTGAGGCCGGTGGTGTTGCCAGCGAGCTGCTCCTTCTGCTTGCGCTTCTGACGCCTTAGCGAGGACTTGGACAGGGCGCCGTTCTTCGGCTCGAGGTTGAGCAGGGAGGATTTTCCGGATGGATTGACCTTGGACATGAGTTCCGCGCGCTTCATGGCACGCTTGGCCGCCTTGGTGATCTGGGTGGGAGGAGGAGCAGCGGCATTGGCGGCAGGCGTGCCAGCCGAGCGGGCGCGGATGGTGGAGGTGACGGACGAACGGTTCTTGGAACGAGGCGCCGAACGGCCTCGAATGCCCTGGTCTGCGCGTGCCATGGTGTCTAGAGGTCGAGAGAGCGAGCTGGCAAGAGATAGTAGTGGTGGTGAGCAGAGCGGACGTGCAGCATTGCAAAGGTGGGGGAAGGGCGAACTTTTTGTGCGGTGTTTCTCGAGCCAAATTTCCATCTCGATACGCGGTCGAGGCAGGACCCGATCCAGCCGATTGGACTCTTTGATTTTGAAAGGGTGTAAGAGCGAGGATGCAAAGCGAGAGAGAGCGTGAAAAAAGGGTGAAATGGCGGAAGCTTTTTTCTCGGACGTCAGTGCAGCAGCTGCATGCGAGGCGCCCGCTGAAAACACCCGCGTGTCAGCCTTTGCTCCGAGACCAACACAATCCAAAAATCACACACGCATGCACACGCACGCCGTGACGGCAGGCTCGCCCATCCAGGGTTCAACCCGCTGGCACTCTGCATCGGAAGTCCAAAATTGCAACGTGAGCCGACGAGCCATTTGGGTTTGGCATGTGCTTAGAGTGATTGGCAGCGTTCGTTCGGCTCTTTGGGATGCTCGCTCGCCAAGCTCAACAGGCGAGTCGTGAGTTCTGACAGGAACCCAACAGGAACGCAGAGCCGACAAAAAGTCACTCGAGAGACACTCGTCAAGCAGCGCACGACAGCCCGTCAAAGCCCACTCACCCCTCTGTCACGCCTCTCCTCCTCGTCGTCCATCCCACACCGGGGTCGTCTGCGCGCCACCCGTTGCCTCGTCCCTCCATCGTCCCGCCAACCAGCGCAGCAGTTCTCTGCCCCAACTTTGGAAGTTCTCGAGCGCCACGATCAGTCAGCAACCCGTGACGGCCTCGTGACTGCCTCGTCACCGCCTGGCCCTTCCCAACAAAGCAGTCGCACAGGCATAGGCACGCGCACCGACACGCCACGCCACCGCACGGCACCGCACGGCACCGCACGGCGCAGCCCAGTCGAAGCAAAGATCGAATCCTGCCTGCAGATCGGCCGCGGAACACGCGCATACATTCATCCGCTGTTGTGCGCGCGCATCTCCGTGGCAAGCCTCTTCGTTGCAACCCGGCCTTCCAAACCCTAGCCCGACCCCACACACACAGAACCGCTTGCTACGTGTCAGCGGAGCCCCGCTCTGGCGTCCCCATCGCGCAGTCCCAGCCTCCATTGGGCTCAACTCCTCGACGCTGGTACTGCTCGCGGCTTGGGCTGCTCTTCCATCCCTCCCACCACCGTCTCCGCCATCTTCGCTTTCTCAACCGTTGACGACTCACAATGTCCGTAGTTCGCGACCCTCGCGATCCCGCCTACGACGACCTCGAACGCCTGCCGTCAAGTCTAAGCATGGATCTCGACTTTCGCAACAAGCCATCGCAGCCCTTTCGCTGGGTTGACGACGACAGGCATTCCGACGATGGCATGCTCACCACGGATACCTCCGGTCCTGCAACACCTGCTGCCGCCACCACGCGCAGCACTACACCTCACATCGTCGCGTACTGCGGCACAGAACCAAAGAATGTCGCCATCACCTCGGGCGTGCGCGCCTGGACGAAACATCAGGCGTACGGCGCTAGCGATGCGCTCATCAAGTACGCCACCGCCTCTCCCCTTCTGCCGCAGCAGATCGCAGAGATGGTGTCCAACCTCAGCGTCATCGCGCGCGTCTCCCTCAAGGCCGCAGCCTTCTTCATCGAGATCATCCTCGAAGCAGCACGCGACGCCACTGGTCTCACGCTCGGCATCACTCGCCGTGCGCTCATCGGCGCCATCGGAACCGCAAGAGCCGTACACTCCATCACTTCCGGAGAGGCCTGGGACGCAAAAGCTACGGGCCGCTCCCTCACTGCGCCCAATCCGAGCTTTCTCAGCATTCTCGACAAGTACACCGCCGTTGGCATCTACCTTGTCCACCATACTTTCACCCTCGCCGAGCTCTTCACCATGGGCGGTTTCTCGCTCGTACAGACCGGCTTGACAGCAGGTATTGCAGCCGCAGACGAATCCGTCCGCACACTCGACGGCATCTTTGGATCCAACGAGACCTCCCGTGCCCTCGCCTCCTTCGTCACCCTTGTCCGCGGCGAGGTCAACGACGACCCGCGCTTCGCCAAAGACAGCTATGTCTCCATCCTCGCCAAGCTCACAAAGGCCGTCACTGCCTTCGCCGTGCTCCAGAACTCGACGTACAAGCGCAGCGCAAAGAGCATGAAGATGCGCGTCGTCTACGACTGCACCATCCTCGGAGAGGTCGAGTCCAAGAGCTGGAGGTCGCTCATGGTCGGATCGGGTAACTTCAAACGCGCTCAGCCCGCCGCCTTGCTGCCATCGCCAGCAGCAGACGACTTTGAGTCACTCTCGCTACAATCACCACCGCGAAGGACCGCTTCGCTTTTAACGCCGAACCACCACTTGGCGCCGTCGACAAGCTCAACAAACCTTCCAACATCTCGCTCAAGAGGGTATCTGGGAGACGGTCTGTGCCTCACCGATGTCGGTCCCGCCGTGCCTCATCGCAGTTGGGGTTCGGGCTGGCCACCAACCCCGCAGGACCAGGCGAATAACATGCAGGATGATGCCTCGCTCATCGAGGACCTCAACTTCCTCGTCGGAACCGACGGCGGCGATGAGTCGCTCGAGTCCAGCATCACCGACGATCAGCTTCCCGTCGACCTCCGCTCCAAGCTGCAAGCATACTCGGACGACCAGCTCCGCAACGGCGTCGTGCTGCGCGACGGTCAGCGCGACATGCCCAAGCAGCTTCTGCGCCGCATCCGTAAGACCGACAGCGCCACGGGCAATCGCGAGACCGTCTACGAGATCACCACCGAGATCATCGAGACCGTAGAGACCATCACCACCGTCGAGCACATGGGGTCCGACGCAGTGTCAGCGAATGGCTCCACTGGCGCACCGCTGGACTCCTCCGCTGCTCGTGTGCACGACCAAGCTCTCTCGTCGCATCCCGCGGGAACCCTGCGCCGCGATGTGACCAGCAGCAAGAGCGGCACCGAGACCCACTCGACCTTTGAAGGTGGCCACGAGACCAAGCTCGAGGAGGATGAGGAGTGGTGCGAGATCCGCACCACCGACTCGCGCACTCCGCATGCCGCGACACAACTCAACCACGCCAACGCTCACAATGCACGCATGGATGCAGAGGCTGGCACGACGTCGCTCGCCATTCCGGAGGCACCCAACGGGGCAGCGGCGAACGCAGCGCTTATCCACGGCAAGCCACGGAGCGATACATCCAAGATGCCCGTCGTGCTGAAAACCATGACCAAGAAGCTCATCCAGAAGCGCAAGACGCTGCGCCGCATCGAGCTCGGGGATACGCATGGCGACGCGGATACTGGTCACGACGCTGCTTTCCCGGTCGGGTCAGAGACGGCAGACCTTGTATCGCCTACGCCGGTGACCCCGGTGCTGTCGTCGGTGACCGCGACCGTGCCGCGGCCGGCAAAGGACAAGAGTAGCCGAGGAGCGCGACGCGATGCGCATGCAGACCTGGCGAGTGCAAAGGGGGCAGACCTGGGCCGCGGACTGAACAAGGTGCTGAAGCGCGCAAAGCATCAGCTCATGGGCGCACACCCTGGCGAGTCACGATCGTCGTCACGCCATCTCGAGCCCCCCGCGAGCGTCGCCATGGATCCGCCCTCTCAGATTCACGCGTCTAGTCGGTCGCCGGCGGAAGCGACTCCCTTATCGTCGCCGAGCAAGAGCAAGCGCGCTCTGCCGTCAGCGCCACCATCATCGTCCCACGCCAAGGTGCGCAAGGGCAACGAGGCCGATGCCAAGCCCGACATGGGCACGGCGCGAGGTGCGGGCAAAGAGCTGCCTACGATTCCGCACCGCGGTGCGTCGCAGCGCTCGCTCTTCTCTCCGGAGCCGGTGCGGGCGTCGATGCCTTCGACACCACAAGGGTCGTTGCGGGAGCCCAACCGACGTCGCAGCCGTGCTCCGTCCGTGACATCGATCCGGTCGTTCGCGTCGCGCTCGCACGTGTCGAGCGTGGCTGCAGCCGGCAACTCCGGCGAAGACGGCGTGGACGGCGCAGCGTTCCCGCAGGCGCATCTGGTGGAGAATCTGCGTCGGTTCATGCGCTACTCTTCCGCAGCGTACGGCCAGAACTTTATGCGCATCCTCGGCATCGGTAGTCTAGACTACTTTTTCCCGGACACGAGCAAGCACCATGCCAACGTGTGGGCGTTTGCGCACCACGTCGGCATCCCCGTCGATGCCATCCTGCTCAACAGCTTCTCGGAAGCCCAGCCGCTGTTTACGGAACAGATGTCGCCGCTGGTGAACTATGTCGCGGTGGACGATGCGGCCAAGGCGGTGGTGTTGACGTGCCGAGGCACGATGGGGCTCAGCGATATCCTGACTGATCTCACCGCTACGTTCGAGACGATTGCAGTCGAGGGCGGGCGGAGCGATCGGCACTACCAGGTGCATTCGGGCATGCTGGCGAGCACCAGGCGGCTGTGCAACGAGAACAGCACCGTGATGCAGACGCTGCGCAGGGCGCTCGAGGAGAATCCGGACTACGGCCTGGTGCTGACGGGGCATTCGCTGGGCGGTGGCGTGGCGGCGCTGGCGGCGGTGGAGCTGGCTTGTCCCGCCGATCTGTTCCGACAGCAGTCGTTGAGGCAGAGAGCCAAGACGGGAAGGAACGTGCAGCATCCTCGAATTTACACGCCGTTTGTCACGTCGTTCGACAGCGGCTTGCCTGCGGGGCGACCGATCCATGCGTACGCATACGGTGTTCCGGCAGTGGCATCGCCCGATCTGTCGGCGCACTGCAAGGGCCTCGTGACGAGCGTCATCCACGGCCACGACTTTATCCCCACGCTCTCGCTGGGGATGGTGCGCGATTTCAAGAACATCGCGCACGCGCTCAGCGAGGAGAGCGAGTCGGACGTGGCGCGCGAGATCGTCACGCGCGTCCTGGGCACGTATCGGCAGCGCTCTACCCTGCGTGCACGCGTCGGCGGTGTGCCCGAGCACCTGGCAGCGCTCGAGGCGCCAAGGCCGCAGGAAGCACCACTGAGCGAGCGCGACATGCAGTTGTCGCGCCAGGAACTGCTGGACGGCAAGACGCGCAACATTGCCCGCGACGACAACTACCAAGACCCCAATCTGAAGGAGGACGATCTGGATCCGTTTTCGTACTCGTCCGGCGGCGGACGCGTGCACGAGGGCGGCGATCCCGCCGATCCCGAACTCGCCGACTGGCTCTGGTCGTTGATCAAGACCATCCGCGCCGATATGGACTCGCTCAAGCTGTATCCGCCCGGCGACGTGTACAGCATCGAGAGCTTTGCCGTGTTTGTCACGCCGCGCATGCAGCCCGACAGCGAGGTGGTGGTCGATCGGTCGCAGGCGCAACAGCCGGGCCAGCAAGGGCAGGCGGGCGGAAACAGGGCACAGGCTCACAGGGTGATTCTGCGATACTGCCAGGACGTGCAGAAGCGCTTCTCGGAACCCGTGTTCGCAAAGAGCATGATGCGCGATCATATCCCCACCAACTACGAGCTGTGTCTCAGCTTGCTCCACGAGTGCATCGTCGAGTCGAGCGCCTCCTAATCGACAATTTCAGCATCACACGCGGTGGACAGCCAACGTCATAAATTGATATTTTGGCAGTGACAGCGGGTAACTTTGCTATGCGAGCAGCTCATGCAGGGGCTTTGTGACGGCGTCAATGGTGGTAGTGGATGGTGGGACGGTCCAATCCGTGTCGAGCAGGGCGGACTCGAGCTGCGTCCACGTGTCTGCAATGGCGTCGGTGTCCAGATCGAGCGTGGACGAGAGGATGGCGTAGAGATGTTCTGCGGTTGCAGTGCGTACGGTCGGAAAAGCATGTGCCAAGAAGAGCGGTACACTTTCCAGCAGCATTTCTCGCGCACCGGGCTGCTTTTCTGGCTGGGTGAGGAGAAGGTTGACCGCCAGCCTTGCGGATGCCGTGAGTCGTAGGATGCTCTTGATCCGCTGGACACCCGATGTCGCCATGCGTACGAGCCGGACCACCTGCTCTGCCACCGGTTGGGGCTCTCCACCCTCGAGCACGAGGTTGACCGTGTGCAGTGCGGGAACGAACACCCTGTTGTCGCCGAAACATCGCTTGGCCAGCAGGAACAGATCGCCCAACAGCTCCGACCGCGCATACGCCGATCCAGTCGTGAGTTGGCAAAGTGCCGGGCCGATGATCCGTTCGCCCAAGTCGGTTTTCGATCCCACACTCACCACGAGGCCCTCGAGAATGGGCGCGCGGTAGGCCTGTACGCGGAGCAAGTGGACGATAAGCGGAAACGCCGCCTTGGCCTCTCTAAACTTGCGCTCCTCCACCTCGTCATCCAGGTCGCCGTAGGTGGACTGGACGACGTCGTAACCGTGCGGTCGTAGGCCGTTCGAGGAGGAGTAGGCGCCGTAGATCGCCAGCACGCTCGTGCCCGCAGTATAGCGCACGTGATCGATGCGCTCCGCAGCCTGTTTCCACAACGCGGCCACGACGCTGTGAAAAGCGTCGCCGAGCCATTCGTCGACGTCGAGCTGCAGCGTCTGGAATCGCACCAGCACATCGCGCAGGCCAACGATGCAGCTAAGCCTCACCCACGACCCCACATCGCCGCGCTGGTCCATCGTATAATCGGTCAGCCCAGCTAGCATGGCTTGTACGACCGAGCGCAGCGTCGCGGCGGTACACACGCGCGCAAAGCTGTCTCCGAGTCCCAGCACCGCACGCGCCAGACTGTCGGCCGCATTCCGCCTCGTCTCGATATTCACCGCATACAGCGCGTTCGGAGCGTCCTTGGTACCGGCCCGGCCGATTGCGATGAGGTGTGCAACGGCAGCGTCGAAAGGTGCTTGTGCGGTGTAGTCCACAGCGCCTAGGAGGAGCGCATTGCTCTGCTGCTGCGCTACGCTAAGATGCGACCACGCCTCGATGGTCGAGTGGATCTTGGCGGTAAGGTCGACAGTGCTGCCGAGGTTGGCGATGGCGTCGGCAGCGGCGGTATGAACGGACTCTTCGGGCCGCGCGAGAGCGAGATTGAGCACCTTCTCCCACGTCTGCGTCTCGTTGGGCGAGGTGGTGAGCGTGGGCCCATGTGCGGCGCCGATGAGCTGGCAGGCGGCTTGGACGAGCGATGCAGCGCCCAGCGCACGGAACGCACTTGGACGCACCAGGTCGAGCAGTCCAAACGCGCGCGCGCGCATCGCCTCGCCCACACCGCCAGTGAGCGTGCGCGACAAGGCGCTTGTCTCGGCGAGACTCAGCAGTGTACCGTGCAGCACTGCCGTATCGCCCGTGGTGATACGAGGCGCCAAACGCTGCGTAAGCTCCAGGAGCGATTCGGGGTGCGCTACAGCGATGCGCGCCAGCGCCTGGGCACCGAGTCTGCGCATGGCCGCGTCCCAGTGCACCGTGACGACGTCCACCAGGTGGTCGACGACAAACGGTCTGTACTCGGTGAACTGCGCCACGCCCACCGCGCACTCGAGAAACGCAGTGCGTCGGACGCTGACCGCATAGAAATCCGTCATGCGGATCACGTCGATGCCGTGCGGGAAGAGCTCGAGCCTGCCGACGCACTCCTGGAACGCGGCGCTTGCAGCACGGCGGATGGACACGTCGCGGTCGAGCGTTGCAACGACCACGAGCCTGCATGCCAGATCCATCGCGTGCGGGCGGATGGACTGGGTATCGTTCGACCTCGCCAGCGCCCATACGACGTAGCACACCGCATCGCGCACATTAGCGCCCACCGAGTGCGCGCCGCGGCGCACGTCGAACAGCAGCGCGCGCAGCATCCACGGCAGCGCCTCGGCGAGCGTGCCGGCGAACAACAGCCCACGACGCGCCAGCTCGGCAAGCGCCATGCATGTCCCCTGCCATGTGTGCTCGGACACGGCGCTCAGATCGAGCGTGCCCGCGTCGGGGTCCGGGATGTTGATCTGGAACAGCGAGACGATCGCCTCGACCACCTGATCCAAAAAGCTCGTGGGGAGACGGTCGCATACGCGCGCAAGCCCCTTGGCTGCACTGAACCGCACCACCGTGTCATTGTGCTGCAGCGCCTCGATGAGCACCGATATGAACGATTCGATCTCCTCCGGCACGTCCGACTCGTCGTCATCTTCCTCCGCGTTGCCACTAGCTGATTCCGTCTCGGGCCCGAGCATGTGCAGCTTGTTGGCACCACGCCGCGCACGCGGTCGCAGCAGCTTCACCGCCAGCCGACCGGTGAGCTTGGTGCGGAACTTGGCCACCAGTCCGTTGCGCTCCAAGGCCGAAGCGGGAGCTGCGTACGACTCTGCAATGGCCTGGATGGGGGTAAAGTGCTCGGCGACAAAGGCGGGCTCGGCGGTCTTAACCACCTGACAGAGCGCCTGGAGGATGCCCGTGGCCTCGAACGAGTTGGACGTCTCGCTCGCCAACGCCTTGGCGCTGGTATCGAGGAAGGCGGCAAAGTGGGATCCACGCTGGACATCGGTACGCTGGAACAGCTTGCCAAGGACGACTGCAGCAGCGTCGCGCTCCTTGCCCGGGCTCGCGAGGAAGTGCCGCGCAACCGAGGCGATGCGCGACGCCGTCGAAAGGTCGGCCGTCTGACGTGCACAGTCGAACTTGGCCAGGTCGAAGGGGATCATGCAGATGAGCGAGAGCCACAACAGGCACACGTATCGCACTTGCCAGCAGCTAGACGCCGCTTCGGCGCTGTCGTCGTCGGCATGGTCGCGCAGATGCTCGAGGAAGGCGAGGGTGGGCGTGAGGTCGGCCACCTCGTGTGGGAAGTAGTGCACAATAGTCTTGTAGCCGCGCACCTTGGTGTATGCGTACACGAGCTTACTGAGCCTTGCTATCGATTCCGCAGGAGGTAGGTCGGATGAATCGGCGGCGCTGGAGCCAGAGAGGGCGCGGACATGGCGCTGGAGGGCCTCGACGGGAGGCGAGACGATGGAGTGCAAGTAAGGGTCGAGGAGATGCGCTTGGTCCTGATACTCGTCGAGGATGGCAGTGAGGGCGCCGAGCAATTCGTCCTGCGTCTGCGTTTTTGTTCTGTCGCGCGACGATGTGGGATCGAGCGTGCTGGTGGTGGCATGTGAGGGGACCAGCTGTGACAGCAGCGAGAGGTATTCTTGTGCACGCTCGAAGCGGACGAGCTCCTTCTCCTCGACCAGCGGAGGTGCGCTGTCGATCATCGTGATGGGCTCGGATGCTGATGCAGCGAAGCAAGGGGCTTGCGTGCTGGGTATATGGGCATTGGAAGGCCAAGGCAGGAGGAAGGTGAGCTTGGCTGGTGAGAAAGGGTGGGCATACGCGGTCAGAAGGTGTTGGAGTGTTGGTCTGAGGCGCTTCGTCTCGGCTTTCGGAGGAAGAAAAATTGTCAAAGTGTTACATTTTCCAGACCATCCGCGGAGAAGGAGTCACTTGAGAGGTTCCCGCGGAAGCCGCCGATGCGGTACTCAGCCTTCGCTACTGAGCCTTCTTGGACGGCGCACGGACATACACTCGAGGTCTCGCCCATCTCACGGCTTCTTTCATCCCAACCACCACACCGCACTTCCTCGAGATGACAGACACGAGCAAGACCCCCTCTGACCAGCTGGTGACCGACGCCAACAAGGCGTTCTACGCGCTCACCGCGGCGGAGTACGACAAGATGGGCCGCGGCATGGTGGTGGAAGTGGCCAAGACGAACGCGGCCAACATCCTGGCGCGCGTGCCGGGCATCGACGCCTCGTCGACCGAGCTCATGGACTTTGCCGCAGGCACGGGTCTGCTAGCCACGTTTGTTGCGCCGCGCTGCAAGAGCGTCACCGCCGTCGACCAGTCGGAGGCCATGATCGACCAGCTGCGCCAGAAGCTCGACGCGCAGCAGGATGCTGCGAATCGCATCAGCAACATTGTGCCCGTCGTCACGGATATTCTCGTCGATGGCGAATCGGAGATCACTGGGAGACAGTACGATGTGATCACGTGCACCAACTCGTACCACCACCTGAGCGATCCTGCCAGGGTGACGCAGGTGCTGGCCAGCTACCTCCGTCCCGGCGGCCACCTTGCCGTGGTCGATCTGAACAAGACAGAGGACTCGGCTGAGTTCCACACTGCCCCCAGGACCGTCGAGCAAGAGGACGGATCGCATAAGCAAGTCGACGATTTTGCGGCCGAGACCAACGAGCACTCGCATGCACACGGTCATGGCGGCCACCATCCCGGCCACGGCCACAGCCACAGCCACAACCACGAACACGTCATCGCCCACCGCGGCGGCTTCACACAGGCCGAAATGGAGGCCTTCTTCTCGGGCGCCGGACTGAAGCTGGTTGACATGGGCAAGTCGGCGCAGTTTGTCAAGGACGGCAAAGCGTACGACAACTTTCTCGCCATCGCCCGCAAACCACTCTAGCTAGCCATTCCAAACACGCTGCCAAATCGTTTCTAGAAGTCTTGATCAAACGACAAGGGTGAGACAATCCAAAATGGGCGGAGCTTGGTTCAGGGATACGACTCGAGCACGTCGTCCTTGTTTTCGAACCATGGCTTGGGACCGTTTTTGAGCGCTTGCTGGACGTCGGGCCTGTCCTTGATGACGTCCCACTTGGGACGCTCGAGCTCGTATCCGACGCTTGTGCGGGCGTACTGCAGACCGCCGATACGCGTGATGGGCAGGGTCTTGGCCGCATCGACCGCGCCCGTCTCGGGATGGATCATGTCCTTGCGGATGTGCATGACACGAACGCGGCCGAGCACGAGCGTAGTGGTGTGCTTTCCCTCTGCATTGAGGATATCGCGCGTGTACTCTACCTCACACTCCATCGACATGGGTGATTCCTACGCCGTCAAAACCATCCAAAATGTCAGCAAGCACGGATGATTGGGAACAAGAACATTGGAACGTACCTTGACACGGGGGGTCTGGATGACTTTGCTCTTGACTGGAGTGAGGCCGGTGAGAGCATATTCGCTGACGCCCGATGGGCAGTCTACCGAAGCAAAGTTGAGCGCCTCTGCGTACGGCTCTGAAGACGACGAGACAGAAAACTCCTGGAGACGCTTGATGTTGTTCTCGCTGTCCTTCCTGCGGTTCTCGGATCCACCAAAGGAGATCATGACCATGGCGGGATCCTGCGAGACCATCTGATACCAGCTGATAGGAGCAAGGTTGGGACTGCCGTCCTCGTTGAGCGTAGTCACGAGCGCGACTGGTCGGGGCGCAATCGACGACACCATGAGCTTGTACATGGTTGCGGCCGAGACCTTGGTTTTGCCAATCTGGATCACGTGGTACTCGGCATCATCGGCGCCGAATGTGGCAGAGGCAGGATGGCTGTTGAGACCCTGGCCTGGCTTGAAGTCGACGTCGGGCGCCTTGGTGAGCGTGTAGGAGAGGCTCGGATCGAAGCTGGCTCGCTTGGCCTCCTCTTCCTTGAAGGGCTTGTACTTGGAGCCACCGCCGGCGCCGGTGCCGGGTACGCCGTACGAATCTCCGTTTGCCTGGTTGGTCATCCTTGCGATCGAAATGTGTATCGGCTGGATGGGATGTGGACGCAGTGGAGATCTCGATGAGAGGATCGGTCTAGTGTGACGAGCGATGGACATCGTGGTTCGAGGCGATCCGCTTTTGAGCCACGCCCGAAGCGGTTAAACGTCAGCGGGCCAAAGCGCGCTGTGGAGAAACGCCGGCTGCCACCTCCACCAAACGGCTAAATCCGAACCCACCAAATTCGGCCACCGCGGCAACTCTCGAGCGCCCATCCCGCGATTTCCTCAAATCCCGCAGTCCACCGTCCCACTCTCATTACATCGCTTTGAGACCGTTTGATGGGGCATCAGGCCCATTCACAGAGAGTCGAGGGTGTGCATACAGTAGGCTTATTCATATTCAGGGCGTCAGAGCGGCATTCAACACCCAGACTTGTACGCCAGCGTGCGGCTATGAAAACGGCGTCAAGCGCAGACTTGGTTTCGGCATTCAACTCGTGCGATCCGAGTTCCGATTTCTTTGTGGCCGCGTCGGAGGAAATTTGTGAGGGCCAATGCGTTGGACCCTGTCTCCACCTCTTCCGCCGTGTGATCGTCGTTCCCCTTCTACCTCCACCCACCGCGATCGCCACTTCTACCTGGCATCGACAGGTTGTGCACCATGTCGATCGTAGGCTGGATTGTGCTTGCCACCATCGCTTATCTCACTCACGCTGCGTACCAGCGCATCCAGCACTCACGCAAGCGCGCCGAGTTCGTGCGCGATCGAAGGAGGGCCGCCGGCATCCCGGACGATGACCGCAGACCTTTCGCCGTAGCAAGAGCCGACGCGCTTTCTCGCAAATCCAAGCAACGTAGAGACGAGGCTTTGTCGACGCCAAACAAAGAGCGAACACCGGCAAGGACGCGCTCGTCATCCCGAGCAACACTCGATCGCGAGACAGCGGGTCGGCTGTCAGGCATTCCGGGCACGCTTCCTGGATACCTCAAGGATACGCTGGCATCCGAAGCTCCATCAGCCTCCCCAAGCTATCCGCGCCAATCACATCCATCGAAGGCACCGCGTAGTACGTCGCCGGTCAAGGTCAGCAGCGGCAGCATCGACTCGAGCCCTTCGAATGCCGCAATGAAACGAAGAGCATCACAGGCACCAGAATCGCCTTCCAAGGCTGCTCGTCGACAAGCAGCGCCAGCAGCACCGAATTCACCAAGCTCAAACAAGCTTGAGCGTCGCCACCAAGGCTCAGCGACCAAGAAAGACGGCTCGAAGGACGAATCGAACCAGGCAAAGGTGAAGCGCGAGGCCATCCCCGGCACGTTTGGAAGCGACCCACACACTAGCGACCACGAGATGTCGGACGCTGTCGTGTCGGACGCCGATCAAGACAAGCACAAAGAACAAGAACCCAAGCAAGAACCCATGGATGAAGACGCACTGCCCAAGCGAGCGGCCGACCTTGGTGCAGCACCGCTCAGTGCGCTAGCACGCTCAACAGCCAAGAAGCGCGAAGCGGACGAGCTGGACGACACGGACTCAGAGGCGAGCTGGGAGCCAAGCGATGGCGAAGAGCACATCGAGTCGCACGCTCACAGCTCGAAACGATCGCGCAAGACCAACAAAGAGCTCGACCCGAGCTCGTCGCTCGACTTTGACATGGCGCTGCCCGAGGAAGCCATGGCGGATTTCAACCCTGCTGCTTCGTCGACAGCGTCTACAGCTCAACCTGCTTCGTCGCGCATCAAGAGACGTGTCGACACGTCGGACGACCGGCAGCCTGGCGAGGAGTGGATGGACTTTGAGGGGCTGCGGTGGCGGATTCATCCGGAGACGCACGAGCTGGAGCGGTGGAGCGACGTGCTCGAGTGGCGCTCCAAGTACCGCATGCCGCGCGACTCACTGCATCCGATGGCGCGCGAAGAGCACCAGGTGGTGGTGCACAAGTGGCTCACCAAGCACGCGTGGGAAGAGGCCAAGGCGAACAAGCTGCTGGCGTTCCAGGAGGCCGAGCGAGTGGCGGACAAGGAGAAGCAGGACAAGATCGACGCCGAAAAGATGCAACGCAAACAGGAGCTGCTTGCCAAGATCCGGCAGACGGCCTCGCCCAATAAGCGCATCCAGTCGTATCTGATGCAGCAGCACAAGAAGAGCCTGCAGCATAGGGTGTCGCAGAGCGACATGAGTGCCGACATTTCGATGGCATCGAATACGACGCTCGAGCCCGATGAGGGTACTGTCAGTATGTCGATCGATTCCATGTCGGTGCTCGATGGCTCGACGCCGGGAAAGCCTAGGTCGAGACGCATCTCGCTGCGCGCCAACACGCCCGGGAGAGGCGAGACGGTGCGTGCGGGGGGCGAACAACGCTCGGCCAACTCGTCCACCACTGCCAGTCCGACGCGACGTAACAGTCCGCTGGCAACACCGTACCGTGCGATTCAGTATCCCAAGCAGAGAAAGGCCAAAGACGCCTCGCCGCTCGTAAAGTCGTTCCCACCACCTTCAACGCAGTAGTTACGCTGTCAATCCGAATTCGCGCTGTGTGCATGCTTCACATGCAAGGTTATCTTGGCGCACAAGCGAGGCAAGGATGTGTGGGGCGGTCGAATCACATGCTGCTGGCTAATCGTTGCTGAGACCAAATACATCGGACGTAGCGGGTGGGGGATGGACCGGTAGAGCCGTGCCAAGACTGGGCGCGAAGAATCGCAGGCACGGGCCAGCAAACGGCTACAGTAGCACTATCGAAGCCAAGCCTCATGCAGCGTGCGATGGTGTGATTGGTGAGAGATCTCGATTGCGATGTGCAATAAGTGTCAGCTGACAAGAACCAATCGTGGGTCGAGGGGGAAAGAGATGGGGGATGATGGATAGGGTGTGCGGACCGGGTATCAGACCGGGAAAGGGGGGTTTGTGCACACAGCCTCAACATGCACGCCGATCGACGTGCATTTGTGCGCGACTCGCCCAACTTATCCTTCGTCAGGAAGCTGATGCTCTTCTGAAAGATCTTCTGAAACGTGGGGGAGACAAAGAGGCGGGAAGTTGACGGAGTGAGCCGAAGCATGGCGTTGCGGCTGTCACTTGACAGTGCATCGATGGCGATGTCGGGATGGCTTCCGTTGCGGCGGTCTGGCAGTGGCGCAAACCCAGACGAGATGGAGCGCCGACCGAAGGTGCCGCCGCACTTGATGAGCCCGCCTGTTGGCGAGCGGATATTCAAAGGCGTTCCTGAAGACAATGCCAAGATGCCTCCCACCGACGGCCGCGAGGCATTGCCAAGACCAAAGAGCGGCGCGGAGCGGATGGAAGAGCTTCCTCCGAGCCACGCCCGTTTTGCTTGGCATGTCCAATATTCTTTTGGCCCTGCTTGCGACAGTCTCGGAGGCCGCAAATGTGACAGGTGGATTTTTGGATTGTGGGTAAAGCTTTTGCTTTTGCCGAGCAGGCAGCAACATCTCGTGCGACTCCTCACGGCCGTAGGACAAGCGAGACCCGCTCGACCCAGCGCAAAAGCCATGGCGGCCTTCTCCGTCGGTTGGTTCCAAGGCTTTCGGAAGCCACAAGCGAGAAGGCGGAATTCGGCACCTGCGGCTGGCAACGACGGTGGTGCGCACAAACACGAGCAAAGGCGAGCAAGCCACATGACATGGGCAGTAAGGCCCGAACGAGCCAATCAGCAGGCTGGGATGCGGCGAATTTGACCAGAGTGCAGCGATTCCCCGCTCGACCAGCGCCGTGGACGCGAGCGAGCTTGTTTTGATCCATTAAAATTGGCAGCCCAACTCCGCCCGGCAAGCCGAGCAGCCAATCTACGAGGTGCAGCAAATCGCAGCAAAGCCGCCTTTCTTCTGGCACGATTTGCAACCCCGCCCCATCCACTCGCAGCTGCAAACCAGCAAGCCCTTTTTGGTGCCAAAACTTCTGCCACCCAACCCGTCCGCATCGGATGGTCAAACGCAAAATGAACACACAATGCCAAAGCCAAGTAGCTGGCACGTCAATGCAGGTACTTATCGTGAGCAGAGGGGCAGCATTGAGACAGGATGCAGGCTGCAGCGGTCAGGTGGATCAGGCGTCGAGACAGGTCTCGATTTCCAACGGCATGTCTGCCGAAAGATCAGGAACGGCGACGGTCACGCGTACGTCCCCTTGTGCCGATACGAGTGAGCTAATCCTACTCGCCATTTCAAACCGGTGTGAGAGACAGCTCAGGCCGAGGCCGCGGATGATTGGGGCCGGTCGGCGGCTGTGACTGCGATTGGAATTTTGGGCGAGGGTGGGCGCGGGTTATCAGCAGGGCTTCTGACTGGCTCGCCCCACCCTGTGCGTGTCTCTCGTGTCGCCTCGCGTTGCCTCGCTTGTTGCTCGCTATCAGACGCATGAAAAATCGTCTGTGCTCTCGTGCAGCGCCCGCCGCCCTTATCCATTCGTTCACGCAGCAACCCAGTGCAGCCACACTGCTTCCATGCACTGACACGCTTGCAGGTGCCTCACACGGCTCCCTTGCGGCCATCACGAGCCAAGCCTTTTTCGGAGGTGCTAGCCGTTCTCTGATTTGTCCGACGGCCTTTCGCCCCGTCAACCCTCCCTGCACACTCGCTCTTGGCCGTCAGTCTCGCGTGTCCATCCATCCACACCCTCTGCTGGATCTCGGTTGCTCGCCGACTCGCAGCCAATGAGCAGGCGAGAATTCGGCAAAAGCCCGTCTCGCAGCCCGAACTCGCTGCAACCCTCGCCACCCTCAGCAAGACAGGCGCCAGATAACGCAGCAGCCCGGCCTGGCCATCTCTGCTCTTCTGATTGGCTTGCCGCACTGACAGGCTGTGCGGTTGCACACCGTTGCCAGGCTTGGCGTAGAACGGCTTGCGTGATCTGGCAGCCCTGCATCACCGGTTCGGTCTCGTCCGATCCCGTTCCTGGTGTCCATCTGCGGCCCCTTTCACAGAGATGACGGTCACACAGTAGTACCGTAAATGTGATAGTGTGGGTAAGGAGGCGTGACGGGGGCGTGACGGTGTGGGCTGAGCCAGGACTGTCGACATTGTTGTTTGCATCTCGATGGGCAGCAGGGATCGTCTGGTGGTCCGGAAGGGGACGGCGGATAGGCCGAGGAGTACAGAGGTCTGGGCTGCTGGTCCATTTTCTTTTTTTTTTTTTGGTGGTTGCGCGTCAGTGTGCCTGGGCCGGGGTTCAAACGCGGAATTTCGATTTTCTGGCTATTCGTGTCGCCCGCGTGCCCTCGACCGTTTGGGTTGGGCTTCGCCCTCGACCCCGCCCCACATGCACCTCGCCACCTCGCCTGATTCGCTTGCCTATCGCTCGCCTGCACGCCGCCCCGGAGGCATCCTTCCTCTTATGGCTGCTGCTGCTGCATCCCTCCCTGCCTGGCTGCAGCACTGCAGCAGCAAGACGGAACGACGCGCAACCCAGTCGCCGCCGCCCCTCCAGCCAGCCACGCCGCCGCCGACGTTGCCCTATCTCGTGGCGAATCACGTTGCCGGGCCCTTCCCCCTTCCTTACGTGTCCCTCCAGCGCACCCCATATAACCCCTCGACATCCGCTCCCACCAGCGTCCAAGATCACCCCACCCATCGTCACCCAACACGCCTTTCCGGCTTTGCCCCTTCCTCAAACGCGCCTCTAGACCACAGAGTCATTGCTTGCCTTGGTAGCCGAGCTCCCTCTGCCGCGCATCCTACCCTCCCCATTCCTGTCGGAATCCCCCCTCTGGACACTCTTCGCCTCGCTCTCGCACAGAAGAGTTCATCTGCTCAATATGGGTGCTTGGAACAACTTTGTCGACGGCTTCAAGCCCGAGGTCACCGACGAGACCGCCTCGGACTCGTCGCCATCCAACTACAACGAGAAGAACGAGAAGGACTTTGAGTCTGGCAATGTCGTTGCCGGCTTCAAGGCGCCTGGTGAAGAGAGCGGCCTCAAGCGCAACCTGCACGGCCGCCACGTCCAGTTCATCGCCCTCGGTGGCTCCATCGGTACCGGTCTCTTCATCGGATCCGGTGGCTCGCTCGCCGCCGGTGGTCCCGGTTTCCTCATGATCGACTACATCCTCATCGGTATCATGCTTCTCCAGGTCGTCATGGCCCTCGGTGAGCTTGGTGCTATCTTCCCCGTCGCCGGTTCCTTCGCTGCCTACTCGTCCCGCTTCATCGACCCCGCCGTCGGATTTGCCATGGCATACAACTACTGGCTCCAGTGGCTTATTGTCCTGCCCCTCGAACTCGTCGCCGCTTCCATCGTCATCAGCTTCTGGGACCCCAGCGAGGTCGTACCCAAGGGCGTCTGGGTCGCCATCTTCCTCATCGTCATCATCATCATCAACCTCTTTGGTGTGCGTGGTTACGGTGAATTCGAGTTCTTCGGCTCGCTCATCAAGGTCCTTGCCGTCATTGGCTTCATCATTGCCGGTGTGGTGATCAACGTCGGCGGTGGACCCGACGGAAAGTACTATGGTGCAGAGACGTGGCACAACCCCGGCGCCTTCAGGAACGGCTTCAAGGGTTTCTCCTCGGTTTTCGTCAGCGCCGCTTTCGCCTTTGCGGGTACCGAGCTCATTGGACTTGCTGCAGCCGAGACGGCCAATGCGCGCAAGGAAATTCCAAAGGCCGCCAAGCAGATTTTCATGCGCGTCACCATCTTCTACGTCGTCTCGCTCTTCGTCGTCTCGCTCCTCGTCCCATACACCGACGACCGTCTTGGATCCGGTTCCTACGATGCCAGGGCGTCCCCATTCGTTATTGCGATCAGCAATGCGGGCATTTCCGTGCTTCCAAGCATCATGAACGCTGTGATTCTTGTCTCGGTGTTGTCCGTCGGAAACACGGCGGTCTACGCTGCTTCGAGGACGCTGCAGGCCATGGCTACGATCGGACAGGCTCCCAAGATCTTCACCTACATTGACCGCAACGGACGACCCGTTCCTGCCGTCATTCTGTCGCTCATCTTTGGTCTGCTCGGCTTCCTCATCTACGCCGGTGACAACGCGCGCAACACCACCTTCAACTGGCTGCTCGCCATCTCGGGTCTCTCGACCATCATCAGCTGGCTCTGCATCTGCATCTCGCACGCCCGCTTCCGCCTCGCCTGGAAGAAGGCCGGCCACACGCTCGAGGAGCTCCCCTGGAAGTCTCCCTTCAGCATCTACGGCTCGCTCTACGGCGCCGCCTTCAACGTGCTCGTCATCATCCTCACCTTCTACACTGCCGTCTGGCCCATTGGCGAGGGTGACATGACCAAGAGCGAGCGCGCCACTGCCTTCTTCCAGAGCTTCATCTCGGTGCCCATCGTCGTCTTCGTCTTCTACTTGCCTTACAAGTTTATCAAGCGTACTCGCGTCATCCCCATCGACGAGATCGACATCAGCACCGGTCGCCGCGACCCCGTCCCCGTCGAGGTGCTCCGCCGCGAGCGCGAGGAGGCTGCCGCCCGTCCTGTCTACAAGAAGGTCTGGGGCTTCTTCTTCTAAGCGTCTCTGCGTCCCCTTTGTTCGCCTTCCCTGCGGAAGTGTGAGCTTGATACCACTGTATAGCATCGCGCGCAATTTTTGAATACTTTTATGGATTGCACTGGATTTCTTCGTTTTTTGGTTTTTTGTTTGTTTGGTTTTTTTTTTTTTTTTTTAATGGCGTGCTGTCAATTTGTGCGGTGAGGCGGCATGTGGGACACGCTGAATTGTGAATTTAAGCTTTGCCTTTTTGTGGGCACGTGGATTTTCATCTCGCGTCGACAGCATGGGATCTTGGGTGCGATTCATCTCGGCATGTCCAAACAACGTCGATTGCGGATGCCGATACATCCATCACAAACGTGTTTGGGGTCGGAAGTCTAGTTTGTCCAAACAGAATAGAAACTTTGATCTGGCATCGGCTTGGTTGGACCTGGGTCGCGGGGGGGGCTGCATTTCAAGTATTGGCAGAGGGGGCCATTGACCACGGTCGTCAATACTTATATCACGAACGGTGTTTGACGAGGACAGTGTGACTTGTCGGAATCGTCGGGATTTGTATCGTATACAGCGACTTGGACCACTTTCGTGGACGTTGTAGTGCGGTTCGGTTCTGCAAGTGCCACGACGTCGATTCAGGATGCCGACACATTCATCATGAACAATGTCTTTGTTCTGACAGGAAGATTCCTCGAAGCTTGTGAGAGATCTCGCCCCGCAAAAAACTTGGTGGACTTTGATGCACGCGATGGTGAGGGCTGCGGTTCAGTACGGCAAGTGCGAACGAAGTCGACGCCGGTTGGGGATACATTCATCACGAAAGATTTTTGACGAGAATAGTGCGATTTATCGAGATGCGAAAGATTCGCATCGCAAAGAGCGTCTCAGACCAATGTTGAGGTACATCGAGGATTGTTTTGGGATCCAAGGTAGCCGCTAGGGCACCAATAATCCCCAGTAGCCACTTTCCAAATACATTCGATGTGGCGAGCTGTCTTGATCGCCTGATGAGGCGAGAGAGAGAAAGGAGTGAGGGTACCGCTAGATCCGGGTCAGCTAGGCCGTGACGTGGGCCAGTCGTAGCGCGCATGTCCATCAACGTCGGACGGACGGGTTCGTGTCGACCAACTAATCGAGTCTGTGTCGCAGACCAAGCGAACCGTAGGTCGGTCAACACGTGTGTGCGAGGCGGCGTCCCTTCCTAGAAGAAGGCATCGCCGTCGTCGTCGTCGGTACCACTGTCGTCCGGCAGAGCTGCATGCATGCTGGACTGCAGGTTCTCAGGCCTCTGGCTGGGCCATCGGACTTGGGACCTGTGTTTGCAGACAAGGACGTGGGTCTGAGAGCGCGGTTCCTATCGGTAAGGGGCGACGTTGATTATGGTCGGCGATGAGTCGATCACGAACGGCATCCGCCTCGGACCGATCTCTTCGGTTCTGGGTAGCACTTCTGTTCGGTAGTTGCAAACGACGTTGACTGCCTGATGTGAAAGGTCGTTGATTCCGACGGTGCGACTTGTCGCTCCTCCCCTTCGACACCTTGGTGGGGTTTCGGTGGCTGGAGTTGCGGCCCAAGTCGACCAATGCGAGACCTCAGCTGTGGACTGAAAAGTCTATAACAGCGGCGTCTTATGCGGATACAGTCAAGCGCAACGTGGAGTTGGGCGGAGTCGGGGATTCGTGGCGATCCGGCGCGTTCAGTAAGCTTGCTCATCATGGCCGTGCTTGCACACACTGTCAAGTCCAGTATCTCCCACTGGCCATGGCAAAAGGCTTTCTCACACTCCCCATTGCACACGCAGTCAGCCTCACCCAAGCTCCGCATGCAATTCCGTTCGACACTAACGGCTCCCCGAAAGCGACTCTACTTGGGCAGCTTACCCAGGCTCTGATCCTGCAGATAATCGCCTATGGCCTGGAGATCGTTGCCCTTGGCCTTGCGCAGGTACAGTGCGAGCGTCTCCGTATCCGCGTCCGGCAAGATGTCCGCTAGCTTGTTTAGGGTTGCATTGAACGCTTCCGAGTCGCCCGAATTCGAGCCTCTTCGCATGCGATCCCTTACCGAGCCGTACGACAACGACGACCTCAAGCCCGCGCCGATCCTGGGCGAAGTTTCGGCGCTGAGGCTCGGCGAGGTGCTGCCCGCTTGACTGCTGCGACGCGGTGCAGACAGCAGGTCAGAGGTGTAGCTCTCGTGGCTCGAAGGTCCACCACTGAGACGAGAGACGAACGTTGGGCCACTGCCGAAGCCGCCTGCGATGGGTGTGATGGGTGTAATGGGCGTGATGGGAGAGGTCAAGGCCTGACCGGAGTTGGTGCGCGACATTTCGTACGACAGTCGTGTGGATCCCGCCGGTGCACGTGGACCCAAAGGTCGAGGTCCACTCGGCGCGCTTGCACCCTCGCGCACAGAGTCGAGCGGGGCGCTGGGCTCGGCATCTACGCCGCGCATCCCGAGCCCGGCACGTGCGGGGCTTTCAGGCCGACTGAACGTGGTTTCAAAAGTATCCGTGCTCGGGTTTGCTGACGAGGTTGCGCCCGATACGATGGGCGATGCCTGTGCTTGCCGGTTGCGGCTGTTGGCCAAGTACGCGCGCGAACCACCTGTGCCGATCGCCGCCGACGCGAGCGGCGAGCCTGCAGGCACGGCGGCGGGCGGGGGCGCCGATGCCTGACGCTTGCTGTTCTTCCTGCCTAGACCGGAGAAGAAGCGGTTACCCGTGCCCGAGCCCGAGGTGCGCATCGCACCCATGCCCTCGCCCACGGACGTCGAGCCGGGCAGCGATGCGAACGACTGCGTCGAGTTGCTGCGCGTCTGCTGTGGCGCGACGCCCGGGTACGGCAGATTCACGGGCGTCTGTACGGGCGATTCGGCCATCGTCGGCATCACCGACACAATCTCCTTGGCCTTGGCCCCATCGCCGCGCATGGGGAATGTCATGTCCGATCGCACCGAGTCGGCGTACGATCCCTCGTTGCGCACATGCGTCGACCGTGGCAGCGTTCCCTGTGCCAGCCAATCGGGCTGACTCTGCCCCGTGCGCGCTTGTTGCCGCATGGCGGGCCGCTGTACCGCTTGCATCCACAACGCAAGCCCCGTCTGAAGGTGCAGCAGCTCGTTGGTGCATTGTGCATATGCGCGCGCGCGGTCCCACGACGAGCCGCGCTTCTGGCCCACCACAATGTTGCTGCTCGCAAACGCCGCAGGCATCGGCAGCGTCTTGCCGTACACCTCGATGCGGCTCGGCAGAGCGGGTGCGACGGGGCGCGCGGCGGCTATCGGCGTCGTTGGTGCGGCGCGCTGGCGCACGGGAGAGCTGAGCGGCGCCATCGATAACGACTGCGCCGAAGCAGCGGCGGGGAAGTACGAAGAGCCGCTGGGTGTCTGCGGAGTGCGCGGCGTCGGAGGTGCGTGCTTGGCAGGCGAAGCGAGCGGGCTCGACCTCGCGCCCGCCTGCGCAACACTGATACCCGTCACACCCGCCAAACTGCGCGCGGACGGCAGCGAGGCAGGCATCGCCGGCCGCGCCACGGTCTGCGTCTGCGGCGGCATCGGCGTCGCCTGCTCTTCGTCCGCCGAGATGGTCTCGTCCGCACTGCCGAAGCTCAAATCGTTCATCGCATTGCTCACCGCGGCAGTGAGGTCGTCCATGTCAGACCCCTGTGTTGAGAGACCCGCACTGGCTGTCGTGTTGCTAGCAGCTTGAGGCGGCGGATCGAACGAAAATGCACCCTCGCCGTCCGAGTCGTGCGAATAGTCTGAGGGAGCCGAGCGCTCCGAGAGCGAGCGCTGATCGGCAGCAGCTGCACGATCTCGATTGGAAAGCCGCTTGGGGTTGCGCACGGGGCGGTCCCTCGAGTCTATGCTGCTGCGCGCGACCTCTTCGTCGATCGCCCCACCGACAACCGAGGAGGCAACGTCGCGCACGTGCAGCGAAGCGCCCTTGCGCGGACTCGTGGTTGCGCTGCCGCTCGTGGGTGCCCCTGCGAGGGGCGAGACGGTATCGCTCTGCTGCCTGCGCATCTTTGCGCGTTCGCGTGCCTCCTTGAGCGTACGCGGGCGCGAGTCGTCTGCTTCGGCGAGTAGCTCCTTTTCCAGTCGTCGCTGCTCGTCCTCCGTGGGCTCGTGCGACGATCGGCTGCCGTCGGTCGAAAGACGCGTGTTCTCGTTGACAGCGCCGAGTAGGGTACGCTTGGTCGGGCATGAAGTGTCTCGAGGAGCATTGCTGGTGACAGCCTCCTGTGCAAGAGGGGTGGAAGCTGTGTCATCGCTTTGAAGCAGCTGGTGGGGCGAGTCGTCGCGGTGGTCGGCGCTGCTTCGCCTTTGCGGAATCTGGCTACTTCCGAGCTGGCCTGAGCCGGATCTAGATCTGGACGCTGTGTGCCGGGAAAGCATGCCATCCTGCTGATTGATGTTTTCCGTTTGAGATGGACTAGGTGAGATCGTAAAAGCGTCCTGCGCCACGCTGCTCGTGCGTCTGGGGACAGGAGGAGATGGGAGCGCGTTTGAGAATACCTCTTCCTCGTCATCCGCCGCGGTCGCAGGGCGGCTCGTGTGCGGAGGCTCGATGGTGCGATCCGCCGAGCGGTCGAACGAGTCATGTGTCGAGGTGTTGAGGACCTCTTCATCGTCATAGTGCGAGCCGTCGCTGTCGTCTTGTGGCGCTTCGACTCCGATGCGGGGAGGTAGTGGGAGGTCATCGGTTCGCGTGGCGTCAAGCGTGTCGGCGTTGTGGGCGGGCTGGACGCTGCGCATCACATCGACGTCAAAGCCTGCCACCGAGGCGCGTTTGCTGTGCGGAAGCGACTCGGTTGCAGATGCCGAAGCGGTTGTCCAGATGGAAGCGTTGCTGTCACTCGGGACCATGGAGAAGCCCGTCGAGGCATCATTGCTGGGTGTTTGGAAGCCGCGTGTGGCTGACACTACCGGGATGCCGTTGGATGACGAGGTTGATGCAGATGACTGCATCGGAATGGAAGCGTTGGCGATGGTCGAGCTGGCACTGATGTGCGAAGGCGTCTCTGCAGAGCTCGGAAACGAGCCAGGGGAGCGCGCGTACAGATCGAGCAAGCTGCCGTTGGATACGACCGAGCTTCCAGTCGTCGAGCGGTATGACGTGCCCAGAGGAGCAGCTGACAGGCTCGCACCTGTGTTGGCGCGACTCCTGGTGTCTAGCGTTGCGGACGAGCCGGCGTCCGGGTTGATTGGCTGCGACTGCGACATGGCCGAATCGGACGCAGACGCGCTGCACTTGTGCGAGGTAGCGAACAGTCCGAGGCTGCTCGCTTTGATCTATGCTTCTGCGTCACGACCCGCAAAAGTAAGTCGTCCGTCGGGTCGAAGGGAGGATGGTGGACAGGTTGGGATGGATGAAGAGTGTCGGCAGCCTGCATCAAAGGAGCTGTCGAGCGATGCAGATTCCGCTCGCTTGGCGTCTCCCGATTTTTTTGGCGTTAAGTGTTAGGTCGATCATGCCAGGATTCTCCACCTCCGCGGCCCACCTCTGGAGCTGCAGGTCGGAACGGAGGTGCAGGCAATTCCGGCCCTCGGAAGCTACAAAAGGAGGGCTGCCTCTTGCTCTGTCCGTATCTCTCCCTCTTTTTACTTGAAGGCGCCGGCTGCTCACCAGGCAAGGGCTAGGACCATGTCTGTAGACAACAAAGGCAACATCAATGACCGCGAGGCGGCGGAGAACTGGCAGTCGAACAAGTCGCAGTATCCGAATCTAGATGGTGAGCATCCCCCTTGCGACTTTCACCCTATGTCGCCCGTGTGATGCTAACTGAGACACGTATTTGTCTTCTTGCTTGACAGTGCTCGTGCAGCCGGACGAGTACATGCTCGCACGGCTACCGCCTACTTTGCGACTGCCAACACCGCTGCTGGAGCTCATCTCGAACCCTCCTGCTGTCGAGGGCAGCGAGCCGCTTTTCTGCACCGTCTCACGCACCCACCGCGAGCTCAGCATCCTCGTCTCCACAGGCACACATTTTAGCGCCACGAAACTCCGATCGCAACTAGGCTCGCCCGGTCCAGAAGACGAGGCTGACGGGTTTGGGATCGACGGCCCGTGGAGAGCGTTCCGCATCCGCGGTCCGATGCAGTTCCACCTCGTAGGCGTCCTGCTCGAGTTCAGCAAGTGCCTCGCCGCACACTCGATATCCATCTTTGCCGTGTCCACCTGGGACACCGACTACATCTGTGTCAAGCAGGACAATTTCGACGCCGCGTGTGACGCTCTTAAGCAGGACGGCTGGAACGTCGTCCACGCCGCTGATTAGATGCTTTAGTGTATGCTCGGAGTAAGATGATTAAAAGATGATGTGGGTTCACTTTTTGCGGTCGTGGATCGTGTAGCTGCCATACTCCTTCTTCGGATCGTACACCTCCCAGCCTTTTCAACACATCCCGAAAAGGGTGACAAGAGATTTGTGTCAGTTTTGCCTTTCGACTGGAAGCTGAGTTGGAACTATGGGGATACGCGAGAGAAAGGACACTTACGACTGTACGGCCAGACATGCTTGTTCCGGTTGTAGAACGATCTCTCAACCACTTTGCCAGCATGCGACTGTACAGATGCAAGTACAGAAAGTGTCAGTAGGCTGCCTATGCAAGACTCGATCCGCCGGAGCTGTGTGCAGCTACTCACCTCGTCCTTCTCGACACTGGCGTCGGCAATCAGCCGCACATCGTCGTGCACGTCAAAGTTGAACAGCGGCCCGGACTTTCCTCGGGCCTTGTTGACGATAAAGTCGTAGAAGCTGTAGTGGTGTGGGATGATAAGGTCCTCCTTGATGTACATCATGCTGTCCACCGAGATGCCGCGCAGTTCCGACACCTGCTGGCGGCACTTTTCGAGGAAATGCGCAATCGTATCGCCCTTCTTGCACATGACGGTCTTGCGGTGGCCTGTGCCGTCCCAGTACGAGTAGGTGATCTCGACGTCCTCCTTCTTCATCTCTTCCTGCTTGCGCAGCCACTCCTGGCGCAATTCTTCGCGCATCCGACGCTCCGCCTCCTCCCGATCGCGGTCGGGCAGGAACGACGTGTCCACATTCGGGTTCTTCAGACTCGTCTTCTTCGGTACCGCCACCACCTCTGCCTCCTTGTCGCCGTCGTCGTTCGAGGGCCTCTTGCGCTTGGTTTTGGTGGGTATCGATGCAGCACCGTCTTCCTCTTCGTCGTCGAGCGCAAACGACAGCTTCGAACGCTCCTTTCTGGCCGACTTCTTCTTCTTGGCGGCTCGGTCGTCCGCTTTCAGCTCGTTCGTCTGCGCTGCTTCGCGGCGCTTCTCCTCCTCCAGCTCGGAGCGCAGCTTCTGGAAGTCCTCGAGATGCACCAGACCGATCGTCGATTTCTTCAGCGCGTCCTCCATTGTGTCGTTCTTGCCGACGAAGCGATCCGCGCCTGTGCGATTGCGTTCCGCCTCTTTGATCAGGTCCGCCTTTTGGCGCTCAAAGTCCTCCATCATCTTGGCGCGCGCCTTTTCGTGCTTGCCTTGCCGGCGAAGCTCCGCTTGCGACTGTGACATCCCTGCGATTCGTGCGCTGCACCGCGATGCAGGAAAGAGTAGACCAGAGTTTCTCGCTAGCAGATGCAGGGCCCCGTGCGTCGATCGAGAATGTGTCGGAGAGTGGACGTGGAAAGAAGAGAGGTGCGAGGGGTGAAGTCGGTCGAAGCGGTGTGGAGCAAAAGCTGCATTTCAGGGTTCCGCGGCACTTCCCAACGAATTTTTTTGGGAAAGAATGTTATGCCGACAGCGTTGCATGCCAATCTATTTTGCGTCCTTGCGCCGACAAAGCCATATCGCTGGCTCCTCTAGGATGTCTAATGGGAGAAGGAGCCGCATCGGGTTCGGCTGAGAGTTGTCTTCTGACGAGCCGAGAATGGCCACGACTGTAGCCTTGGGAGCGCTCGCAAGGTCCCTCAGGATTTGCGCGACAGTCTTGCGTCGGAAACCGGCAAACATGGTGACGGGGGATGTGAGAGGCTCGAACGGCTGCTCGTCGTCCGGCAGAGGAGTTGCGGTCGCATCCGAAGATGACAACATCACGCGACACTCGCGAGAGTACTCCAGGAGGTGCGTGAACTTGCTCCATGCCTCTGCGGCTTGAGGCCCCGAGACCGGTAAGTCCTCGGTCTTGTCGTACACCCAGCATCCGTGCGTTTCGCAGTTGGAGGGGACGACGCCGGCGAATCGATCCACCAGCCCACCCGATCCGTCACGAGGCATGTTCAAGGACTGGAAGAGCGATACGCCGGTCATCGCGGCTGCTACGTCTATGTGGACGATCACCGGGCCCATGCTGGATTCCAAGGCGAGCTGTCTGTGCAGTAGGTCGAGAGCTTGTCCGCCTGGATAGTTGATGGCGCTCAGGTGGCCCGAGAGCCAGCTCAGGCCAACTTGCAGCGCGAGCAGTGTGACCAAAGCAATCTTGCGGACTGTGCTGCGAGTGAGCATTTCGGCCCCACCGGCACTGACCGCGTTGAGGGCCGGAACGACGTACAGGATAAAGCGCCATTCTTTGTGGCCGAGACAGCTGAGCACTGCCATATGACAGCCAGCCGTGAGCAGAAGGAATCTTGCCCGGACCGTCAGGGCAGAAGGACGAGCTGACATTGCCTCTATCGCCCCGTATAGCAACAGCGATTCGGAAAACACGAGCAGCCTGGGCAGCAGGGCTGTGAAGTAGGCGTGCCAAGGCGACACGCCCCACTCACTGCTCTTGCCATCGACCACGTTGAAGACCAGCGCATTCAGCTCCGGCCACAGAGGCGGTGGTCCTTCTCCTCGGAATCCCCGCACGACGGCCGTTGTGAAGGCGGTAAGGATACCCTGAGCTGTATTTTGCTGCAAATCTTGCCAAAAGTACGTGTCGATGAAGGTGGTCACGGCGACGCTGAAGGTCGCTGCGGCAAGACCAGTCTTGATCGCTGCCAGAAGACCGAATCTGCCGGTGAATAAGAGGTAGAGTCCCACCGGGATGATCGTCGCCGCGATCTCCGAACGTAGAATCACGGCGCTGAAGGTGAGTAGCCAGAGGGCAATGCGAATGTCCCTGCTGCTTCGTTGGGCGCATTTCGAGTTCAAGTCCAAATTGCGGCAGACTAATGCGAGTGCCATCACAGCGAAAGGCAACGCGATCGAGTTGGGGATGGTGCGGCTCACCCAGAAGCCAAAGTGGAACTGCGTCGCGGTGATGGCAAAGAAGAAGCCGAGTTGTGTGCGGGCTGATGACGACACGCTGCCACGAGCATTCTTGGCGTCGTTCGCCGAAGCGAAGCTTGCCTGTGCGAAGAAAGCAGCAGCAGCGGCATTGGCTGTTCCGAGGCAGAGACGAACGATGGCTTGGACATCGGCCGACGTCTGAACCGCTCCAACGGCGCGGCACAGCCACAGAAAAGGGTAGGCGACCGCTGCGAGTGCGAGTGGGCCTACGAACGAGCGAGGCACCGCACCAGGAAACACTTGATGGTCGAATCGTTCCAGAGCAGTGGGACTGACGCCGTAGCTCAGGATGTCGTGGACAGCCTGAATCGTAAAGCTCTCTTCGACCTTGGTGTATGGCCACGAGACGGTGCGCCAGGTGACCAGGGCTAGCAGGCAGGGGAAGCCGACCAGCCACGTGAGGCTGTTGATGCGCGGCATGCGTCTCGATGTGCGGACCAGTCACGCCTCCTGCTCTGCCAGCTATTGGCGTCAAGCGAAGTGGTGTGGAAGCGAAGGAAGTAATCACGGCGTTGCTGCGGTGGAAAGAAAGGGTCCAGCGGTTCTTCCTGGGATTGACGGCTGAGCGCGGGCCACCACGCACTTTGGCAAAGCATGTTCGATCGGCAGTTCCTGCCTGTTGGAAAGGCAGCAAAATCGCACGGCTCACTCCACATGTGAAGGTCCAGCTGTCGCTTGCACGCTTCATCTCGCCCTTGTCATCACTTGCACATGCGTCCCTTCTGACCACATCTTTGTCAGAATCACATCATACCATACACATCGCAAATCGAGAGCAAGGCTTCGATCCATCGCACATGGCGGCATCCAAGAGGGCCCGGGCGCCTCCCACGACGGATCTGACGAGCGACTTTCGCCAGCTCATCAGTGAGCGGGCAGGGCAGTATCCGCCGTCCTCGTCCAGTGCTTCCGGCTCCAAGGCACTCAAACGCAAAGACCCGCCCGAGAATGTGGTGCGCGCACACAAGCAGTGGCTGCAGCAAGCCTACGTGATTCGAAAACACATCATCTCGCTGCTGGGTTTCCTGTTCTCAATACGAAGACGCTATCTCGCGCTCGGGAACAAGGCGCGACACCACCAGCTTCGCGATGCGCACGAGGGGCTTGAAACGCCCGATGACCAGGACGCGACAGCAGGCTCTGCGTTTGCTAAGTGGAAGGCCTTCACGGGGCCGTTGAACGACACGCAGCGCGACGAGATCGACTTCCAGGTCAAGGTGGTGGTCAAGCGCTGTCTGGAAAGCATCAAGGAGCTCGAGCGTGCCGAGGAGGCGCGCAAGAAGAATGCGCCCACCACACCCACCGCGCTCTCACCGCTCAACAGTTTGCTCGCGCTTTCGACCGCACGCGACTCGTCTACGTCGATCCTAGCATCGTCGCTCATTTCGGCGCATCGCGCCTCGATCACCCAGTACCTTTCGGCGCTGCTGTCCAAAGCGTCGTCGCTGCAGGGCGACATGCAGGAGGCGCGGCTGAGGGTGCAGAGGGAGAAGACGCGGTCGCTGGCCAACTCGAGGCTCGAGCTGCAGGAACGTGCGGGTGCTGCTGCATCGCAAGCCACGGCCGCTTCGACAGCGCCGACGGTGATCCGCGGCAGCGTGGGCGGCTCGTTCGACCCACAGCTGGACAGCGAGACGGATCTGGTGGGCAAGGACATCAGCGCGCAGCTGTCGGCGTCGCAGATCGAGATGTTTGAGAACGAGTCGTCGGAGCTCATCAAGTCGCTCGAGTCGGATCTGGCGTCGATCAAGAAGGCCGAGTCGCGGCTGTACGAGATCAGCGAGCTGCAGACGCAGGTGGTGCAGCAGCTGGAGCAGCAGGGAGAGGTGACGGATCAGCTGCTCGACGAGGCCATCGGAGTGGGCACCGAGGTCGGACGCGGCAACGAGGAGCTGCGCAAGGCACGCCAGCGCAGTAGAGAGGCGGACAAGTTCCTCTCCATCTTCCTGGTGGGCAGCGGCCTCGCCCTACTCTTCCTTCACTGGATGGACTGATATGACCCGACGAGGTGTGTGCCACGTAATGCAGCAATGAAGTCTTCATCGCGCAGTGTGGTGGCGGGTCTGTGGACGCGGTCATGATCCCTGAAAGGTGTGCGCGAGCGGACAGCGGGGCGCGAGATGACGGTATATGCGGTCGAGGTGTGATTAGGGTTATTACAAGCCGAGCTGTTCCTTGACCGAGTCTCGAATGATCTTTTCGTATCCCTCGCGGTTGTCCCTGTACATTTTCTGTGGATGCAGCCGAGGCGAGAGGGGTGTGAGCGGAGCAACAAAAGGCGCAAGGGTGGAAAAGCGACACTTACACAGGCATCGATGTTGGCGCCACTCTCTACGTTGGGTTCTGCGAGCATGCTGAGGACGGAGAGGAGGATCTTTTCGATGGACTGTACGGGCGACCAGCGTTCGGACGACGACTCGTACATGTTTGGGTCGTCACCGGGTGCATGGAGGATGGAGATGCAGACGAGACCGTCTGCGTAGACGTTGGGATGGAAGATGGGCGGCTCGAAGCGCATGGTTGGCGGCTCGAGCGGATACGAGGCGGGGAAGGTGAGGCGCGCGGAAAAGACGCCGCCCTCAAAGGGCGTGCCGTCCGGACCGGGAACGAGCGCCTCCCATTCGAGATAGTTGTCTTCGGACACGGGGCCGACGGCGGGGAAGAGCGAGTTGGGGTCGGTGGAGAGCTGCTTGTATTCGATGGTGAGGCGCTTGATCGCGGCGCTCGACGAGGCTCTGCTGTTGAACATGATGGCGGTGGCTGCGATGTCCACGTTTCGAGAGTGATCGAGCTAATCTAGCTGGGAACACGCAAGATGGTGGAGAAGCAAGGTGCGAGTGGGAGAGAGTGTTGGACCTGCAGGCGAGTCGCATTTTTTGGGCTTGGGGGCGCGCGCGTTGCTCTCCTCCAGGCCCGTCCGTAGCTTTGTGACGCAGGCACGGCAGAGTGTTGATCTCGAAGTGTCGTGTCACGTGAGAGGGATTCGAGGCCATTTCAGTTTGTTAGACCAAAGCAACTGCCTCTACACGAAATTGGGAACTGCAGGCTCGAGCGGCAGAGGTGGGATTTTAAACTCAAAGTGTGGTGGGCTGCTGTACCAGTGTGGGTGAGCGAAGTCGGCTTCCATGCATTGCACCGCAGGCTAGTCCAATTTTTGTTGGTGTGACTGGCGTCGCGCTGGGCTGGCGGTCTGCTGCCTGACGCATGACGGCAGCGCCCGACCATGCGGTCATTGGCAGCCTCGCATCCGGCAACCGTCCGAGCTCAGATGACCGGCAAAAAAGCATGCGGTTTTGCCCCGTTGACCAACACATTGAGGGCGGCGCTAGCGTACACGTAGTCTCCGCTTCGTTTTGTCGCTTCTGCCTACCCTCACGCGAGCCAAAGCAGGAGAGGTGGATTGAGTTCGGTCGGGAAGCTGCGAGCTGCATGGTCGGGTGAGCCGGCAGGGCGCTTTTCGAAAGGCGTCATTCTCCACTTTTCGGTATTGTTGGGCCCCGAATGACGTTGCCCGCTCTCGGACCCCCCGAGCCTCAAAGCACGCCTTGCCCCTCCGTCCGCAAAGCTAGGTTGGATACAGTCGATGCAACTCGAGGCAAGGGGGTCTGCTGGTCAGATACGAAATTGGCCTGAGACGCGGGAGACCTGCAGCCATTGTGCACTTGCCTCGGATGCTCGCTTAGGCGGCTCGTCTACGAAGCGTGGCACGATGGCTGCAAGCCCAGGCAAGCTCGAGCAAGCTCAGAGGGGATTTCCGTGCGGTCTGCATGGTCTGCATGAGCCAGCCATGTGTTTGGGCGGATTCGGCGCGGCTCGGAGCTGCACCCTGCTGGGCCAACGACGCCAGCTGCAGGGCCTGCAGGCCAGCAGTGACCGGCGCTGCGAGCCCAAAAAAATTGAGAGGGCGAGGGAAAAAGAAAAAAACAGCACAGATTCACAGCCACTCGAGGCGGCGGCGGCGGTGGGGCTCGGACCCTCTCTCACATCAACACAGACAGGGAAGCCGGCCTGTGACTGCGAGAGGTGTAATTTAGCTGCACCGCAGCATTGGACTCTGCATGGCGCTTCAGCCAGCCAACCACAGCCAGCTCGCCCAACCGCAAGGGGACCCTGGTTGGCCGTCGTTGCCCTCACCTCTCCCTCTTCCTCTCCCTCACCACCCATTGCTTCGTCCGCTCGACCTTGAGCAGCGACGGCTCGTCTCATCGCCATTCGCTCACGGCGGTGATCAGGTGCACATTCTTTCGTCCAGCTCGAGAACGTCGTCGACCGTATTTTCAGCTCTTCTCATCCCCCACCCTCCTTTTCTCTGTCGCCACCAATCGTTGATACGCCCTGGGGCAGCCCTGCACCCAGACTCATCACCAGCGCACAACTCCCTCATCGTCATCGCAACCCCGCTCAAATATACCTCTCTTGGTTCAATCATCCATTATCTGTATACCACCCTTCTCTCGACATCGCCTTGATCAACAACCAGCTATCTGGGTCACGTCATCTCCTTTGGCCGTTCTTCGCAAAGCAACAACTCGAGCGCTTGGCGCACCTGTCTGCTATTCCGACGCTCTCCGTCCAGCCTACCCACTGCTGGCCCTGCCTTGCTTCACCTCCATGCAGCTCAACTCAAAGGTCTCGACTCGAGATGTCATGATCCGCCATTCAAAACCACCGCCCCGATCCTTATCCGCATCCCATTCGCGTCGACAGTGCCGCCGAGCTGCCAAGCTTTAGGCCATGCGCACCATCTCCCTCTCATCCATATATACATATTTGCCAGCCACCAATCAGCACTAAGCTCCCACCGCCATCATGCCAGTGCACTCCTCTAGCAGCGACGCCCCCAACTGGCGACGCGGCGGTCACAAGAGCTCGCTCTCACCGCCCTACCCAGCACCAGCCCCAGTCCCAGTCCATCGCGAACACCTCGCGCATCGCAAGGACAAGGACCGCGCCCAAGACAACTGGAGGGCGCACGCCCAGCCCATCACCGCCTCCACAAAGCCGCACCATGACACTGCGGCTCGCTCACAGCCCATGTCCATCTCACCCTCCAACGGCAAGCGAGACGCAGCTTCCTCCAGTAGCTCCAAACCTTCTTTGCTCTCCACCAGCCGCAAACGCGACAAGGCCAACATGCTCGATGCCGACTGGATCCCCGGTCAGCATCCCCATCCCCAACCCAGCGCTCCACACGCCATCAAGCCAAGCAGCATGGGCAACGGCATCATCGGTCGCTCGCCTGAGTTTGGCACCTCGCCTACCAACCCCAAGACCAACGGCTTTGCTGCCATGCGCCACCACTGGCCCCTCTCTTCGTCACTGGAAAAGTCACAATCAACAGGGCCAGCCGCCCACCTCCATCCCCTCCGCATCGAGCACAACGAAGGCTCGCGCTTCTTCCCCACCTCTTCCACCCCACATCGTCCTGCTCACCATACACAAAACCCTCAGCACCTCTTCCAAGCCACAAGCAGGCTGGCAGACGCCGACCCCAACGACAACTGGATGCTGACACCCACCAGCTCGCTTCCCAGCATCCCCAGCACACCCAACCGGCCGCGTGAAGCCAGCACGGAAAGGTCGCTCGCCGCTTCCAACCAACCCGCCGAAGTTGCCAAGGCATCGAATCTGCGCACCCCTCTGTTCACCAAGGTTCCGGTAGAACAGCTTCAGGCTTCCTCCAGCGATCTCGCTCGCACCCCAAGTCCTAGCCACGGCCACGGATTCGGACGCCACGAAACTGGCTTCACCGGCACCTCGCTCTTCAATCGAGGTCCGAGCGTCAACGTCCAGTCGTCCCCCAAGCGTTCGCCCCTCGTGCTGGCCAACATCCCCCTTCGGCAGGGAGCCGGCAACGGCGCGACTAATCCAGCCCTGCTGAGCCCGACCACCTCACCCAAGCTCACGCATCGCACGTTGTCGCCCATGACAAGACACCCTCCCGTCATCGCTGAAGCTCACTCGAACGGCGACCGAATGGTCAGCAGCATCGCCTCCATGCTCGGCAGTCCGGCGGCTCAGGGCCGGCCTGGCCCGGCGTCCCGTCGCGAATCGTTCACCTCGACGGCCTCGGCCGGCGCCGGACACACCATGTCCCACTCAAGGCGCAGCTCCGCTGTGCTCTCCCCTCACTCGCCTACCGTTCAGAACCGCATCGGTGTCTACCGCCCGCCTCATCTCCGCAACCGTGGCAGCGTATCCGGCTTAAAGCCCAGCGTGGCGCACTATGACCGCGTACGTACACCGAGCCTGCGTGGTCTGTCTCGATCCAGGGAGTCCTCCATCTCGCTCAGTCGGCCAAGCAGCCGACCACCCTCGACCGTACCTTTCTACCATACGGACAGCATTCCAGAGGACGGTCCTGTAGCAGAAGATGCCGCAAGGGCTCCGCTCCGGGGCCGTCAGAGCACCATGTCCATCCATCTACCCGGCTTGATCGCCGACCAGCAGCAGCGCAACGCTGCTGCAGCGGCAGCGGCGGCTTCGGCTTCGGACTCGGACGACGGCCATACCGCCTCGTTTGTGCCCAACACCACCTCTCTCTTGGAGCAGCCTCTCGATAGTGCCTCCCTCCTCGCCAAGCTCAGGGCTCAGCTGGTCCGCCGTGAAGCAGCAGCATCCGATGCCGCAGCCTCGGAGGCAGATCGCCTCTCCGTCGTGACCGACGACAACGAGCAGGACTTCTTCGATCTGTCCGATATGATGGAGTATGGCGCTTCAGAAGGCCATCCCTTGAGCCGCTATGGCAGCATGTACGCCCTCGAGGGCCGTCCCCTCGGAGATGTTTTCGACGTCGGCGATCTTCTCGGCCCTGGCATGGAGCACGACGGTCATGTGATCCAGATCGCCGAGACCACCCCGGGCTTCGTCGACCAGAACGAAGATCTGACAGGCAGCAAGCTCGAAGTCGTTCGCAAGCTCGGCGAAGGAAGCTATGCCGTCGTCTACCTCGTCAAGGAGGTCAGTGCGGAAGATGCCGCCGTCCAGGTGGCCCAGAAGACCGTCGCTATTCCCACCTCGGCCTCGCGAGCATCTGCGACCGAGGCCAACGGCCGTCATCCCGACGACGATGCCGATCTGACCATGGTCGCCTCATCCGAAGATCTTCTGAGCACCACGCTCAAAGCGAACGGTAAGAACAAGGAGAACGGCTTCCACAACTCTCCGGCCCTTGAAGAAAGAAGGCGCAAGGATCTTAGAATCAACACGCGCCTGCGACCGGGCAAGGAGTTTGCGCTCAAGTGCCTCTGCAAGCGCGATCTGCCTGAAGACATGCTCGAGGTGCAGCGTCTGGAGGCAACCATCCACCAGTCCATCCCTTCGCATCCGAACATCGTCACCCTTTATCGCACCTACGAGACGCCAGATTGGCTCTTTCTCGTTCTGGAGTATTGCCCGGGTCAGGATCTCTACTACTGGCTCGAGCAGGCTCAGGACACGGGGCAGCCATCTCCGACCGAGGGCGAGACGGATCGAGACCAGGCCACGGACGACAACTACCAGCGACTGGGCACTTCGCTCGATGCCACGCCGCCCTCGCCTTCGCTGCTTGCCTCCACATCGGGGCGTGGACTGCTTTCCAAGCGTCGCATCCGCTTAATCTCGCGCATGTTCCGACAGATCTGCGACTCTGTCCAATTCTGCCACGACCGTGGCGTCAGCCATCGCGACATCAAGCCCGAGAACTTCATCGTCGAGGACCGCCGCACGATCGAGGAGATGCAGTCGGCGTGCCCTGACACGAGTGCAGGCACCCTAGTGGAAAGCACGCGTGATGGCGACGATGCGCAGGTGATCGTCAAGATGACCGACTTTGGTCTTGCCACGGCCGAGGATCGCTGCGACGACTTTGATTGCGGAAGCAAGCCTTACATGGCGTTCGAATGCCACAACAACATCTCTTCGTCCTACGACCCCAAGCAAGCCGACATCTGGTCGCTTGGCGTGGTGCTTCTGAACTTGCTGTTCCATCGCAGTCCGTTCACGGAGCCATCCATGAACTGTCCTTCGTTCGCCGCCTACTGCGAGGATCCGATTCGTTTCTTGATGGAATCGTTCGACGGCCTCACCGAGACAGTCGCCCGTTTCCTATCCGAGAACGTCTTTTGTTCCGTTACGGACGACGACGATGTTTCCGAGAAGAGGATCTCAGCCGGCGAATTCTCGCGCTGGGCTATGGGCCTTGTCGATCATATGGGCTTATCTGGATCGGGACGCGGCCGCATCTCCCGCGGTGCATCGCTCTACTCGACCATCCCGCTCATCCATTCGCGCACCGGCTCCATGTCGACGCTGCCATCGTTGCTCAGCTCGCCTCGACCTCGAGCGCGCTCGTTGGCGCGTGATACCGATCACATCCCCGACCTGGACGTGGCAGCTGACGCGACGTTCCGCGCCGCCTTTGGCTCGGCTAGGCAGGGAAGCTTGTCGCCCTATCCTTCGCTCTTCACCCCGGACGTACTGCCATCGCCGACCTTTACGCCGTCTCCTCAGCCGCCCGAGCGCAATCCGTTTGACACGCAGTACGCAGCAGCCTCGAATGTCACTCGCACTCCGGAAACCATCTCCGAGTCGCCCGAGCAGCAGCACGACGCGAATTTGCCGTTCATGGAGGACTCCACGCAGACCATGGTGGAAGCGGCCATTCAAGAAGACGAATCCACTCGGCCTCACGATCTTATAACTGACAATATAGAGGCGGAGGCTGCCCTCTCGATGGTGGACTCGGACTCAAAGCCAGCTTCGACGGCAGCTGAAACGGCCGCTGCTCAGCATGTAGACGGGCGGGGCGCGGCTGTTGCATCAGTCGATGCGAGTCTCGATCAGAGCCAGGATGCCGAGAGTGGTCCAGGTGATGGCGAGGTCGAGGTGGACGCTGCAGAACACGATGACGCAGCAGAAGCGGGGGCAGATGCGGATGCGCCTGCAGCACAAGACGGCGACAAGGCGGAGAGCATCACGACGTCAAACCACTCGAAGAGGCGCAAGCGCGGTGCTCGCAAGGGACGCACACTCGCCAAACAGCTCAAGCGATCTCAGTCGGTCGAGGGTATGGCGGACGTCGATGCGAACGACCCAGAGGCGAAGGCTCGCGAACGCGAGCGTACGATTCGCGAGCTGGCAATGGCATCCGAGAGCCTCGCACGTCAAATGAGCAAGATGGCCAAGCCGAGCGAAGCTGCGGATGCTGCGATTTCTCCGCAGATTGTGCTGTCGAGGCCCACCGCCGAGACGGTGGCGCGCTACAGTCAGCAGAATTTGGTCGACGGAGCGGCCGAGGGCTCTGCGACGGCACGAAGCGTGCGACCAGGCGAAGAGGCGGGTGTGGCTGGCGCAAGTGCAGCGCCCACCAACTGGTCGTCGGCGGCGGTGCGTCGCGAACGCATGAGCGAGCAACGCAAGACGGGTGGACCGCTGCTGCAAGATTCGGGACGTACGCGCGTCATGTCGTGGCGAGAGCGAAATCCGTCGGTGGCGACGTTTTCTTCGATGGCGTCTTCGGTGACGACGGCGTCGAGCCACAGCTCGGTGTCGTCGGCGACGTCGAGCATCTACTCGACGGCGTCTGCGCCCGCAGCTCTGCCGCGCAAGGACTTTTCTGCGCGCAACCGGACGAGAGGGAGCGGATTCGGACTGGATACGATTTCGGAGCGCGAAAGGGCGGCGCCTTCGAAGAAGGAGGTGGACGCCAAGTATCTGGCGGGCATCTTTGGTGGCGGCGACAACTCGAAGGCGGATGCCAAACGCAAGACGTCGTCGCTGGCGAAATCGGCCGAGCCCACTCGTACCGAGACGAACGGCACAACGGTCAAAGCCAACGATGCGGCGATGTCGAACGAGGCGAGAGCCGCTCGAGGTGGAGAGAGCGGCCGCGTGGGTGCAGACGCCGGTGCTGGGGTCGATCGCGTGGCATCGGCCTCACAGCCGACGCAGCTTCGTGCGGGCGAATCCAATCTAGGCGCCAACGGCGTGCGAAGTGTCAGCGTGGGAAGCGCCAACTCGACTTCGAGCGCGTCTGGGGTGGCGGCGTCATTTGTGTCGCGCTTCCGACGACCGAGCTCGTCGTCATCGGCGAACAAGGCCGCCGGTGCGCTGGAGGGCGGAACGGCACTCGCGGCGACGGCTTCGACCGGCTCGGAGGGCGAGAAGGGGAGCGGCCGAGGCGCGGGTATGGGCATGCTGCGTGACGCGTCGACGAGCACGAGCAGCCTGCACACTAGCAGCGAGGCTCGTGGCCAGGCGGCGGGGGCAAGCTCGGCGCATGGCGGCGGCAAGCCGGGGATTACGAGCAAGGGTTCTGCCGATGCGACTTCGGTGGCCGAGGGGGCGGCAGCGCAGGCGCCCAAGAAGCGCGGCATGGGCAAGTTTCTGCTGGGCATGCGTGACAGCATCAAGAACTTCTGACGTGCTGCGTAGTGTAACTTTAGGCAATGCAAAGGGGCGCCGAATTGCGCCGATAAGCATGCCACGCGGCAGGGTGATTACGCGGGCGTGAGCAGCATGCGGACTGACGTGGGATCGACGGTGTGCGGCAAGGTTCGGCCAGTAGCGGGATATCGGGTCGGATCACAGCGCCATTCTCGTCGATCGGGTGCAAGTGAAGGGTGAGATCGGGCAGCTTGGAGACGCGTTCGGACGCTTTTCTCCGAAGGCTCCAGGGAGATGTGTCGAGTAAGCGCCGGCCGGAGAGTTTTTTTTTCGTGCCCAGGGTCCTATGCTGCGCCGGTTTCCATGCCGATGTCAACTCAGCCATTCGGCATGCCTCTCACCTGTGCACACGGTGTGGTCACGAGTCAGGCTGATCTGCTCCTACTCCACAGTTTGACAATGCTCAGTCTGAAATGAATGGTTTGAGGAAAGGTGGATATTGAAGGTGGGATGGGGGAAATGCCGCGGAGGAGTTGGGGGGTGTGGCGAAGAAGGAGCTCCGGGGTGGTGATTCCGAGTTCTTTTCACCCGACTCGAAATGGTGAAGGAGCGACGGCAGAGGGGGTGGGATGTGTGGAGCGAAAAAGAGTGGTTCGGGCTGACGGAGCTAAGATGGCTCGAGGAGGAGGCAGGAACAAGATGCCGAGGCAATTGGGAAATTCCGCGGGCCCGCAAAGATGATCCGGCCGCGTCGGCTTCGTCTGTGTGCGCTAAGGTGAGACGGCGCTAAGAAATGACCATGACTCATTGCCGACGCGTAAAGCTGTCTTTCCCCACTGCCGCGGCATTCGCTATTCCCAACGTGCGGTGGATACTGGGGTAAGGCTTGCACTTGTTCCTGTTGCGGGCCGAGGAATTAGAGCGCGGATGCATGTGACTTGGCATTGCACGGAAGGTACGAACCGGGCAAGGCGATGTTGTATGCCAAGTTGCTTGGGGGCCGGAGTGGCGGGAGAGAGCGGAGTGGTGGAGGTTTTGGGAGGGCTCGGCGTTGTAAGCCCGGGAAGTGATGAGGGAGCTTCCATCGGTTGCGCCATGCCGGGGCTGCGACGGCAGGACGGCCAACTATCTCCGCGCGGATGCACGGGTAAGCAAAAACGCCAATCCTCTGTCAGACGCGGTGACGTTCAGTTTGGTCTGGGCGTCGACGCTTGGCATTTTTTTGGGACGCGGCACTACGGCCCGTGGGTGGAATTTTTTTGCCAAACTGCATGGGCTGCATGCCAGTGCCTGTTCCGCTCCACTTTTTTTTGGTCTCCATGGAGCTGAGCCAAATGTCAGCGCATGTTTCTAACGCTTGCCTTCCCGACGCCTCGGCTGATATTGGCTGCTTCCGCACAGCCGTAACCATGCATGAAGCTAGGCCGCCAAGAGCGACGACGGGATATATACCCACCCTCCTTCCATCGCTACTCCCCAGCCCCCATCCTACATCCACAGCATCACCTTGGACTATCTTGGCCATCGGCCCAATCTCGCCGACTCCAACCGCCCAAGACTATACTACTCTACTACGCAAAGGATGTTTAGCACACGGCATGAGCAGCACCACGTTGTGCACATTGGAGGCGCCGAATTCGTGCCGCCGATGATGACGCACTTTGCCCACGTACCCAACCTCTCGCTCTCGACCTCGCCGTCTTCGGAAGCATCGAGCTCGGCTGCATCGTCGCCGGTGCACTCGCGATTCAGCAGCTCCTCCACAGCCTCTTCCGCAGCCGAGTCGCTCGAGGAATGGGATGCAGTGCAGGCGCATCTGGCCTATGCACGTCGGATGGCCGACCACACCGCCTCCATGTGGCAGAAGGAACGTCTTGCCATCGAAAAATCCAAGCTCGACGGAACCTACACGGGAAACATGACTTCGCGACAAAATGGAAATGCCCGTCCCCCCGCAGATGCTCCTACAAAGGAAAGCGGCGAGGAGAAGAAGAAACACAAGAGGTTCGGTTGGATCAACAACTTCCTCTCCCCACAGTCGCAGGACGAACCACGCGGTCGATCAAGATCCCGCCGTTGAAGCCCATCCCAACACGTGCTCGTTCTCCTGCCTCTTGTACAATCCCACCATCCCCCCGTCACCCTGGATATCCCACTTGTACTTTTTTGTTTTTATCGCATCTTCATCTGTATTCTTAGCCCTGTCTTGTCATTACCACCTTTTCACAGCAAATCACACAAAGTTGATTGTTGTATACACTTGCGCGCGCGCGTGTGTGTGTGTTTTATTTGGCTGCGGCAGCGGTGGACTGGGTGGACGAGATGGAGGCGGCAACGTCGCCGCCAGCCAGGTGCGCAAGTGCACGCACAAAGTCAATGGGCTTGAGGATCTCGGTGGCGCCATAGGTGATCTTTTTTCCGCCTCCCACCGCGCCCGCTGCATTGGCTGCGGCAGGGCCGGTGGTGGCAGCTGCCCCTGCCGTGCGTGCGGCGTACTCCTGCAGATTAGCAAACTCGACATATCCACCCCCGCCGACGACGAAGACGATGGCCTCATTGAACACCTGGCGTGCCTTGATGCCGCCCGATGCGGCGGCTCGACCGCGGGGTGCCTTGGGGTCGAAGAACAGGTACTCGTCCGTTTCGCTCAGCGCCTGCGCAGCCGCACTGCTGGGCTCCATCAGCGATGCCACCAGCCGCGTCACGGTGAGATCCTTCTGCGCCGGCAGGAAGTTCTTGACGCCCTGCACGAGGTTCTCCAGCCCCGAGTCCTTGAGTCGATCCGTAAGGCGCGACGAGAGCGAGCTGAATCCGCGGAAGCCACCGCTGCCCGCATCGCTGACCGAGGCAGGCTGCGGTGCCGAGGCGAGCATGGTCATGCGCGTGAGCTCGCGCACCTTCTTGACGTAGCTGAGCGCACTCAGATCCGCGCCCTGCTCGCGCAGCACGCGTTCGAACTCGTCCACATCCGCGCGCCCCAGCGCACTGTCCGGCGCCGAGAGGTAAAAGATGATGAACAGCCGCAGCTTGTCGTTGACGTCCTCGAGCTGCGCATCACGCACCGTCTCGAGGATGGTCTCCTTCTTCTGGCGCGCAATCGCCTCCTCGAGCTGGAAGAGCGTATCGAGCCCGCGCCGCTTGATGCCCTGCAGCAGCGCCGTGGCGATGTTCATGTGCGCATCGATGGTGGCCTTGCGTTGCGTGAGCTCGGGCAGCGCCGTGATGGCCGCCTTGAGATGCGCCGCGTTGGAGGTGGCGTCGAGCTGACCCACCTGATCCATGCTGCTGATGCCCGTGGAGCGCGTGATCTCGGCCGCATCCGCCTTGTACCGGTTCAGCTCGGCATCAATGTCCTCGGCCACGTGCGGGAAGGGCGTGGCCGAATTCTTGGACCAGAAAAAGTCCTTCGAGTCCAGGTCGTACGTCTTTTGGCTCGCCACGCCGCCTTCGCTCGACACCACGGTGACGCGGTTGAGCTGCAGGTCCAGCACGTCCTGCACGAGCGCCTGGTACGTCCAGCTGTGCGCCAGCATGGGCACAAGGTCCACGTTGCGATCCAGCACCACCAGCAGAGGCCGCGACGAGCTCCAGCTCGCCTGCCCGCCACTTGCGCCTTCGGAGAAGAGATTGGAACCGCCGCGCGAGCTCGTCATGTGTTCGCGGATCTTGGACTCGAGCTTGCGCGCCACCAGCTCGGCTGCATTGCCGCGTGGCGATCGGATGATGGGCAGCGCGCCCATCGTGGCGAGTGTGGAGAAGAGGCCGGCGGCGATGCGGTCGGTGGCATCTTCGACGTCCTTCTGACCCGACTTCGGGTCGTTGAGACGTTCGTACGTGCTGACGGTGGAGGTGGATGCGCTGGTACCATTGGCAGCGGCAGCGCTGGGCGCCGGCGATGCGTCCGGGAGCAGTTCGAACAGATTCGGCTCGAGCACGATGAAGTTGAGATACTGGTCGTACACCTGCTGAACGAGCTGACCAGTCCCGTCGGTGGCCACCAGGTTGGCAAACTCTTCCATGACGGGCTTGGGGACGGTGCTGGTGAAGTTGACGTAGAAGTTTTCGTAGAGCATGCGCTTCATGTCCTGAGCGATGCGCTGCACGTTTTCCGAGGTGGGCGAGACAAAGTAGACGGCAGGCACGTCGGGCAACGGCGGACGATCCGAGTGCAGCTGCATGTGCAGCGTGACGCCGTTCTCGCGCAGGTCCTGCACGCGCAGCGACGTGGCGAGGATGTTTTTGGACACCTTGTCCATGATCAGCACCTTCCACACAGGCGGACCCGAGGGGATGGACGGGTCTGCGCCCGCACCGCCCGCATCATTTTGGCCAGCTGCAGAGCCGGGTCTCGAGTTGTAAGTCGAGCCGGGTACCGACGAGGAGGAGGAGGCGTGGTTGAACGAGGCGGTGTTGAGGTTGAGCAGCGAGAGGAGCGAGTTGACCTGGGCGGTGCGAAGGCTCGACGCGGCAGCCGAACTGGCAGAGGCCATGCTGAACGATGCTTCGGAGCAAGAGTGGCAGCGAGGCGATCTCGAGGCGAGGTGCGGTCGATGGCGGATGTTGGTTGCGGATCGAGAAGCAGCAGGACTTGGCCCATGCTCCACAGCGCTGCACCGCACCGAACAAGGAGCGACTCCCCGCGACGACGTGGATCAGCTCCACCCCTCTATCGCGCGAGTGATAGCCAGGCCAGGATGATTTTAACGCCCGTGTGATGAAATCGGATCTCACACCTTGCAGGAAAAGCCGGATGTCCGAAAAAGAGTCGAGCGTCGGCAAGCCGGAGGGCAAACCTTGCCGGAAGCGGATCCATTTCGACCGCTGCAGTACCACAAACACAGGCCATCACCGTATGGATTGCCGGACGGCGAGATGCGCTGGTCATTGGGCAATCTCCGGCAAGACGAGAGCAGATGCCAATACCAAAGTGCCGATTGGAAAATGGCGGCTGCCCGAGATAGGCCAGGTGTGGGGTCGACCCTTTCACATCAGTGTGGCAGCTGAGAGTGGAGCGAGCGAGGCAGGCCGGCGAAGCAGATGCAATTTCACGCTTCAAACGTCCCAACACCCTCAGAACGCCGCTCTCGAGCCCATCCGCCCACTCGGCCCACCAACGCCTCGGTTAAAAGTGGGCGCTGATTCCGGAAGGGTCTCGGGCCTCTCTCATCGCTTCATCCACACTCACTATCGGTCCCCACCAACACCACCACGACCAACCCACATCCGAACGGCGCGCTGCCAGACACACTTCCACCATCGTCCTCAGCAGCACTGGCGATGACCAAGACAGGAGATCGCGAGATGGGCCGAGAACCCACTTCCGAGGAGCAGGAGCCTCCGGTCTACGAGCAGGGTGTCAACTCGCCCTCGCGCTCAGGCGCCGCTGACATCGCCGAGGCGCTCGAAGTGGAAGAGATCGACGATGACCTGTACAAGTCGCTGACGCTCTGGAAGCCCGCACGCGCCCGCGGTGTGTTTGGCGGCCAGGTGATTGCGCAGGCCGTGGCGGCATCCAACAAGACCGTCCGAGAGGGCATGCTTCTTCACTCGCTCCACAGCTACTTCCTGCTAGCGGGAGACGAGACGCGGCCCATCATCTATCACGTCACGCGCGTCCGCGACGGTGGCTCGTACGTCACGCGATCCGTCAACGCGACCCAGCGAGGCAGGAGCATCTTTACCATCATCCTCAGCTATCAGAAGCCCGAACCGCACCAGCCGTTCTTTGCCATCCCCACGCCGTCGCTCGATGCAGACGGTCGGTCGCTCCTCGAATCCATCACTGGCTCGCATGCGACGGGCAACCACTCGGCCAAGTCGATCAACTTCCGCGCTCTCCCAGGGCCGCTCGATTGCCCGCTGAATGAGCATCGATACCAGGAGGTGCTCAAGCATGGTAATCCGGACGCCCGCGTGCGCAAGGTGCTCGAGGGCTGGATCAGCGATCGTCAAGCCTCACCTGTCGAGATCCGCGACGCCCTGCCGGGGATGTACGACCACAACGGAATTCCTACTCCCGGCAACCAGCAGGCATTCTGGATGCGAACCCGCAGACCGATGAGCGGAGGCCTCGAGGCTCAAAAGGTCGCCCTCGCCTACGCCTCGGATTTCTACCTACTCAGCACTGTACCCAAGGCACTCAACAACAGCAGACGCATCAAGATGATGGCCAGTCTCGACCACAGCATGTGGTTCTACCAGCCATTCGAGGTACATGAATGGCTCCTCTTTGTCGTAAGTTCGTACCCCCTACAGATTTCACTCGCGCGTTGGGGTTACTGACAAGGTCTCTTTGTGTTCGTCCTGGGCGTGCGCAGATGCAGACACAGGCAGCTTCCAATGGTCGCGGCGTCGTGATCGGACGCATCTACCGCGAGGACGGCACACTCGTCGCAGTCGTCTCCCAAGAAGGCCTCGTGCGTGGCAACGATCCAAAACCTGCCAAGCTCTAATTTCGACCCCTTCAAAGTTGCCTCTGTCCATGCTTATTCTATACCTCGATTCTTCTTTCCGCAATACATCACACTGGCGCGCACGAACTATAGACATGTCTCGGCGCTGCACAACGTTGGATTGAGATGGTGAGATGGGGGTCGGCTAAGCGAAGAAGGAAGATGGCGTGCGCGAGCGGACTGACGAGGGAGAAGCGAGGTTGGCGAGCGTGCTGCTGTGCGGTAGACCGGGCGGAACACCCGACGCGCTCGAGTAGATGCTGGCAATCGACAGATCCGCGTCGACTGCGACGCTCGGCTGACGCGGTGGGTTTTGCGACATCCTTGCATTGAGGTTGGCGACCTTTGCCTTGGCTTCGGCCAGCATGGTTGCTTGGGCCGCAAGCAGATTTTCGACCTTGCGCAGCTGGTCTGCACCCAACAAGGCGCGTTCATTGGCAGGGGTGGCGGCGAGCACGTCCATCTGGGGCCGCAATAGCGCGAGTTGGTGTGCGAGACGATCCGCTTTGGCTGCGATGCCCTTGCGTGCGCGGGTGTCGGGCTTGAGCTCGCCGCTCGAGGTGCGCGCAATGCCCACGTCGGCAGCAATGCGTTCCAGTTCGTCGAACCAGCGTCGCTCGTACACCGAGATGCTCGGCTGGTGCGAGTCCATCAACCGCTGCAGCGCACGATCAATGCGCGACACTAGTGCCACCTGCGTCGATGCAAGTCGGGCAACACGCTCGCCCAGTGCACTCTGACCATCACCACTCCCAAGCGCGGAACACCGCGCGCGGATCTGGTCGAGCTTGGAAAGCTGGCGCGTCATCTCGCGCACCTGCAGATCCAGACGCGCTTGTACCGCGTTGCCTGCAGACACGACGTCGCGGATCTCGTGCCGATACGACTCTACTGTCTTGCCCAGTGCACGAAGCGTGTCCGGCGTCACTTGGACCTCGCCTTTAGATACGCCGGCCATCGCCGCACGTCGCGGATGCGAAGGAAGTCCCTGCACCCCCGAACCTGCGGCAAAGACCGCCGGAGGCTGGAACGCCGGTCCCTCGCCCAGCAGCGACACGTACGGCTTCGGAAGCTTGGACTCGCTCAATCCGAGCTCCGGAGCCATTGCAGCCGGCGAGTCCGCCACGTCATGCTCGACACGAAGCGACAGCTCCACTCCCACCAACTGCAGATCCGCCGTCACGGCTAGAAAGGCGTACGAAAGGTACACGTCCGACAGGATAGCCACTGCTGTCACTGGGTTGATCTCGAGCGCGTTGCGCCCCTTGCCGGTGCCCGGGGCGGCCGTGTTGACGACCCAGACGACTTCGGTGTTCTCGCCCCGATGCAGCACCTTGGTGAGCGCCTGCTCGCGCGACTCGGCTGTTGCTGACGACGCATCGGCGTGCGCATCGTTGTCCAGCTCGTCCTGTGACGGCATGTTGAGCGCCTGGATCAGCTTGGACGTCCACGTCGCAAAGCCCAGACACTGGGCGCCGAACGCGTGGTAGACATAGAGCGTATCGCCGTACAGCGGGTCGCGTACGAACGTCGGTCGATTGCGCGCCGAGGTGTCCAGCAACAGATCCGATGCCGCCGCATGGCTCTTCACGCCATTCTCCACCGCCGTGTCCAGCAGACCCAGATCGATCGTCTCGTAGATCAGCAGTGAAGGCAGCTCCTCCGGCTCGTCCAACGTCAGTGCCTCTAGTTCGTCCGCCTCGTCTTCGGTGTCGGACAAGCCGTATCGGTTCGTCTTGGGCGTCTTGGTCCTCCTTTGTGGAGCGTTGCGTGGCCTGGTTGTGCGGGAGTCCCACGAGCCCTGGACCGACTCGAAGAGGAGTCCAACATCGACGCGGCCATCGTGCCCGACTATGCTGAGTGCACCTACTCCCGAGACGGTGGTGCTGTCGGTCCGCTCGGCGCGTTCGTCCGTGAGCCAAGTCCAGACAATGTCGCACGCCACTGTCTCGCGCTCGTCGCACAACTCTACAGGTGCCGGCCGCAGCAAAAAGGGGCCCTGCGGACGAGGAGCCCGTTTGGCGCTTCCGCCTTGACGCACGTCCTGGCGGTACGACCATGAGGGCGGGTGGAGTCGAATGGGACCGTCTTGCACAGCATCCATGTCGACTTGGCTCTCATCCGCATCTGCGTCCTGTGGGTCGACGAGCTGGTCGAGATCCATTGTCGATGTGGACCGTGATCGTGCAAAAGCTTCGGGTGCTGGGGTCACGGACGTCTGGCGTCCGTTGCTAATGCTGCTTCTGCTGCGCTTTGCGATGCCTTGAGACGCTTGCTTGAGGAGTGCGTTGACGTACCGCAGCTGCGTGTCGACGCTCGACGTCTGCTGCGACTCGACCGTGTTTGCATGGTGCGAGGCAAGCTTGGCAAGGTCGTGAATGTAGGCTGCCGGAACAACGGCGCTCTTGGGCAGGAAAGGACAGATGGCCCACACATCGCCGTTCTTCATCAAGCCGAACACTGTGAGCGGCGACCAGTCGGTGGGACCCTGCGACCTTGAAGCTGCTGCTGCCCAAGCGCTGTCGTCATCTTGGTCAAAGGCAGTGGAGCGCGCCAGAGATGCCTCGTTGACGCAGAGCGCGAAGCTCACCGCGATTGTGGCATCGTCATCCTCCGCAGAGAGGCCAAAGCCGCGAGAGGCGCCAAAGTTGCTCGAGCTTCTGCTGGCAATGGGTGAAGAGCTGCGATTGTGCGCCGCTAGGCTGGGAGTCGCGGAGCGCGATCTCGACCTCTGAGCGTTGGAAGTAGGCTGGATGGGTAGGAACGATGCTGTCTGCTGCGGCTCCTCGGTGTCTCTGGCAACATCGTACTCGCGCAGGAGGCCGTCGTCGGTGAGGACGAGGAGCGAAGTGCCGCTCTCACCCCACGGGTGCCAGTCAACCTTGGCCACGGCGGCATCCGAATGAGCAGAGTGGTAGTAGGGAGCGATCGGCACGGCGCGGCAGGCGACGGTGCGATCGACGTGCTTGGTGTAACCAGATCGCGGCATGACGAGAAGGGTGATTTGGCTGGCACCGACGCAGGCGAGCAGCTTGCCGGTAGGATTGAGGCTGAGGTGCTGGATCTCAAAGTCGATCGCAGGTCCCTGTGCTGGCACGAGCACCTTGTAGTTGGTGGACGACATCGCTCCGAGCGAAGACGAGCGCGATGCTAACGCTGCGGGAGTAGCTGCGGAAGCTTTGGCATCCACTAGCGATGCGATGCGCACCTCGTTGTCGACCGCAACGATCAGGTCGGTGCCTCGGACGACCATCAGACGTGCATGGGTGCCAACGATCTGATCATCAGAGGCAGTGCTCGTTCCGCTGCTTTCTTCGCGCGGTGTGAAGATCGGATGGCTGGCGAGTTGCTGAAGCCATCTTGGGTCGCTGAGCGTTGGATCAGGCGACTGAGGGTAGCCCCCGCCGAGGGGAGCTTGGACCTGGCTCATTGCGATTCAGGCTGCCTCAGTCGAGAGACCGTTCGAGGATGCTGGTGGTCGAATGCGTTGGAGGTGGGTGAAGAAGTGCCTGTCGAATGAACTTTCCAAAGGTCACGGAATCCATCACTGCGCGTTGGTGGCACTTCAGGAAGCTTCGCATCGCGCCACGGTCATGATTATGTAATACAAAATAGCCGCACTGGACCCTGCGTCTCCACTTTCACTCTGATGCCCCACCCCGTCAAAAGGCTACTCTCACTCTCGACATCCACCACAGGCCGGCTTAGCCGCGAGCTTTGAAGCAGCACGCTCTCGCCATCGTGCGCCAAGGCACCCTGCGCCATGAATGCAGAAGCAGGCCCGAGCCGTCCATCCGGGCGGCGTTCCACACGCGTTGCCGCCCGTTCCAACGACGACGCGTATGACTATTCCAAGCTGGTCGGGATGGATGTGGACGGAGACGACGAGGACGCCGAATTCGGAGCACTCGCTTTTGGTGGTCTCGACGACGATGATTCGGATGCCAGCAATCCTGATTGGGATCAAGACGATGATTCGGATGCCGGCGAACCGGCTGCTACTAGCCTAAAGAAGCCACCAAGCAAGAATCGGGACAATGCAAAGAATGGCCGGCCAAAGCCAGTGGCGACACGGCCACCAGCGCAGGGCGGACCAGGCCGCAGCGACGACGAATCGCTGGATGAAGACGATGACGACGACGACGATGATGCCACCGGCGACGAGATGGATAGGGATGCGCTCGATCCGGCACTGTTTGGCGAAGCAGGCGCTTCCCAGCCGAGGCGGCCGCCGACAGAAGGCGAAGAAGAAGACTTTGAGCCAGAGTCCTTCCATCGACTCGTAAGCTCGCTGCAAGACACATCGCGAGAAGCAGGCGCACTGCGCCAGCAGTGGGATACCTCGATCGAGGCCGAAAACGCCGAGTTCGAAAACGAGCTGCGCGCCGCCGCCGGCTTCAAGCAGAAACGGCGCGTGCGCCGCAAAGCGCACGAGCAGCCCCTCTCTGCCGAAGTGCAAGCGCTCATGGCCGACGTCAACCTGGCATACGTCGAGAACCGCCTGCACGACGCGATTCCCAAGCTGGAAGAAGTGATCCGCATCGAGCCCTCGGTCATGGCTGCGTGGAACACGCTCGGCCTCATCTACGAGGAGCTGGGAGAGGAAGAGAAGAGCATCCAGTCGCGCATCATCGGCGCACATCTGCAGCCGCGCGCCAACGCCGAGTGGAAGACACTCGCATACCGTTCCATCAAACAGACGCTGTATCGCCAGGCGATCTACTGCTTCCAACAGGCGATCAAGATCGACAAGACGGACGTGGACAGCATCTGGGACCGTGCGCTGCTGCTGCGCGATCTCGGCGACCACAAGGCGGCGATCAGTGGCATGCTCGACATCCTCAAGTTGCAGCCGTACGACGCGTCGGTGGTGCGCGAGCTCGTGCCCATGCTCGTCAGCACCCGCGACTACGACCGCGGCATCGAGGTGCTCGAGCGCTGGCGCACCTCGAGCATGCAGGCGTATCCAATCCCCACCGGCGGTCTGCCTCTCGATCCGGAGCTGTTCGCAGATGCAGCTTCAGCTGGGCCGCAGTCTTCCGCACCGACCTTCAACACTTTTCAAATCTCGGAACTCGTCACGCTCGCCGACCTCTTGCTGTTAATGCGCAAGCCGCTCGAGACGATCAGTGTGCTGCGCCAGACCGCGCGCTGGCTCGACGGACGCAAGAGTGAGGACTTCTGGGACGCTGTTGACGACGACCGAGAGTTCGACGGCGACATTGATCCACAGATCCGCAAGGAGCGCGACAACGAGGGCTACGGGCGCCAGGTAGAGACGGCGCAGCCGCACCTGCTGGATCCCGAGATCCGCTTGCGGCTGGGCAAGGCGCGCATGATGCTCGGCGACGTGGTCGAGGCCAAGCACCACTTTGACGTGCTCACCGAGGGCGATCCGGGCGACCTGCCGCAGATCTTCGCCGAGGTGGGCGACTGCTACTACGAGCACAAGCTGTGGGCCGAGGCGCTCGACGTGCTCACCGATCTCGCCAGCACCGAGTATGCGACGGAGGACGTGTCGCTGTACGCCAAGCTGGCGGCGTGCAACCATGCGCTCGGCGAGCTCGAGGAGGCAGCGCGGCTGTACGAGCCCGTGGTCGAGGCGGCACCGGACACGCTCGAGTGGCAGATGCGCCTCGCCGAGGTGTACGAGGGCCTGGGCGATAAGGAGAAGTCGCTCGAGGTGCTGCGGCGCGTAATGCAGATCCTGCAGTCGCAGCGGTCCGCCGATGACCAGCCGGGACAGGCGCCGTCGGGCGCAGCTGCAGAAACCACGCATGGCGGCGCTCTGTCGTTCTTTGACGAGATCGGCAAGCCGGCGGCACCCAAGGCTGCGCCAGCGGCCAAGCGTGCGCGTATGAACTACAACCGGCAGCAGCGGCTCAAGTTGGAGCTGCAGCGCGAGCAGGAGACGCAGCTGTCGTGGCGGCGGCTCGAGCTGCTCGAGCCGCACGTCTTTATCGATGGCTTTTGGCGCTACGACGTGGCTGTGAGCCAGGAAGCCGAGGAGGGCCTGGGCAGCTTCTACGCGACGAGCGAGAGCGTCGACGAGCGCGAGAAGCGGTACCGTCAGACGGCGCAGTGGGTGGAGGAAGCGGGTGGACTCATCGATGCCTTCCGACTGCACCCGCGGCTGAACGGCTTGAACCTCAAGAAGAAGCGCTGGGGTGGAGCGGGCACTGGCCGAGCCAAGGCGAAGCAGCGTCGGTCGGAGGCGAGGCCGATGCAGACGACGCTGGCGAGCATGCTGTCGCAGCGCGGTGGGTCGAACGCGATCTCTACGCAGGCGCGCAACTTGCTGCACCGTCTGCAGGACTCGTTGGTCGAGGATGACGGTGCTTCGGACCTGCACGACGGCTCTGAAGCAGGCGATCTGGACGGCGCCAAGCCCAAGGCCGAGCCGGGACCGAAGCAGCTGGACATGGCCAAGTTCCGCGGGCTTTCGATCGAGCAGTGGATCGCGCTGTTTGCCAAGTACGCCTTTCTGCTCGTCAAGAGCGGCGAGGGCATGGGGATGGTGAATAGCCTGCTGCAGTCGCTGCATACGAGTGCGGTGGTGTGGGGCAATTGGGATCGGATGGTGGTGGTGCAGCTTTCGTGGTTGTCGTGTGGGCTGTATGCGCGCGACTGGCCTACGGTGTGGGGTTGTCTGCGGTGGATGGCGCAGGAGATGCAGTTCCACAACTTTCCGCTGCAGCTCGCTGCGAGCCTGGCGAACGGGACGGGGTTCCACAGTCTGGGGAGGCTGATCAGCAACAACGACATCAAGTTCTACCAGCGTCGCATGCGGCAGGGCGAGGCGGTGGCGCGCGGAGCCACGTGTCGGTTTTCGACGCACAATCGTCGATGGCAAGTGCCGGTTGGTGTGCTTGGTCGCGAAGAGGAGACAAAGGATCTGGTGGAAGAGGCGAGACGTGCGACCGAGGAGCGTGAATTTGACGACGGTGTGGTGGTTGGCGTGGAGGACGATGACCACGCAAGTGGTTCAGAAGCCGAAACTGACGAGGGGGATATCAAAGGCGACCGACCCGACCCCGACCTAGCACTTCGCCTTGCACGGCCTACCAAACCCTCACCGCTTGGCGAGATGTTCTACGGCTATATGCTGCTCTACTCGGGCGGGTACCAATCATCGGCCGCGTTCTTTGGTCGTGCTCATGCGATCCAACCCACCGATGCGCTACTCAGCCTGGTCAGTGCAGTTGCATTCCTGAGTCGCAGTACCAATCGCCAAACGGACAATCGCCACCATATGGTTCTGACGGCCACGACGTTCTTTCAGAACTACCGTCGCAACCGGGGAAGGAGGGCAGAGGAGGAGTACAATGCCGCCCGATTGCTCCACCATATCGGCCTCACCCATCTCGCGGAGCCGCATTACAGGAAGGTCCTCGAAATAGCCGACGAGGGGCAAGGATGGAGTCTCAAGAGGGAGGCAGCTTGGAATTTGGCCATGATCTATACGACATCCAACAACACCAAGCTCGCTCAACAGATGTATGACGAGTACCTCACCGTGTAGCATCCATACCCACCTTGCACCATCATCCCGGCGTCGCATGTGCTTCAATCGCAGCACGATATTATAATATTTTTCGGCACCTTTTTTTTGTCGTCTTTTTTTTTTTTTTTTAGATTTGCACGGTGAGCATTTCTCAAGTCACACTGGACGATCGGCACGGACGAATTTGAGCTCGTGCGGTGTGGTGCTGTCGGACTAGTCTACATGGTCGGGCAGTGGTAGGTGTGCGCCCGAAAGAGCGTTGGCAGCGGTGTTGGCGGCAGTGAGTGCATCCGCCTCATTCTCTGCATGCTGCACTGCCTCGCTCGGCGGTTGGGCAGTGCGTCGTTTGCGCAGTGTAGGGTGGGTGCGCAGTAGCAGCGTTTTGGCCTGGCGCTTTTCGCGCATGCGATCGGCAAGCACCCTAGACAGATTCACCACACTCCTTCCCCTTTTCTCTGTAGTAAGGGCATCCTGCTGCGGGGTCGCAATGGCAGTAAGCGCCTCCACCTCTACCTCGGCCTGCAAAAGCGACCTTTCCGCGGCATTCTCCTCCTCGCAGTCCAACTCCTGCATGGATGCGGAGGGCGAACGACGACGCCAGAACTGGGGCAGAGGGATGGCTGGTGGCTCCCTGCCGAGCTTGTGCACGAGCGAGCGCGTCACCTTCTGCGGGCCCTCATTCTCCTCTTTGCTATTTGTGCTGCCCGTGTGGGTGTCTGCGGGCTGAGCAGGAGCGTAGGCGGCGTGGGGAAGTAGGATGTTGCCGTACTCGTCGCGGCGTGCACGCACGGCCAGACCCGCAATCCACGCCGCATCCTCCACGCGCGCAGGAAGCGCAGACGGCACCAGCGCCAGCAACTTGAGCACCGCAGCCGAATCCATGCGCGTATCTTCCGGATGCACCCTCGCCAGCATACGCGGCCTGCGCGACCCACCACCCGAAGCTGACGCAAGGTACTTGGGCTTGAGCTCGATCTTGATCGTTTCATCGTCGCTTTCGTCCTTGACAGCTAGCGTCGGTGTGGACCCACTCGATGAAGACGGTGGTGGGGAGGCGATGTCGACCGAGTCGGTGTGTTGCCGACTGACACGACGAGACGGCTTTGGGAAGCGGAAGATCATGGCGATGAGACGCACAAGTCGCACCGTCTCTTTGTACGTCAGTGGTGATGGCGCATCTGTCTTCTCGGCACGCTTTGCGTCAGCAAGGCTGTACGTGTAGATGGTGTGCGCCATGAGCCGTGTAGACTGCGCAAAGGCGTCTTCCGAGCTGGTTCGTGTCGGTTTAGGTGCTCTTTGCGAAGAGGTATCGGGCTTGCGGGTCTCGCCCTGCAGCAAGCAAGCTTGGCTTGATCCTGGTCGGGGGAGCGGAGTATCCTCGTCGTTCGATTCCGAGTCCGAGCTGGAAGTGCTAGCCATTCCGGCATCTTCGTCCTCTCGAGCCTCTTTGGCGTCAAGCTCAGCCAACGGACCAGGAACAGCGCCGGCGTGATTGTGGGTACTTGGCACAGTACGCAGGGTCTGATCGAGATCCTCGTCATCGTCAGAGTCGAAGCGATTCAGTCTCGCCCTTTTGCGTGCTTGCCGTGCGGCTGTGGGGCGTGGTGGGGGGCGAAAGTCGTGCCAGACAATATCGTCTGCCGATGCGGCGTCGGTTGAGTGCGCCAGTGCCGAGAGCGGATCAGCACTGACGGCAATGGAGGAAGGAGAAGGCCCCAGCACTGATGCGGAGCCAGAGGAGGGGTCGAGCCTCCATGTCCAGGGAGCCGCCATGTGTGCCGGTAGTGTGGTGCGGGAGAGTGACGCGGATGGTGGTGGTGGGGAGGTGGGATTTCAGATTTGCTGGACCCTGAAAATGGCCGAGACCAACACGGTGGCGGCGGCGGCTTGGCGGGACGTGACGCGTTGAGTGCCGCTCTGCACGGCTCCTACCTCGAACACACGTCTCTGCTCGATCCACCTTTGAGGCACTCGAACCGACACACACTCGATGACGATGTCGAGATGATGGAACAATGATAGTGTGATAGTGTTACAAGTTGTACAGAACTGGTCAAAAGTACATGCGATGAGGCTGGAGCGTGGTGAAAGGCAAAGAATCAGCGATGGTTGGCGAGGAATTCTCGCATCATGCGCGCGCCATCCTGGCCGTTGCGCAAAAGCATGCGCTCCGACTCGTCGAGGCCCTGGAGGAACTCGGTGACTTCGGCGCTCATTGCGCTTCCAGCGCTCATGCCGAGCGTAGGGCCATCGGAGACCATAGCCGCAATCGCCTGTGCCGACGCAAAGCCTCGCTGATCAGCATCGGCACTCGCAGCCGCTGAGCCTGCGGATGAGGTAGCAAGGTGCTGCGACTGCTGAAAGATGTGTGCTATCCTGCCGACGTACGCCTTGGAGAGCACCTGCATCTCGCTGTCGTCATCGTCCATACTGCCGCGCGCCAAAAGATCAGAGCACACGCTCAGAATCAGCAAGCTCTGGATCAAGACGCGATATATGAGGGTGGAGCAAAGCACCTACAGCTGGGCGAGACGCGCACCAAGCGCGTACCAATGAATGTTCTGATGCCGCAACTGCACTGACGTGGGGTTGGCATCCAGCGCAGCCTTGACGCGGTTGGAATACGCTTTTGGCTTGCTGATCGAGACAATGTTACTGTATCATTGCGAGAGAAGAGATCAGTACGAGGCGGGTCGCTGTGGTGAGGCGAGGCGGCACTCACTTCAAAGCCATGAGCTCGGCGAGCCAGAAGGGGAGTTCGACGCGTGAGAGCGCCTTGACGTCGCGTTCGCCGTTGGACTGGATCTGGCCCATGTTGGGCACGTCGACGTTGAACGTGCACGGAAGCTTCTGCGAGTCGGCGAGAAAGTCGTCGACGTTCCAGTAGTTGTGGTCCATGGCTGTGTGTGCCTTGTGTTTCGCAGAGAGCCAGGTAGGATGTCGGGGACGAAGAAGGGTCGTAGCAACGGCAATCGCGTTGGACTCCCAACATGTGGAGGCTCGAGGATGGAAAATCGAAAATGTTAGGGCGATCAGACACACAATTTTGAACTCTGCGAAATTCGAGACGCGTTGTTGTGATTTTGTGATTGTGTAGCTTTGTGGATTTTGTGATTTTGTGATTTGAAAGAGGGACGGTGGGACGGTGCGCTCGGGCTTGGTGCTGCACCTTCTCGGCTGCTGGCCCAACTCCGACTGAGGCTCAGTCGAGAGGGCCGCGCCAAAAGAAGGTTCTTCGCAACCAACCTTTGGCTCTTGCTTTCGTGCAGCCTCGGCAAGCTCAAGCTCAAGCGCAGGACCTGGCCTTGGCCTTGTGCGCTTGTCTTGGTGCGACCCTTTGACCGCCGGTCGCCTCGCAGATCCTGTCTCGCCTAGTCCTGCTCCGAGGCTGCCATGCGACCGCCAGCTGCCAAAACAGCCAAGAAGGATCGACGAGATGCGCCTCTTGCCTGCCAAGGCCGTCTGCGCATCCCCCCTCCTGCAGAGCATACACACGCTCCCCCGCCGTGGATCTCAGAGGCGCCATGGCGCAACAATTCCGCTCGAATACAGTAGCCTGCGCGAACAGACCCTTCCGACCCGGTCCTCACGTTTGCTATACATAGACCCTTTGTCCCCGCATACATCTCCCCTTTCCTACCCCATCTCCACCTCCTTGCGCGTTCCAAGATGCCCTCGAAGCGCATCACCTCGCTCGTACTCGTCTCGCTGGCGGCGCTTGCTGCGCTCACTGCCCACGCCGACGCCCAGCAGTGCTCTGCCACCTCCAAGTGCGGCTCGGCTGCTCCCTGCTGCTCGTCGTACGGCTACTGTGGCACCTCGATCGACCACTGCCTTGGCACCTGCGACCCCACCGCCTCGTTCCAGCCCTCGTCGTGCAAGCCCATGCCCAAGTGCAAACCCCAGACCATCTCCTTCACCAACAATGCCAAGCCTTGGGTCCCCGCCTCGGCCTACCGTGGCGATCCCAACCAGGCTCCCTTCACCCTCGACCAAGGCACCATCGAAACCGCCAAGACCGGCTCCAAGCTTCTCCTCACCAAGGACGGCACCGCCAAGAAGGGCACGCTTCTGTCCACCACCAGGTACTGGTACTATGGCCAGGCAAGCGCCGTCATGAAGCACTCCAGCTGGGCCGGCGTCGTCAACACCTTCATCGGCATGAGTGGCACAAAGGTAGGTACCCGCTCCATCGCAAGCCGATTCGTTGGGTGACTTTGCTGACATACTTTGCTGACATCGCGCGCAGGATGAGATCGACTGGGAGTGGGTCCCGGACCAGACACCGGACCAGACGTCGAACCAGACATCGGACCAGACATCGAAGGGAAAGTCTGCGGTACAGAGCAACTGGTACTGGTTCGGGCAGCCCGAGGGCTATACGCACGGCTACACCGTCCCCTACTCGGTCCTCGACCCCATCTCCAAGCCCAACTCGTTCAGCACGACCGACTGGCACACGTACACGATCGACTGGTCGCCCAACCGCCTTCGCTGGCTGATTGACGGTACCGTGGTGCGCACGCTGTACCGCAAGAACACGCTCAACGCCAAAGACGGCCTCTACCACTACCCGTCCTCGCCCATGCGTCTGCAGCTGAGCATCTGGGGTGCCGGCGATGGCACCTTCCAGCAGGGCACCGTCGACTGGGCAGGCGGTCTGATCGACTGGAACAAAGCGCCCAATGGCCGATTCATCAATATGGTCAAGGAAGTCACAATCACCTGCAACGACCCGGACGACGTCAGGGATAGCCGGCCCAACTATGCCTTCAGCGCCAAGCAGGTCAATGCACAGAATGGACAGCCAAAGGTGCTCTCGACGTCTAGATCGTCCATTTTGGCCTAGATTATACCCCGCACATTCCTCCTCTTCGACTTCATTTTGGTGCATTTGCTTCATGTCATGGATGCAGAAGGCTGCATGTTTCGAAACGCATACACACCCACGTGGGAAGCAAGAGATGAAGTGATGTTGTGCAAGTGCAATGGTCGGAGTGGGGGGTTTCTACTTGCTAGTGGATGCTACGGGGTCTGGGCTGGATTGGGTCGGCTTGGAAGCAGCTAGTGTGTGATGCTCGAGCTGTGCTAGTACCTCTGCGAGTCGATGGAGTCTTTGTTCTTCCGGTGTCTTTGCTGTACTTTCCTTTGCCGCCCCCTGATTTTGCGAGATGAGGGCGGGGATATGGCTGAACAGATCCCTCCCTTGGGCACTTTGGGCAAACAGTGGCGATGCACTTGTGGGAGTTGAGGGTGCAGGACCATCATCGAGATCCCTAACCTCGCGCGCATAGTCGGCCCTTCGTAGCAAGTAAGGCCGCAGCAGGCGTTCGTCGATTTTGGCGAGGTGACCTTCGCGCATGTACGACTTGAGCACCGATGCCTGTACGATGAACAGGTTGCCGAGTTGACGTAGCATTTCGAATCGATCCGATACCACGCTGATTCCAAACGTCCCAATCGCTTCTTGATACAGCGCCAGGTCTTTTGTAAGCATGATACCTCCCGCCGCGCTGACGGTGTACTTGCGCAAGTGGTCCAGTAGCAGACCGTGGAATGCAACCCCAATCTCCGTGAGCAACGTCTCGGCATTGCGAGATAGATGGCTGTGTTGCAACTCGTCTTCCGCCTCCTCATCCACGCCGCTCCAACTCACCCGCTTGACCTCACCGCTGTCGGTCGATCCAACACCGCGTCCAGTGCGATTGGCCATTGCGGGCGATCCGCGCAGTGCGCCACTCGTCGAAGTGGTCAGCCGCAAAGATGGCGACAGATGCATACGTGCCGCGTGCTCGACCTTTTCCAGCGCCTCCGAACACGCCACGCACGCCTCGGTATTCTGCCTCGCAAACGCCAGATCGTCGTTCTTGGGCACAAAGTCGTTCTTCTTCTGCGTCGCCAGTCGATTCGCCAGGAAGCCCACCACATTGTCCGCCACCCTGTGCATCAGCGCATCGCACTTGCCCTCCACGCGCAGCAGATTGTGGTTGTTGAAGATGACCATCTCGCGTCGCAGCGTCACACTCGTACTCGCCAACGGCACCAGCGCCGTATTCACATAGTGCTGCCACAGCGACACCACCTGCTCCACCGATCGAACCACCGACAGCGCCGACGACAAATCCGGCAGTGTGGCGCCTCGAATATCTTGCGCAGATACCGCGGCTAGCGCAGAATCCAGCGCCGTCTCGATGTACGTCTTGATGTAGGCTGAGGTGAGGACGCGCAGCAGCGCAAATGTCGCTTTCGGCACTTCGGACGCAGAGCTGAGATCCACGCATCGTCCGATCGACTCGGCGTGCCACCGAAGCATCTTTTCAGCCACATCGAGAGACAGCTCGCCATCGCCTTCCTCCATCTCGTCCTCGATGCTCGCTCGGCTCGCAGTCATGCTTCCGTCCTGGCTCGGTTCGGCCGACATGGCAGTGGCACCGCTCTGCCCCGTCGTCGTCGTCGCAGCCCCGGCCGCAGTCCCGGCCGTATGCGTGCCGCGCACCCGGTCCGCGAGATTCGACAGCTTGAAGAACGACGTCTTGGACGTCGACGCTGCCGAGGTGGCCGCCGTGTTGGCAGTCGCCGCCGTGGACCCGGACCCAAAGCTCGAGGTGGACGACGACGCGTCCGGGTTGGCCGAGATCTGGTTGCGCATGCGGTTGAAGATGGTGTTGCCCGCGCCGGCGAAGCCCTTGTCCTTCTTTGCCGTCGCCGCCGCACGGTGCACGCTGATGAACTTGGACAGCAGACCGGCGTACAGATCTGCCAAGCTGCGCGACTCTCGGTCGATGTAGCGGATGCCCTCCATGTACGGCACAAACAGCTCCTCCACCGACTGGTCCAGCATGGCCGCGAGCGGGCTCGCCGCCGCACCGGCAAGCTGCGCCGCAGCAGCCACAGCGTCGCCGCCGAGCAGCGTCATCGAGTCCGAGATGGCTCCGTCGGCGCCGGCGTGGCCTCCCGCTCCGTTGGTGCCGGTGGCGCTCGAGGGTGCAATGATGCCCGCGCCGCGATAGTCATACAGCTTGAGGTCGTTGACCAAACTCAGCGCACCGGATCGCGCCATGTGCAGGGCGCGTAGGAAGGCCAAGTGCGACGTGGTGGGGCCATTGCCTGGCTGGACGGCGTTGGGTTCGATGGCGGAGGTCTTGGCATCGATCGTGCCGCCTGCGCCGACGAAGCGCGGTGCGTGGATCTGCATGGCCTTTTCCATGATCACCTCGACGAACGCCTGGACGGACTGTGCAAAGACGCGCTGGAGGAAGGTCTGCATGACGACGAGTGGGTTGGGAAACACGGCGGATATGATCTGCGCCTCGATCTCGACCGTCTGCCGAATTTCGTTAAAGAGCGCCGACAGCGACGGTTCCGACTGCGGCGGTGGGCGGTCCGGGTCGGCCATGTGTGTCCAAATATCGCTGAGCTCGATGCTGTTGGCCTCGCCCACGCGATCCTTGGAGATGAAAAAGTCGTGCTGGTTCACGTAGATCTGCACGCAGCTCGCACCGCCGTTGAAGCCCTGGAGCACCTTGGCGATGTGCGACATCATCTTGGGGTCGGAGCGGCGGTAGAACTTGTCAAAGAGCTTGAGCATGTCGCGCTCGAAGCGCTCGCAGTAGCGGTCGATGGCGTCGCGCGTCTGCTCGCTGCCCGCCACATCCACTTCGCGGCTGATCGCCGCGAGCCGGCGCGCGATCACGGCGGTCTTCATCCTGCCCTCGCGTCCGCCCTCCTTGCGCAGACGCTCGAGCTTGGACGTGTCGCCGCGCGCAAACATGTAGTAGAACTCGATGAGGTCGTGCGCCTCGCTCGCGCGGTTGCGCTGCTTGTCGATCGTCTCGAGCTGCTCGCCGATCCGGATGGCGGTCCTGCCCACCTCCGAGATGCGGTCCTCGAGGCTGTTGAACGAGTTGCCCACGGCTGCAAAATTCTTGCCGAGCTCGTCGAGCTTCTTGGTGTATGCCGACTCGGCCACATGGACTGATGAGGAGAGCTGCTGCGATTGGGCGTCGACCTGCGAGCGGATCTGGACGAGCTGCTCGAGTGCCGACTCGAAGGTGCGGATGAACGGGCGGGGATTGAACGGACCCGGATCGGCCTTGGAGCGCTGGACGAGCTTGGAGGTGAGTTGCGCGATGAAGTCGTTCGTGTTGAAGTTGGTCTGGAACGTCTCGAGCGTACAGAGGTCCGAGACGACCGCGTCGTAGTAGGGGCGAGCGGAGGACGACGCGGCTCGGTTGAGGGGCGCAGCCGAGGAAGGCGATGCCAGCGGTCGCGATCTCGCCGGCCGCGCTTGAGGCGGTGTGACATTGTAGCCGGACATGGTCTAAAGGCAGAAGCACACTTGTTCTGTTGGCAGTGCGCCGGTGCTGTGCGATGGCTTGCTTCACGAGTGCATGGAGGCGAGGCGGAGCATGGCGGACAGGCTTGACGTTCTAGTCCTCCCTTTATCGAATGCGAGCTCGCGAGCTCGGACGTGAGACAGAGGGAAAGGGACGAAAGAAGTAGGATGAGTGTGATGATGGAAAGAGGCATCGGTGCGGTGCGCTCTTGCTGGCCTCAGGAGTGTCCGTGCGGGTCCAGCTCGGCTTCGGCCTTGGCTGGTGAGAGCCGCGTCGCTGCCGACTTCCGAGATTTCGAGGGCTGGCGGATTTGGATTTTTTGCTGCGCTTCTTCTCAGCCGTTTCTGGGAAAGCCCGACTTGGTCGGCTCCACACCTTCTTTCTCCACCACCTTCACCTTTGATCGGCATCACCACCATGGCTTCGACGTTTGGAGCCGCAGGTGGCGCCGCAGTATTTGAGTTGGCGGGAGCCGCACGCACTTCAGCGCGCCTCGACCTCCTCCTCAACCTCGTCACGTCGTCCTCGGACGCATCGCAAGCGGACGAGGTACTCCAGCTCATCGCACAGTCCGGTCTGCTGGCGCAGGTGCCGCACGACGAGACGCAGCACAAGCTCACTGTCCGCATCAACGCACTCATCTCTTCGCAGAACGCGCTCGGCTACCGTCTTGCACATGCATGGATCCAGCAGGACCCCGCGGTGTGGAACGAGCACCTCATCGCCAACGCGGCGACGTGGACCACGCAGATCCTCAACCTCGTCGGCGCGCCGGAAAAGCTGCTGCATCAGCGCGAGAACTCGGATCGCCTTCTGGCTGCCGCGCTTCAGTTCGCCACCACCCACATCTTTCCCGAAAACATCGCGGCTAGGCAGGAGTTCTACCGTCAGGTCGTGCATCCGAACCTGCCCAAGCTCGTCGTTGGACTCGCACAGCTGCTCGACGTCATCCTGAAGAGCGTATTGGACGATGGACAGGTTGCGCATGCGTCGCAGTTGCATGTCGTATTGGTCTTTATCAACCGCCTTATGCACGCACATCCGGCGCAGTTCCGCCCCGTCTCGTCGCGCGTCCACGAGTGCATCTCTTCGCTGCTGTACGCAGACGAGGCACAGAGTCTTGCGGTACCGATCTTCACCGCCGCCGCCGAGGTGCTGGCATCGCTGCACCTTACGGGAGCGCTCTCGGCCAAGGGCAGCGAAGCATCGGGCGGAAATGCACGCACCACGCAGGCGCAACTCTGGCAAGCGACGATTGAGAACCAGCTGCACCTCGCCACCGAAGCCTGGCGATTCGCCACGTCGAGCTATCAGGTCACGGACGCGGCTCAGCAGGGCGAGGGCGATGCCGGAGCTGCGAGGCCACAGTCGCTCAAGGCGTATCCCAAGGATCCGCTGGCGGCGACGCGCGTTGCACACGAGCGTCTCGCGCTGCTGCTTGGCACGCGCGGCCGTCCGGGGCTGATCAGCCTGCACCTGCGCGCGGCGACGGCTCGTCCGGTGCCTGTGCCCGCGGGCAAGATCGTGTCGTTGTGTCTGGACATGCTGCACGTGGATGTGTCGAGCCGATTCAAGCCGACGGCGGAAGCCAAGCTGTGTACGCTGCAGGCCTCGCATCTCGCCACGCTGCATACGCGCGCACTTTCGCTCGTCTCGCAGCTCGCACTCGTCGCTCCCGCCGCTATCCCGCTCGAGGCTGCTCGGGTGCTCGGCGACGTGTGTCGGCTGGCGGAGGGTGGTGGTGGAGCGCAGGCCAGCGCGCGCGTGAGGCTGGCAGCGATGCGCACGCTCGTCGTGCTCGTCGGGCGAGAGGGGATTGCGCTACCGCTCGATCCGGCGGGTAGGACGACGCTGCGGCTTGCGCGTCTTGCCGTCACCCAAGTCTCGCGCGCAGTGTTGCAGCCAGCTGCTGCATCGGGCGACGCAGCACGCAGCGCCAAGAAGGCGCGCCTGTACGAGTCGGATTCGCTCTTCACCACGGGGTCGGTCAAGGACCGCATGCACAGCTTGGCGCCCGAGGAGATCGCATGCACCATTTCGGCGCTGCAGATTCTGGTCGCCGTGTATCCGCTGCTGACGACGAGCCTGAGCTCGGTGCACTATGACCTGATGCAGCTGGCGGTGCACAATGTGCAGGCCATGGTCGAGGTGCTTTCGGACTCGATCGGCACGCACGCTGCCAGCCTGCGCACCGCAAGTGCGGGGGCTGGGGTCCCTAGCACGACCGAGCTGTTTGAAGAGGCGGTGGGAGCGTTGGGGGACATGTGTCTGGACTCGACGTCGAGTGTACTGGCCATGGTGCTGCCGCGTGCGATTGCGGTGCTGGGCCGCGTGGCGAATGCGCCTAGTGGGGGCAGTGGGCGGGTTCGTGTGGCGGCCGAACGGGCTTTGGTGGCAGTACACGCGAGCAGGAAGGGTAAATTTGTCCCTGTTGCGCGTGGGGTCGGCTTCGGCCCTCGTGCGGCCGACGATCTGGACGCCACTCCTGACGGAGCCAAGCTCGCTGATGCCACCGCCCTCGGTCGCTCCATCCCCACCGCCGAAGTGGTGCAAAGTTCGCTGGAGGAAGCATCGACAGCCGTGCTTGGCAAGCGCCAAGTAGAGCAAGAGGAGGAGGACGAGGAGGAGGTTGTGGGGGATAGGATGGATGTGGACGCTATTGCAGCCGAGTCGAACGAGCTATTTTCGGCGGGTGGTGCGGATGCCAGTACGAGTGTGGCGGGTGGAGCGTTGGGGTTGGGCCGGCCTGTTTCGCCGTTGCGATCGCCGGTGGAGAAGCGCATCTTTTCGCCTGATCCGGTCAAGCCGGCACACCGGACGAGCACACCGCGCATTGGGAGTCCGTCGACGTCGCATCCGCGCGCACTGTCGCGTCCCGCCTCGCCCACGCCCGACCAGCCGGCACCCAGCATGCTCACGCCCGGACGCATGGTTTCCCCAACTGCAGTTGCCTCCCCCAGTGTCGTTGCGGTGGAGAAGCCCGCCGTGGAAGCAGCGCAGGTCGTTCAGCCGACCGAAGTGGAGAAGTCAACAATGCAGATTGGGGCTGCGTCCGACGACGACGATGACGACGAAATGCCCGAGATCGACATGGCCGCTTCGGACTCGGACGAGCAGTAACGCACGCCGCCATCTGTATGCGGTTCTTTGCGTCCAACTCAAAATCTCATCGGCCCTTTTATTCCCACAATCAATTGGGTGCAATGTTTGTGTTTTGCATCTTCTAGATGGGCGTGAGGTAGAGTTCTACTTGTTCTTCTTGTTCTTGACTGGGTTGGCGGGTCCTTGGGTCGTATCGTCGACCTCAGCGAGCACGTCCTCGTGCTTACCGGTGATCTTGTTGATCACCGCGGCGACGAGTCTAAAGGGCCAAGTGGTGTGAAACTGTGCCGGCTGGGCATCGTCCTCATCCAGCGCAATGTAGTCTCCCGAGAACTTGTCGAGCAGCAACACGTCGGCGGCGTGTACGAGGCAGTCGACGATGGGTGCGCCATCGCCCGTGGCACTGACGAGCACGTTGCGCGTCTGCGTTTCGAGGGCGTCCCAATCCACAGCATTGCTCTTGATCTGTGCATCCGAGGGGAAGGCCGGCAGAGTGAACCCGGTAATGGGCACGCGAACCTTCTTCTCCACCGTAGCCAGCTTCGACACGGTCGCGGGCGGAGCAGGCGGATGTCGAATCGACGCAAGAATCGCTGCGTACCTCGGGCCCCATGCTACCAGCCGGGCGGACATCTTGAGACGCTCGATCTTGGCACGTTCCTGCTTGGTCGTCAACCTCGAAATGGCCACCTCAACTAGCATGGTCGCAAAAACCACGCCGACGATAACAGCACCTAGGCCAGGACGGTACCGCTCGTAAAAGTATCCGTTGTTGCGCCACTTGGGGAAGCCGGCGGCGACAAAGTGGTCGTAGCGATCCTTGCGTCCGTCGCGCAGGATCTTGTATACAAGCCCGAGCCGTTCGAATCGCTGCTGTGCGCCCGCAACACCGGCATTCTTGTCAGGATGAAGTTCAACCGACTTCTTGCGGTAGGCACGCTTGATCTCGGCGGCAGAGGCGGTGCGTGGGATGTTGAGGACAGAGTAGAACGTGGCCCCTTTGCCCTCGGATCGTTCGAGCGCCGACTGGAGCTCAAAGATCTCGTGGTCGTCCTTGTCCCAGTGCGTAGCAGCCGAGGCGCTGAGCGTGAACAGCGCCAGCAGCAGAACGCTAGCCAGAAGCAGAATGCGAGGCAGCTTCATCGTACGAAACGTGGATGGTGGATGACAGTTGTGATGGTCTGATGCAAAGGGCCAAGAAGAAGGCTGAGAGCAGGTGTTACTCACGCTGGCAAGCACACGGCCCGCGCGCTGCCGCCCCCCTTTCATCTTGCCAACGTGGCTCGTTCGCCTGACTCACGCCCAAAAGAAAGCTTCATTTCTTCTCAGCGGAAAAAATGCTAAAGTGTTAGATCGAGCTGGTTTGCTTTTCAGATTTCTCAAAATTGGGGGCACCTGCCAGACTCGGACTTGGGCATCACTTTGTATTCACAGCGACAGCAACGAGCGATGGACATAGAGCAGCTAGGGTGGAGTGCGAGCAGCGCTTAGAGCATGGCAGCGCCAAGGAGAGCAGCCGAGCCCATGGCGACGATGCCGGCGACCGAGACCGAAGCGAGCGACGAGGCGGCCGCGCTGGCGTTACCGCCCGACGAGTTGGTGGCGCCGGCAGCGGAGCCCGAGGTGGAGCCGGTGGCCTTTCCGCCGGCCGCGCCGCTCTTGCTGGCAGCAAGGGCGGTGACGCTGGCCTGAGAGACGGGGGCGGTGGAGGAGGGGGCGGCGGCCTGGCCGACCTCGATCTGGATGTAGTTGGCGGCGACGATCTTGCCGAGACCGCCGTTGGCCTGGCGGTAGTAGTTCTGGAGCTCGAGGTTGGAGATGGAGGCGCCGGCGGCGGGCGAGGCGGGCGCGGTGAAGTTCTCAAACTGCTGGAAGACGAGCTGCATGTATCGGTGCGGGCCGTCGTTGGTGTCGGGACGCGGGGCGCCGTAGTTGACGCGCGCGCCGGTCTGGTTGCGCAGCTCGCCCGAGGAGGCGTCGATGGTGAAGTTGTTGCCGAGATAGTGGTTGAACACCTCGGTGCTGGTGTTCTTTCCCGCGACGCCGGCGTCGAGGAAGGCGATGGTGAAGAGCTTGCCCTCGCCGAAGACCGAGTTGGACGAGGCGGCGGGCGTCTGGGCGCTGATGCGGAATGAGGGGGCGGACTGCACCTGTGCGACGGTGAGCTTGTCGCCGATGTTCGACACGGCCACGTCGCCGAACGTGACGTTGAGGACGCCCTGGATGTCGAGCCAGTTGGCGGGGACGGGCACGGGGGTGAGGTCGGCAGCCGGGAAGGTGAGCTGGATTTGGGCGACCTGGTCGTACGAGGCCGAGTTGCTCTGGGCCGAGACAACCGAGCTCATGGCCACGAGGGCCGTAGCGAGCAGCGAAGACTTGGAGAAGGCCATTTTGACGAGTGAAGGACAGACAAGGGGAGAGGGAGGGAAAACAAGTCCGAGGGGATTGGGATTGGAATGGGGATGCAGATGGTGGTGGTGGTGGTAAAGGCGAAGGCGGCGAGGGTTTGAGAGGTAGCTTGATGGAAGCAAGGACCTGCTGGCTGAGCCCACTCTGTGATGAAAGGAAGGTGCCCCCACCGAGCTCCATGCATGGGCAGGCAGCCGCACAGCCAGATGATCAGCACACAAGTTGCCGATCCTCGGCGGCAGCAGCTCGCCTGCCCTTGCCCAGCACTGCACTGCACCACGAAGAACAACACGCCGAGCCGCCGAGCCGGGTTGCATGTTCGGCTGCCCCTAGCCCAATGCGCCCAAATGCACTGCTGCTGCAGGCCAAGAAAAAATTCCCGCGCCTCGACTGCGACCCAAAAGTGTTGGTTTCAAAGGAGGCCGAAGAGCCAAACGAAGTCGCGGCGCGGCGCGTGCGTTCCTCGTCGGCACGCCGCCGCCATTCCACAGTGGTTCGGCATGGGCGCGCCAATTCGCCCGCTCGCTCCTTCCTCCTTCGCAACTGCGGCGACGACAGCAAGAACAATGCGACCAGCATAAAGCAAGCAAGCCAGCATGCCATAGCCGCATTCTTGCCTGACAATGGTCGTCTGCTCGAGCTGCTCACCCACCGTGTCTGTGGGGTCTGCGTGAGGCTGTGCTGAGCATGGTGCATGCAGCGGGACCGGCTACCCGGAACGAGCGCCTCTTCTTCCGAACTGGCTGACAGCAGAGCGGGCGACTTTTCTGCGAGCATCGTGCGTCAGATGCTGCAGCAAGCCGTTCACGCTGGCATCGTGACGAAATTTCTGTCCCAAAGTGTGAGGTCAGGATTGTTCACACTTAGGCCAAATCCAGGCGCGAATCTGACACCTTTTTGGATTAAATCAGGTTCCGGCTATCGGCAGTGAAGCTGGCAAGGCCACTTCCGGGCCACTCTCACACTCCACTTTTGCTGGATGTCGCATGTGGGGAAGGAAGCGCGCCCATCTTTCGCTTTCGCTTTCGCATCCACCACCACCACCGCCAACCCTAGCTCACAAGCGATGACTCGAGACTCGTCCCCCTCATCAGGAGGCTCTGCACACGCCCCGGTGGCAGGACCTTCATCCATTCCCACCGACGCCGCCTCTGCCCCATCTCTGCCACCGACCGGATTGCCGACGCCGGAACAACTTGCCGCAGACCCCACCGCAACCGATGCACAGATCCCCACTCCTCCGCCGTTCTACCACTCGGCATCGCAGGCCGCATCCGCCTCCATCGCGGCCATCCGCTCGTCGCTGCACAAGTACCCCACGCCCATCCTCAAGATCCAGCGCGTCAACCAGCTCGACGCCGAGCTGCTCGACCGCGAGCTCGCCGAGCTGYTGCTCGATCCGGTCAAGAAGGCGCTCGGCACGATCAAGTCCACGCTCGCGTCGGATGCGGAGCCCGAGCTGCTGCTGCTGCTCAAGCTCGCGCTGTTCAAGTTCAGCATCGTCGACCGCGGCGCGTCGTACGGGTCGATGCTGCAGAACCTCAAGTACCGCAACGAGTGGGCGCACCGCGGCGCGCTCCAGTCCACCGCGCGCGATCAGCCGCTCTCGCGACTCCAGCTTGCGCTTTATCCACTCCTCACCATCGTTGCGCCCTACCTAGGAGCGAAATGGCAGGGCCATATGACGTCGCTCTCGTACTCGGACATGCCCAACAACGACCCGCGCAGGCTGCTCTGGAAGCTCACCGACGCCTCGCAGCGCGTCTGGTCCGCTCTGGTGCTCGCCAACTTTGCCGTTTTTCTCGCGGATGGCAGGTTCAGGAGCGTCGCGGATAGGATGCTGGGCATGCGGCTGACTTACTCGCAGCGCACCATGAACCGCAACGTCTCGTTCGAGTTTCTCAACCGCCAGCTGGTGTGGCATGCATTCACCGAGTTCCTCCTCTTCCTCCTGCCGCTCGTGCGTCCAAAGCGCTTGGTCAGGAGGATCATGAAGCTGCCCACGCACCCGAAGCTGCTTGCGGTCGTATTCCGTTTTCTGCCCTATGCGGTCAGCAGCCGCCTCGGTATCAGGCAGGATGCAGCGGGCAGGACGAGGTTCAACAAGGATGCCGTCTCGATCCCGGGCGCGCGGATGGTGCTCGGTTCGCGTCAGTCCGAGTCGGAAAAGACAGCGTTCGAGAGCGAGTCGGCAGTGGGACCGTATGCGCAGCTGCCGGTCGAAGTATGCGCCATCTGCTACCAGCGGCTCGAGGCGCAGTCTGGGCTCAGCCGCGACCCGACCAAGCTCGGCACGGGCGGGCTGAGCATGGGCATCCCCACGTCCGATCCGCTCGATCCCAGCTCGGGACTGCTGGCGCCCAACCGCACACGCTCTGCATCGCAGCCGCTCAATGCCGCGACGGGCAGCGGCGTGGATCCGGCGCGCAATGCGGTGCTGGGTGTTTCGCCCGATGGTATTGCGTATGCAGACGCCATCGTGACTACGCCCTACGAGACCGTGCCGTGCGCGCATACGTACTGCTACGTGTGCATCGCAAAACAGCTCCTCGACGACGAGATGGAGGACGAGCTGGATGAAGAGGACGATCACGGTCGCAGGGGGTGGAAGTGTCTGCGCTGCAACACGCGCGTCCGGCAGACTAGGAGAGCCGTCCCCCAGCCACACCACGAGGTAGAGGAGGAGGAGGATCAAGGGGAAGAAACGGATGACGAGGCCGAGTAGACACCCACCACATCGCAATGGCAAATATTAACTGACACCATTCGGTTGATTGATCGAGGTTGCTGAGCGGGTGTGCTTGTCCGCTGGGCTTACAAGTGAGGCGGAGGGGTGAGTTTGTTAGGTTGCCAATCAGCGGCCTCCACATCTGCACCTCTTTCCGCATGTTGGCAACTTTTCTCGCCACCACCATCCCACCTCTCTACACTCTGCTATGGTTCGCAAGATAGGTCGTCGGGCACGTAGCCCCTCCTCCACCTCTACCTCTTTACCTTCCTCCTATGCGCACTCTGACCTTACTCATCGACTGCTTTCCTCACTCGAAGCCCTCAACGACGGACCCTTCCCTTCGCTTGTCGTGTTTGATCTGGACTACACGTTATGGCCACTGTGGGTGGACACCCACGTTGATCCTCCACTCTCACGGCGCGGTTCGGACCTAAACCGCGTCTACGATCGCAATGGCCAACCGCTGCAGTTCTTCCCGCACATCCCTTCGATCCTCTTCTGGCTCCAACGCCGTAACATCCCCATTGCAATAGCAAGTCGAACAAGCGCACCCACCGCCGCACGTCAAGCCCTAAACGGCCTCCACCTCGTCAACGATTCAAACATCCTCACCAACGATGAACCCAGGATTGAAAGAGCAGCGGGGCTGTTTGAGTACGAACAGATCTACCCCGGAAGCAAACTCACCCACTTCAAGAGATTACATCAGGACTCCGGGATCGAGTATGAGCACATGCTGTTTTTCGACGACGAACATCGCAATGCCGAAGTGGGCAAGCTCGGGGTACACTTTGTACTCGTTGGTCATTCGGGTACCGATTTGGGTACCTTCGAAAAGGGGATCCGCGAATGGCGCGCCAAACACCAAGCCCGTGCCCAATCCAACGCAACAGACTCCTAGACACTCGTAGAAATCTGCAACTTGCTGAAAGCGTCTGGATTCCGGATGTCGGAGCGGAGTGAATGTACATGCTGTGTGGTGGCTATCAGCCAGAGCCATTTGCTCTTGCACTCGCAGACATCCACTGTGCGGTGGCGTTGCGGCGCGACGTCTGTGCAGAGTACGGCGATGCCAGCACCGACGAGGCGGCTGAGGACGACGACATCTTTTGCTGATGCACCACTTTGCCCCGTCTCGCCATGCCCGCCGCACCACGCACGTGCGGCTGCGAGCTGCTCTCCGACAGCTGATCTAGACTGTCCGACCGCGTCCTTCCAGCTTCAGCATCCTTTGCCGCGTCTGCTGCGACCGACTGTCCGATCCGCAACGTCGACGGCGGGCTGTCTCTCGTCGTGGACCGCGCGAGGATCTTGGCGATCTGTGCGCGCGATCGGCTCGAGCCATTCTCCTCGCTGCGTCCCGACATTGTACTCGCCGACCTGCCCATCGACGCACCCGACACGTCGGCCAGGCTCACCCCTCGCCCTGCACCGTCGTCAACCCCGTCCTGTGCGCCCATGCGCGATCGCGCCACGACCGTCGATGCCGAATGCCCTGGCTCGCTGCTGTACGAATGGTCCGGCACCACAGTCGGATTCGGCGACACCTGCCGGCTGTAGTGCGGTCCCCGCAGCGTCGCCCCCGCCGCCATCCCATTCGATCGTGTCGACGATGTGCGGCCCAGTCCAGACGCTAGCCGCATCGAGCCGGACCGATCCAGCCGCGAGTCGCGCCACATCACCGACGCCTGGCGGCTCTTGGACATGGGATCGTCGCCAAAGAATGACGAGAGGTCGTGCAGCTGGTTCACAATATCGCCCAGGCTCGACGCGGGCACGTCTTCGTTCGACCCCCCCACCCCAGGCGCCTCATCCAGCGCATACCCACCACCATCGCCCTCGGCCGTGCTGTCGTAGGCATCGTCGACCACAAAGTTGACGTTGTTGCCCGTCGGCATAATGTCGAGCGTGCGCTCGCACATCTTGACGAGCGCCGACAGGTTGATGCGCGTGCGTGTCGCCATGTCCTGCGGATCCGCCACCGCCCAGCCCGTCTCGAGCGGCGGGCCAAATATCGACGCATCGTGCACAAGTTCACGCCCCGGCCCAAGCGCCATATTGCCCCACTGCAGACTCATGCGCAGGATCTGGTTGGCAGCCGGACCACCATGCACCACGATCGGCTCGTCCAGCACCTCGAGCGCCTGCGCAGACAGCGGAGTCGACAGCTGACGCAACAGCGGCATGAGCAGCTCCGAGCCGAGGTTGCTGAACGCCGCATGGTTGCGCGTGTCGAGCGCCTGGAAGAACATCTTGAGCACCTGCATCGCCTGCTTGCGCATCCACTCGTGCCGGTTTAGCACCACGCCCAGCAGCAGCACCGCCAACTCGGGTCCGTGCTCCGGCAAGTAATGCGACCGGATGCAGTTGACAGCCTGGCGCACCAGGTCGTCCTTGGTGCGGAAGCGCGATCGCGCGATCGACGTGGCGACCCGCTCCAGGTCGCGCATCTCGAGCCGTGCCGCAATGTCTGCCAGATCAGCAGCCATCTCCAGAGCCATCTGTGTGGTGTCGGCAGAAAGTGCCGGCCCTGACGGGTCTGCGATGCCTTGCGAGGCACCTCCGGCAGCATCGGGGCCAGCCTTCTTGGCACCATTCGTGCGAGGGTCGTTCTTGCTCGTGACGGTCCCGCCTGCCGCCTTCAAGCTCTCCTCTGTCACTTGCAGGAACCACGGCAGCGCAGCCACAAACAGATAGCCCAATCGGCATCGGTCTTCGACGTCGATCAGTGCCGGATCGCGGCACTTTGCCAGCCGAGCCATCAGTCGGAACGTCGGTGCCGATGTCTCGGACGAGCGCAGTCCACGCGAGACCAGGATGCGGAGCACACCGACATCGCCCTCCCACCCCTCGGGGCATTTCTGCACCAGCAACGCGATCACATCCGGCGAGCCAATGTCGAGCCTCTCCACCAGCCTCTCCAGGATGGCAGCCGACTCGGCGAACTCGGCTTCGTTGATCGTCGACAGGCACGCCAGCGTCGCCCACCAGGTCTGCGCCATGTATTCGCGGTTCGACGCCTCGCAGTCCTTGACGACGAGATTCAGCGCGTAGAGCACCTCGAGCGTGAAGCGGTGCACTTCAGGCTTGTGATCCGACACCGTGTCCGCCAGTCTGCCCAGGATGGTCACCATCATGCTCGGCGTCACCGCCGGATGCAGCGCGCGGAACACCTGGAACGACCTGCATGCCATGTGCCGGATCGGATTCGACGCGGCCCACGTCAGAGCCACCGTGCCCCAGTCCTGGCGGAAGCTAGGAAAGAAGGGCTCAATGACCGTCAGCGTCTCGTGCGCCGTGGTCAGAAGGTTGATGGGCATGCGTTCCTGACGATCATCGGCGTCGTCTGTCATCTCTGCTGACCAGTTGGCAAAGTTGCGTCGAGTGAAGAGCCGTTCGACCTGCGCTTTGGCGGCGGACACGCGGTCCGGATCGACGCCGCTGAAGCTCGAGCCCGGTGGTGCGGCCTGGTTCACCGCATTGACACCAACCGAGATGGCGCAGCGCAGCAGCTGTTCGAGCAACTCGACCACCTGGGCCCGCACAAACGTGGACCGGCTGTCGATGTGGAGGAAGATGGCGTGCAGCAGCGTCGGCAGCGCAGAGTCCAGCTGCTCTCTTCGCTCGTACGTCATCTCTCCGACGTACAAGAGCGCGAGCTGGCCCGAGGAGAATGCCAGCATTGGCTCAGGCTCCGGAAGCAATTTGGCGAGGTCGGCGCGATAGAGATGGTGGTGGTCCGGGTCCGGCATGGGTGCAGGAGCGATCCGCGGCACTTGAATCATGCGGCCTGGCTCGACCATCGCGCAGAGGCGCTCGAAGATGTGCGGCCCGGCCATAGTGTGTGAAATGCAAGAGACCACGCGCTTCGAGTGGTTGACCACCTGCTCGCTGCGGAAGTGAAGCCCCTGGTCGATCAGGAAACTCACTACGGCGTCGGCACTCTGCAGGTCCTCGGATGCAGCCACAAGGCTGCTCCACATCTCCTGTATCTCGAAGTTGTGCTCGTCGCCGTACCGCACGGTGAGACAGAAGAGGTTCGAGAGGTTCAGGTACGCCCTGTACAGCACGACTTCGAGCGGCGCGGCCGCATAGTTCTCGAGATGCGGTTGGGCAGTGTGCAACACCAATCCACGCAGCCACTCGGGCAGTAGGCCCAGGATAGTGGCGCGGCGCGAGGCATCCACCAATGGCAGCCGTCTGGTGAACTCGCTGAGCATGGCCGTTCTGAGCCCGTCAAAGTGCATGGCGAGATGCGCGTTGACGTCGCGCTGCGCACGCAAGTAGATGGCCGGCAGCGGGCTCGACACACCCACCTCGTATTCATCCAGCGTGCAGCTCTCGTCGAAGCGTCGACTGCAGTTTTGAAGCACCGAGAGCGCCTTGCGGCGGATACTCGAGTCAGGATGGCCGAGCTTCACCAGTCCAAGGCAAAAGACGGCGTGGAGTGGCATCGACAGATCTTCCTTGTCGATGATCACTTCAGCCGTGGTGACAAAGAGGCTCTTCCTGCTGAGTGCCCGGTCGTTTTCCGTGATGCACCGATCGACTGCATTGTCCACCAGGGCAGCGTTCTGGTCATTGTAGACCAACAGCGACCGCAGCGCCTTTCGAGCCAGGTCGTGGTTCTTCTCGTCGCTGGTTTGAAAGAGGCTGGTTATCCAGTGCAGCAGCGAGCTAGCTTCAAGGGACGAGCCGGCCATCGGTGCTGGTGCCGGTCCGCCCACCATCGAGATGGCGCCCTGACAAAGCGAAGCCATGGCACAGCCTGCCTGGTACGAAAGCGCTTGGGTCTCGTAGTTGAGTGTCTTGACCGCACGCTCTTTGGCTCTGTCATCTCGCTGCTGATCGGCAGCTGCGCTGAGCAGGTTCGCGAGCTTGTTGCGACCATCCTCGCTGACGGTGCTGTACGAATGCCAGTCGCGGAAGATGCGGAACATGCGCAGCCGAGTCTCGAACGGAAATTGAACGTCTGCTTGACCCCTCTTGGCAAGCCCATCAAAGAAGTGCTGGGTGACGGCGCAGAAAAAGCGGCGGAGGCTATGAAACTCCCAATCCTGGCGGATCTCGCGGTCGGTGAGGAAGTTGAACGTCTCCTTGACCCAGTTGTGGACGATGCCAACAACCTTGACATTGTCCAAGTGCCCGAGCGACTCCATGTGCGGAGCCGTGAGCTGCAGCACGTGCGCAAGTGCAGTGCGCAGTCGGTCCAGTCTGCGGTTTCGTTTGAGCCCCGAACGCGCGACCGATCGGACGCGAAAGTCGTCGGTGAGAGTTCCGTTGAGAGCCTGCATGGTCTCGAGCAGAGCCAAGTAGTGATTCTCGTTGATGTTGCCGAGAGCAAAGACGACCGCATCCTGGAAAGCTTCGTTGTCAGAGGCGAGGAAGGGCACGAGCTTCTGGAACAGGTCGCGTGCCGAGATCATGCGCTCGCCATTCTCTGGCTCGCTCGTCTTTCTGCGATGGTTGCCCACGACGCCTCCGCGCGAGCCTTCGGTGGAGGTGGTAGTCGTGCAGAGAGCCAGCACATAGAAGCGCCAGTGTTGTGCCATGAGCTGGTACTCGGCCGGTCCTGCCGGACTAGCAGCGGCGACATCGCGCAAAGATGCGTGCGAGGTGGAGCTGTGCAACGAGGCAGTCCCAGCCGAGGCTGCTTGGGACTTGCTCAGCGTCGAGCTGTTGAGTGTATGGGCCGGGGCGCGATTCGAGATGTCGGCCGCGTACACGGCGACGTGGTCCATTTCCAGCACGCGATTGGTGATGTAGGATCGGAACACTGCGACGGTCGTCGGAAAGCGCTCCAGACTCATGCGGAGGAAGAGAGGAAGGGCGCGGAACCAGAGCGACTGCTCAACTTCGCGCTCGCTCTCGGCGATGACTTTGAGCGAGGTGGAGCGGTCTGGCGACTTCCAGCGTGCGAGATGATTGATCTGATGCCAGCTCAGATGCGGGTCGTTCGCATCGAGGAAGGTCTGGCAAGGCATGTCGAGGAGGTGCACGATGCGAGTAGGCTCTTCGTCTTCGTTCTGCGCGCGTGCCTGTTCGCCCGCGGCTCGTCGACTGAACGCGTCGTCCAGGACTGCGATCAAGCGCAGGATCTCGATGGCCAAGGATCGCAACGGGCGCGAAGCTGAGCACAGCAAGAAGAGTGCATACGCCTCGACCTCGTCCATGAGAGCCCACGTACTGGTGCGTTCCATCTCGAAGCCTTTGCCCTGCTCGGTCTGGTTGTTCTGGTTGCGAAGCTCTGCCAGCCAGATCTGCATAAAGTCGATCCACAACCGAACGGCCTCTTCGACCTTGGGCATGACGAGCATCTGCTTCGGGTGGATTTCCCAAAACGCAGTGTCCATGCGGAAGATGAAGCGCATGAAGCCCGAGACCACGGTCGAGGAGCCGCCCGGCCGCTGGCTGGCGATGCGTCGCAAAGCGCGTGCCGAGGCTCTGCTGAGGTCGGGATCGGCGCTGAAATGGGCTCGGAAGAGGACGCCCAGGACACTCGAGAGGGAGATGTTTGGACTGAGGCATCGTGGCCACGACTCGAAGCATGCGCGGAGAAGGTCGGCGAAAGGCTGATTCTCTCGCGGGTAGGCGGCCATGAGCATGGCAGCGCGGTGGTAGCGGCAGGTGTAGCCGTCGCGCTCGAGAAGGGCGCGCTCGGCGGCTGATGCACCTGCGCTATGCGACGTGCGAGCAAAGAGATGGGTGCGTGCATCAAAGACGGTCATGTCACTGATCTGATGATCGCAGAGAAGCGCGATCTTGCCGATGAGGTCGTTGAATTGGTTCTGAGCCTCGCCGATCTCGGGTTTGGGAAACTTGAAGCCTTCCGGTAGCTCATCGCCCGAGCCTTCGGGGAGCGTGTCAAAGTCAAAGTGATGAAAGTCGGCGCTGCACGGGAAAGGCGGGGACTCCGCTCGAACATGCGCATCGAGGGTGAGGAGGATTGCCCGAATGGCGATGGTCATGCGCTGGCCCGAAAGCACGTCGGACTGAAGCGAGAGGGTGCTGCCTCCGAGAGTCGAGTGGCAGAGGAAGTTGAGCATGAGCTCACGACCAAAGTCAAAGTGGCGGTAGAGCGCGTAGTGGAGCATCATGATGAACGGATCGGGTGAAGAGTCCGACGGATGCACGGAGCGGCGATTGGCGGGGAACCAGATGCGGAAGAAGGCCTCGAGCTTCTTGTGGGTGTTGGTGTGGCTCTCGTGACAGCGGAATGCGTAGGCCCAGACCAAGCGGACGGCGGCGTTGAGCACGATGGGGCGGTTGACGCGGTCCTTGAGCTTGACGACACCTGCCTCGACGCAGGCGAACCAGTTGGCAGCCAGCTTCTCCTCTGGCGAGACGGCGAGGAGCGTGACGTGGAGCGGATAGGCGACGGTCCAGTAGCGGGGCTTTGTGGCCATTGCGGTCATCCTGGGCCAGATGGTGTCGACGGCTTTCGTCCAAGTCGGATGATTGACCTCGGCGGAGGCAGTCTGAGCGACGGGAAGCATGAGGTAAGCAAAGGCCTCTGCGAAGCTCGCCTTGATGCGGAAACCGTGACAGTGAGCAAAGTGGCGGGCCAAGACGTCGACAAAGTCTGCGCCTTCCTCGAAGAGCTCCATGGGGTAGATGGTGATTTTGAGATGGCGCAGGCTCTGGATGGCGGCAACGAGAAGATCTTCGACATTCTTGCTGGAGGGAGCCTTGGTGGATTGCTCGAGGATCTCGACAAAGCGGTCGCTGATGGTGACGAAGCGGGTGCGGGACATTTCACCGATGAGCTTGGAAACGCTTTCGAAGCAGGCGTCGCGGATGTGGGTGATCGGCCGCGGTAGGGTGCGATCCTTGTCCTTTTCGCGCGTGCAGGTGAGGAGCATGGTGAAGGTCTGCTCCTCAGTGTCTGCGGCGTGTGCCTCGTTGAGCGAATCGCGGGCGAGAGTCTTTGCAATGACGAAGAGCGCGTTGGAGGCGAGGAAGATGGCGAAGAGCTCCTTGCGTCTGGCAAGGTAGGTGGCGACTTCGCGAGTTCCGATGCTCGAGGTGCCTGGTGGTGGTGCGGCGGCGAGATGTCTGCGGACGAGGTCGGCGTCGATGTCGGATTCGACGGTGATGGACTTCCAACGAAAGAGACTGCGGATGACCGAAGAGGCGCCTTTGCGGGAAATGTGGGCGAGCGAGTCGCAGACCGAGTCGAAGAGCGCATCCTCTTCGGCACTGAGAGCGCTGAGCATCTTTGGATCGGCGTCTTGAGCCGAGTCGAGGGCGCGCTTCACCTTTGCATTTGCGAGTGTGATGAAGCGGCTCATGAGAATGTTGAGGGCGTATTCGACAGGAGCCTGCGGGTCCGGGGTGCCGATACCGGCGGGAAGCTGGCCGAGGCCCTCGGCTCCCAAGCTGATGGCTAGCGCGTTGGGGCGGGGAGGTGCCGTGACGATGTTGGCGGGCTTGCGACGTGGGCGCTGGTTGGGGCCCCATTGGGCATGGTCTCCACTGGAAGCGTCTTCGTAGTCGTCGTCGCGAAGCTGGCGCGTTGGCGGCTTGAGTGGGCTGCTGCCGTGGTCGGAGTGGTCAAAGGAGGCGGTGCTGGCCATGGCGCGAGGAAGATGGAAGGCGGCGTTGTTGGTGTGACCGCCCGGGGTGACCGGCATGTCTGCGTAGATGCTGTCGCCGGAGGTGGGCAACGGAGGGACGGGAGGGAGATCAGTGACGGAGCCGGCATAGGGGTAGGCGGCGCTGCTGGCGGAGCTGCTCATGCCACCGACCGAGTAGTGGGAGTCGGAATGGTAGGACGAGGTGGGTGCGTGATGGTAGCGGGACGAGGATCTGGACTGGGTGGCGGTATGACCTGGATGCCTGGAGGGAGACGAGTTATAGCTGTCGCTGCGGTCTCGAGACGGAGCAAAAGGCAACGATCTTTCGGGAGGCGAGTGCAGACCTGGCGATGCGGTACGCTGCGGCTGGAAGGGAAAATGCGGTGCGGGCGGTGGCGGGCGCGGAGTGGAGAGACCCGAGCGATAACCTGCTGTCAAGTCGCCAGCGTCGGAAGATGGAGCGGGAATGTCGAGCCTTGGTGGCTCGCGCGGCGTGGTGGGCCAATGATTGTTGGGCATGGGCTCGGAATGGGACTGCTGCGAGCGTAGTTGGGATCGAAGGGAGGCGAACGAAGGTTTCTTGCTTGGGAAGCTGAAGCCGGGAGAGGCGGGATCGTGGGTGGCCGAAGAGGCATACGGGGCGTAGAAGGTGGATGAGGAGCTGGAAGATGGCTCCATCTCGGAGTGAGAATGAGCAAGGTTGGATGAGGCGGGCATGCGGAAGCCGAGGCCGCCGAAGCCGCCGGCGGACGAGTCGCTGGTTGCACTACCGGACCTGCCATGCCATCCTAGGGCGGCGCCGCGAAACGGACCGGGGGCATTTGGAGTTGCCGATGAGGCCGATGAAGGATAGACATAGTGCTGATCAGCCCAATTGGAGGGTCCGGGAGCTGCGGTGGTGATGCTCTGCAGGTTTCGACTCGATACGGGAGGGCCATCGTCTAGAGAAGCGCTTGCAGTATGATGTGCGGGCGAAGCAGAAGCCGGTGTAGCAGACGACTGGTTGTGTCGCGACGGCGGGACGAAGAGCTGTTTGTCGTCCAAGTCAGGGATTACGACCTGCATGTCGAATACGGATGTTGGCTATCGAAGGCTCGAGGAAGGAGAAGGGAAAGAAGATGTCGTGAATGGGCGCAGCTAGGCCAGCGAGCGTGCGTGCGTGCGTGATCGCGCGTGAGGCGCGGGTCGTCTAGCGCTGGTGCGCGAACATGGGCAAAAGTATCGTAAGGAGTCGTAAGTGCCGTTGCGCGGCTGTGCCAGAGCCTGGGTATGGTGGTGATAAGGTGCGAGAAGATTGCGAAGGGGGCGACTGTTGGATGCCAGCAACCACGAGGCGAGCGCGTGTTTCCAAAGTGGACATGCGCAGACCCTGTCCGCCTCTGCGCCTGGCCTAGCGCGTCGAAAAAAGGTAGTCTGTTGTGACACGCCGGTCTAACATATTGGTGTATTCGCGAAATCCCGCCGGCTGAGCCGCATCTTTTTCCAATTTGATGCTAAATTTACCCATTCTTGGCAGGGCGGCTGCACGCGACGAGCCGATGTCAAAAGGCATTTTCGGCGGTACAATTTTCGGTTTCAGTGCGGTTTGGCAGCGCGTGAGTCGCATGATTTTGATTTTCAGCCGCTTTTCTCCTCCACTTTCGCGCGCCGCGTTCTCCTCACCCGTCCGATGCCGACTGCTTCCGCCCGCATCGGCTTATCCATGCCGCTCACCCCACCCGTCTTCTCCCTCTCCCACCATCATCCCCTCGTCCCCTCAGCGTTCGCCCTTTCTCTTTCCGCGCATTGTGCGCGCGTCCGACGCAGCCATGAACAACCGCAAACACAAGCGCGGCAACAACGCGCATGATGCCAATGCCAATGGCAACGGCAACGGCACAACCTCGGCTCATGAGCTCAACCGTGCATCCAACAACACGCGCAACTCGAGCGGCAGCGGCAGCGGCAGCGGCAGCGGCAGCGGCAGCGGCAGCGGCACCGTCACGCCTCCTCAGCAGATCATCTTAGAAAAGCGCAAACGCCCTTCGCTCAAGGGAAAACCAAGCTACAGCGTCACCGCTCCAGGCACTCCCTGGCACGAGCTCGACCTCTCCGAGATCCCCTTTTTGCAGCATGACCTGCACGACCTGCCCGTCAAGCGCGGCATCATGCGCTACCGCCGCCTTTTCTTCTTCTTTGGTGCCGCTCTCGGCGCAGTCATCGCCTTCCTCGCATCGAGAAACGTCCAGATGGCGCAGCACGTCCAGGCACTGCGCTCGCTCGTCGACGAATCCATCGATGGTCTAGGCATCGATTTCCCCTCCATCGACATTGGCATGCCCAAGGAGTTCGCAGACATGGGTGAGAACCTCTTTAGCAGATCCAGAGACTGGTTCAAGAACAAGGACTTTGGCGTCGGCCGCAGCCTCGGCGCACAGGGGTATACCGCCGACCATCCCGTCATCCTCATCCCCGGCATCGTCAGCACCGGCCTCGAAAGCTGGACCACCGACGAGCGCTCCGCAAGCTACTTCCGCAAGCGCCTCTGGGGCACCACCACCATGATGCGCACCATCGTCTTCGAGAAGGACATGTGGGTGCGTCATCTCTCGCTCGACCCCACCACCGGCATCGATCCACCCGGCATCCGCGTCCGCGCCGCAGAGGGCCTCGACGCCGCCAGCTTCTTCGCCGCGGGATACTGGATCTGGAGCAAGGTCATCGAGAACCTCGCCGTGCTCGGATACGACACCAACAACCTCTTCCTCGCCAGCTACGACTGGCGGCTCAGCTACTACAACCTCGAGGTGCGCGACCGCTTCTTCACGCGTCTCAAGCTCAAGATCGAGCAGAACAAGGCGCTGTACGGCAAGAAGACGGTCATTGTGGCGCATTCGATGGGCAGCTCCGTCTTCTTTTACTTTATGAAGTGGGCCGAGGCAGAGGGCGACTTCTTCGGCAACGGTGGGCCCAACTGGGTCGAGGAGCATATCGAGGCGTTTACCTCGATCGCAGGCACCTTCCTCGGTGTGCCCAAGGCCATGGCCGTCATGCTTTCGGGCGAGATGAGGGACACCGTCGAAGTGCCTCCCGCAGCCGCGTATCTGCTCGAAAAGTTCTTCAGCCGACGAGAGCGCGCCAAGCTCTTCCGCACCTGGGCGGGCGGCGCGAGCATGCTCATCAAGGGCGGCGAGGATATTTGGGGCAACTCCACCTGGGCGCCTGATGACGAAGAGGGTGCAGAAGATACGCACGGTCACATCTACAGCTTCCGAAAGCCCGGTACCGATCAGCACGACTTGGACGAGAACACGGTCAAGATCAACCTGACTGCTACCGAGGCGCACAACTTTATGCTGCAGCATGCGCCCAGCACGTTCCAGAAGATGCTCGAGACCAACTACTCGCACGGCATCGAGCGGGATGAGGCACAGCTGCAAGCCAACAATGCCGACCATACCAAGTGGAGCAATCCGCTGGAAGCACCGCTGCCGAATGCACCGAGCATGAAGCTATACTGCATCTATGGCGTGGGCAAGCCTACGGAGCGTTCCTACTGGTACCAGCAGGGCGAGTTTGTAACCGAGGCAGCGATTGGAGAGCAGATGGACGAACCGGGCTGTTTCAACCAGTCGTGTCCGGACGTATCGCGCACACCGGCACTCAACTTCCCCACCGCAAGGATGAGTTGGATCGACCATCATGTGCAAAAGGAAGATGCTCTGCCCAAGGTTCGTTCCGGCTGTAAGATGGGCGAGGGTGACGGGACCGTTTCGTTGCTGTCGCTGGGTGCAATGTGTTCAGAGGGCTGGAAGTACAAACAGTGGAATCCGGCCAACATCAGCGTGGTAACGCACGAGCTTAAACACGAACCAGAAGCAATGGATCTACGTGGTGGAGAATCGACGGGCGACCATGTGGATATCCTAGGCGCAAGAGGCGCAAACGAAGCCATCCTCAAAATCGCAGCTGGCAGAGGAAGCGAAGTCCAGAACCAGTTCTTCTCGGATATCGAAAAGTACGCCAGGAACGTCAAGTGGCTCGGAACACAGTCTGGACCCTAGATCATCCAAACACCACCATTCCTTTGCATCAGTCTCATAGCACATCCCTCTTAATATGTTTATACAAAGCCACCCCGGCAAACACGGACGAACAATTACTGAACACGGACTGCAAAATTCGATGGAGATGAATTTGGTGAGGCGTAAAAGTACAGCTTGATAGGAGGAATGGCTTATCGGTCGTTGGTTCGTGCCGACTTGGACGACTCGTTGCCGTTGCTGCCCACCTCGAGAAAGTCGGTGGGGCGATCGCGCTTGGTGGCGGTGGTGCGTGTGCGCGCCTGGTTGACGGGGTTGCGCATGTACGCCGAGTTGTCGTCCGCCGGTGCGCCGCGGTTGCCATGCGCCCCGTGCTGCTGACCCCACGTCGGCGCGCCCGCGTTCGACATGGCACCCATCCGCATCGACCCCATTTGGCCCCCTTGCCCCATCTGCCCCATCGGCATTTGCGGCATTTGCGGCATCTGCATGGGTGTGGCTTGCGACCCAGCTCCCGCCTGCTGCATCTGCTGCATGAACGCAAACTGCTGCATTTGGAGCTGCATCTGCAGCTGCATGCGCATCGGCGGCGGCAGCTGCGGGTTCTGCATCATCATCATGATCTGCTGCACCATCTGCGGATTGAACACCACACCGCCCGGCGCTCCCTGCCCCGCACTGCCAGCGTCGCCGTAACTGAGCTCTTGCTCGTTCTGCGATGCAGAGCGGTGCGCCTGCTCGTCCTTATCGTCGTGCCTGCCTCCAGGACTGCTGGTCTGCTGACGCGCTGCATCCGACGTGTCGCCTTTACTTTCCGACTTGTCGACACCGTCGCCAGCGTCGCCTTGCCCATCTCTGCGAGCCTCTTCTTCGAGCTCGCGCTCGCTCTGCTCGATGGTCTCGCGAATGTACTCCTTGACCTTCTTGCGCGTCTCTTCGTCCGGCTTGAGCTGCTCCAGGTCGGCGATGCGCTTGTCGCACTCGGCACACATGAATTCGTGCTCGAGCAGGTGCGTCTGGATGCACTCCTCGCAGTACTTGGTCTTGCAGCACGGCGTCACCACCGCCTCGCGCAGCAGCTTGGAGCACAGCGGACACGCCAGCGTCGTGTCCGTGGGCGGCGACTGGTACACATCCGACTGCGTCAGCGGCTTGGTGCGCACGCGGTTGCGGCGCCACGACTCCTGGTCGACGCGCGCCACCACGTAGGTGCCGTCGGCGGTCAGCATGACGCCCGCACGCTGGTCCTCTTCGGTGGGCTGCTCGACTGTCTTGAGCATGGACTTGGGGATGCCTGTGGTGCGCTTGAAGCGTGGGCGGTTGTCGTACTCTTTGTCGTCGTTGGTGGGACACTCTTGAATCCAGTGCCCTGGCTTGCCGCACCGGAAGCAGACGTAGCCGATCGGCGGTGGGCGGTCGGGCATGTGCTGTGGGCGTTGCGTGGTCATCGGACGGGGCGGACCTCCGCGGCGCACCTGGCCGGAGCGGTCGCGGTAGGTGGCGTGCGACATGCGTTCCTGGGTCTCGTCCCACTGCTCTGTGGTCGCCTGAAACATGGCGGCGATGCGATCAGCTTCATCGCCTGTGGCTGCTGCCTTTGGATCGAGGCCAGCGGCACTCGAGGACGGCCCGCCACTCGGTGGCTGCGCAGCGCTGGCATCCCTGCCGTCGAACCTCATTGTCATGGGCCCACGGTACGACTGCGAGCGAGCGTCGGTCGGCTTGACGCCCCCAGCGTTGGCTGTGCTCGAAAAGCGGCTGGCGCCTGTGGTGTCGGCAGCGCCATTGATGTCGGCCACGTAGTTCTGCGCAGTTCCGCGTCCGGGCTTCGACGGGGGAAGCCGACGCACGATGACCTGCGTGGATCGTGGCACGAGGAAATTGTCGTCCTTGTACTCGTCGTTTGTGTCGGCATTGTAGATGCCAAGGTCAAAGTCGGTTCCTCGGCCCATCTTGTTTTGGAGGATGATCTCGCGCTTGAGATCCCATACCGAGATTCCGGTGCCGTCGAAGGTGATGCGCGAAGGCTCCTTCTGCGACTTGAACTTGTAGTAGACGGATGCGGACGCCATCGTGTATCGCTGGATCCGTTGGAGACGATGTGGAAAGGCCCGAAGGGAGGCAAGTGGGTCCTAGACAGGAGCAGTGGCGCTCAGTCGGATGGCGGATTGGGCAAATGATCAAAAGCTGCTTCCGGAGCGTCAAAGAAATGGCGTGCGCCGCTCTTCAGCAACGACGAGCGAAAGAGCTTCACGGCTACTGCGTCGGGGCAAGTCAATCAGTGAAGGGACGAAAGGGATTGATCATTCACCAGCATCAACTTTCGAACGGCGGGGACGGCAACGGCTTACAAAGCTGCAGCCGAGAGGAAGCAGCGGGGAAGAGACAAGGGAACAGGGAGGGGGGAACAAGGGGGAACTGCGATCACTTTGAGCAGGGGTTCCAGATGCTGTGGGTGTCGTCCGACTGCCTGCCGATTGAACACCTGGAGACGCCTCGTTGGCAAAAGAGGCCCCTATTCACGGAGTTGAGTACAAGAGCAAGGTGGCGCTGCGGGGACGATCGTGAGGTGGTTGGCTGAGAGAATGTTGCAGCCGCGTTGATGGAGATGGTGGTTGATGGAGAAGCGCAGCGACGGTCGAGCCCACGCCCCAAGCTGCCTCCACACTGGCAGCTCAGAGGATTTGGGACAAGCTGAGCTTGGACCCGCGTGATCGAACTGCGCCAGTGCCAGCCCGCAGTCCAGCAGCAGACCCGCACGCTCGATTTACGGCCGGAAAGTCGGCGCGGTGAAATGAGAGAGGCAAAGTGCAAGTTGCAGCTGGTCGTGACCTCAACCAGCCAATCACGCTCCCTMCCTCCTCCATCTCTGCTGCTACACCGGCAGCCCCAAACTCCTGCGCTGCCACATCGCTGCAGCCTGCCTCGACCATCGCTCGTTGGACGCCGCCTCGAAAATTTTCCATTCCCGCCCTCGCATCGGCAACCTTGGCTCCCACCGCCGCCCGTTCTCCTTTCACTACGACCACCACCATCCCCAGGCGGCCCTCGCGCCTGGTTCCGGGTCGACGACCTTTCTCCCTCAAGCTCCCCATCACATCGGTCGTGGTTGACGGACCATACCGCTCGCTCTTATCGCCATGTCCAAAGCACCGCTCAAGAAGTCCGAGTGGGAGAGGCAACTCTCGGTCATCAATGTCGCCAAAGAGTAAGTGGCATTGATGCTTTCGACATCGGAACTCTCGACCGGCAGCGCCTCTGCCATCGTCCGGCGGCAACGCGACTCGACGCGCTCATTTGCGCCGCACACGTACTCGCCTCGCTCGACTCGAATGATGAGACTTGACGCAAAGTGGGAATCTCTCCTACATCTGATGAGGAAAACCATTTTACTTATGCCCACTGATCCATCGAGCGGGGTGCAACGTGTCGACGCAGAGACCGGCGTCAGGAGTGCTGCCGCGAGCGACTGGCAGATCATCTTCTGTCTCCTCCCGTCAGGAATCCTCGTGCTGACACTCGACCTTTGATCACGACAGGGATCTCAACCGGCTCGTCATGGACTATCTCGTCATCGAGGGCTACAAGGATGCCGCCGACTGCTTCAGCAGGGAGAGCGGCCTCAAGCCCTTTGTCGACTCGGAAAGCATCCTCAACCGCATGATCATCCGAGGAGCCATCCAGCGCGGCGACATTGACGACGCCATCGGTCGCGTCAACGAGCTCGATCCAGAGGTAAGTTGACCACGCCGCCAAAATGACACCGCAGCAGGGTGACCGGCAGCCGAACACGACCATCGAGAGCATTGAGCACCGAGCACCGAGCACCGAGCACACCGAGGCGCGCGCGTGCACCCTCGTCCGAATGATGACAATCTTTTATTCATGCACCACGCTTAGCAACGGGCTCCAGTGGGAGTCTATGTGCGGATAACGTTACACCAATTAACAACCAATCTGACTCGCTCTCGTGCATGCCTCGAGATGCTTCTCGGCGGCCAAGCGTCGGAGGCTGCCTGCTGCTGGCGTCCCGGTCGGATTTCCTGGCTTCTTCAGCCATGCTGACATGCTTCTGCCTTCCGCTCTTTGCAACGCAGATTCTGGACAACAATCCGCTGCTCTTCTTCCACCTGCAACAGCAGCGTCTCATCGAGCTCATCCGTGCTGGCCTGGTCAACGAGGCGCTTGCCTTTGCTGCCGAGGAGCTTGCACCGCGCGGCGAAGAGCATCCGGACCTGCTACCGGAGCTCGAGCGCACCATGGCGCTGCTGGCATTCGACGTGCCCAAAGCCGCCGGCATGGCTGCCACTGGCCCGCTCGCCGCGCCCGTGCATGTCGCAGAGCTGCTATCGCCGAGCCAGCGTCTCAAGACCGCCGGCGAGCTCAATGCGGCCATCCTCGCATCCCAGAGCCAGGGCCGAGAGCCCAAGCTGCCCCAGCTGATCAAGATGCTCAAGTACACCGAGGAGCTCATGGGTCCCACGGGCCCGGGCAAGTGGGAGTTCCCGCATCTCGACCTTGAAGGCGCACTCGGCATCGGCAGCGCCAACGACGCGCACACTGCCCAGCCTGAGTCGACGCTTGCTGTGTAAATCGTCCCGCCACTTTGTTGCAAAATCCAGATACCCCGTCGCTATTTGTTTCGCACTGTACTTGTACCTTCTGCCATTTCCGTTCGTCTATCCTGCAATCGTACGCATTCTCTGCCGCATTCACTCACGCAATTCTCAACTCACGCTTGCCGTCTGTCCCTTGTCGAGTTGTAGAGCAAGGACGTTTGGAAACGTGCGAGTGTGGTATTGTACAGAGTGGGAACAGTTGAGAAGACGAAGGAAAGATCTAAGATGCAAACAGAGTAGAACGGGGGGGCAAGATTAGGCGGATGCGGTGGTTTCGATGCGGTGGAACTGGGTGGGGTCGTTGTTGTATGCAAGTTCGTCGAGGGCGACCACGCAGCTCTCGCGCACCACACGGGGGGCTCCCACATCGTTGGCCCACTTCTTGAGCGTGTCCATTACGAGCGTAAAGTCGGCATTCTTGGCATCCGAGTCCTCCTGACCTTCCTCTACGATGCCACCAAGGGCCTCTGCGGCCTCGTGGCGCACCATCTCGTGCTCGTTGGCATCATTGAGAACCTCGACCATGCTCGGGATGGAAGCAGGGTGGCAGAGCTCGCCGAACACAAAGCAGATCTCGTGACGGAAGAGTGCCGATCCGTCCTTGAGACCCTGAGCGAGTGCAAGCACAGCTTGGACGGCGCCCTCGCCGCCAGCGTGCGCGACGTTCCTGAGCGCAAACATGGCACGGTAGCGCTCGAACAGCGAGAGCTTGGTATCGAGCAGAGTGTCGCGGAAAAGTGGCACCTGCGAGGCGTCGTACTGGACGCCGTTGGCCTGTGCCTGGGCTGCCTCCTTGCTAGCTGCGGGCGTCATGGCCGGAGCAGGATCGATGGGCTTGAACGCCGACTCGACGCCGCCGAGTCCGCTCTGCTCTTCCGCCTGCTTGGCCTGCGCCTTGGCCTGCTTGAGCGCCTTGCCCTCGGCCGAGTTGTCAAAGTTGATCTTGGAGATGGCCAGCTCGCACGTCTCGCGCACGCTGACGTCGGCATCGGTAAGATACTCCTGGAGCACAGGCAGCACGCTCGGGTCGGAGATGGCTCCCATGGCTTCGGCGGCCTCGTGGCGGACCATGGCGTCCTGGCTCTTGTCCTGGAGCACGCGCTTGAGCGTGGGGAGCGCACGCACGTCCTCGAGCTGGCCGAGCACGTACGCGAGCTCATGCTTGAGCAGCGCCGAGTCGTCCGAGAATGCTGCCGAGATGATCGCGATGGCGCGCTGCATGTGCTCGTCCGAGGTGGCCGCCAGGCCCTTGATGGTGAAGAGCGAGCGGAAGCGCTGGTCGAGCGACGCAGCGCCCGAAAAGTCGCACAGGCTCTTCTCGAGCGAGTCCATGTTGCTTGTAGCGACGGCAGCCATCTTTGCTGAAGTGTTAGCGCGCGACGATGATGGCGACGGCGTGGTGTGGAGAGAAGAGAGAGGGGTGTCCGTTGACCTGCTGTAAGTGCTTCGTGCAGCTGCGCCTTCGACCTAATCAGATGCACCTCCCACTGCTCCTCTGCTGCCTCCAAACTTTAACGGCCGTGCCTTTCTTCCAAAAAAACTTGGCTGGGACGAGAAGCCTAAAATGCACTCGGTCACGTAAGCGTTGGTCAGACGTGCCTCTGCACGAAAAAAAAGAGGTTCAGGGTCGTTGCGAAGAATTTGCTTCGAAATTTTGCTGGCCGGCTGTGTGTGCCACCTGCTGCAGCCTCCTTTTTTTGTGGAATGGAAGTTGCTGTGGAGAGCCGGCTCTGCGGCTGCTGCTCGCACCCTTGACACCTCCTTCAACTGTGCGCTAGGAGCCGTCACCTTCTCGAACACCACCCGGCCGACCCACAGACACACTCACACATCTTTCAACATGCCCCGTGCCAAGCGAGCCAAGGTCGTGTCCCTCACGAGGACCGACAAGAAGACCAAGGAGGACAAGGCGAACCTCATCGACAAGGTGCGCGATGCAGCCCAGGAGTACCCTTACGTGTGGATCCTCGGCCACCACTCGATGCGCAACAACTATCTCAAGGAGGTGCGTGACCTCTGGAAGGGCTCCAAGATCTTCTTTGGCAAGCTCAAGGTGCTTGCGCTCGCACTCGGCATGACCGAGGAGGAAGAAGTTAGGACCGGCATTAGCGGCATCAGCCAGCGTCTGTCGGGCGACGTGGGTCTGCTCTTCACCGACAGCCCGCCCGCCGAGGTGATGGACTGGTTCAAGGACTACCAGCGCGTCGACTTTGCTCGCGGCGGCTCCAAGGCCACCGAGACCATCGAGCTGCCCGAGGGCGCGGTCATGGCGCGCTCCAACCCACCAGACACGCTCCCGCACCCCGTCGAGCCGCAGCTCAGGCAACTCGGCATGCCCACCGAGCTGAGGCGCGGCATCCCCACCTTGCTCCAGAACTACGTCGTGTGCAAGGAGGGCCAAACACTCACCTCCAACCAGGCACAGATCCTCAAGCACATCCTCGTCCATATGGCCCAGTTCCGCCTCATCCCGCTCGCCTACTGGAGCGCCGCCGACGCCGAGGAGAACAAGGGCGAGAATGGCGTGCACCTCATCGAGCTCTCGGAGCGCGACCAGGAGCTCGTCGGCAAGCAGGCCGGTAAGCTGCGTGCTCCCAGCGACAACGGCTGGTCCAGAGACCGCAAGAGCAACGGCGCCGCCAAGAAGACCGCCGACAGCGCCGACGACGACGAGGACGACGAGGAGATGGCGGAGGAGGACGACGAGGATGACGACAGCCAGGACGCAGAGGACGCAGTGACAAAAGACATGATGATGCCGCCGGGCCTCTAGATGCCATCAGCTAGCTCTCTCCTTCTCAGCATCCCCAATCCGCTTTCTGTCTCGCGCATTTTGACTCGATCCCGTGTACTTTCATACGTCTCGTTCCTTGCTCTTTAAAGTCGACGTGATACCATTGCATCGCTTTGGCTGCGCGTTTGTGCCGCTTCTTGACCTTTGGACACCTTGAGGCCACTGCATCGAACTCCCGATCTCCGATGGATCGGGATTGACAAGGGTCGCTCGCACCGAGGCGGCTCCACATTCGTGAGCTTGAGGGTGAAAGGACTCGGACGCATCGCAGCTGGGATCGAACGTCGTGAAGCAGGGTGCGCTCGTATCGCGGACTTGACGATCTCTACCCCCTTGCCTTCCCGAACAAGCCGCTTCGAGGCGCTGTGAAACAGATGCGCCCAAAGCTGCGTTGACGGCGCCAAGCGATCAAGTCGGTTTTTTCGGACACGCGCCCTCCACATGTCATTCCTGTCAACCCGCTGCAGTGTGTTGCGACCAACACGGAGCGACCAACATCAACACCTTTGCGCACTTCCGCAACGCATCTGGACTGCACTACGAGAGGCTGCCACCAAGTGCTAGCTCGTACCACCAGCCAACCCCGCGGGGGACTTCGCCCATCAAACCTGGTTGTATCGAATCGAATCAAGGGGCAGTTTGGGTGGCCGCGGAAACCCCGCTTGCTATCGTCCAGGTATCGGCCTGCAGTGAATTCCGGCAATCATCATACACTCCGCTGACAGGGTCATGAGACCAATGCAAAAGCCTCACGAGCAACTGCGCACGTCCTGACCGGAAGAACAAACGCATTGCGCCATCGTCTGAAAGTCGCCGCGACACTGCGGATCGGACGCACATTCACATCGAACACCCGCCGCTGATGCACACCGGACCAAGTCGCGGATCCCCTCGAGCGTGGCAACGGATGGATGGGGGCACACGGCGGCGGACAACACGTGCGTCTCGGCGAGGACGAGCGTATGCGGAATCCGACCACGCAAGCAGCTTGCGGTGGACGTAGTCGGCCGACTCGCCTCGAGGCGCTGCCACCGGAGCTGCTCCTATACCTTTCGAGATTTCTCGATCTGGCGAGCGTGATTGTGCTGAGCACAGCAACTTGCCGTAACCTACGTGCGATCTTTGGCCAGTTCGACCGCGAGCTGCTGTACCTGGAGCCGGGGCATCGTCTCTGTCTCGCCGAGTGGAGAGAAGCTGCCGCCCAATTGCAAAATCACGGGTTGTCGACACAGTCACCCGCCGACTCCAGCACGCCACCGTCTGCGATCGACCAAACGGCAAAGCCAAAGACGACTTTGGACGTGGCTCGGGTGGCGCACGAGCTCACACGGGACGAGAGCCTGATTGATCTAGACCTGCTCAAGGCGGTGCTGGATTTTCTCTCACGCCGTTGCACCTCGGAAGTATCTCAGCATATCCGAGTGGATGCGGTGATGCGGTCAAGGTCGGCCAGCGGGAATGCGGGTGCAAACAAAATCCGGACTCTTCATCTCAGCGGCTGGCATGGCATTGCAGGTGCGTTTCTGATCCAGCAGCTGCACGTGCAGCCGGCGCTGCGCAGCGTGTGTACGGTTGTCAAGACCGAGCGTGCCGACTCGCGCATATGGAAGCAGGTGGCAGCCGACGACCCGACGCTCGTGCCGCCCTCGTTTTGGCCATCGACCCAGTCGGATCCGCAGCAAGACGGTGAAAGTGGCAAGCCGGGCTTTTCACGGTGCACGAGCACGCAGATCATCGTGCGCGTCGGTCGCCGCCTCCCGCGCCGCGATGGCCAGGCTTATCTGCGCGGAGAAGGCCTCCAGATGGGCTACGAAGGCTACTGCATCGAGCTCAACTCGCCCAAACAGCTGTCAGTGCCCCCAAGCGACGGACCATTGAAATCGTCGCGTCCGGCGATACCGCTAAGCCCGGATGAAGCAGCATCGGAGGCCGATCGATTGCACGTCGTTCTGCAGGGCCGCGAAGATACAGACGCAACCCTGGGTGGATGGACGCACAACGAGCAGCTCTGGATGCGCAGCATCGTCACCTGCAACCACTGCAAGGCACCCATCCGATTCTAGCCCCCCTTCCTTGCCGTGCATTTCCGGCTGCACGGCTTGGAACTCCCGACGGATGACGTTCTGCGGTCTATGCTGAGCCTGTGCTGACGGAGTTGCATTGGGCATGGAGCGTTTCTCTTGGAGAGGCAGTCTCGATGGCGTGCTGCGCTGCATGATTCCAGGAAGATGGGCCGTGGCCCAGCGCTCACTCGGTGTGGCGTAGGGCCGAGCCTTGTCGCCTTGCTCGTCAGGGTTCGGATGCATCGAGAGCCCCGACCGACGTGCATCGGAATTGGCGCAACTCAGCCTGCGTTTGTGCCTCGGCCTCTTGGCAATCGGATGCGGCACCCTCGCCAGAACACGCAGTGTGGCGCCGGTCCGATCGTCCGGTTCGTCTTTCAGATCGTGCGTCCCACGCTAGGCTACGATCGGCCTGCGCTTGGCGAGATCATATCATGGCAACGTAGAGTCACCAAGAATGTCCAGCCGAGACGGGTTTTTACGTTCAAACTGCGCAGCTGCGTTTCGCCAAGGTTTGCCGGATCCAAACTAGCTGCGTTCAATGCATCGGTGACAAGCGCGTGCAGCCTAGGAACGCAGTTCGGCTGCGGAATCAAGGCGTCTTTCTCGCCGGATGGCGCACGGTATCACGTCGCTACGCGTTGTGTCATCTTTCAATTCCGCCAGTACAGCTGAGGCATCCAATTCTAGGTCAAGCCGACGAGCAATTGGGCCGAGTAAGGCTCTGCAGTTCGATATTGCATCGGAGTCAGCTTTGTGGTAGGCATTGCTGGAGAAGCATGTCTAAATATAACCCCGTGCAGCAGGGTTCTTGGTTCGAGACTCGAGGTGGCGCTAATCAAAACGCCTTTACTGCCGAAACGACATGCACAATCGGCGAAATCTCCAGAGCTGTTCCTCGTTTGTGGATCCAGGAGACGACGACCAGAAATGCATTCTGCAGGGTCGAGTGGGTCGTGTGATGGGGGTGGACGGCATGATGCCGGACGAAGGCTGCACGTGGACGCGACCAAGCAACGAGTCTGGGCATTCGGCACGTTTAGCGAGATAGCAGAAGCGAACGTCCATCCGGGACGAGCTATGCTATCGAACGGAAGATCGTCCCGGAAAGCATGTCCGGCGCCCTGCTTTGAGGCACATGCTCTGAGACACAGTCGGCGGCTGACGTCGGTCACTTTGCGTAAACGTCAAGGCCAATCCGCCATCGTTGGCCCGTAACTTACTCTTCCCCCACTTCGCCCGCGGATAATAAAATTGGAGAAAAAAAGAGAATGAAAAAAGAACGCCCAAAAATCATTGTCGACCAAAGCGAGGGCGTCACTTGAGTCTTGATGGGGGCTGGTTCGCCAAGCCATGGATTTGGGCTTTTGGACCAGCCGAGATCTGTCTCACCAGCAGTACCAAGGGTCTGCGATGCTTACTGGTGCCAACACCAGTGGAATCGGCAGAGGTGCATGACGGGGTTCTCCGATTCGGCCGCATGAGTTCGGTCGTATCTTTGGGCCAAACATTCGTGCATTCGTGCATTCGTGCATTCGTGCACTCGTGCAGGAACGGGTGTGTACTCGGTCCCGAGCATTAGGCTCGGATATGCCTCGGCCTCGGAGATAGCGGGGGCGTGTCGAGCTTGTTTGTTCTGCACCGCTGCACCGCTGCGTGTGTGAGGATATTGAAATAGCTGTGTTTCGTATGCATGCACACGGATCTATCCAAGCGTCGGCAGCATGACGTGGGGAGCCTTGTCCGAAATCCGAAGAGTCTCAGATGCACAGTGGTCGTCCATGCTTCCCACGCCAGTCGGATCGAGGAGGAGCAATGGTTGGATTTCACAAACAAACGCACCTTTGACTCAACAAACCAGTCGAATGCAGTGCTCCACCAGCCGGGGGTTGACTCAACGCCTCGGCTTGCTTTCTTCCGTGCCGCTGCGGATATTTTAGACAGAGTCACCGCCGCTGCTGCTGCTGGTGCCAAGATGCAGGGTGCACGGCGCCATGATGGTGGTGCACAATTGAAGCTTGCCTGCATCCGAACTCCAAGTGCTAAGCGAGACACCCCGCGCAGCGCCGGCAACGGGTCTGGAACGCCATCCTGCCCCGAATCGCAAATTCAAACCCTTCCGATCCCACACTAGCAACGCAGTACATCCGGATGGCTTCCTGCCTGCCCACCGACTTTTCCTGTTCTACGCCGTCATCCCGGACAGCCGTTGTTCATCCTGCGCCCCGGCTGTACGGCCTTCTTTTTTCCGTGGCATGCGTCGACGTCCCACTGCACTGCTCCGTGCTGCAGACAGGGGAGCCGCCCAACCCCTTGCGCCGCCTGCTCTGGCTCCGACGGTCGGGGATAAGCGTCGTGATGGATGGGTGCATGTGCCATCAGCAGTCAATGGTCATGCTCGTGCTCGTGCTCGACTCGGCAAAGGGGCATGCTGCAGAGACACATGGTCTCTCATTTAGTGGAAGCGGTGCCTTTCAACGATGCAGATTGCAGCCACGATGTAGCTGTCCATCTTGCGTCTCGGCATGGCGTGAAGAATGGATCGAGATCAGAGAGCCAGCGAATCTGACGCCGTGGAAGAGCAAATCGACATGGAAGGTACGCCTGGAGGCTGGGTCGAGTGCCGGCCAATTCTGAATTTTGCACTGCACTGCACTGCATGACGTGGGCCGACTGCCAGCGGTGGAGCGTGACAGAGGGCGCGGCGGCATCGGTGTATTCGGCGAGAAGGAGGCGTGACGAGTCTCGGAAATATTTCTTTTTGTTGGAATTTGTTGGAAATTGGGCATTTTCACGAGTGCGCGTCTGCGTCGTTGGGGCGGGACCCGCCTTCCACCCTGGCTGAAAAGCGCAGACGAGTTCTGTTCAAGGTTAGGCAGCGCCCTGCCACGGCTCAAATCGCCTCCACCACCTTGGCGCAGCGAGCGTGTGAAATGGAACTCGTTCCGAGACACGCTCGTGTGGATCGGCATGGATCCGCGGAGGCAGCCCAGCCCCGCTGCACTGTGCCGCCTTGCCGCATCGGATGCGCCGCTCCATGCTCAGCAAACTAAGGCACATCGCAGCACATCGCAGCACTGTGCATTGCGGCAGATTGCCGGTCAGATGTCACCACATTGTCAGCATTGACAATTGCACGAGCAGCAACACGGCATTTCCGACAGGAGGCTGCGAATGCGAACGCGAATGCGAAGGCGTGCGCAGGAGCGTGAGAACAGGCATGCGCGATCAACAGCAGTCATCGTTTGTGGGGATGCATTCAAGGTCTCGACACCTGGCAAAACGGTCGCGACCCACTTCGGTAATGCGGCCCAGCTGCACCGACATCAGGACGCTCATAGCGCCCCACGAAGCACACCCAGCGGCCCAATCGTTCGTTTGGCGCAAAGTCGGCCGCTTCCAAACCCGAGTACAGCTGCTGAACCCTGTCATTTTTATTTTTATTTTATTTTGTTGTTTCTTTTTTTTTTTTTGGCTTTGTCTCGCGCCGGCAAATTTCCCCACGCTGGGAGGCTGTCGACGCATTCACGCACTCGACCCTGCCAGACGGACCTCACCGCGCCCCATCAAAGCATTCCTCTCGTCGCTGTCGTCGCTGTCACCGGAGCACACCTTGAGCATCGCCTTCTTCCTACACCCATGTAGCTTTCCGCTTCCCGGGTCCAACACGCCTCCTCTTCCCCTTCCACCCCTCTCACCGCTCACCACCCTCGACACTCACATCTCGATGGCCTCGTCGCACTAAGATCCGTGCCGCCTCGCACCCAAGCTTGGCGGTTTCCACCCTGCATCGCTCTCTCCTGATCAACCGTCAAATCTGGGCCCAACCCTCTCACAACATCCCCTCGATCTGGCATCCTGCAGCTTCGAGCTTCACTGGCACAGCGTCTGCCGTTCGGGCTTGCGACATCATTGCATCCACATCGCACCGCCAAAACCTGCACCGGTCCGCGCCAGTCCACGCCTCTTGCCTCCTCATCCTTCGTGTCCACTTGTGCCGAGCAAGCCGACGTCTCACCCAAGTCCGTCCAAGGCTCCGCTTGACCCTGCGCCACCTCTGATAGCCCTATTCTCCCGGACCGCTCTCAGCACAAGACAGCGCAAGAGCAAGCGCACCGCTCTCGAACCTGAACCTCGACGCCCTGCAGGCTGTAGGTCCCGTGAGCATTCCGTGCACCCATCTCTCTTTGCACGCCTGCTCCACCACCGACATCTCGATCCTGTGCTCTAGTCGCCACGCCTTGATCTGCCGCAACCGAGACGCCCCGCCATCCTCGTCACCCGGTCCAGCCTTTCGCTTAGCAGCCTTGTTGCATCCATTGCCATTCCTGGGTTCCGTTGAGCCCAGCTCTTATTCGCCGAAGCTGTCTTCAGTGGCTCCCTCTCTCGATCGTCGACCCCCAAAGCCAGCGTCGGCACTAGCCCCGAGGGCGAGTCTGCATCTCGGCCATATCTGCCTTGTCTCGGTCGGATCTGCAAAGCTGCCCGTTGTTCAACAACACCCCAACTCTCGAGATCATCGACGTTATCGCACCAAACGTCAATCTCGCTCCATCTTCTCCAAAGCTTCCCACGCTTCACTGTATCTCTAGTCCACGCACTCACAAGCCCAACGCCGGACTCCTCAGCTCCTGCGCCTCGACATTACATCCGTCTCGCACATTAAGCTTTGCTGCACCTCCCGCCACAGTCCTCCGCCTTCACCACGGATCCTATTCCGGCCTCGGCTTTGCCTATAAAACCGTCCCGCCCCACACTTCATCAACCGGCTTCTCCTCAACTCACAACCTTGTCCACAGTCCTGCACTCCGGCGTTCGCCCCTTTCAGTCACAATCGCATCGCCTTTGCTCCGACGCCGTCGTCCTCCCACCATCCATTCGCTTCAAAGCCTCATTCCACCTCAAGCTCTGTTCATCGTCTTTGCATTGGCCGTCCTTCCGCACGACTCAAGTCCTGCGCCTCAACTAGCTCGACACTCAGAAACAAGCCGATTCAAAGACTTCAATGCTGTCTAGCATGCCCTTCGGCCGACAACAGGACGTTCGACAAGATTTGAACGATCCGCGAAGACACTCGCTCCCGGATTTGTCCCTTTCTGCTCAATTGCTCCAAGCTCAGCAGCTCTACGCCGCAGCCCACTCGTCGTCGCTCGCCATGGACCCAGCCGCTAGCCGCGTAACTGCAAGTCCTTCGGGCGATCCGCGCGGAGGCTTTGCCCAATTTCTCGAAGCAAACTCGCCTTATTCTTCCCTCGGCAGTGACAGTCCGCCGCAACACAGCGGTCTGCCGCAGTACGCGGGGACCCATGCTCAGCCTCAGCACGGCGCCCTTCCTCAAGCACAGTCGCCGCATCCTCACGCGCCGATGAACTCCCAGGCGCTACCTGAAGCATCGATCTGGACATCAAATCAGAACGATCCGGCGTCTTTTGCTCGCGCACACGCAACGATGACCGCCAATGGCTTGCCCGGCATCGACTTGCCAACGGGCCCTTCCTCGTCTGCCGGCCTGTTTGCTTCACAGCCCTTTACTTTCACTCCACCCTCCGGCTCCGCCGAGTCCTCTCGTGATGCCCAGAACTACTATGCGCATTACCTGGACGACTCGACGTTCGGCCGCAACGCGGGTCCCGCCGACAACACCTCGATCCATCCTTTGATGCATTCGATCAACAGTCACAGCGATCAGGAAGCGTTGTTCGCCTTCGCTTCGGCCATGCAGGCCTCTTCCTTGCCCATCCCCGCCTCGAGCTCCACAGACGCTGACAACATGACCTCTAGCTCGCCCGAGTCGGAAAGCGCCGATGCGCAGTCCAGCGACAAGAAAAAGTCGGCGCGTCGCCAGGGCGTCACCTGCGACCAGTGCCGCGCAAAGCACCTTCGCTGTGATCTCGACGATCGTCGCAGCGAGGCAGCGCGCAGCGCATCTCCAGAGACAGCAGAGACGGCGCTTCTCGAAATGCAGAGGAGTAACAGCACCGGGACAGCGGTGCACCACATTCGATGCACCCGTTGTGACGAGAAAGGCTTCGTCTGCACCAAGACCTATGCCCCTCCTTCGCGCAGATACCCACGCCCCAGCCGTTCAGGCAAGCGCATCGAGCAAGCCCGCATGCTGCACGGCGCCGACGACACCTCCGCCGCTCGACCTACTGTGGAGCGCATCAATGCATCCTCGATTCTCATCCGTGCTCTCACCGAGCTCCGCGGAGCCGAAGTGCGCATCACCGACCGCGTCATGGCAGGTTCGCTGTCGCTGCAGCTTCTCAACTGCTTCTTTGCTGTCTGCCACATGCAAGCTCCCGTGATCGACTTTGGCCACTTTACCAAGACCTTCAACTTGGCCAACGGCGATCCTCGCAAGATGTCCATCATGTCCAACGGTGGCTCCGAGGCCGAGGGTCTCCCGTCCTGCATTCCGCAAACCGCCGGCCTTACTTCCACCGTGTGGCCCAACTCCAGGGACAGCAAGATCAGCACCCCAGGCACCACCGAGACTCTGCTCGCCGTGCTGCATGCCTGGGCTGCGCACTACACCGACGCGCCCATCGCGTTTGGTCCCGACTTTAAGGATCTTGACACAGTGCGACTTCTCGAGGTGGATGACAACGGCGCCGTCCAGCCCGCCTCGTCGCTAGGCCTCGGACCGGACAGTGCCAAGGCGGGCATCAAGCGGCCCAAACGCAAGCAGGGAGTTGCTTGCGACACCTGTCGTCTGCGCAGAGTGCGATGCGACGTCACCGAGAGGCCAGAGGGCATGGGATGCAGCCGATGCGAGGACAAGCGCATCAAGTGCACTGACACCTACATCCAGACCAAGCGCGCCAAGCTGGCTGCCAAAGGAGGCAAGGCAAGCAAGGCTGACGATCCGGCCGAAGACGCTCCTCCCTCCGCCGATGCTTCTGCGGGCGACGCGAACCGGATCAGCCCGCGCTCGTGGATCACGGCGCGCAGCGAAGGTCTGAAGCGACTCTACCGACCGGGCGACGTCGAGCACAACCTGCGTCGCGGCAAGGCGCGCAAGCCGTTCTGCCATGCTCTGCTCAACCACGCGCTCTCGCTGGTGCACAAGTACGACATTGTCAAGAAGCCCAGCGTCGAAGGAGTCCAAATCCTGTGCCTCATCGCACCTCTGCTCGACAATGTCGACGGTGTCCAGGCCCACTTCTTTGCAGACACCGCTTGCGACCATGCCGAGAAGCTGGGCATGACGACCAAGCTGGTGGTCGACGAGACCGACCGCCATGCAGTCGAGCACATGCTCAGCACGATGCAGTCGCACCGCATCTTCCTCACCACCTGGTGTCGAGACTCGATCACCTCGGGACTCAACCGTCGCAAGGCGTTCCTGAAGACGGACCGGGCGATCGAGGTGGTTGGCCAGGCGTCGTTCCGCGGCACTGCGGTGCCCGTCGAAAACTCGCGCAAGGGCGAGGTGGTGCTCTCTGGCGAGATGGGTCTTACCTTTGTCATCATGACCATGGTGCAGATCGGCGCTCTGTCGCGGTTCATGGCGACGCACATTGATCCGTCGGATGGCTTCAAGCCGTCGATCCCCTCGTGGCAGCGTCCCGCCGGCTCTTCCATGGCACCCGTGCCGCGCTCGGCGCGCTTTGCGGCAAGACCGTCGCTGGCGGAGCTGCGCAAGCTGGAACGCGCATGTACTGCCGTGTGGAACAGCCTCGACTCGCTCATGCTCTTCTTTGACCGCTGTGCGTCCAAGGCGTGGTCGACGATGGACAACCTGCAGCCGTTCCGTCCATTGGGATGGGTGGTGAGCACCAAGCTCTGCGGCTCGCTGCTGTACCTTGCGCTCTTCCGCGCGCTGGGTGAGCGCCACCGCGCCAACGCCGCGTTCATGGCGACGCTCAGCCACTCGCTTGGCGGCCAGAGCGCGGTGTCGGAAGAAGACAAGACAGTGGCCGCCTCGCTCAAGGCGCTGTTCGACAAGAGCATGCAGCGAGCCATCGTGTCGTGCCGCAAGACGGCGCGTCTGGTGCGCATCCTTCTGCCTCTGGGCATCTTGCAGACCGGTGGGCCGTTGATGACGCAGCTTTTCCCCGTCGCCCAGTTCCTCGCCAAGATCCCGAGCGTCTCGGACGAGCAGGTGGCGAGCAGGATGAATGGGCGCTCGCATTCGGCGGACGCATCGAGCTCGGACGCTTCGCCGTCGACGTTTGTCGATCCACAGGCGCTGCAAAGGCAGGACTCTGAAGATTCCTCTGCCGAGCGCCCGAGGTCCGCACAAGGCGCCCAGCCAGGCACAACGCCTCGCGCGTCGCCGCAGGGCTCGAGTCCCAGCTCGCACGTCGAGGTGCTTCGTCAGCTGGAAGAGATGCACCAGATCAACCTCGGCCCTTACACGCACAGCTCCAAGAAGATCGAGGTCGACGCACTCGTCGAAGGCCTCTCGCAGCTGGGCTATGCGTGGGACACCATGGACCGCGAAATCGCCGTCATCCAGGACTTGCTCCGCTCCGCCAACATCAATTGAACGTTCCTCCTCCTTCTCCTTCTCTCATACACGAACCATCTCATCTCGACTTCACTCACGTTTCGCGTTCCGGTCTGTAGTCTACCTTCCTTGCTAATACGTACGCTGCGTTCAACACCACCTCGAGCCACAGCCTCACAATCACAAGTGGGTTCCACTGCAACGAGCCTTGTTGTGGCGTTGCATTCTTTTGTGTCTACGAGTTTGAGAAACTAGGCGCTCTGGAAGGCTTGGCTGGCCTGAGCCTTTGCGCGGCGCTCTTCCGCGGCAGCAGCGTCGACAGCGGGCTTGTGGGGAGCCATGGTCTTGTCCTCGAAGCTCTCCATGCCACGCAGGCCCCATCGGGCAAGCATGGACTTGTCGTCATCCCACGACGAGGTAGGGGTGGTGAGCATGCGCTCGCCCGTGAAGATGGCGTTGGCACCCGCCAGGAAGGCCATGGCCTGTTCGGACTCGGTGAAGAGGTGACGACCTGCGGCAAGACGGATGATGGAACCGGGCAGGACGATGCGTGCGGTTGCGACCGTGCGCAGCATGTCCTGGAACGAGATGGGCTTGTTGTTCTCCATGGGCGTACCGGGGATGGCGACGAGCGCATTCACCGGGAAGCTCTCGGGATGCTCGGGAAGCGTGCCCATCTCCCAGATGAGACCGACGCGGTCCTCGTGCTCCTCGCCCAGACCCAGAATACCGCCGGAGCAGACCGAGATGCCCGCCTCACGCACGTTGGCGATGGTGCCGATGCGGTCGTCGTAGCTGCGCGTGGTGACGACCTTGCCGTAGTACTCGCGCGAGGTGTCGAGGTTGTGGTTGTAGGCGGTGAGGCCGGCCTCCTTGAGCTGCTTGGCCTGCTCGGGCGAGAGCATGCCGAGGGTGGTGCAGACCTCCATGCCCATGCCGCGGATCTCGCGCACCATGTCGAGGATGCGGTTGAAGCCGCGCTTGCGACCGCCGACCTCTCTCCAGGCGGCACCCATGCAGAAGCGCGTGCTGCCGTTGGCCTTGGCCTTGCGCGCCTCGGTGAGCACCGTCTCGAGATCCTCGAGCTTGGAGGCGCCGGAGGGCGTCTCGTACTTGCTCGACTGGGAGCAGTAGCCGCAGTCCTCGGAGCAGCCGCCCTCCTTGATGTTCATGAGCGTGCAGAGCTGGACGCGGTTGACGGGGTGGTGCATGCGGTGGACGTTGGCGGAGCGGAAGACGAGCTCGAGAAGCGGCGAGTCGTAGATCTTCTGAACCTCGCTTCGCGACCAGTTGTGGCGGATGTCACCCTCCTTGGCTGCGGGCGCCGCACCCAGGGCCGAGGCCGAAGACGAGGCAATACCGTGGGCAGCGGGGTCCGCAGGGTCCACAGCCGTGGCTCGTCCACGTCGCGAAGCGGGAGTGGGCGTCGATCGAAGCATGGGCTGGGCACACTGGCGGGCCGAGGCGGCAGCCAGGCCCGCGAGCGGACGGCCGAGCTGGCTCGAGGCTGTCTGTCGGAGGAGCGACATGATGTGAAGATACGATGAGTGGAGAGGAGAGCGTCGAGGTAGGAAGGAAAGTTTAAGGAAAGCCAGTCCGCCTCGACTCGACCAACGAGCGGTTGGCCCGATAGATATCCGGGCCAGGGCTGATCTTGCAGCGACTGCAGCTGCCGGCTGTATCGGTCGGCGGCGCGACTTCGAAGAAAAGGCAAGATCTTTGGCTGGCCCCAGCGCGAGGGTTGAGTTGGTCTGAGCTTTGCGCTGAAGCTGCTGCTGGCCTGAGCCCCACGGCCCCCAACTCGAGCGTGTCAAAGCGAGCTTTTTGGACGATTTCACGTTTCGTTTCCCCCCCATTCCAATCCGGCTAACCTGCCGCAGACCTACCGCGAGAAAAGCCCCGCGTCACGCGGATTTCAAACCAACTTCTCGCCTCTCTCTGATTCGCATAGCCAGGGTCCGTTATCTAGATCGACGGCCACACCAGCCTGCCCATTTCTATCGATGCGCATCGACTTTGTAGCTACAGTTCAGAAAGCATGTATCGAGAGTCCCACCTCCAATCTGCGCTCATCGATGTGTCATACCGGCAATGGCTACAAAGCGCCACAGACATGTTCAAGGCAGTGTAACTCGTATGGGCTGAAGGAGCGAGGGGAGGGTCTGCAGCGGCGCAAGAGGCTTCGGCTTTGATGGGGCTGCGCGCTCAGCTGCACCCTCCCCAATTGGATTCCAAGGCGAGCCATCCAGCAGCTCTGTCGCGCCCCAACATCTCTACTGGAAAATGGCGAAAACTGTTATACCGTACGGACATTACACTCGACGGGCACGACGATCATTCGTGCGAGAGTTTGACGGTGGCCGGCCGGGCTAAATTCGAACTCGGTGAAAATCCCACATCGAACCTCGCCAGCCTGGGCATGACGCCAGTGTCTCCGCTGTCTCCTCGACCGAAATTCAAGCGAGTCGAAAATGACACACACACACTCTCTCTCGGTGGCGGAAACGCTCTGCTCTCACGCTCACGTTTTTTGCCATCGAGGCGGACAAAGCTGCGGAACAGCGAGAAAATTTCAGAGAGGGCGCCCTGCCTCAACCCTGCAGCAGCATTTTTTTTTCCCTTTGTGTCAACGCGCTGCCCTTTGAACTGAGCCCGCATTCATTTCGCCCTTCGCCGCCCCTAGTCCGCTGTCAGACCCTCATCACTCTCCTCTCTACCACATCCATCCCTTCATCCTCTTTTCAGGAGAACCAAGCTTACTTCTTCCCTGAATCCATATCACAACACGAAAACTACCGCACATCATGTCTTACGGTGGATACAGCAACGGTCCTAGCCGCGGTGGCTACGGCGGCGGCGCTCCTCGCGGCGGCCCCAGCAGCTACGGTGGCGGAGGTGGCGGCTACGGCGGTGGCTCTTACGGCGGCGGTTCCTCCTCGTACGGCGGTGGAGGATACGGCGGCGGCTACGGCGGTGGCTACGGCGGTGGCTTTGGCGGCGGAGACCGCATGAGCAACCTCGGTGCCAACCTCGGTGCTGTCGACTGGAACAGCGTCGACCTCGTCAACTTCGAGAAGAACTTTTACATCGAAGACCCGCGCGTCGCTGGCCGCTCCGACCGCGAGGTGCAGGACTACCGCGCCTCCAAGCAGATGACCATCCAGGGTCAGAACGTCCCTAAGCCCGTCACCTCGTTCGACGAGGCCGGCTTCCCGGACTACATCCTTTCCGAAATCAAGAAGATGGGCTTTGCTGAGCCTTCGGCTATCCAGTCGCAGGCCTGGCCCATGGCGCTCAGCGGTCGCGACCTGGTCGCCATCGCCGAGACCGGTTCCGGTAAGACCATCGGCTTTGCCCTCCCCGCCATGGTCCACATCAACGCCCAGCCCCTCCTCAAGCCCGGCGATGGTCCCATCGCCCTCATCCTGGCTCCCACCCGTGAGCTCGCCAACCAGATCCAGGTCGAGTGCAACCGCTTCGGTGGCTCGAGCCGCCTGCGCACTTGCGCCGTCTACGGTGGTGTGCCCAAGGGCCCCCAGACCCGCGACCTGCAGCGTGGTGCCGAGATTGTCATCGCCACCCCTGGTCGTCTGATCGACATGGTCGACGCCGGCAAGACCAACCTCCGCCGCGTCACCTACCTCGTCATGGACGAGGCCGACCGCATGCTCGACATGGGTTTCGAGCCCCAGATCCGCAAGATTCTCCAGCAGATCCGCCCCGACCGTCAGACGCTCATGTTCTCGGCCACCTGGCCCAAGGAGGTGCAGCGTCTTGCCGGCGACTTCCTCAACGACTTTGCCCAGGTCAACATTGGCTCCACCGAGCTCGCCGCCAACCACAACGTCAAGCAGATCATCGAGGTCTGCTCCGAGTTTGAGAAGAAGGGCAAGCTCATCGGCCACCTCGAGACCATCTCGCAGGAGAACGGCAAGGTTATCATCTTCACCAGCACCAAGCGCGTCGCCGACGACCTCACCAAGTACCTCCGCCAGGACGGCTGGCCTGCGCTTGCCATCCACGGTGACAAGCAGCAGCAGGAGCGTGACTGGGTGCTGGCCGAGTTCAAGTCGGGTCGTAGCCCGATCATGGTCGCTACCGCTGTGGCGTCCCGAGGTCTCGGTAAGTTTTCACTCCCTTCCCACGTGTCCCCCCACCCTTCCTTTGTTTCCCGGTCCACTCTTCCCCTGCTCGTGTCGCAATCTCCCTCCTCCTCGCACATTCCTCCTTCCGCACTGCCCGCCCTCGAGTACGGCTTTGGGACATGGACGGAAGCCAGCCGACGGCAACGCTGGCGAGTTTCAGGCTCGCGTCGCTCCGTTTCATTTTGTCTGGTTTTCCTCCCTGTCGCACGTATTCTTCCGCGCGAACGGATCCAAGCGATCCGTCCGTCAAAACAGGTTTGCACTGTCCGCATCGGCATGCCGAGGCACTCAACAGTGCCTGAGGTCTTGCCAGAGAGGTAAACGCGGGTGTTGCCATGCGAGTCTCCCCTCGAGACTGGCAAGGCGAGTCGTTTTTGTCTTTTGCTTCCATGCCGATCACAGCGCATCCAATTCCTCCTCCGCAAGCCATCAAGAGAAGCCCTTCATCAACATTGCACTCGAGTTCAAGGTGATCGCCACGTCCAACGTTCGCAACCGCTGCTGCGCCAGTGCCTCCCTACTTTGGGGTCTCTGCACTGGCCGCCGCGTATGTTCGCTGCTGATAGCATCGGCAGCCGTGCTGTCGTCGGTATCGACGAGGTGATCCCTATCGCGCTTTTTCCGCCACTCTTCAGGCCCACCGCCTGGGTAAGAGTGGTCGGCTACTCACAGAGGACGTGTCTTCTTTGCGTTAGCGTAGCTCGCTGTCGTGTCGCAAAAATCAGTCGCGGCTCAGATTCTTCCCTCCCCGTTTGGTCGCTCCATCTCTTTCGCCATCTCGGTGGTGTGAGGAGATGTCAGCCACTCGGCTACCGGTTGTATTCTGACTGCAAGGCTGGTTCGTTTTTTTTGCGGTCAACTTGCATCGGTGTTGGGCGGCCCTCATGTCGCATCCAGCTCGATGCGCGCGGCCGCCCGTGATGCGATGAACTTTCGATCAAGACGGAAACAAAGCTTCTCTTTTGGTCAAGGACGGAAACCTGATTCATGGGTATTGCCCGAGGTGTCCTCGGACTTTTGTGGCCATCACAACCAATATTGCGTTGGACGGTCCGAGTTGGAAGCCTCGGGCATTAGTGGAAGTGTGTAGGCAGCATCGGCAGTGGCACTGCTAGCACCATCGCGGCTCCGACAGCCGCTGGTGCCAGATAGTGCGCAACATTGCTGCCTGGATAAGATTGCGAATGGATCTGCATTGTGCAGGTTGGGTGCTGCGAATCCAGCTAGCCAGCTGGACACAAGCAGCACAGTGGACTGCTTCAAGGCAGTAGGAGGGCTTCAGCACGTGTCGTCTTTCTTTACAATGGTGCTTGCGCACCAGCGCCTGGTAGGCTCGTTTACTAACTTTCGGATGCGATTGTCATCTTTCATCTCTCTCTCTCTTTCCTGTCGATCTACAACGGCGTTTGCGTTCCATTCTTTGCAATGCGAACGTCGTTTTCAACCACGCCCTGCCAACGCTTTGGCTTGATTGGATCACCGGCTCGCTCTTATCGTGCGCTGTCGCTTCTTTGTTGTTGAACCTTCGCGGTCGCTCAACAGACGTCAAGGACATTTCTTATGGTAAGTTGCTTCTCCTTCTCCAGCATCAGTGTAGATGCAAATGGTGATGCTGACCTCTATTCCCACTTGTCTTGTCTCTCGACAGTCATCAACTACGACTTCCCCACCAACACGGAGGACTACGTGCACCAGATCGGCCGTACCGGACGTGCCGGCCGCACGGGTACCGCTTACACCTTCTTCACGCCCGAGAACTCCAAGTCGGCGCGCGAGCTGGTTGGCATTCTGCGTGAGGCCAAGCAGGAGATCCCGCGTGAGATCGAGGAGATGGGCCGCTTCGGCGGTGGAGGAGGCGCCCGTGGCTTCCGAGGCCGTGGTCGTGGCCGTGGCCGCGGTGGCTACGGCGGCGGAGGACGCACGGGTGCCAACTCGTTCGCTGTCGGCAACTCCCGATGGTAGATATGCACCTTGCTCGTCGTTCTTCTGAGCTGCTTTCTCGGCATGGTCGCTGGTCGCTTGAACTTTGTCGTCTCTACACCCACCGAGTCGTTTGGGTCTCACTCAAGGTATCACGTCGACTTTAGCTGGCTCAGCTCTCTTCCATGCTTTCCTGTAATGTGGTCATTTTGTTCATACCATTCCGTCCTCGCTCCAAATAGATTTCCAGTCTCGATACGATATGTTTCGGACAAGCCTGTGATCCGTGAGACGATGCGACGGTGGAGAGTGTGATTTGTGCGAGGCGACGAGTTGCGCCCAGGTGCAGCTCCAAAACGTAGCCGGTTTGGACCCTGAGCGTTTGCGTTGGTAGCATGTCGGATCGACTTGAAAGGCTGCAGGTGCCCCAGCACCGAGGTGGATGACGAGCTAGGGACCCACCAAGCCGTTTTGGACAGCGGTCGGTCGAATGATACTGGCAAAGTGCGGCGGCGTGTGATGTTGGGGTCTGTGACTCTTTGGCGGGCCAAGGTGGAGGCGTGCTGCTGCGCATTTTTGGCCACAGTCACACGGCCGCTTCGATCTTGAGCGCAGCCGCGCGCTTTCACCCATCTCCGCTCATGAGCCCGGCACGGCCCAAGTCAATGTGTGGCGCGCGGCTGGATCTGGCGTGCTGCTGCAAGGACCCTGGATTCGGCCAGTCCCTGCCGCTGGCTCCGCGCCCTGTTATCGCTTGCTGGGGTCGGAGCTCGTTGCGCGTCGCTGCCCCTGCCCTGCCAATCCGCTACGGCGATCCCAGTCACTGAACACTGTGGCCAGGCCGCAAGCGACATCCCTCGCACTCTCTGTCCATGCAGGGTGACTTGCGCGCGCGTTTGCCTAAAAAAAAGCTTGGGCGCATGCACGCCGCTGCAGCCTCCACCGTGCTCGGCCCCCTCCTAATCTCGCTGCGCGGCTTTGCACCACACCTCCTCCATCCACATCCATCATCGTATCGCTGCGATCACATCCAAGCCCAGTCGGCACCACATCCTAGCATTCGTCACCTATCTCCAATCCCAACTCGCAGGTCCCCGCACATGCATCGATAGCGAGCTGCGGCTGCAGTAGACCATCGACATGCCTTCGCTCACCGATCTCGAAAACTTTATCGAGGAGAACCTGCCACGCAACTTGCAGGAGCTGCCTCACAAGGTCTCGCTCTCCGTGCAAGAGTACTATCAGATCCTCTACGAACAGCTCAACAAGTACGGCCCTCCCATCCCGGACCTGCCCTCGTTCCCCTCGTTCGAGAGCTTCACGGGCAAGGTCACTGAGCTCGTCTCTCCCATCCCCCCGCCGCCTCCCGTGCTGCCTCCTCCGCCACCGCCCACCAACCTCGAGCTCATTCACGCCTGGACTCGTCGACACCGTTCCTCACTGAGTTTTGCCAGCGGGCTCATCATTGTCGGGCTCGGCACCTCGTATGCCTACCGAGCCGGTTACATCGCTCTTCCCTACCTCGGCAAGAAGCACGTCGTAGGACGCGGACGAAAGCGCCAGGTACGCCTCAAGAATGGTGTGCGCCGCGAGGCCGTCATCGTGCTCGGTGCCGACACGCCGCTCGGACGCTCGCTTGCCCTGCACTTCTCGAGCCAGGGCTTCGTCGTGCTGGCTTCGGTGTCTTCCTCGGCTGCCCTGGCACAATTCGAGAACCTCATCCCACCGAGCTCGCGCGGCTACGTCAAAGCGCTCATCTTTGACGTCGCCGAGCCTTCAAGCACACTTCAGCCATTCGTACGCGCGCTCTCGGCCGCGCTCAGCCTCCGCTACCCGCTCACCAGTGCCGGCGATCCCTATGCCCGCCCGGGCGAGAACATCAGCATCGCTGGCGTAGTCAACGCGCTCAGCTTTGTCGCACCCGAGGACGATCTCGCCTCATCGCGCAGCATGTCATCTTCCACTTCCACCACGTCGCTTGGCGTGCCCATCTCCAAGCTCTCGCCCTCCCCATCGTCCGAGCTGCTGGAGCGCCACGTCGTATCGAGTCTCTGCGTGCTCGGCGCGCTCGTTCCCATGCTCAGGGCGCTGCCGAACCGCGCAGAGGATTCACCAGACATGGAGCCAGCCACGATCGTCACTCTGGTATCAAGCCCGGCTTCGCGCACCGCACTGCCACGCCAAGCGATGTACTCGGTCATTGCCCAGAGCGTCGCCGCTGGTGTCCAGTCGCTGCGACGCGAGTGCGAGGAGGACTCTTTCCATTCCAAGACCGCAAGCAACTCCAAGCTGCCGCCAAATCTGAGCGCCTCGACTGCAGGAGGAGCCTCCGCCAGACGAGCGTCCAGCTCGCGCTCTCAACTCAAGCACAGAGACGTCCGCGTGACCATGGTCGAGGTCAACGCAGGCTCCGTCTGGGGTGAACCTGCTGCGACGCCCAGCGCCAACCTTGCCGAGCCATCGGCAAGCACAATGAGTGCCAACTCTTCGCTTCACTCGCCGTCGCGCCCGAGCTTCGGCAGGTCTCCGTCGTCTTCGCTCGGTTCGCTCTGGCACCACCGATCGCCCACGTCGGCGCCAGTGCTCAACAAGGTCTCGGACCTCCTGCTCAGCACAAAGCGAAGACTGCGCCCAAGCTACACAGTGGGAACGCACACCTTCTCTGCTTACTGGTTGACGCTCAGCCAGGTTCTGCTCACGGTCGTACCCACCAGCGTGGTGGACTTTGCGCTTGCTCTGAGGAGACAGCTGTCGCTCCGCCGTGCCGGGCTGGTGGGACGTGCCGAGCATGCCTTCCTGCCCTGGAACTGGGGCAAGACCTCAGACGCCGGAAAGGGAGTCAGGCGGGCCGGTGAACAGAGGCCGGCTGGCAGTGGCCCTGGGCCTGGCCCGGCCTCGGCTGCGCACTCGCGAGCGTCGCTGCTGAGGTCGAATGCCGATCTGAAGCGCCCAGCGGCTGCAGGATACGAGATCCGCGACTCGGACGTGCAGAGCCTGCCGGAAAGCGAGCGCTCTTCGGGAGCTGGATCGGGCATCCCCAGTAGCGTGCCTTCGTCGGCGTACGGCGACAACGATGCCGACGCGGATGCGTATGCTGGAGAGGAGAGCCCGTACTTTGGCTCTACGCGCCAGATGCATGCTTCGCACGCCGATCTCTCGGCGTCGAATCCAAGCCTGGCGGATGCGCCCGTGGGCGGCCGCGCAGGCGGCGTGCCAGCATCGTTCGCTCGCGAGCCGTGGATGGGCCCGCCCAGCAGCAGTGGTGCGAGCAGCCGCCTCGCGCACTCGCCCGCGGTGCAGCAGCACTCGGCGCACGTGTCTGAGAGCGAGGACCGCGACGGCGCCACCGACTCGCCGCTCGGCACCAGCTGGGTCGCGCTCGGCGACAGCCAGCACTCGCACCGCTCCTGAGCGCAGGGTCGGCTCTGTCCCTTAACCCTTTCCGTCTCCGTCGAAGTCTTGCACAGCCTCTTCCTTTGTCAAGTCTCCGTTGTATCTTGTCGTGTCACAACTGTATATTCTGCACAGCTCATCATGCAGCTGGTTCTTGTTGCACCGGTCCTCACAGGGCGTAAGCGTACGTGGAAGGCTCTTCAATCAGAGATGGGCGAGAGAAAAAGAGACTGGAGAAAATTTTGGATTCTAACGGTGCGGGGTTGTGAAGCTGGGCACAGAAAGGATTTACTCGTCGGCGGAGTAAGCGGACTCGTGGATCTTGACGGCGCGGCCAGAGGGGTCCGAAGCGCAGCCCCAGTCTGCACGCGGGATCCAGCGGACGGAGGTGGAAGCGGCGGCGTCCGAGGGGAACCAGGACTCGAAGATCTCGCGGATCATGTAGGCCTCCTTGGTATCGGGGGTGTCTGTGGGGTACCTCTTTGCGCGTTCCTGGAACTTTTCGTCGCTGATGGACTGTTCAGCGTGGTCCTTGATGCCGTCGATCCAGGAGTAACCCACGCCGTCGGAGAACTGTTCCTTCTGACGCCAGAGGATATCCTCGGGCAGGTAGGGTTTCTTGGGTGCCGAAGCGGAGAGCATGCTTCCCGTACCGTCACCACCGGCCTCAATATCATCCGGGATCACATCAAACGCCTTGCGCAGGATGTACTTCTCCATGCGCGGTCGACCGTCGGCATCCACCTCCTGCAACGAACCCTTGGAGAACATCTTGTCGGCCGCATCGGTGTTCATGGCCACATCGAGGAAGGCCTTGTCAAGGAAGGGCACGCGCGCCTCAAGACCCCATGCCATCGTACTCTTGTTGGCACGAAGACAGTCGGCAGTGTGCAGGTTCTTGACACGACGCACGCACTCCTGGTGGAACGAAGCCTTGTCCGGAGCAGCGTGGAAGTAGAGGTAGCCTCCAAAGATCTCGTCGGACCCTTCGCCGGAGAGCACCATCTTGACACCCATCGCCTTGATCTTGCGCGAGAGCAGGTACATGGGCGTCGACGCGCGCACCGTAGTCACATCGTACGTCTCGAGGTGGAAGATGACGTCGGCAATCGCATCGAGTCCCTCCTGAACGGTAAAAGTGTACTCGTGGTGCACCGTGCCGAGGAACTGCGCCGCCTTGCGAGCCGCGAGCAAGTCGGGCGAGCCGGGCAGACCGATGGAGAAGGAGTGGAGACGCGGCCAAGCAGCCAGGTTCTCCACCTCGTTCTCGGCATCCTCGTCCAGACCGACGGGGAGCTTGGCACCGTTGGCGTTGCCGGCGGGTGTGGTGACGCCGCGGGCACGGCGAGCCTGACGCTCCTCCCACGCCTTGCGCTGGAGGTCGGCCATCTTGTCAGTCTCTCTCGCCGCGATCGAGGCGATGAGCGACGAGTCGAGACCACCGGAGAGCAGCACACCGTAGGGCACCTCGGACATGAGACGCTTGCGCACCGCCTTTTCGAGCGCTTCGCGGATCTGCTTGAGGTCGGTCGGGTTGGCCGGGATCACGGCGCCGTCGGCATCGGTGTCGAGCCAGTTGGGCGTGTAGTAGCGCACGGTCTCCTTGCCCTCGGGGAGGGCCGAGTCGTAGAAGTGGCCGGGCGGGAAGGAGCGGATGCGGTCGCACTCCTCGTGGATGGCCTTGAGCTCCGAGGAAAAGTAGATGGCGCCGGGGTACTTGTACGAGGCGCCCTGGTAGAGCGTGGTGATGCCGATGGGGTCGCGCGCAGCAACGACGCGGTGCGGGGTGTGGGTTGTGTCGAGGAGGATGAAGGAGAACATGCCGTCGAGCATCTTGACAAAGTCGGTGCCGTGTTCGCGGTAGAGGTGCAGGATGACCTCGCAGTCGGACTCGGTCTTGAATTCGGCGCTCTGATCCTTGAGTCCCTTGCGCAGCTGGCGGTGGTTGTAGATCTCACCGTTGACGGCGAGGATGAGCTTTCCGTCGGTGGAGACGAGCGGCTGTGCGCCGGTGGAGATGCCGACGATGGCCAAACGCTCGTGGCAGAGGATGGAACCCTTGGTGCCGTCCTCGGGCGTGACGACACAGCCGGACCAGTCGGGGCCGCGGTGGCGGATGCAGCGCGACATGCTGAGCATCTTGCTACGGTACGCCGGAGCGTCCGGGTGATGAATGCAGCCGAGAATGCCACACATTTTGTCGGTGCTTGTTTGTCTTTTTCTTGTATGCAGCGACGAGCTTGTAGCGACTTGTGGAGACGACTTGGGGTGAGTGCTGCTGAGATTGCGGGTTTGCGGTGGCAGCGAGCGACGGTGGGGATGTGTGATGGAAGAGGGGATCGTTGCACGCGCACAAGTGGCAAACGGTGGGCCGCACTTATACCGGCTCTCCAGACAGCCCACGGCTATGCCGAGCATGCGCAGAGGCGGACAGGCGGACAGGCGCGTTGCAGCTGATGACTCGCGCTGCTTGGGCGCCCACGGTGAAAGGGGGGCGAGCGCTGCATCTCTCTCGCCGTCAGATCTTCCAGCGAGCTTGCCAACCAACCAGATGCGGGCAGCCAGAGCAACTGCCGCCCCGGTTCAATTCTGATTTTTCTTCCAGGCTTGCAGCTCAGCCGGAGCTGGGCGCTCACACTCAGCGCAGCAGTGTCTTGTGTGTTGGTTGGCTGTTTTTCGAAATCCGCGCGTCCCGTTATCTCGAGCGCATGCCCCTCGCCTTTGGCTGGTGGCCAACCGATCAGAAGCCGCCTCCTGCTCTGGCTGCATTGGATGCATTTCTCATCAAGTGGGTCTTGCCTGCCTGACTGCCAACTAAAATGTGCAGTTGGCAGTCTGCGAGTCACCCACACTCGCCCGACTCGACCACCGCCGCCCCGCCCGCCCTCACTTCCCGCTCCCCTCCCCGCCGCATCCTCCCCATCCCGCTGTCAATCGACTGCCCGCACCTCGACTCACCTTCTGAGCCTGCTCTGTCTCAGCCGTCAGCCCCGCGCTCAAAGGCTCGCACTCCCGATGCATTCCCCGCGCCCTCACTCGTATGGCAGCAGCTGAGAGGTGGCCTGTGATGGTTATTGCCAATTTGACGATCGTTTCCAGACTCGACCGCACATAAACGATAGATGAGCTCTTGAAGACCGAGACTCGATGCGCATGCTTCGGATCGACGCAGAGAGCCGTGCGGTGTTCCCCGATCGACTTTGCGAAGACCCGATTGCGATGCGTCTTGCCAAGTCCCGAGTTCCGTCGACTCCACCCAAGAATTTCTTGGGCCCTGGTCGTGTTTCTTGCAGCCAACTTTGCGAAAGATCTGCAGCCCTTCACCTTCGCTCTCGCGCTACCACCAAGCTTCGAACTCGGTCATCCGCACCCGTTGATCAGCATCGTCAGTCTGGGCTCCGCAAGCATGGCGTCTTCATCCTCGGCATCGTCGCTCTTTGCGACAGAATGCCTCCTCTACTCGACCGCCTCCTCGTCTTCTCTCGTCGGATCCATGGGTCTCACCACCGTAACCGCGCCGTCATCAACGTCCGCGCTCTTCACCTTCAAGGGCGTCTCTGATCCCGCTTCTCATTCGGTCGCCGTTATCCCCACATCGCCCAACCCAGCTGTCTCGGGCGTAGGCGGTCTCGTCTTGCAGCTCGAGAACAACAAGGCAACGCTCAACGTCTTTTCGTGGCAGCGCGATCATCCGCTTCAGCGCATCATCCTTCCGCAAAAGCTAGCCTGCATCGCTGCCTCTCCAAACGGCGAACTCGTCGCAGGCGGCTCGTTTGACGGTCGGATCTTTCTCTGGCAGATCGCAACCGGAGACCTGCTCGCTTCCTTCGATGCGCACTACCGCTCGGTGACGGTGCTCAAGTGGACACAGGATGCTGCAGCACTGGTCACGGGCTCAGAAGACTCAAGGATCCTCGTCTGGAGCTTGGCGGGGCTGCTCGCTCCGCACGATCAGACCAGCTCGGCCATCACCAGCTCCGAACACAATCCCACACCCTACTGCACGCTCGCCGACCACAACCTCGCCATCACCGACCTGCACATCGCCAGCGGCCGCTTCCCCAACCACACCACCATCCTGTCCAGCTCGGCGGATTCGACCGTCAAGATGTGGGATCTGCGCACGCGCACTCTGCTCAGCACTTTCATCTTTGAGCAGCCCATCCACCGCGTCGTGCTCGACTGCACCGAGCGCTTCTTCTTTGCCGCCGCATCGCCAGGCTCGGGCGAGAACGCGGTGTATCGGATCGATCTGTTCCGCAAGCGCGATGCGAGCAGCAGGATGGTCGAGCCCAAGCTCGCCACCAACGGCTCGGCGTTCGACTTTGTCACCGACGAGCTGCGCGGCGCGACGGCGGTGGAGGCGTACGGCTTTGGCTCGGCTGCTGGCCCAACGACCGAGCGCATTGCTTCGGCAAACGATGCGGCGGGGAGAGCTGCGGCGAACGGGTCGAGCATCATTGCGATGCGCGAACCCATCTCGAGCATGTGTCTGTCGTCCAACTCGACTTCGCTGCTCGTCGGCAGTGCGGCAGGCAACCTGTTTGTGGTGGACGTGTCCAACTCGCAGATCCTCCGCACGGTCTCGATGCTCGGCAATGCCAAGGCCAGCGCGGTGACGGGCAAGAACGCAGTGACAAATCTCGTGGTGCTTCCCAAGCCCCGCGACTTGCTCGGCCACTGGGAGACGGCGGGGCAGAGCGGTGCAGGGTCTGCGATCGCAGGCGCAGGTGGCGCTGGAGCAAACGCTGCAGGCAGCATCCCTGTTCGGCCCATCGCCAACTTTAGCCGCCACGTACTGGCGTCCGAAGAAGAGCGTCTCGCCACGCCTTACCTCACGCGCATCGCGGCTACTGCCAACACGCACCTGGCACACAACGGTGTGGACAGCTTCATTGATCCGCAGTGGGACAGTCAGCTGGTGTCCGACGACCTGCTCGGTGTATTCTCGTCGCCGGTGGGCACGGTCAACGCGCCTGCGGGGGTTGCATCGGTCAAGGCGAATGGTCATAGTGCCGAACAGACGGACAAGCTCAGCCAGGAAAACCAGCTGCTCCGATCACAACTGCAGCAGGCCAAGGCGATCAACGACGAGATGTGGTCGCGACTCGTACGCGACCGTCTCACGAGCCAAGCTGCTGCTGCCAGCGAGTAGCCGCATCCCTCATGTCGTTGCATAGCTTGACCCAGGCGTCAATTTCGAGGCTGAAACACATTCTGGTTCAATGCGCGTTGAGAAGAACAGAGTGTCCGTTTGATGAAAGCGAAGGGGGGGTACAATGCGGCTAGGTGAGGGGAGCAAGGGCGTGGTTAAAGTGCGAGAGCGGCGGCGGCAATGGCAGCGAGGCCGGTGAGTGCCACGGGGATGGCGAGCGAGGCGGCGCCCGAAGCGGCGTTGTTCTGCGGGGTGCTGCTGCCCGAGTTGCCGGTGGAGCTACCAGTGTTGCCCGCCGACACGGGCGAAGTAGCGGCCGACTGGACCCTGGACATGGTCGAGGTGCTACCGGCAGCAGCGGAGGCGGAAGCAGCCGACGAGGTAGGCTCTGCCGACGACGAGCTCTGAGCCTGGCTGACAGCGAGGAGGCCGTGGCTGATGGTCCTGGCGGTGGAGCACTGGCTGCTAGCGGGAGCCGGGTGGGCGGAGGGTGTGGCAGCATCGCCCTGACGGAAGGTGGAGCTGCCGTAGATGCCCTGGAGCATGGCAATGTCGCCATCGCACGACTCGAACACGCCTGCATCGTAGTTGGCGGGGATGTTCCACCTGCAACCCATGACGTCGTAGATATGTTCGCACTGTGCGGCTGCACGCTGACCCCAGCATGCACGCAGGCAGAACTGGTTGTACGACATGAAGTTGGTCCACTCACTCACGAACCACGGCTCGCCGTTCGAGGCCGGGTTGGCGGTGGTGTAGAGGATACCGCCGATGGGGTTACCCAGGTCATCCGCACCGTGAGGGTCGAACTCTCCTCCATCATCACCGTCGGGGATGAGGATGCTGGTAAAGTCACCCACGCCCGTAACCTGGACGTAGTCGCGTGTGCGCACAAAGTGCGCACCCTCAATCGTACCGTCCGGAATCAGACGCGTGCCGTGCTTGTCGGTGGTGCAGTAGGCGACACCGGAACGCTCCTTCTCGCCCACGGTGCCGTACTCGGCAGGACCCCAGAGACAGAAGTCGTCGAGCGAGTTGATCCATGCGGTCTGGCAGCGCGAGTCCTGGTTCCACGTGTTGCGCGCACACGTGTTGTAGCCCGACTGCGGCTCACCACCGGGCTGTCCACCCTCGCCCGACTCGATACGGTTGGAGCCCATGTACTGGTCCGGCAGCTCGTTGAGTGCATACGTGGCCTTGGGCTGCCACTGCGTCCATGACTTGGTGGGCTGGTTGCGGTTCAGGTCGGTGGTCGCGCGCGGGTCGGGTCCATTCTGTGCCGAAACGCGGCTCGCCAAAAGCGCCGAGGCAATGGCGAGAGAAAGAGTGATCTTGGTCATGATGCTCCTGTCGTCCGCAAAGCGTGGAGATGGAGTAAAAACAGGTCCGGAGGGTAAAGTGAAGAAGGGATCGCAACTGCGGGAGCGTTGCACCAAGCGCGGAGCATAATATACTCCAGCAGCGTGGAAGCGGTAGCAGGCAGCAGCGACACTCTTCGAGCTTAGAGACGAGGCTGTGTGGGTGTGGCTGCCAAGAAAGGCAAAGGGTCTCGCTAGAATCGCGAGTCTCCTAGCGGGGACCGGAGAGGCTGTTTGCCAAGATTCGAGGCTGAGGGGTGTGGCAGCGGCCGAAGGATCTGCATTCCGGTCGAGTTGCATGCTCACCCTGAATGCGCAAGGAGACGCCCGTCGGCCTGTCTCTCGTCCATGGCCGAGCCATCTGCCTGCTCTTGCTATTTTGATGTGCGCAGGACCGGGAAGGCTTCGGCGCCCATGCGTAATGATGTGAGAGAAGATTCTCCGCCCCCAAGCCTCGAGGCGGATGTGCTGACTGCCATGCTGAGCGGCGTGCATGAATCAGGATGCGAGAGGGTCTTGTGCGCACAGCTGCAGACACGTTGCGATCGCATGGCGACTGTCCGTCGCATCGAAAGCTTGGCAGCGGGAAGCACCATCCTCAACACCAAGGACAAACCTACACAGCCTCTCGCTCGCCTATGCTCCTACCGTCGCGCACTTCCGTGGCACCAGACACGGCTAGCCAAAACGAGCCTGGATCCGAACGCAAGAGTGCGATGATTCCGGTAAGGCGAGGCGAGGTGAGTCGCCCTGATCGGAGCCAAAGGGAGGAGGCAGAGGAGTTGCGTCTGGCATGTGGGTGTGGGCTTGGCGCACTGTTCGACAAATGGCCAAGCGCCCCGAAGGCCAACCGGGGCTTGGAGGTCTTGGCAGGTGCCTCTCAGAGAGCGAGAGAGACGAATTTCTCTTGGCTCAGAGTCTTGGCGTGCGCTTGGCACTCGAAAATGCCTCGCAAAAATCAACACCACGCCGCGCCGCTCTTCTGCTCTTTGGATTCGACGTCGGGCTTGGCACTGCCAACCACCGACCGTCTCCGTGCATCCAGGCATGCCCCTCTCTATCCTTCCATTTGGCCGTCGCTGCCACTCAGGGGACCAAGATTCAAAGCCAGCGAAGTGCATTGCAGCGAATGCAAGCTTGGTGGTGCAGCAGCAAAAAAAAACTCCCAAAATATGTTAGGGTGCTCGATGCAACAAATTGAAAAAATCGTGTCTCCACCTCCACACGCCCGCCTTGACATCTTGCGGAAAGGGTCCACGGTCCGTGATCTGCTGACCGCCGGAACGATTGCAGACCTTCTTCTTCGTGCTTTCAACTACCAGCTGCATCGCATCCACGGCTTTGTACCTCCCCGTTGAGAGGGTGGAAAGAGCTGCATTGCGCAATGACGCACAGGAAAGCACTCAAGACCGCCGTCGAGGCAGTAGCCTCCTCCTCGACCCTCCGACGCAGCAGCCGCAGGTCAGCTTCGAATGCGAGTACGACAGTCCAGCAGTCGCCAAAAGAGAACCCAACGACAAACGCAACAACGTCCTCAGTGCGGCAGCAACCACCGCCAACAAAGCGACAGAAAGTCAAGTCCGAGCCCGATACTTTTGCAGATCTTGCGTCCTTCGACTCGCACCAAGTCACGCCTTCATCGCAAGCACGACGTCGGGTCAAAGCAGAACCCCCCTCACCGCCTATCAAGCAAGAGCCCGAAACCGACGAGATGAAACCTGCACCTGCGAGCAAAAGGCGGCGGACGAAGAAGGAGGAAGTCGAAGTCGAGGTCTTCCCACCGCGGCCTCAGCCGGTAACCGCTGCGGTATCGGAAGGAGCGGGTGCGACGAGGGGTCTGTACATCGGCGCGCACATCAGCTCGGCCGGTGGTGTGGAGAATGCACCGCTCAACGCGCTGCGTATCGGGGCGAACGCCTTTTCGTGCTTCGTGCGGCCCAAGATGCAGTGGGCCTCGACACCTATTGCTGACACCTCTGCCGAGCTGTTCAAGCAGCGGGTGCTGGACCACTCGTTCATGCCTGCACCCGCGACGTCTTCCTCCCCAGATTCTGCTCCACCAGATGGATTCGTCGTGCCACACGGCTGCTACCTGGTCAACCTGGCGAATCCGGACGAAACGAAGCGCGACAAGTCGTTCGAGGCGTTCATGGACGATCTGCGTCGGTGCGAGCTGCTCGGCATCCGTCTGTTCAACTTCCACCCGGGCTCGATGACGGCCGCATCTGTCGCGGATGCGCCGGTAGAAGAGCGCGTCAACGGCGTGCGTCCCGCCAAGGCAGAAGCGTGCGCCATGGTGGCGTCGTACATCAACCGCGCGCACGCACTCACGCGCTCCGTCACCATCCTCGTCGAAAACATGGCCGGCTCAAAGAACGATACGCTGCTCGGATCGTCGCTCTCGGACCTGGCATGCATCCTATCGCACGTCGAGGACAAGTCTCGCGTGGGTGTCTGCATCGATACGTGCCACGCCTTTGCAGCAGGCTACGACCTCACCACCCCGCAAGCATATGCCGAGTTCGCAGCCGAGATCGAGCGCACCCTCGGTTGGGAGTGCGTCAAAGCAATGCATTTGAACGACTCCAAGTTCGGCCTGGGCTGCAGGAGGGATCGACACGAAAATATCGGACGCGGGTTCATCGGTATCGGTGGGTTCTGGAACATCGTCAACGACCCGCGCTGTACCGGCATCCCGCTCATCCTCGAGACACCTGCCCTGGGTGCGGCTTCGGCAGCATACGCGGCCAAGGAAGCCACGGTCAAGATGCACCAGGTGTGGTCGTTTCAGATCCAAGCCCTCCATGCGCTGCGTGGGATGGAGTGGGGTAAGTGGAAAGAAGCCGAAGAGTGGCTCGCAAAAGCCGACCAGGTCATCAGCCAAGCCGCCGCCGCCCATGCGGTCAAGAAGCGCTCTTCGACCAAGCCGAAGGCGTGCAAGAAAGCCCACGATGCGGAGGAAAGCGATCTGAGCGAGGAAGAATAGGGATTGCAATTCCAACAGAAGTGGGCAAAGTTCAACGGATTGATAGAACATGGTGATACACGGTCTGTCGGAAGAGGCCAAAGGGTCCATCGCGCACAATCACGATGTAGAACCGCGCGGTCTCCTTTGCTAACAGTGCTGCGAGTCGGACGGTGGACCGGACCCACTTCGGACGCAAGTACAGCGCGGCCAGAAATGTGATGGGTACGATGGGAGCGAGTCTATCCGGATGCTCTGCACCGCTCAACCAGCGCATGAATGGCGGAACGTATTCTCTCGCCAGTGCCTCGATCGAGTGCCATGCGGACCGCAGTGCCTCGGCCACGTACTCGGGATCGGGTCGAGGCACCAGTTCTTGAGGCTCGTCGATCTTCGGCTCTGCCTCGGCTGGGTCTGCCATTGGGCGTGGAGGTTGAGATGGGCGAGGGGCTCCAAGACGACACGCTCCAAACGGCGAAGGAGGATGGTCGAGGTTCTGTAGGCCTTGACGAACGCCCCGAGCGCGAGCGGGGCGACGATTTGGCCCTCGTACAAAGATGGATTCGCTATCGGTATCGGCATCGCTGGAGCTGGAGCTGCTCCAGTCGGAGCCGTACAGGGTTGAGCGCGTGGTGCGCGCAGAAGGGCGGTGGAGCGAAAGCATGGTGAGGGCGAGTTCAGCAGACTCGATCCCAGGGGTGGGAGACGAACCGCGCGACATCTTGATGGGCTTCCAAAGTGGATCCCCCAGCATCAGCTCGGTCTATTTATACCATCTCATCGGAGCCAGGACTTGACGGCCAAAGGGTAGGGCAGACAAAGGGCCGGCGGGGTGATGAGCCGGGGGACACTACGCTCGGATCGCCGCCGTGCATGCAGACTGATACGCCCAGCGACATACCGCCATCCTTCAACCGCTGGCAGCTCCGCCCGCCAACCACTGCTCCCTTTGTCCATCACAAGCTCGTCCCAACGAGCTGTCAAACTCTGCTCACCCAAAAAAATCACACAAAGAGGACCCTGTTTTTTCTAGGAATTGTGCATTGCATCACGCCGCCTATCTGGCAACATCAGCAGTGACAGTATCGCCGTTGGTAAGGTTCCAATACGCCAGCGTCTGCTTGAGCGTGGCGGGCTTACCGTTGACCTTGATCTTGATCTTGCTGGCTGCGATGGCGCTGCCGAGCACGTCCTGGTGCACGTAGTCGCGCAGCGTGGCAATAGTGGATTTGAGTGCAGCCTCGTACGCCTCCTCCCTGCCGTCGGAAAGTGCCAGCCGGAGTGTCACGGTGGGATGAGCGTGTGCTTCGAGCCACGTCTTTTCGGGATGCAGCGAGCCATCCGACTTCTTGGCCAGTGTGCTTGCGGAAGCTTGCGGCGCAGACGGCGGTGGTGGTGGCGACAGCTCTGTCTCGGCAGGTCGCTTGACACCTGCACTGACCGGGACGGCGTCTTGGAGCGTGGTGGGTCGAGCGGGAAGCGAGGCTCCGCTGTCAGCAAGCTGAATCGGATGGTCGTCGCTTGGATCCGCGCCATCAGCCTCTGCGCCTTGCGCACCGGGGATGCTCGGGCCATACTCGGGCAGAACCACCTGAGGCCTTCCCGAGAGCCTGTTCATCTCGTTTTCGAGCCCGACGTTCTTGGCGAGCATCTCGCGAGCCGCGTTGCGCGACTTGGCATGACCGTCCCAGATGATCTTTTCCTTCTCCTTGGCGAGACGCCTCTCTTCGGCCTCGCGCTGGAGACGCGCCTGCTCGTCCTCGTCGGTGCGTGCCGAGGCGAGCTGCTTGAGGTAGTACGTCGGGTCGGCACCTGCCTGGAGTGTGGCTTGCTGCGCCTTTTTGGCTTCGAGCTGCTGACGCTGCTCGCGATACGCCGGGTTGAGCAGCTCAAAGCGCACATGCTCGGCCATCTCGTCGATCACCACCTCGTCGCCGCACACGGGACACTTGGTCATGGCTGCGCTGCCGCTCGGCTTGGCACGCGACGCAAGTCCGCGCGGAACATAGTCCTTGCGCACCTTGATCGTACCACCCCGACCCGCCTGCACTTCCTCGACCACCGGAGCGGACGGTTCGGCAGAGGACGAAGGCCGACCGGGCATGACGAGCTCCTCCACGTCTTCGTCTGCGGCAGTGTCGGTGGTCTCCATGATCATGCTGGCCATCTTCTTCTGCGCGAGCGTCATGGACTCCATCTCGCGCAGCGATCGCGGTGCGGGTAGGTCAATGTGCTGGTCGGTCTCCGAGAGCTCCACGGTGCCGACGACGACAAAGTCTTGCCAGTCGATCTCGTTGAACGCCTGGCGCTGCTTCTCCTCGTCCTCGTCGTGCTTCTTGCGCCGCTCATGCGCGTGCTTCTCCCACTCGGCGCGCGCCTTGACCTGCTCGAGCAATGCAGGCCGAGCTCCGCCTCTGCCGGCACCCAGCGCAGGCTTGGAGCGTTGTTGACTGAAGGCTTCGGGGTCTGTTGTGCCGTACGCGCCGAGCTTGACGCGGTCGAGAAGCGCTGGCGATGGCGAGATGACCTTTTGATACTGCTCGACGAGGTAGTTGAAGTAGGTGAACAGCGAGTGGCTTGGGCGAAGGAACTCAAACTGGTACGATTTCGACTCGCGAGCGAGAAGGGATGTGGCAAAAGAGCGACCTTTGCGTGCGGTGAAGAGGGCGGTGAGCTTGAGCACATCGAGGTCCACCGCGGTGATGTTGGGCAGATCTGCCGAGAACTCGAATGGCTCGGGCTCGGCTGGAGCTTGGCTGGATGAGGAAGCAGTAGGATTCGTCGAGCCAGAAGGTCCTGTATCCGACTGTGCCTGTAGTTGAGACGCATTGTCCGATGCATCAGCAGCAACGGGCGTTAGTGTCTCGCCGCGGCGGACGGCATCACGACGGGAGGCATAGTAGGGGTGGTAGGCATCATCTTCCTTGAGGAAGGCGAATTTGGGATTGTTGCTCTCTGCGGTCTTGATGTTGGCCTCGAACGACGGATCCTTCTTTGCAATGAGCTCGGCTGCCTTGTCGATGGTCCTGCGCAGCTCGGGGGGCGGGTAGATGATGCCGCCGGTGGAGGCGAATTTGGAAGTGGAGGGAGCGGATGCCGAGGCGAGCGTGTTGTCGGTGCCATGGGCGGGTGCAGGCAGGTTGAGCGAGGGCGCCATATTGGCGGAAGGTGTGCGCGGGTCGAGCAGCGAGGATGTGATGGTGCGAAGAGGGTGGATGATGCGGAGCACGGAAGTTGACATGAGCTCAAATGGACTGCATTCTGCATTGCCTGGCAGCTCGGAAGACGGGCCATATATTTTCTATCGGCAACTGATCGAGGTTGACATCGGCGATCCAAGAAGAACCCACCCGGCGGCATTTTGAATGCAATTGGGCCGCGCTGCGCTGTGCCTTTGCCGCGCCCAAGCCGTGCATTATTTTGAGAAATGATTTTGAAAAGTGACTCGCTTCGGGTGCTTGACCAGAGCGGTGCTTCGTGATTCACGGCGACGTTCCGACTGACTTTCGACATCCTATCCTGCTTTGCTTGCTTGCTCTTCACCCCCACGACCGGACCTCGATCGCACTGCGTTTGGCTCGCCATCACCAACCCCCTTGTGCCTTGGCGCCAACTTCCGCTTATCTTATTTGCTCCGTGTCCGACAACAACCGATCCGCGCGCACGCATTGCTGCCAAGACTCACTTTCATCCCAGCCCTGCGCAACCACAGCAACCGCACACGCACACGCATACGCACACATACCCACGCCTAGCGCTGCACGCATTGCAACATTTCCACCGCTCCGGTCGCGGCTTGGCACCACCAACTTAATCTTCACACCAACCTCGTTGTCAACGCCCCTGGGCACTTGTCGTTCCTGACTCTCATCCAAACAGCGCTCGAGCTTGCACTCGCTCGTACGATCCGCACACAACCATGGCTCTGGTACGTTGGCCCCTCACCGCCCCGCCGGCTTCCTCCAAACGTATATAGGATCGCATGTCGCTGACTTCTGGAGCTGTCTCCGCTCATCTTACCCCTGCCCAACTGTGCTATCATGGACTCTGCAATGCAGCACGCTCTCAAGCCGTCGCTGGCCGAAGTCCAGGCGGCGCTGCTCTCGCCCGAGCCCAAGGGCAACATCATCCCCGTCTACACATCGCTCCCCTCCGACCTGCTCACGCCCGTCACTGCATACCTCAAGCTCTCGAATGGCGCCGACATCTCGCGTCGCTCGTTCCTCTTCGAGTCGGTCACCGGCGGCGAGAAGATCGGCCGCTACTCGTTCATCGGCTCGGACCCGCTCAAGATCATCCGCACCGGACCGGGGCTCGATGCAGAGGGCGACCCGCTGCTCGTGATCGAGAAGGAGCTGAGCCCGTACAAGTACATCCCCGTGCAGGGCCTGCCTACATTCACTGGCGGTGCGATCGGCTACATCAGCTACGACTGCGTGCAGTACTTTGAGCCACGCACCAAGCGTGACCTCAAGGACGTTCTCGGCATCCCCGAGAGCGTCTTCATGGTCGCCGACTCGCTCATTGTCTTTGACCACGTCTTCAGCACGGTTCGCTGCGTCAGCCACGTGCATCTGCCCGCCGAGCACAGCAACGCCACGCCTGCCGATGTCGAGGCGCTGTACGCCAAGGCGAACGACAAGATCCAGCACCTCATCAAGGTGCTCACGGGCGCCAGCACACCGCTGCCCGAGCAGCCGCCCATCCTTACGGGCCAGGAGGCCGTGTCGAACGTAGGCCAGGCCGGATACGAGGGCTTTGTGACGTCGCTGCGCAAGAACATTGTCAAGGGCGATATCATCCAGGCGGTGCCCTCGCAGCGCCTCACGCGCAGGACCACGCTGCATGCGTTCAACTGCTACCGACATCTTCGCCAGGTCAATCCGTCGCCCTACATGTTCTACGTCGACTGCGGCGACTGCCAGCTGGTGGGAGCCTCGCCGGAGACGCTGTGCAAGATTGAGGCGGGCAAGGTGGCGGTGCACGCGATTGCGGGTACGGTGAAGCGCGGCGCTAGCGATCAAGAGGATGCCGAGCTTGCGGCGCAGCTGGCGGGTTCGGTCAAGGACCAAGCCGAGCATGTCATGTTGGTGGATCTGGCGCGTAACGACATCAACCGCGTATGCGATCCCTCCACTACGCAGGTGGAGACCTTTATGAACGTGGAGAAGTTTTCGCACGTCATGCATCTGACCTCTCGCATTACGGGCCAGCTTCGCGCGGGTAAGAGTCGCTTTGATGCGCTGCGATCCATTTTCCCGGCGGGTACGGTGTCCGGAGCGCCCAAGATCCGCGCGATCGAGCTGGTGAGCGAGCTGGAGAAGGAGAAGCGCGGCGTGTATGCGGGTGCGGTGGGGAGGATCGACTTTGCCGACAACGAAATGGACGTCTGCATCGCCATTCGAACCATGACGTTCAAGGACGGATACGCCTATCTCCAGGCCGGCGGTGGAATCGTCTATGACAGCGTCGAGTACGACGAGTATATCGAGACGATCAACAAGCTCGGCGCAAACATCCGATGCATCCAACAGGCAGAGCAGTATTATCTCGCCCAATAGTCCCAGTAATCCTCGCCAACCACACCTTCATTTGTTCGCTGAAAAAACTCGATTGCAACCCAAACAAACGCGCATGCATCGCCCAGTCAGGCGGCGACGAGAGGTCGAAATGAAAGTTGATTGTGTGTGCACGAACGCAAGTACAAGGGAATGTGTGAGATAAAAAAGGAGGGGAACTTAGGCGAGGATGCCTGCGTCGCGGAGAGAGTGACGCTCGACGCTTTCGCGCAACGAGCTATCGAGCGAAATATTGCCCCTGCCCCTTGCGCTGGGGATGATGCTCTGCTCTTCGAACTGCATACCAAACGCATTGTTGCGCTTGTTCATATCGTACCCCGAAGCAGTCCTCCCCATTAGCGGGGCGCCAATCGACCCAATGCTGGGCTTCGATGCCAGACTCGTCCTTCTCGAGAGCCTCTTGCTTCTGTCATCGACGAGTTTGGTGATGCCCTTGAAGAAGCCACGTCGGTTGGCGTCACCACGCGAGTCGTACAGCGGAGAATGCGAGGCGATGGAAGCAGGGTACGACGATTGGTCGTCGCGCTCCAGCTCGCGTCGTGCATCGTGCTGGTCGATCTCGGTCTTGGACATGCGCGACGCATTGAGGAAATCGGTCATCGACACTTCCGGCAGCGCCTTCTTGCGTAGAGGCGCGCCGTACGGATACATGTCGAATTCGTCCTCCTCGTCTTCGGTCTCGTAATCGTCGGCCGTGGTGCGCGAAGGCGGCTCGTAACGCTGCGCCGCACTAGATGCCGTTGCAGCCAAGGCAGCGTTCTTCTTGCGCAGACTCGCAATGCTCACCCCCCCACCCGCGGCTGCTGGGCCGGGAGCAGCAGATTGTGTAGCCGTGGCCGCCCGACCCGCGCGAGGAGGTCGCGACACAGCCGCTGCCACCCTCGTAGTCTTGGCCTGTGCAGCAGCAGCAGGCGGCGCGTTGCTGGCTTGAGCATGCTCGAACGGATCCGCCTCTTCTTCGACAATATCGTCGCGTGCCAACGGCCTACCTGCGCTCTCGTACCCAGGCAGCGACGGCGACGCAACAGGGCTGGAAAACATGTTCCTGCTACCGAGCATGGACAGCACATTGCGTCGCAAGATCTCGAGCTCGGTCTCGAGCTTGAGCTTGTCCTCGTTGGCGCGTTGGAGCGACTCTGCGAGCTTGTCGGCGCGCGAGAGCGAGAACGAGAGCGAGTAGCGCAGTGCCATGACCTCTTCATGCGATGCAGCCGCCTCAGCCGCCGGCGCGGTGGCAGCATACGGGCTGGTAGGCTCGTTCACCGCCTGCTGGAACGCCAGCACGCGGATCGCCTCGAGCGTGGTGAGCGACGAGATCCAGCTGGGCGTCTCGGTGGTGGCGCTCGTCGGGCTGGGCACGCGTTCGGACGAGGCGATCGAAGAACCGGGACGGCTGCCATCGCTCGACACGACGCCGCGCTTGGTGCCACCTTGGAGCTCGTCGAGCGTAGGCACGGATTTGCGGTACGAGCTGTTGCGCTTGTGCGACGGCGGCGAAGCAGCCTCAGCGCCTAATTTGACCTTGGGTGAAGTGACCACGGTGGACTGCGAGTGGTCCGAGTCCTTGGTAAAGGCGGCATCCATGGGCGAGTTGGGCGCCGACTTTTCAAAGCTGTGTTCCAGCACGCGCAGGCTCTCGAGCGCCGCACTCGGCGTCAGCGAATCATCACCAGCGGCGGCAGTCTTGCGGAGCTCGGACGGATGGATGGGAATTGCATCGTCGCTGCTCGAGACGTAGCTGGACGACGAGCTGCTGCGCTTGTCCTCGGAGGCGTGCGAGGCGGACGAGTCCATCTTGACCGCGATCGTGGGATGCGATTGAGGGGAAGGAGTAGCGGAACGAGGCGCGCGAGAAAAGGGAAGAACGACGGTCGAGGTGTGCGGAGGACGCAGGTCGGCGTTGATCTTATGGACGAGTTCGATGCGCTCCTGCGGGGTGAGGCTTGCGCTGAGGTGGCGGAGCGTCTTGCGGATGCTCTTGGACAGGAGGCTAGGGGAGGCGAACGAGCTGGTGCGGCTGGTGCGGCTGGTGCTTCTGTTGGAGGCGGGCGATGCGGCCGAGGCGAGGGTGGGCGTGGGTGGGAGCGCCGAAGCGGGAGGAGGCACGGGCGAGGGCAGCACGCGAGGCGAGTCGGTGAGCGCGCCTGCACCCGCCTCTTCGGCCGCGGTGTGCTGGCAAGCATTGGACTTGGAGTTGGAGCGGTAGTGCCTGACGGGAGCCGCATGCGCGGTTCCACGCGAGATCTTGCGTGCGGTCACGATCTTTGCGGGCGCGACACTTGCACCAGCTGCCTCGGTGGCGGCGCCTGCGAGGGGATCGTTGTTGAGCTCGGACATGTTGGCTTGCGAGTGGAAAACGGATGTATGCGTTTGTTTGTGGGCACGGGGCTCTGTAGCCGCGCTTCTAGCGTCGTTGACGAAAGGTCGGTGCGAGCCGGGGCCGTCGAGGACGCCAAGTGGCTTCTTAAGAAGGACTAGCGATGGTAGCGCTGCGCGATATGAGGCCGAGGAGTGGCTCGAGCCCAATGAGAAACTGTGGGAGACGAGCTCGGGCCCTTTTATTGTGCAGGAGGAAGGAAGGTTTTGGTTTTGTTCTCTCGAGCCAAGAAGGTTGCGGAGCCGTGGCTAGCGCTGTCAAATGGAGTTCGGAGGTTGCCAAGCAGCGGAGAGATGAGGTGATGCAGGGGCGGGTGCACCGCCGAGGTTGCCGTGCAATGGGGATTGCGATCGAGTGCAAGAGGGAAGGGGGTGGCGCGCGGGGGGTGGTCACGAACAACGCCGTTTTATTTGCTGCGTGGCTGAGGCAGAGGCGGAGCGTTGCGACGCCCACGATGGCAGAGCGGTGGGCAGAAGCGTGTGAGAGAGGGAGAGATAGTTGGCCGAGCAGGGGTTCAGGAGGCAGCAGCGGAGCGGAACGGTCGGGACGGGGAGAGGTTCGGCTATCGAGACCTTTTTTTCCCTTTTCATTTGCGCAGCTGACATGGTCTGGTGAGTCGGAGTGCTGTCATGCAGCAGCAGCAGCAGCAGCGTCAAGCATGACGACGAGGGTCTCGAAGCCGGAAGCCGTTGCCAAAATGAATTTTGCCGGTCGAGCTGCGGAGCGTAGGAGGGGAGTACGCCACTGGCTGGAACGCATACGATTCAATTTTCTGGTGGATGCAAGAGCTGCAGCAGCCTTACTCGGCCGCTGCCGTGGACTGGACTGTGAGCGTGTCTCAGGTTGCGGGAGGAGCGATGGAACGGGGAGCTGGACGTGCATGAAGCGCAACGAGCTTTGCGGTTCCAGATCTTTCCTGTCTGGGAATTCTGGACTCGTTTTTCCGCTGTGGCCATGCGCCTTGAAAGCGAGCGAGTCGAGGCGGGGAAGAAGGGGAAAACGTCGCTGAAACACACACACACTTGACACGCACCCGCTGCCTAAGCGAGCGCGCCACTGGCCACTTTGACAGGTGCACCAGTCCGCCTGCCTCGCCGTGGGAGCCGCTCTGTCACTGGACTCTCTCGCCAACCTTTGCTCTTTGTCGACTCTACTGTATGCGTTGGTCCAAGCGCGCCGGTAGGCTTCCGATCGAGCTGGATGCAGCGCCACCTCTGCGTCGGAAGCGCCGTGCATGGCTACGATTGCGCTGGGTGGTGCAGTCAAAAATTCTTTTCATGCAAAAAAAGACGGCTGCTTCCAACCGCACATGCGAGTCGCCCTTCTGGCGAACAAACAGAATCGCCAAATCGCCAAGCGAGCTATCGATGCGTCGGATTGCGGCTGCCATCTCGGCGTCTTTTGCAAGCGATTCTCGCAACAACAGATGCGACTTGCACTGTCTCTCTGGCCCAAACTGCAGACACGGCAACCAAGCCCCGTCTGCGTAGCGAGATGCTTGTCGAGATGCCGGGTGAAGAAAATTCTACTCAGTGTTAGACCGCTACTTGTTAGAGAAGTCTGGCGCGAAAAATCAATCCCGAGCGCACGTTTTCCAAGAGCTGCATGAGCGATTCCTTCCAGGGTCCTCTTTCCGCACCTTCCGCACCCGCCGCGCTTGTCCCTGCCACCATCGTCTCCCACGCAGGCTTGGCCCCTTTGGATCCATCCGCAATCATGGCCGACGCGGCGTTCAACCCCATCCATGCGGTGCGCATGGCCATCCCGCGCGCGCAGTTCTTCGTCGTGCTCCTCGTCGGCTCCGTGCTGGTGCAGTTCATGATCGCAGGCCTACGCTACCAGATGAGCGACAAGAGCTTCACTCCCGATGACACGACGCGCGTCCTGCCCTCTTCGGCGCTGCTCGTCACTGCGCATCCCGACGACGAGGCCATGTTCTTCGCTCCAGCCATCCAGGCGCTCACCGCAGCAGGAAGCGTCGTCTCGGCACTCTGCCTGTCCACCGGCAATGCCCAGGGCCGAGGCAGCCAGCGCGCCGAAGAGCTCTTTGCCAGCTACAGCACGCTCGGTCTGCCAGCTGCGAGAGTCAAGTATCTCGACGACGTGCGGCTTCACGACTCGATGGATGCAGTATGGCCCAATGAGCACGTCGCCGCGGTGGTCGCTAAACACATCGAGGAGCTCGAAGCGACACGCCCCGTCGATGCGCTCATCACCTTCGACAAACGCGGCGTGTCGAGTCACCTCAACCACATCGCCGCGTACAACGGCACGCGCGACCTGGCCGTCCAGCGCAATCTGCCGCTGTACGTGCTGCCCTCGCTCGAGGTGTGGGAAAAGTACAACTCGGTCCCCTTTGCTGTGTGGGAGACCATCACCTACTCGGGCCACCCGCCCCTCGCTCCCTCGGGCAACAAGCTGCCCACACATTCCAGCGCACGCTACAATCCCGCGACCGAGATCCATTCGCTCGCAAGCCCGACCCAGTACATCAACGCCGTCCACGCCATGCTCCAGCACAAGTCGCAGCTCGTCTGGTTCCGGTATTTGTACCTCGTGTTTAGCAGGTACATGTTCTCCAACACGCTCGTGCTGTGGACACCCGAACTCGACCTCGATTTGGACGAGTGAGATGTGCTCTTTCGGGCAGCGAATCGAAGAATGTACAACATGCAATGGCTCGGTGCGTCAATGTTGAGCGCTCGCTTGTGGAGGCAGCAGAGTGTGCAATCCGGAAGTCGGAATTCGTCAAGCGCCAACTCTTCTTCCGGCCAAAAATGTTGGCCGCAAAAAAGGCGCTCGTTCCTTTCCGCTCTTCGATCTTCTCAACCTTCTCAATCCTTGTCTCGTATCGGTTCGGTACACACTCTGCGCCGTGTGCAACCCTACATGCTCGCACGGAGCCGCGTACTCCCCATCATCCGTCGCAACGCCCTTGCTTCCGCCTCTATCCAGCTTTTCTCCAACCACCTCGCTCGTCGCCTGGCACCCAGCGGCACCACCCATCCCTTGGCGCGCCGCAGCATGTCGGCCTCCATGAGCACAACACGCACGGCGATGCGGCAGAGCAAGATGACCGTGTCTGCGCCAGCTAGCGTGCCGCGGCTGCGCGGAGATGAGCTACAGCTGCAGACGATGCAGGACGCCGAGAAGCTGCTTGAACAGCTCAAGCCTCAATTCACCACCAAGCTGCATCTCCAGGCTATCGGGCTGCCGGGGCGACAGCTGCCGCTCGTGACCAAGGATGACCGCATGCTTCCGCACCTCTTCAACGCTGCGGGTGTACGATATGTCCAGCCGCATCCGAACGGCGATCCTGCCCACCGAATCGTTCTTCTCGACGTGCCCTCTTCGTCGCCCACTCCGCCCGCTGTGCTCGAGCTCGTGGCGAAGCACGACTTCGAGCTGGTGGGTGATGTACCGCTCGAACTTGGGTACGACCATCTGTCGTCCGATCAGGTGCTTGAGGCTCTCCTCCCCACGCAAATCGTAGCGGCAGAAGGTGTTCCTTCTGGGTTCACGATCGTTGGCCACATTGCGCACCTCAACCTGCTCGACATCTATCTGCCGTTCCGCTTTCTGGTGGGCCACGTGATTCTGTCCAAGCACGCAGGCTCGCTGCGCACAGTGGTGAATAAGCTCGACACCATCGATACCGAGTTCCGCTTCTTCAAGATGGAGCTGCTGGCGGGCCAGGCCCAGTACACCGCCAGCGTGAGCGAGAGCGAGTGCACGTTCGAGTTCGACTTTCGCAGCGTCTACTGGAACTCAAGGCTGCACGCCGAGCACATGCGCCTCATCAAGCGGTGTCGACCCAACCAGGTGCTTGCGGATGTCATGGCGGGCGTAGGACCTTTTGCGGTACCAGCTGCAAAGAGGGGTGCATGGGTGCTGGCGAATGATCTGAATCCCAGCAGTCACGAAAGCCTCGTAAGGAACGCCAAGATCAACAAGGTCGGGATGGATGAAAGCAGGGCGGATGGGGGGTTGGTGGCGACATGTATGGATGGACGCGAGTTCGTGCGTTGGGCGGTGGTCGAGACGTGGAAGCGAGCTTTCCGTGGCCGACCGAAGGGTTACGACGCACAGGATAGCGAGGCGGATGATGAGCGCCTGCGCGAGTCGGTGCGAAAGGCAGCCAAGGAGAGGGCCAAGAAGCTGCGCGATGCACACGCTGCACGTGCTGCCTCCAAAACCCTCGGCGAGCTCGAGGAAGCCACGTCGCGCCTTGCGGTGGACAATGCTGTTGTAGCCAGCCTTCCCGATGTGGAGCGGTGGGAACCTCGTCTTTTGGTTGATCATTTCGTCATGAACCTCCCCGCCACGGCACTGGAGTTTCTCGACGCCTTCCGTGGTGCCTACACTCACCTTGCAGCCAGTGTGGGGGTTGAGGCGGTCAAGGCGGAGGTGGAAAGGAGAAGCGCGAGTGGGGATGGTTCGATGACCAATGTGCCCATGGTGCATGTACACTGTTTCAGCAAGGATCCCTTCCAACCCGCACGCGATATCCTCACGCGCGCCAATGCCGCACTGGGCATATCCGATAGCGAACATCGACTGCGGTGCAAACCAATCGCACCGCCTCCTCAAACCCTTGCTGCCCTGCGCAAATCCCCCGCAGCAACTGCAACATACATCGCCTCCCATCCCAACTACAACCTCTACACAAACGCAAACACACAGGAAGCATTCATGACAGTCGTCAATCAACAGTGGCAACACCTCGATCAAGGGATTCACACCCCCGGCCTCGAGGTGCACTACGTCCGAGACGTTGCACCCAATAAACAGATGTACTGCCTCTCCTTCCCCCTACCCCCCCAAGTCCTCTGGTCATCCATCTAGAAAACTTCCCAAACCAAAAATGCCATTACAAAAACATGAACATGCACAGAACCTACTTGTGCGTGGGAGCAAAGTGCGCCGCGTGCGCAGGGTAGTAGTCCGACACCTGGGGTCGGTCGAGGTAAAAGCTTCCGAGCCTATACCCGCCTTCGGTGGGATGGAAGAGCGACGGCTGCGCACCCTGCACGGGCGCGCGTGCAAATCCAGGCGCTGCCCCTCCATACCCCTGCTGCGGAACCGGCGGAGGTGCAGCTTGCGGCGCAGCAGGCGGTCGCATGGGCTGCGCAAACTGCGCCGGACTCTTCTCGGCCCAGCTACCAACATCGCTCGCGCTGCCCGCAACACTCGGTCCTCCCGACCGACTGAACAGCCCCGCCTGCTCGAGCTCGCTCGAGTAGTCCTTGCCCAGCAGCTGAGCCACCACTTTCGCCTGCCCCACACCGAGCGGATACATCTGACCGTACTTGACCAGGCTCCAGAAGATGAGTTCGAGATCGTCGCGCAGCGACGCCAGCTGTCCCTCGGGATCGATCTGCGCACGCAGCGCCGGATCGACATCGAGCGCAAACTCGAGCTCCTCCTCGAGACTCTCGTTGATCTCGGATGTGGCGATGTTGCTGTCCACCGCCTCGTCTTCGCCCGCCAGATCGGACGACGAAGTGTCCAGGCCCATGCCCAGCGCATTGTACGTGGCACCGCGCGAGCTGCTCGACGCCGGCGATGCAGCCGACATGCCGCCCGCCGCATAGCCCGCCTCGGCCACGCGCTGCGCCAGCTCCGGCTGCGTCTTGCGCAGCCGCACGTACGTGCTGCCCGCCTCGCGCCGCATCTTCTTGTACTGGCGCGTCACCGAGCGCGCCGCCAGCACAATCATGAGCGTCATGAGCGAGCTCACCTGGAGCAGCTCCACCCTCGCCGCGATAAACGTCTTGAGGATCTTGATGATGCTCTGTGCCGCCTGCGCCGACTTGCGCGCCGAGTCGGGCATGCGGTGCGCCACGGGCTCGTGCAGCGAGATGCAGCTGCCGTACATGAGCGCATGCGCCAGCACCAGCTGGTTCGTCATGAGACTGATCTGCTTCTGCGGCCGGTAGTTGACGCCATCGCTCAGATACGGCATCTCGTCGTGTCCGGACGACGCACGCAGCGTCGCATCAAACGATGCCAGATCGCGCCACTTGCCCGGCACGCTCTGCAGCAGCGCCGTCACCCAGCCGTCGAGCTTGTAAAAGTCCGGACTGAGCACGTCGTGCACGCTCGCATCGATGGGCAGCCTCGACATGTGGCTCACGCACTTGGAATGCAGGATCGCCGCCTTGAGATGCAGGATGGCCGGGTCGTAGTGGCCGTCGGTGAAGAGGTCGGGCGACTCGAGCGTCTGCCTGGGGCGATAGACGAGGTCGGAGGAGCCGTTGATAAAGTCGTCAAACGCACCGGGCAGCTCGGTCTTGATGTCGAGGTCGTCGATGCTCGCCGCCCAGTGCGTCGAGGAGCACGCGGCGCGGTCGCTGTAGAAGCAGTTCCAGAAGAGGCGGATGCGCTCCTCGTGCTCGAGCGGCGTGGCGGCGGGCGCCTTGACCACGGCGCGATACACGGCGGGCTTGGGCTGATTCCTGCCGGGCGCGGTGTAGTTGGAGGCGTACGACTTGATGGGCGGCAGCCGGTTGAGCTCCATGCCCTTGAGGAGCGAGCAGCTGTTGCCTGCGGAGAACCACGCCTCGATGGAGCGATCGTTGAGGTAGTAGTATGCGCACAGGAGCGCCTGGATCTGCGCAGCCTCCTCGAACCTGCCCTGGGAGCACGCCTGATCGCCGAGGTGCTTTGCCTTTTTGGCGTGGAAGGAGGCGGCTGCCTGCAGACTCGCGAGCTTTTCGCCCGTGGCGGCGCCGAGGAAGATGTTTTGGCCCGACGTGTCGCTGTGCACCTCGGAGTCGTGGAGGCGCGGATAGGCCATGGCAAAGATGCCGTGGAGGAGGCCGAAGCTGGGGAAGCGAGGATGCTGGGGGCCGTGCGAGAGGTTCTCCATGAAGCGAGACGGATGGAGGAAGAGCGACTGTGCGGTGGTCCTCTCAAAGTAGGTGGAGACGAGCTGGTTGACGAGGTTGGGCGGCGGGAAGTCGGCGGGCCAGCTGGTGACCATGAGCTCGAGCAGCGGATTGGCGAGGTCGTCTTCGTCCATCTCGTCCTGCACGGCGGTGACCTTGGCGTGCTTGTGTGCGGCGCTGCGCGGATCGGTGCGTGCGTCGGCGGCATGGGCATGCGGGTAGGCGGCTGCGGCGGTGCCAGGGAGCGGAGCGGTGGGTGCGCTCAGGGCGGGATCCAGCACATCGAAGCTGGCGCCGTCGGCTGCACCGAGGCCGCCGTTGGCAGCCACCGCCGCCACGGCTTGCTGGTAGTCGAACGAAGAGGTCAAAGGCAGACCCGGACCGCTCGAAGGCCCTTCGCCCGAGGGCATGCTGGTGGCGAGCATATGAGCGATGGCGAGCTCATCCTTGGAGGGATGGCGGCCGGAAGGGTGATTGCCCTGCTGCTGAGGATCGAGGGGCTGTTGAGCGCCGTTAAAGACGCCGGTGACCTGTGCGAGGCGCTGCTTGAGGTGGTGGATCTCCTGCTGCATCTGTAGCACGTGTTCGTCGGAGGCGTCGTCGGCGCGTTTGCGCTTCTTGGCGGCTGCCGGCATGGGCGATGCGTCCATGGGCGGGGCAGCGCCGGAGGGCTGCGGGGTATCTGGCGCGACGGAGCTGTCCGGATCCTGGCCCGAGAGGGAGGGGCGTGCGGAGCGGCTGGAGGTGCGTTGGGTGATGGGGAGGTAGACGCACGGAGGCATGGTTTCGGGGAGGCTTTCGAGCTCTGCGCGGACGGCGGGGTCCTGAGCCTTCTTCTTGTTCTTGGCCTTGTTCTGAGCCATGCGGAACTTGATCTGCCAGCCTTTGGCGCACTGACCGCAGACGGGCTTCTGGCCGTCGCACTTGAGCTTGCGGGCGCGACAGCTCTGGCACGCCTTGTTGCGACCGAGATGGGTGCCAAAGGGCGAGGATGGATTGCCGGGTGAAGCGGGTTCGGAGCCCGATACGGCGGCAGCTGCAGCTGCAGCGGCAGCGGCGGCGGCGGCGGCGGCAGTTGCGGGGGTGGTCATGTAGCTGTTGGAGCCGGTGGAGGAGGAGTTGTGGTCTGGCGTCATCTGGATCTTGCCAGCGCTTGCGGCGGCGGCGACGGCCTCGAGTGCGGCTTGAGCCTCTGCATGGGAGGAGCGGACGGGCGTGCTGAAGCTCATGGACGATGAAGAGTAGGAGGGTGGGGGCTGGTAGTGCGAAGAGTGGTCGTGGTCGTTGTGTCCGTGCTCGTGCTCGTGCTCATGCCCGTGTTCGTGGTCGTGCTCGTGCTTGGCAGGAGGGTGCGAATGGTGGGGATCGTCGTACGCAGACGGTGGAGCGTCGTGGTGTTCGTGGCTGCCGTCCATGATGATCCAGAGATGAAGTTGGAGGCGGACGACGCGTGAGAAACGCGATCGAGCCACGGATGGAAAGCGAGTGCGGCAGGGGCTGGTGGGCTAATGGGGCGCTGTGCGCGGTGAGTGCGGTGAGCGAAGCTGCGGACGAGCTCTTGCTAGCGATTGTGGATGCAAGGAGCGACTACAAGGATGAGAATGAGGAAAGAGGCGCCGTCAAGAGGATGGGAAGGATGTGGATGGGAAGAAGGAAAGGGACCACAGCCGATACCTCGCTCTCTGGACGCGGGAGTCGGGTCAAGGGCAACGAACGTGCGGCGGTCCACACAGCTATCGAGCGCTCGACTCTGGCCGAATGCCCTCGGTGGTGACTGAGGAGAGAGCGCGCTACATAGACTCCCAGACCACACAGAGCGCCAGTGCTGTCCGATTCCCACGATCCGAGAAAAAACTGCGTCCCACGCCGCGCCTCGGCCCACAACTCGACTGATCCCACGCTCAGCCGCAACAGAGGTCCGCAGAATTCGAGACACGGGCGGGGCAAAAAAAATGGTAGCTGTTAGGGTGACGGCGTAACATCGATAGCTAAAATCCAACCCCAGGTCAAGGAGCTGAGTCCGCCTCGGCAGCGAAAGGGCGAAAGGGCCAAAGTGGCACGACTGGCTGCTGTAGCTCGAATTCAGCCTCGCTCTTGGCTGCTGCTCATCCGGTCTTGGCACCACACACTCTCTCTATCTCTCACCCTCCACCAGCTACAAGAGCAGCACTCTACTGGCAACACTATCGACAGCACCAAGCAGCCTCCGCTGTGACTCCATCCATCTTGAGGACAACATGTCTGCCTCCTAGCGCTCACCATACCATCCGTCCGACACTTCGCCTGCTGCTACTCGCATAACGCCTTCGCGTCCCGGTTCGGGCCATCAGACCGCCCAGCCATGAGGCGTCCTGCAACCGCTTCAGGCCTTCTGCGCCTCGTAGCTGGCGTCTTGCTCCTCGTCATGCTGCTCCACGTCTCTGCAGTCTCGGCCAGTCGTCCTTCGCTCGACAGCCGCCAAGACGACACAGCATGGCTACCTCGCGGCGCCGCTCAGCAGCGTCTCTACGCGCGCCAAGCTTCCACGCCCACCACAACCTCAGCCACCGCCACTTACTCCGAGCTACCAACTGCAGCCATCACCATCGACGGTCAACCACCGCCCACAAGCTCCGGCGACCCGCTGCTCGCCCTCATGCCCGACTTCGCATTCAGCATGCCCGCCCAGATCGTCGTCGACGGCATCAACATCGCGCTCATCTCCGTACTCCTCATCCACCTCCTCTTCACCGTACAGTACCACTTTCCCCTCAGCCGCAAAAACTTCTACCTCCAGATCTCCAGCTCCGTCATGCTCCTCCTCAGCCTCAGCGTCACCCTTCACATCGTATTAAGCAACCTCGAAGACGAATCAAAGCGCTATCCCTTCATGTTCCCCTACATCGGCATCCAGCTTCCGCCCGGCGACGACTCGTGGACAAAGCTCCAGGAAGTCTTCTTCCTCCTCATGCGCGCCATCACCACCGCACTCATCCACATCACCCACATCCAGTTCCTCACCCTCCTCTTCCCCTCCGCTCTCGAGGCTCGCCTCATCCTCTGGATGCTCGGCCCCTTGGCCATCATCAACTCTGGCATGGAGTTCACTGGCCTCGCAGACGACTCGGACGCAAAGACAAACGACCTCGGCGACGCCATCCGCAACATCTGCAACTCCACCCTCACCCTCCTCTACACCACCGCCCTCCTCATATGGGGTCTCCTCGTCAACCGCAGGCGTGCATGGCGCGCAGGAGGTGGCACCGCCGCTTTCGGTGGCGGCTCCGTCGGTCTCGCTCTCATCAACACCGCCATCAGCTTCACCGAGATCAAGTACGACCGTCTCTGGTGGCTCCCCAACGTCTGCTGGACGCTCACCATCTGGCAGAGCTGGCTCGGCTTCTGGTGGTGGGTCAGCAGCGGCATGGGCATCGGTGAGGTCGAAGATCGTCAGGAGCGCCTCGAGCGCAAGCGCAAGCGCGAGGAGCGTCGGCGTAGAAAGCTCGAAAAGCAAAAGCAGAAGCTCGCCCTCCAAGACACCGCCGCCGAGGTCGCAAATGCAGAGGCACACAGCTCCCAGTACGATTCCAGCTCCATCCCCGGTCTCAACGGCTTCCGTCGCATCAAGGATCGCCTCGTCGGAGACCCAACCGCATCCAGCACACTCACCCGCCGTCTTCGTCGTCAGCCCACATCGGGTCAGCCAGGCGATGCGGCCGATACCCAGCTCGGTGCCGATCACGCCCACTCCGCCGATAACATCGAGCTCAGCCAGATTCGTGTGGCGTCCGCGGATGCAAGGAGAGGCTCGCAAGACCAAGACGCTGCCGATGGCCCAGCTCTCACCGATGTTGCCGTCCACGACGCCCGCGATGGCGATCAAGACGACGTCGACGACGACGACGTCGACGCCGTCCAAGAGCACGAAGAGGATGCCAATGCTGCCATGGACGACGGAAGAACCACGGCCGGCACCGGATCCGGATCGAGCGACACCAATCCGACCGCCTCCTCGGCGCCCGGCTGGGTCTCGACCGCCGCGCAGCGTTTCATGGACCACCAGCCCAACTTCATCAAGGCGCGCTTCCGTCGACTTCGCCTCGCACACATGGCTGCCGCGAGACGAGCCGCACACGAGCAGTCGGCTCTGCGCGAGCAGGTGCTCAACTCGTCGCGAGTCACGGGTCCTGGTCTGCGCCACATGATGTTCGACCGTCCCGCCTCGTCACGTACGGGTATGGACAGCAATCTCGACATGGGCGGCCTGCCCGAGCTCTCGGCCGGAGTCGGTCGTTCGGCTTCGCTAGGTACGAGACCTACTCACGACGGCAAGACGCTGTCGGCCACCTCGTCACTGCGCGCTTCCAAGGGCGCCAGGAGCCTCGGAGCCGATGCCGCTTCCATCCAGCAGAGGCGGGGCTCGGCCCAGGCGCGCAATTCCATTTCGCTTCCAGCGCACCGCAACGCCGCGATGATCAATGAGGATGACGACGACGATGACGACTCCATGTCGACGCGCGGCCAGGGCAGCTCTGCCGAGAGCCAGACGTCGCTCCATCGAGCCCTGCGTCGCATCGATGCCAGGTCGGTCTCGCCTGGCACTTCATCTAGGCGTGGATCGGGGCCTCCCGCCAACGCAACCGCCAGGGCCTCTTCGATTCACACAGCCGCACCTAGAGCCGGCTCGCAGGAACGTTCACGTGCCTCCGAGGGCACGCGTGCGGCGGATCCATCCCGACCTGCAGCGAGAGGCCACAGAGACGACGAGTGGGAGGATGTCGATGATCCCTCTTCCGCAACTGCGGCTTCAGCCCGCCCTGCCAACACGCGTCCGTCCCATCGCTCTACCTCTCGCAGCAGGAGAAACGATGGCAGCGACGACGAGGATGGTCAAGACTCGAGCTGGTTCTGGCGAGGAGGATTGCGCCAGATGCGTTTGCGCGATCGCACCACCTATGACTAGGCTTTTCGTTGGTCTCCCTTCCCGGGTCCCTTTGTACTTTTAAATAACGCAGCTTGTACTTCATCTTCATGGTTCATCTCCAGCGCCCATTCGGGTGCATCTTGCAGCTCTGCTGATGTGCATGGCTGTAGTGTGCCGCGATATGCCGTGACCGAGTCATGGCGGGGAGTGAGAGACGCAGGGATGTCGTGTGCACGCATGTGTGCGCTTTCGGAGTGGAGAACGCTGCTGAGGCGCCACGTCTGCCAGGCCTCGCCTCCACCTTGCTCGCTCCAAAAAACCCGCGAATGCGTTGGCTGAGCGTGCACGGAGCAGTTGGAAATTCTTATGCGCAACCACTGAGCCCGCTGAGCTCTTTGACCTCCCACCACCACACCAGCTCACCTCGATGAAGCGGTCGCGATCGCCGTCTCCCACCTCGTCATCCAGGCAAGGCAACACCACCACGCAATCCCACGCTTCCGACATGGCGTGCCCACACCTCAGCGCCGCCTTCACGGCCCTCGCTCCACCGCGGCCCTCCCAACACGTGCACAAGGAGGAGTGCACGCTCTGCTTCGACGACCAGGACGGACCGAATGGAGTCGATGTCTGTCTGCTCTGCTTCAACGGAGCATGCACGCGCAACGGCGACCGCGAACACTCGAGGCTGCACTTTGAAAAGGCGCAGCATCCGCTCGTAGTCAACATTCGCCGCGTTCGTAAGCCTGCGCCCGTGCGTGCAGATGGGGATCAGCCGTCGGTGCCCAAGAAGCTCGCGATTGCGGCCGAATCGGATGCGGACAAGTACGACTATGTGACGGTGCCGCGGTGCTTGGCTTGCGACCCTGCGGGTCCGGGCAAGGAGCTTCCGATGACGGATAAGCTGGACGAGGTCATCCGCGGAATCATGACCGCCATGTCCTCCGCGCAGCAGTCCGAGGTCAAGGCATGGGAGGAAGAGATTGTGGCGTGCCAGCATACGCGCGAGCTGGTGCAGCCGGGCGAGCGCGTCAAGCTCGAGCCTTCGGGTCTCGCCTCGTGTGGCAAGTGCGAGCTCACCTCGAACCTCTGGCTCTGTCTGACGTGCGGCCATCTCGGCTGCGGGCGTGCCCAGTTCGGAGGCGTGGGCGGCAACAGCCACGGCCTGTCGCACTTTGAGGAGAGCGGCCATCCGGTCTCGGTCAAGCAGGGCACCATCACGGCCGAAGGCAGCGCCGACATCTACTGCTACGCGTGCAACGACGCGCGCCTCGACCCCAACCTCGCCAGCCACCTCGCCCACTTTGGCATCGACGTCATGGACCTCTCCAAGACCGAGAAGAGCATGACGGAGCTGCAGATCGAGCAGAACCTCCGATTCGATTTCAACATGACCGGCGACGACGGCAAGATGCTCGAGCCCATCTTTGGGGCCGGGTTGACGGGCATCCGCAACCTCGGCAACAGCTGCTACATGGCGTCGGTGCTCCAGAGCCTGTTTGCGCTGCCGGCATTTCAGAAGCGCTACGGAGAGGCGTACCGCCCGCACACGCTCACGTGCACCCAGCAGCCCGCGAGCTGCTTCGAGTGCCAGATCACCAAGATCGCAGATGGACTGTTGTCTGGTCGCTACTCTCGTCCGCGCGAGCCGGAGCAGGAGTCTAGTTTGGGATGGACACCCGCCGAGGGGGAGCAGCAGCAGCAGCAGGCGCTCTTCCAGCACGGAGTGCGGCCGAGCATGTTCAAGGCGCTCGTGGGTAAGGGGCACGAGGAGTTCTCGACCATGAGGCAGCAGGATGCCGACGAGTTCTTCAAGTATCTCGTGGGCGTCGTGCAGAAGGAGAACCGCAAGCTGGCTGCTGCTGCGCCGACCGAGGATCCGACGGACGTGTTTGGGTTCGGGCTCGAGCAGAGGCTGCAGTGCAACGAGTGTCACAAGGTGCGTTACAGCGTCGAGCGTCAAGACGCCGGCCTCAGCTTGCCGGTTCCCATCCGACCCAAGCCGGTGCAGGCAGAAGGCTCGGGTAAGCAGCCGGCGGAGGGCGTGCATGCCGCACCCGCCTCGAGCGCTGCGACGGTCGAGTACGAGCCGGTGAGCTTGACCGAGTGCCTCGACATCTTCACTGCGCCCGAGGAGCTCGAGTACAACTGCCCGTCGTGCGCCAAGAAGGTGACCGCGACAAAGCGGACGCTGTTCACCACGTTCCCGCACGTGCTGGCGCTGCAGGTGCGTCGGTTCCAGCTGCTCAACTGGGTGCCTCAGAAGGTTGCCGTGCCGATTGTTGTGCCCATCGACGCACCGCTGGATCTCGACCGCTACCTCGGACGCGGCAAGCAGCCGGACGAAGAGGAGCTGCCCGAGGGCGATGCGGCTCCTGCAGAGGCCGGGGCCAGCGAGCCAGAGTGGGACGCGGGGGTCATGTCGCAGCTCACCAGCATGGGCTTTCCCGACATCCGGTGCAAGAAGGCGCTGCTCGCCACAGGCATGGGCGATGCCGAGGGCGCGATGAACTGGCTCTTTGCGCACATGGAGGATGCGGATATCGACGAGCCCATCGACTTTGGCGCGGCCCCGAGTGGTGACGCTCCGTCAGCGGGTGGGCCGGATACCTCGATGCTCGAGGAGATGGGCTTTACGCGCAACCAGGCACGCAAGGCGCTGCGCATCAACAATGGCAATGCCGAGATCGCCGTCGCGTGGCTGTTTGAGAATCCGGACGATGCCGGTGAAGATGCAGCACCCGCAGAGACGGTGGGTGAGACGTCGGGCGAGTCGAGCGTGGTGCCTGGATCCGCGCATCTGCCGGCAAAGTATGCGATCAAGAGCTTCATCAGCCACAAGGGCCCCAGTGTGCACAGCGGCCACTACGTCGCGCATGTGCGCCACGACCAGGACTGGACGTTCTTTAACGACGAAAAGGTGGTGCGCGCCCCGCTTTCGTCCGCTGCCAAAGAGGGCGACGAGGATGTAGGCGTCAAGGGGCTCAGCCAGCAGGCGTACGTCTACTTTTTCGAGCGCATCTAATCACCACACGACTTGCAAAATGCATTCTCCCGTTTAGCATTGACATTGATACGCAGAGTGTGGGGGTTTTAGCCGAGCACTTTGCGCAGAGCATCGGTTCGGTCCGGGATCGAGATCGAGGTGAGAGGACAGCGCGCGTGGGTTTGGACGTAGTTGAACGCGCACGTGTAGCAGAAGACGTAGCCCGAGGGGAGCACCGCCGGATTGTTGATCGGCATAGCCCCGCAGAGCGGGCACGAGTTGTGGATGAGCTTCCTCCCTCCTTTCGTCATCCTCGGCTTTGCATCGCCTCCATTTTCAACCTCGTCGAGGAGTTTGCCTGAGAGCGTGTAGATGTGTGGCAGCTTGTACTCCTGCTCAGCCTCTGTTGCCAGCAACCCTTTGAGATCGGGAAGCAGGGGTGCAGGGGGATCGAGCGACTGTGTGGAGCCTTCTTCATTGGACGAGGGTGTGTTGCGACGCCGGCGTGGGTTGTCGGCACCATACCACCACTCGAGGAACTTGAAGAAGAAGATGCTTGCGGGCAGGCCGTATTTGAGCGCCTCGAAGCCGACGCCCGGAGCGAGACGCAAGACCATGGCAAAGAAGCGGGCCGGTTGACGAATGAGGCTGGGAAACTTCCGGGGTACGAGCGGTTTGCGAGGACCATCGTTGGGCCCGACTCGTCGGACGTCGATTCGCATGAGCGAGAACCATGGACGCCAGTAGGGGGTCTTGTCGAACAAATACCGCACGTTGTACGTGAGCAACCACAACTGCCACGCCGTCTTTGCGTACGGATACGTCGTCTTGAACGTCTCCATCACCGCCGTCTTGATCCTCTCTCGAATCGAAGCAGGTGCCTCGTTAAACCGGGCTCCGCTCGGTTGGTCGTCAAACAGAGCGGTATTGGTAAGTCCCCCTCCATTCCTCTCCCAAACATCCTCCAGTTTGGCGCCGATGTAGGGAAGACCGACGAGGAACAACAAGCTAAGACGAATCTCGGACTTGCGCAACCTCTCTGCATTCGCCACAGATACCGATGTTGCGCCCACCCCAGCACTGCCTCGACTGAGACCTGGACGTCTTCGTCTTCGCAAGCCGTAGAAGTTTTCGGCAAACGAACTGCCCCACACGCGCAGATAGTGCAACTCGATCCCGCCCATAAGCAACGCATACAGCTCGTCGAACGAGTTGACCACCCGCAGCAGGTAGCGCGGACTGCGCTGCGCAAGTACGGCAAGCACATACCGAACCGCAGGCTTGATCAGGTCCTGCAGTTGCGCCTGGGCCGCCAGCTCGAAAAACGACGGATGAAAAGGATCCGTCGACGAAGGCTGCGACGCCGTCGGATCAATCGATGTCAACACATCCATCCTACCCTAATTGCTCCAACGTATGATTCCGTCCCGGTGGGTCTGCGTATGCTCCAGTCGCAAAGAGCGTCGATAAAGTGGTCAAAGTCGACCAGGTGGATGAAGAGATGGTCTGTGAAAGTAGAGGCTGCTCCACTTTCCGCTTCCCCCACACATCCAACCGGTCCATCAAAGCCGGCATCCGCATTTTTCATCCGCCTACCCCCCACATCTTAACACACTGTCCTCAAAAAAAATCCAGCGAACACGCAGAGATCGCACATTGCAATGCGGACGGGTGACTAGTACATGATGCGAACAGCCCAACGATGCTGGTGACCCTGGAAAACGCGCTCAGTGGTGTTCGCCCATGCTGCGACGGAACGGATTGTTGGGGTTGACAATGCGGCTGCGCGGCACGCCGAACCCGGACGACGACGGGCTGCCAGGCGCGCTCGAGTCGGCATCGAACGCCGCGGTGGTCGTAGAGTACGCGGTGGGCACGTGCTTGCCAGCGCCACCGGCCTCGGGCGGCGGCGACGGATAGCCATGCTGCGAGCTGATGTTCGGGTCATGCTGCGCATCCGCCACGGGCTGCGGCACGGGCACAGGAGCCGGTGCGGGCATCGACGTGCGCGGCCGCGCGCCTCCAGCCGGCGTCGAAGCTTCGCCCGGCGATCCGCTCGATGCGGGAGGCGAGGGGCCGCCGTCGATGAGCTCGCGCAGCTCGTTGATCGTCGTCTCCGACAGACCCAACGATGCGGGGTCCACCGTGCTCATTGGCAGTCGGGGCGCGCCGGACGACGCAGCGGCCCGCGAACCAGCCGCACTGCTACCAGCGGCCTCGGACTCGTCCATCACCGACGTAGCTCGTCCGCCCGCCGTCCTGTCTGCCGCGTCTGTCTGCGAGCGCTGTGCGGTGCTTCCGCCTGCCGATCCGCTGCTCGAGCTCGCGCCCTGCTCAGCCTGGGAGTCGCCCGAAGCCGCTCCCGCTGCCGCCGTCTTCTTCTTCTTCTCTTCCTCGGCCTGCTTGCGCTGCTGCTCTTCGTGCTCGAGCAGGCTGAGGCGCATCGCCTCCATGACCATGGCCTCCTCCATATCTTCGCCCGCCCCCATGCGCATGAGACGCGCCAATTCCGGAAGCCCCTCGCCGGCACCGCGGCTCGGGCGGCTGCTACGCCTGCGCGAAGTCGTGACTGATCCGGTGCCCGGCCAGTTCTGTCCGTCGTTGAGAATGATGCTGCCGCCCGGTCCGTTGAGATTGATCCTGCCGCTCTCTGCTGCTGCGGCCAGGTCGGCGCCCATGCGCGAGGACGAGATGCCGATCGGGATGAGGCGGTCGCCCACCTGGCGCATGATCACGCGCCGATTCGCTCGTCGCGCCACCGCTGCTTCGGCCTGCGCGAGCTTGTAGTGCCAGTCGGGTCGCACCTGGTCGACGGTGATGACGCTCGGATCGTCGGCGGCGAGGATCTTCTTCTTGCCTGCGCCGAGGCTGCCTACACCGCCGTTGCCGATGGCCATCTCGGCGAAATTGGTGGCGTCTGTGGCGTCGTTGGGGCTGTCGCTGCCACTGCCGCTGCCGCTACCGCTGCGTCGTCGTTCGCGCTGCAGCGCCTCCGGGGGCGTATACGTCACGCCAAAGTTGGGCTCGACGCAGAAGGGGCACGACCTGGGCTCGGACGAAGGGGGATTGGTCGAGGTCGGGTCGGCTCGCTTCATCTGAACAAAGCACTCGGTGCAGATGGGCTGGTGGCAGCAGCGCGAGAAGTTGAGCGGAGCCGGATAGTAGAGGAAGCAGATCGGACACTCGCTGTTGAACTTGGCGTCGGCGTATTCGTCGTCGTCATCGCTTCCCTTGCAGAACGGCGCGAGGCGACGGTCGACGATGTGCTGGCGGACAAAGTGCTGGTCGTAGTCCTGAGGGCCGGTGTAGACGCCGTGGGGGACGAGGCCGCCCTCGTCGACCTTGACCGTGTCGGCCAAATGGGCGGGTAGCGGCGGGGGCGGCGGCGGGCTGAGGCTGGATGCGGATAGCGAGGCGACCAAGTTGCCGGATGCCGAGGCGGACATGCCGCGAGAGGAGGATCGGGCATGGCCCGAGTGGTTTGCGGACGCGCCAGCGGCGCCAGCCTCTTTGGTCTGCTGTTGACCCATGGCGCTAAAATCGGGGCAGGCAAGATCGACCGCGGCGGGAGTTGCGATGTCGGTACAAGAGCTAGCTGGACAGACCGCTCATCCGACGCGCTCGCTCAGCAAGGCCACGCGGTGCGAAAGGAGGAGGACGTGAGGCGACTCGGTCCTGTGCCGGAGAGGGGAGGAAGAATGCCAGCGGGGCAAACGATTTGTTCGGATGCGCCGACCGATTCCTGGATGTGAAGCTGCAAGCGCGGCCGAAGCACTGAGCTGGCCTAAATGAGTCTGAAGCGGGTGAGAGGCTTGCGGTCGGTCGAATCGAGGCAGATGAGCGTGTCCTGACGCTGCCGCTGAGAGAGCGGTGCTAATGCAGATGGCAGCTGTAAATTTCGGATGTGCTTGGAATGTGGCGAGAGCTCCTAAGAATGCTTGGTGTTGTTGACGATGCAAAGACAGTCGCTGCTCGGAACAGACTTGCGTATGGTTGCGGTGATGCAGACTTGAGAGGCTCGTGACTCGTCGTGGGTGTCGTGGCAGGTCAGAGAGATTGATGCTCGTCGATGTGGGATGCAACCGGAACGAATGACCACGTTTGCTCGCAAGTGCGCAGATGCGAGGTCGGAGAGGAGCAAGGTGAAGGGAAGGAAGAGGTGTGGAATGGATGGAGGTGGATAGCGTCGTTGCAGTCGCCGAGGGTGAGATTTGCACGCAGGCGCAAAGCGGAGATGGAATGCGGACTTGGAGGAGGCTGACGTTGCAGACGAGCGCGCCAGATGGCAGGCAGGAGAGCGGGTCAGCGAGTGGGCACCACAGACACTCAGGGTCAGAAGAGGTGGAGCAACTGAGCCGGAGCGCCGACCGATTTCGAGATTACGGAGCAGCGGTGCAGCGGTGCAGCGGTGCAGCGGGAGCAGCAGTCCAAAAGGGGCACAGCCGAGCCTGAGGTTGAGGCATGAGGCGCAGCCAGGCCAGGCAGCAGCCGCGCGCAGGATTCCATCATCCGACTTTGTGATGTGATGGCTCGGGCCATCGGCATCCAACCCGCGCTCTCTCCCACACACACTCACACTCGCGCGACCCACCAAACCAAACAAAAAGGAAAAAACAAAAACAAAAAAGGACATCCGCATTCGACCGCACTCTCTTTCGCCTTTTGTTCGCAGCAGCCAATGCAGGCACAAGGCTGTGCCCCTCAGTGAGTGCCACCATTGGATGCAATGGCAGTCAGGTACGTGGGCGGGGTGGAATGGGCTTGGCTGGGGTGGTGGGGTAAGCAGAGGTGGGTTGGTAGCCATCAGGAAAATAGAAACAGATGCCGGCAACTCAAGCGTGAAAAAATAGATCGAGCGAGGCGATCGGCATAAGCGAGGCGGGGCGGGGGGTCCAATCGGCAATTTATGGCCGCTGGCAAAGCAAATTGATCGGATCAACAAAGGCGAGACATGCTCGACCTGGTGAGTTGACAGGCGGAAGGGGCTGCCGAATCCTCCCCTCCCTTTGTTGCGGAGCTTCTCGCCCGGCGCTCTCGCATGTAGCAGCTGCTGTCACACGAGCAGCGGCTGTATGAAAATGTTCCGACCCCGATGAGTCGTTCGGGACCCTGCTCTGCGAACCGAACTAGAATTGACTTTGACCACCCCTGAACCTTGCTGTGTTGTCGAGACTTGGCCACCTGGCAAAAGGCCAAGAGTGTTGATCGAAACGATCAGCACCGCCACTTTGGTTGAAGCTCAGATCGAGGGTGACGGTTGAGCCCTTGGTTTCCAGCGCCAAACGTTTCTCAAAATCGCAACACGGCAGCGTGAGTAAGAGGTTTGCTGGCCATCTTGCTGTGACGAGCGCCAGCCAGAGACCAACGTATCCTCGGCGACATCTCGGTGATGGGTTGGCTCCCGAGGTCGAGCCGCGTCTGTCAGCTGTCGTCAAACTTGCAGCATGACCGAGAGCCGCCAAGGGCCACATGGCTCCCTGGACGCACGCCCGCACAAAGTGGTTGAGAGTGCGAATGGTCGGCCAGATGAAGTTGCGATCTGACACGGACGAATTTGGTGGTCGGCTGTGCCACCTGCAGACGCTGCAGCAGAGCGAGTCGCAACTGTAATCACGTCTGCAGCTGTCTGTAATGGTGTGCTTTGAAGCGACTGCGCTCTCTTGGGCCGGGTTTGTATTGCTTGTATTGGCAGGAGCTGCAAAGTTCTGCAAAATTCAGCGGGTGGGTTGCGGGCTCCGCACACCTGCGCCACGCGCCGCCAGCTGGAAACAGGCAGAGAGATGGGAAAAAAGGGACGCGCGAGGGGCGCAGCGCATCGACGTGCAGCAGGAGGGGCTCGCGAGTGGGGTTGCGCCGGGAGCGGATTCCTCGAAATTGACCAGCCAGCCGGCCCTTTGGAAAAACAAGAGAGGGTCAAAGTGCGCGTGCACCCTAGCATTTGGTCCTTTTTTCAGGCCTCGCCGCACAGAGTCTTGAATAATGGGTGTGGACCGATAGCTCAACTTGCTCTGAACTTGCCCACCTGCAGTAGTGCTGGCTCGCTCGTGGTGCAGCGCCGCGCCGCGCTGGCTTGCCAAATCGCGGCCAAGTCTGCCCTACTCTTACTCCCCCACTCTCTCCACTGATTGAGGACGGAAAGCAAGAGAGGGCAGTGCAAGTTGATGATCTCTTGTCTGTGGGCTTTGAGGCCTCTTGCGAGTCGCAGCGGCGGCGTATCACCTTTTCTGGCCGTTGGCTGCGGCTGGCTAGGAGAGGGAGTGTGAGTGTGGACGCGTGCGTGGGCTGGGCTGGGCTGGATTGGGCCTGGAGAGTGAAGGCCGTCGGTGGCTCTCTGCTCGCCGAAGCCCGCGCGCGCGTCTCTCCCCTGCGGCCCCGGTGCAGCGCCCAATTCGGCTTGTCCGCTGGTTCGCATGGCAGCGGCCATTGGGCGCAACGCAGCCACCCCGACCCGACACCACCATCCAATCTCTCTTTCTATCTTTCCCTCTCCTCCTTACCTATCCGCCACCTGCTGCTGCTGCTCTCTGCACCTGCGTCCTTGTCCAGCATCTGCTCCGCATCTGCACCGCCCATCCGCTCCGGTCAGCCATCGGGTCTCGCGGCATCGCAATCGCCCTCAGTCCCATTATCGGTCGACGCGATCTCGGACGCAACCCCTCACTTCAGCACATCTCGATATCGCGAGCCACAGGCCACCCCATCGCCCCACTCTTGCACTCAAACGCTGCCTCTATCGCTACAGCTCGCGCCTCGGAAGCCTGTCACGCCTCCGACCCACCGCATCCCCAGCCAACCGCAATCTACGCTGTTGCTCTCGCATCCCATCCAAAGACTTGATAACACACACATCACACCAGCATACACACTCATGTAAGTATGATCTTCAGCTTTCCCGATCCGATGGGGCGATTACGAAGCCGCCGGTCATCTCTGGAAGGAATCGGCCACGACTCGCACTTTCTCAAGGCATTCAGCACAAGCTCGACCCATGTTTGGCGCTTGCACGTAGATCGCTGGATGGATGCATGCAGATACTGCTGTCGGCTGCCACAGTGACTCGACATCTTCCAGACAGAGAACTTGTCAATCGACAATCGCTCGGCAAAGGCGACTCGATGGAGGATCCTGGCTTTGTGTCTTTATCGAAGCCTGAATGGTTCTCTGCTTTCGATGCGGTCGAGGCTCGGATGTTCCGCGACATATGCTGCAGATCTGACCGCCCAAATGTCTTGCTATGCTTGCTGCCGCATCTACAGAAAGACGCCATGCAGACCATCAAGTGCGTCGTCGTCGGAGACGGTGCGGTCGGTAAGACGTGCCTGTTGATCTCGTACACCACCAACAAATTCCCGTCCGAGTACGTGCCTACGGTATTCGACAACTACGCCGTGACGGTGATGATCGGCGAGGACCCGTACACGCTCGGACTGTTCGATACCGCGGGTCAGGAGGACTACGACCGACTGCGACCGCTGTCGTACCCGCAGACGGACGTGTTCCTGGTGTGCTTCTCGGTCACGTCGCCAGCGTCGTTTGAGAACGTCAAGGAGAAGTGGTTCCCCGAGGTGCACCACCACTGCCCCGGTGTGCCGTGCCTGATCGTGGGCACGCAGGTGGATCTGCGCGACGACCACGCGGTGATCGAGAAGCTGGCGCGATCCAAGCAGCGTCCCGTGCCGTTTGAGGCGGGCGAGCGCTTGGCGAGAGAGCTGGGCGCGGTCAAGTACGTCGAGTGCTCGGCGCTCACGCAGAAGGGATTGAAAAACGTGTTTGACGAGGCGATCGTCGCGGCACTCGAGCCACCTGTCATCCGCAAGAAGTCCAAGTGCGCCATCCTCTAGGCTCGCCATACCCGTTCGCAATCCATTGGCACCCGTGCGACGCTCGGTGCTTCTCTCGACCGCCTTTTCTTGTTCTTTTTCCATCCGCTTTTGTTCATCTTCAAGGTCGGGGGCGGTCGACTCTCGCCTTGCGGATGGCAATCGGCGTGTTCGACTGTCGAACGCACGGCCGCTGGCTGCACCCACCTTGTCTCCGGCCTTTTTTCGTCGCTTTCCATTTACACGTTGTCGTTCTTGCCCACCTGCGCCTTGTGCCGTCTCAGTCGAGTGTCTGCGCCCCTCGCGATGTACGAAATCTCATGCAATCAGTCGACGTGGAATGAGTGTGTCTCCGGGTGGAGTCTGCCGAAGCACGGTTGTCTCGTGCCTGTGGCATGACGATCTCTTGGCGCTTGGCCCCACTGCTTCTGAGCTGTGGCGCGCTTTAAGCTCGAAAGTAGGAGATGATCGATTTGATATCTGGCGTGAGAATGTGGCGACGCCATCGTATCATACTGAAGCTGAGATACGGCACATGAGGCGGGTATCGCTCCCATCCAACGGGGGGCTGAGAGCGGAGGAGGGGCGACTTGGCCGGCGAATTTCCGGGCGACTGTCGAGTGGGGACTGTGCTTTGCTTTGCTATCGCTGCGCAAAATGCGGAAATGCGTGTGGCTCCTGAGAAAAGACGCGCATCGGCAAGGCGCGGCGAGCGTGGATGGTGTGCGCTCGGATCGGCTGCCTCCGACCCTGCCGCTCCACACGGCTCTCGCATTCGGCAATCCACCCCGCGGCGCAGGTATAAGGAGGCAAGGGTAGCTCCTTGACCATCCTCCGTCCTCATCCCTCAAGGCAACATCGATACGCGGACCATACTTGATCGTCATGAAGCTCACTGCGCCCCTTACGACGTGGCTGGCGCTGGCGCTCGGCCTCGCCGCGCTCAACACCGGCACCGCCGCGGTGCCCACCTCGAGCTCGGAGCCGGCTGTGGATGGAGCGACTGGGCGTGTTGAGCATCACATCAGTGCAGAGCGTCTCACGCACTCGACTCCACGTCGCATGGACGGATTCCAGCGCATGCTCGAGCGACGATACGCCAAGCAGCAGCAACGTATCCAGGCGAGTATCGCCGTCGACGACAAGACCAGCTCGGGCAATGCGCTCTTCGGCCAGGTGCTGAGTGCAGTGCGAGGTGGACTGTCCTCCCAGCAGGGCGTTGGATCCGCGCTGTCCAAGTACGTCGACTACCTCGTGGCCGACGTGGCGCCGTCGGTGTCTTCGCACAACATCTCGGAGCCGGCGTACCACACGCAGCCGCTCGACCACTTTGACAACACGACGCAGGCGCAGTTCCAGCAGCGCTTCTTCTACTCTACGCGGCACTACAAGCCCGCTTCGTCGCGCAAGAACGGCGAGGCGGTCCCGATCTATATCCTGGATAGCGGCGAGGCGGATGCCACGGCGCGCATCCCCTTCCTCGACACGGGCATCCTCGATATCCTCTCCGAGGCGACGGGCGGGATCGGCATCGTGCTCGAGCACAGGTACTACGGCACGTCGCTGCCCAACCGCACCGATCTCGGACCGGGCGATGCGTGGGGCGTCGACCAGCTGCGCTGGCTCACCAACAAGCAGGCACTGGAAGACTCGGCCGACTTTATCCGCCACCTCGATATCCCCGGTACGGACAACGCCGAGAAGCGCAAGGTGATCTACTACGGCGGTAGCTATCCGGGTGGGCGAGCGGCGCATATGCGGCTGCTGTATCCCGAGCTCGTGCACGGTGCGATTGCATCGAGTGCCGTCGTGACGGCAGTGGACGAGTTTCCCGAGTACTTTTACCCCATCGCACGCGGCGCACCCACCAATTGCAGCCAGGCCATCCAGGCTGCCATTGCGGGCATCGACGAGATCGTCGCGCCCAATCCGCTCACCGGCGGCAACCAGCCGGACCGCGATGCGGACCGCACCAACAAGCTGCTGGAGCTGTTTGGCCTGCAGGGGCTGAGCAACCTGGGCGACCTGGCGAACCTCAACACCTATCCGCTCGGGGCGTTCCAGAGCCTCAACTGGGACCCTGCGGTGTCGTCGACCGAGTTTGGCGCGTACTGTGATGTGCTCACCACGTACGGTGCCAACGGCACGTATCCGGCTGGGTCCGAGAGCGAGCGTATGGCGGGTAAGGGCCTCGATGTGCCGCGCGAGGTGCATGCGCTGGCACACTACATGCGCACCAACTACATTGATCCGTGTGTGCGTGGCGAAGATGACGAGCCCGGCTCGACGCCCGACGAATGCTTTGCCACGGACTTTGATGCCTTTGCCAACGCCAAGAAGCTCGATGCGGGGCGCGCATGGACGTTCCAGTACTGCTCGACGTGGGGGTACATCATGACCGCGCCTCCTGTGCCGCGCTACCTGCCGACACCGGATGGCAAGAGCAAATACTTTGTCTCGTCTGGTCCCAAGCTCGTTTCGACGCTGTTGGACTATGCGTATGCGCACGAGATTTGCCAGCGCGGCTTCCCCAAGGGCGACCACTTTGAGATGCCCGCCCGACCGGACATCGACGAGGTCAATCGACTAGGCAACTTTGCGCTCGCCGTAGACAGGCTGGCGTTTGTCGATGGACAGTACGATCCTTGGAGACCCGCAACGGTGCATTCCGAGGAATTTGCCGCCGGTGGCAATCGCCCCGATACAGTCACACGGCCGTTCAAGCTCATTCCGGACTGCTGGCACCACTGCGACGAGAACGGAGTCAAGGACGAAAGCAAGACGCCCGAACGCGTGCGCCTCATCCACAAGCAGCAGGTCGAATTCGTCAAGGCCTGGCTCAAGCACGATTGACGCCCTTGTCCCAGATTGCCGCGTCCTTCATAATCTCGTGCGCTATCACAGACATGCATGTGGATCAAACAGAAATGACAGTGAATTGCAGCTGATGAATGCACGGAAGAAAGTGTGATACAAAAAGAGTGAAACGCGGATGAGACTACGACCTCCTCTTCTTGGGCGGTGTCTGTTGCTCCTCGTCGTCCTCGTCGTCGTCTTCCATGTCGTCCTCATCCTCGTCGTTGCTGTGCATGGTCATGTCGTCCATCTCGAGCTCCTCATCGTCGGAACCGCTGAAAGCGGGCTCGCTCTCGTCGTCGTCTTCGTCGTCGCTGCTGGCGGTGGGGTCGAGGTGTTTCTTGAGACCCTTCATCTTCCTGGTCTGCAGGCCGGAGAGATCCTGCTTGCCCAGGTGGATGCGACCGACGGTATCGCCCATGTCGTCGGTCTCGACGTTCTTCTTGGCACCCTCCTTGCCCTGGCGGTTCTTCTCGGCCTGCGTCTTGGGTCGACGCAGCGCCTGGTTGAGCATGTCGATCGACGCAGGTCGGCGGCGGCGCAGCTGGAAGTCGAACGACGGTCCGCACTCCTGCAGCTCCACACGCGGCGTCTTGGAGCCGCTGGCAAGCAGCTGCACCGTATACACGCGGAAGTGAATCAGCGTGTTGGCGGGCGACGTGACGACGGCGGATGTGGACGGAGTCATGACGGTTCCGTTGGGCGTGAGACCTGCCGCCTTGTACAGATCCGCGAGCGTATCGCCTCCGGACGAAGTTGTGCTGGTCTTGGCATTGGACTCGGAGGTGGGTGCGGCGGTGACGCAGATGACATGCTGCAGACCCGAGAGCGCGATCTGGTTGGTCTTGAGCTCCTCGCCGCGGTAGAAGTCGAGCAGCATGTTCTTGAACTGCTGGTAGGCACCCGTGGGGTCGTGTTCTGTCGCCTCGGCACCTGCAATCATGCTCGTCGTCGCATCCGTGGGCGTCGTAAACTGCGGCCCGCTAAAGTGGAAGAGCGGCCTCATCCCCACGCCTGGGCGCGCGACGCCCTTAAAGTCGTTGATGCTCTTTGCGTCGACGACGCCCATCTCGAGCATGTCGAGCACCTGCCCGTCAAACATGCGGATCCATGTGAGATTGTCCGGCCTCTTCTTCTGCGAGTTGCCAAACATGAAGAGCGACGCGTCGTTCTTGGCGCTCCAGAACTCGAACGACGACGTGTCCTCGAAGGGCAGCGCCTCGTTCTTCTTGTTGAACGCGATGCTGTCCGGCTTCTTGAGCAGGTTGAGCTCGGTGAGCGCAATGTTGAGCCGCGCCGACGAGTGCGGGCCCTTGACAAACACCGCCGTCTTGGCGGCCTCGAACTCGCGCGCCTGGCGCTTGTCGAGAGCGCGCTTGGAGCGTGCGTTCTTTGGCTTGGCGACGCGGATCATGGTGCTGCGACTCCTGTAGGTGTTTGGTGGCCAAGACTCGGTTGTGGTGGAGGAGAAGGTCGAGCGTGTGGGTTGGCTGCGCCCCACGTCGAGAAGCACAGCGTGGCTCAGCTTTCTCTCGAAGGAAGTTTTCAAAATTGCTGCTGCAGCCGGCAAAAGTGGAAATCTTCGTATGGGTGGAGAAAATGCTGCTTACATAAGCCATTTTTATCGCTGGGCCCTGCATTCACAGTTTTGAAATTTTTGGCGCCCAGACGAGGGTCAGAAAGCTTCTTTTTTCTCCACTTTGGAACAGCGAGCTGAGCGGACCGAGCAATCAAGGAACCTTTCCGACCTTCCTCCTCGTCCTCACCCGACACCACGGCTGCACAAGATGATCAGCGCACTCCAGTGGATCGCGCGCGGCAAGAGCCTGCCGCATCCCAAGAAGTATGTGCTCGACGACGACGAGATGGACCGCGTGTCCAAGATGGCCAACGTGCGCTTCGAGGATGCCAAGGAGCAGCTCGAGCGCGTGCAGCGCGACATTGCGCGCGGCAAGGACCCCTTTGCCGCCAACGAGGGTGGCGATGACGATGGCGAGTGGCAGGACGATGAGGGCGACGACGACATGAAGGATGACGACGATGCCATGGCCGATGCAGCCACCGAGGCCGCCAAGACGGATGCCAAGGAGGATCCGGACGATCTGTCGCGCTACAACCTCGACGAGTACGACGACGATGCGGCGGGGCAGGCTACTGCTGGAGCGTTCAGCAACATCCGTGGGCTGGCGGTGTACCAGAGCAACGAGGATGATCCGTACATCACCGTGCAGGAGGATGCGGAGAAGGACGAGGACGAGGAGCGCGAGGAGCTCGAAATCTACCCGACGGACAACCTCATCATCACCGCCAAGACCGAGGACGACGTGTCGCAGCTCGAGGCGTACGTCTATGCTGCCAACGATGCGAACCTGTATGTGCATCACGACCTCATGCTGCCTTCGTTCCCGCTGTGTCTCGAGTGGCTCGACTACGCGCCGGCGCGCGGTGGGGCGGACCAGAACACGCCCGCGAAACCCGCGGGTTCGGCGGGCAACTTTATCGCCGTCGGAACCATGGATCCCGAGATCGAGGTGTGGAGCATGGACGTTGTCGACGGCATGTATCCGGACGCCATCCTCGGGCGCAAGTCCGAGACGGACCAGCTGAATGCGCCGCTGGGGACGGGCAAGAAGAAGCGCAAACAGAGCAAGGCCCGTATTGCCAACGACGCCTTCCACGTGGATGCGGTGCTTGGGTTGAGCTGGAATCCGGTTGCGCGCAACCTTCTCGCTTCCGCATCGGCGGATAGTACGGTGAAGCTGTGGGATCTTTCGCGACCGCATACCTCGGACGATTCGACGGCGTTCCGATCGTTCAACCAGCATACGGACAAGGTGCAATCGGTTGCATGGCAGTGCAAAGCCTTGGGTGGTTCTGGATCGTCTTCCGCCAACCCGGCCGTGTTGTTGACGGGATCGTACGACAAAACGATGCGCATCTTTGACACGCGCACACCCGACACCGCTGCGGTTGTCCGGATCGGTAGTGATGTGGAAAGCGTTGTGTGGAATGGATGGAAGTCGGACGAGTTCCTATGCTCTCTCGAGTCGGGAATCGTCCAAGCATTTGACATTCGATCGCCCTCGAGTGCAAGTTGGACGCTACAGGCGCACGATACCGCCTGTACGGCTGTTGACATCTCGCCCCACATTCCTGGGTGTATTCTGACCGCTTCGAGCGATCGATCGATCAAGCTGTGGAATCTGGCTACTAGCGCAGAGGCTGCACCGTCGAGTATCAGTCTGGTGCTGGCGCGTGATTTGGGCTTGGGCAAGATTTTTGCTGCCAAGTTTAGCCCCAACGATCCTCTGACCCTCGCCGCCGCAGGAAGCGCCGGTCAGATGCAGGTCTTCAACGCCCTCTCCAACTCGGCCGTGCGCAAGACGTACGCCGACAGACTTAGGAAACTTACCGGCGACGCAAAGGTTGACCTCGACGGGACCGAACCCAGCCGTGGCGACGGAATCGTCCGTGTCGAAGACGATTCTGACGACGACGACGAAGCCGACGACATGCAGGACTAAACCCCCCCACACGGCTCTCCTTGCAATCTCCCTTTGTGCTCCCATCACCCTCTCTCTGTGCCTTGGTGCGCATGTGTGTGCTTTGACCAACTGAGAATTTGCAAAAAGTGCCAACGGGGCTACCAGTCTACAAGAACACGCCAAGCCGTGTATGCCCGACAGAACCTCACCTCTCGTGGAGGAAAGACCTAAACTTCCATGGCGGCATCTTCTTTGTGCTCGAGTGCTTCTTTGCGCTCGAGTCGTCGTACGCCGTACCGGCGGGACTGACGAGCGCAAACACGGGATGCGCACTGGGCACATGCACCTCTTCGGCATGCAGATGATTCGCCAGCAGCGTCGTCTGCCTCACCGCCACCTCGATGAGCGGCTGGCTCGACTTGCCTCCCCTCAACAGGATGGCCGAATTCACCTGCTCGGCGAGCGCCACTTTGCGCGACCGGTGCAGGAATCTGCGCACGGGCGAGTGCTCCACATCGGTGTACGCAAGCAGCGCCGTCACCTGCTCAAGCTCCTTGAGGTACATGGCGCGCCAGAAGCTGGGCAGCTTCTGCGCGCTCGTGTAGAGGCCCTGCGCATACGCGAGCGCCGAGTGGAGCGCCGGATTGAGCGCTGCACTTGTGCCCGTGGCCGATGTGGCCGAGCCGTTGGAGGACGAGGTGGAGGGCGCTGGCGACGCTGCCCGCGAAATGGCTGCGGCAGCGATGCCTGGTGTGGTGGAAGCGAGCGAGGGGAATGCACCGGCAGGGCCCATTTGCGGCGATGCAGCCGACGCCGCGCCGTTGGTGGCCGAGGCGAGCTGGGAGGTGGAGGCGGAGCGGATGGCCTCGATGAATACCTGGATCTGGAGGTTGAGCAGCAGATGGTCGGGCTCCATCGAGGTGGGGTTGGCGGGGAGCACCTTTTCGCAACCATTGGAGGTGGTGGTGGTGTTTGTTGTGCCGGCAGCTTTGGATCGGCTCGACTTGGAACCATTTGAAGCGGCGGTGCTTGTGGCAGTGGTGTTAGTTGGAGCGGTGCTGTTGAGGACGGTGGGGAAGTGGGCATTGATCATGTCCATGGCTTGACGGATGTGGCCTGCGATGATATAGTCTTTGATCTGCTTGCGCGCCCGCACGCCTCTGAGGTCGTCGGCGGTGAGATCGGGGCTGATGTCGACGTCAAGGTCGTCTTCTGCATCGTCAATGTCGGACGCCAGCTCGGCATCTGCGAGTTCATCCTGCGCTCCAGGCTGAGTTGTTCGGCTGGTGCCGTTGGAATGGCCATTGGTATGGTCTGTGTGCGCAGCAGTATGTTCGGAGGTGGTCGGGAGGAGGTTTTCGACCTCGATCTCCATGCTCGAGTCGTCGCGCGAGAGTGGAGGTGCGGAGAGGGGATGCGCCTGACGTGTGGCGGCGCCATTTGTGGAGGTGGTGGTGGCCGTGGAACGGAGAGCAGGCTCTGAAGGCGATCCAGTGGAAGTGTCTACTCGAGACGACGAAGCAGAGGCTTGCGATGTGGAGGCGGCAGCCGGACGTGCGGGCAGATCGGATGCATAGAGGTCGCCGATGATGCCGTCCTTTGCGAATGCGATGGCGGTGTCGGTGTAGCAGTGGTGGAGGAGGTAGTTGAGCACGAGCTTGCGCAGGTTGGCGGGCGAGGTGAGGTCGACATCGTCCGAGGATGCTGATGGGGATGCGGCGGGTTGGGTGCGTGTTGGGTCTGGCTTTGGCGGCTGCATGATGGACGCGATGCAGCCCGAGAGCGCGCTTGGTTGGTAAGTTGGGAGAAGGCGAGAAGGCGAGAAGGCGAGAATGCGGAGGAGGAGGTCAAGAGGAGAGAGAGATGGTTGGGTTGGGATGAGGAGCGGCACACGGGCACATGCGGCAATTGGCGAGCGGGTCGGTGATTCCGTGATTGCGATGTGCAGGTGGAGCAGCAGCGCTACTCTCAGTCACCCGCTACCCCAACCGAGCCTTTGGGAGAGCGAGCCTTTTTGGAGAGGGGGGCGCGCTTGAACCCTTGCTGCAGGCAAAGCGGCCAGCAGGGCTGTGGCCCCGACGCGCGCTCAGCAGCAAGCAGCAGCCTCTCAGCCGCTGAAAATCCAAGCTCACAGCTGCGTTGGCGGTGCGCGAGTGTGACGGTGTGGAGTAGCCAGCCCGATCCCTCTTTTCCAAGTCACAAAGTCACACTTGGGCTTTGCTATCGGCGGATCAGCACCGACGACAGCCTAATCGCATGCGGATCTGCCGACTGATGGCCGTAGCTGCTGCATCGTCTTGCTCCATCAATCGGGCGGGCGGGTCAGGCACCAACAAACTCGGATCGCCAGCCAAAGAGCCCCAGAGCCAAAACGCGTCGCCGCTCACGACTCCACTTTTTTGGCTGCTGCGTCCGCGCGAATTTGGCGCGTCCGCTTTGGCTCGGTCGGCTGAGAGCGAGACTACTGAGTGTTGGGCGGTGAGTGCAACACTCGAGGAAAGCTCGATCTCCCACCTTCTGTCTCTGTCTGCTCATCCACTTCCAGCCGGACCCCTCCTCCGGCTCTTCAGGCGTCTATCATCCCCTATACCTCTAGCCACGACAATCAGCCAACTCTCGGCCGCTCGATTATGCCGCTCTAAAACTAATCCTATCGGCGATTCGCATCACTTTGCTTTGCTGCGTACGCCATATTGAATGCTTCATGTAGGATCCCCATGATCGAAGGCCGCAACCACTTCCTACCACCATGAATCGCTCCGCAAGGGCCCATCGCTCCACAAAGATACCCAACGTCAAACTTCGACCTGCGCATCTCGAAACCCCAGACTCCCTCGCCTCGTCGTCCAAACAGCATCAGAACAAGGTCGCCCGTCGCCGCCACGAGCTCATCGACGACCGCGAGGATGCCGACCACTTCCGTCAGCTTCGCGACCAAGGCCATGACCACGGAGCTCACGTCGATGCCGACTTCATCGGATCCTCCGCACACCCGCTCAAGGGCGCCGTCATCTCCATCACCGGTCTCAGCGAGGCAAAAGCCGCCTTGACCCAGTACGCCAGAGAGCTCGGCGCAAGGGTGGAGGGCAACCTCACAGAGGACGTCACACACCTCGTCGCAGACAGACCAGGATCACAAAAGTATCGCTTTGCCCTCGACCTCGGCATGCACATCGTCAGCCCCGATTGGATCCACGCTGTACGCGACGCCTGGCTCCAGGGTGACGACGTCGACGCCCTCCAGCTCGAGCAGCAACATCTTCTTCCGCCCCTCTCCAACACCACCATCTGCTTCTCATCCCTTCAAGCCGCGGAACGCCGCAGACTGGTTCAGATCGCACACTCCCTCGGCGCAGTCGTCTCTGACGAGCTCCGCTTCGACGGCTCCGTCACCCACCTCGTCTCCACCACTCCAGATCCAAACGCCTCCAGCAGCGTGCGCCATCTGCTCCACTTTCTCGATCGTGGCCGTCACGGCCGCAACGGCAGGCGTGAACAGGCCGCCGCCCAAATCCTCGCCGTCCGTCCAGACTGGCTCGCAGACTGCCAAAAGGCCGACGGTTGTCTGAGCGAACAGACCTACTCCATCTTTGCCGATCTCCCCGACCAGCAACAACGCGCCGCGCTCATCCAAAAGGCACAGCACAAGATCCCCTCGCCCTTGGTCCGCCAAGAAAAGCCCGCGCCGCCCACCATCGGCAGCCCCTTCATCGCCTCGAGTCGTTCCAGCCTCAAAAATCCGCGCGACGGCGCAAAGTCCCAACACCAAAACAATGGCGACCAAGCAGACGAGGACGACGAAGAACCCATCACGCTCGGCTCCAGGCAAAAAGCCGCAGCCGCTGCGGAAAAGTCGTTCGACAGCATCCTATCCCAGCTCCGCAGCAATACGGGGCCCACTTCCTCCGCATCCCTCGCTCCACGCCCTTCCAGACCTGGCGTCGCTTCGACTCCCGCTTCCGCATCTGCACTCGTATCCGCTTCCGCATCCACACTCGACGTGCCGCCTGCACGTCCACCTCCGTCGGCTTCCAACACCACCACACATACAAATAGCCTCCTCGGAATGTCCCGCGCCTCCAGTTTCTCCCGCGCACCACCATCATCCACCGCTACGCCTGTCCATCAACGCAAGTCCACCACCAAACCCACCTTCCTCCCCCAACACAGCATGTCATCCAACAACATCTCCCACTCCACCGGCCCTCATCCTTGCTTCCACGCACAGACGTTCCGCGTTTGCTTGGGCGATCCACGCCGCAAAGAGTTGCTCGCTCAAGTTCTCGCTGAGAGTGGCGCCACGCTGCTCCAGGACAACAACGCTGCACCGCCCCAGTTTGCCGTCGTCGATCCCAAACAGGACGCCGCCTCTCTGCAGGCGCTCGTCAACGCAGGTGTCACGCCCGTGCTCCACTTCTGGATCGAGTACTGCCTCCACCACGAGACCTTTGTCGAGCCCGCCTCCTACTTTGCCGCTCTGCCCGCGCAGGTCCCCTTCCCCTTGCCGGATGCACATCGGCTCCGCGTATTCCTCCTTGGTTTCGAACCCGGTTCGCCCGAGCTCTACCACGCTCAGAAGCTGGTCAGCGAAATGGGCGGCACCGTCGCACCACAGATCAAGCGCGAGAACCTCACCCACGTCGTATGCGCCACCCGAGAGAGCTACGAGGGCCGGCGTGCCCAACGTGCGCGCAGTCACGGCATCCCCGTAGTCGGGCTCGAATTCCTCATCCGAGCCAAGCAAACGGGTCGCCTCGTCCCCGAGCCCTCGGCGGTCGCAATGATTGAGGCAGAATCTCTCGCCACGACCACCAGCAGCAGCAGCACTCACACGGATCCACGCACTTCGGCACAGTATCAACGAGCATCTTCGTCGAGGCAGAACTCTAACGGCTCAGCACAGGGTCGTGAGGGTCCGATGCTTCCGCTCACAGGCTGCACCGTCTCCCGATCCAAGGCCTTGGCATCTCAGACTGCCCTGCTCGAACGCAAGGCGCTGCAGCTCGGAGCGACGTGGCAGGCTCAGGCCAGCGAGGCTACCACTCACCTGCTCCATCGCGGCTCGGCACCGCCTCGTGAGAGCAAGGAGCTCAGCCGAGGTGTCTTCTCTGTCCATCCTTCGTGGCTCGACAAATGCCTGGAAGAGGAGATCCGTGTCGACGAGAGCCTGTTTCCGTCGTCCATGGACCCGGCAAAGTCGCTGCTCACCGTGCTATCCAACTCGGATGGTTCTGCCAGCGGCAACTTTCTATCCCAGGCAACGCAGTCCATCGCTCAACACAGGCGCGCGCCGCACTCGACGCAGGATGCGCGACAGACGCAGGCAACCCTCGTCGCTGCCGCCAAGCCCTGGCATCGCTCCATCTCGGCCGATGCAGCTCGATACTCTGGCGACTTGCTGGACGAAGCTCAAGACTCGGAAGCAGACACCAGGCGTGTTCGTGGACGCTCAGAGGAGATCGACTTGACGCACGACGATGAGGACGAATCCGGAGAAAACAGCGCTATGATCGACGACACTATGGACGAAGACAAGACCCTCGGTGAAGTGTCCCGAGATGCCCAAGTGGAGGTCGAGGAGGCTGTGGCACCCTCGAGCCAGACCCTGTTCGAGGAATATGCAAATGAGGCATCATTCGCCGTTCCACCTCTGCCAAAGGTGGGCAAGACATCGTCGGTCAACGACGTCGAAAAGCAAAAGCCGCACGCCGTAGCCCTGTCGGTTGGCGAGGGTCCGCGTGCAGGCCAGACTTCATCCGCTGATCAAGTGTTGGAGGCGCTACGATTGCGTGCGCTGGCTCAGGGTGCTCGCCGCAAGACCCGACAGCGCGCGCGCAAACAGCGCTCCGACGATCCTACGTCCGGTCGCAGCTCGAACGAAATGAACCTTCCTCCTGAGCAGGTGCTCGAGGCGCAGGCGCAGCTGGATGCGCGACGCGCTGCCGAAGCAGCCGCACATGGCTACTCGCTCGGCTTGGACCGAGACCTCGCCATGCCTGCTGGCAGTCAAAACGGCCAGAGCCAGAGCTTTGATGCGAGTGTCCGCATCGTGTACGACGATCCTGCAGCTCAAAAGGAACGCATGCGAATGCTCAAGATGCTCGAGCAGCAACCCGCAGCGAAAGCAGCCGCCGAAAATGGTGCGCAGCCCTTCGAAGACGGCGTCGCCGACGACAATGTGCCTGAAGTGCTCGATGCCGCTGACGCTGGGTCCAACATGTCTCGCAAACGCCCGGTGGAGGACTCGTTCGGCGCCGGAAGACAAGCAAGGCACTACTGGGAGAACCGCAACAGCGAGAGTCCTACCAAACGTCCCGTGGTTCGTCGACAACCCTTGGCTCGACGCTGATCAAGGCACCACTTTCCAACCTTAGCGTAGCATGCGTCTCTATCTCACATCTATATTGCATAACTTCATACTCGTATCCTGTAGCTCTGTTCGTATTGTCCTTGCAGAGCAAAGCATCATCTTATCGGAGCTGTCACCGGCGACTGGCCATCGTTGCATCGTATCGGGCCGTCGAGGTTGCGGTGGGTCCAGGCTGTGTATATCGTCGATCTTACATACATTGGAATTTTTCACCTTGGGACCCTGGCAAAGGCGCGTCGGCTCAGACTCGACGCGTCTGAGGCTCATCATCGGTGACGATGGATGGCTTTGGCTGGAGCTAGGACGCAGATGTATATGCGCAGTCCAAGACCATCACCATCGTCTCGTTCACTTCTTGTCGGCATCTCTTGTCATCTTCCATCTCGTCCCGGCCGCTCACGCTCAGACTTCCATGCAGGAGATAAAAGGGGCGTTTCTCTCTGCATCGACAATCAGCTCAGCCCGATAACTTCTCTCGGCGAAACGGTCATCTGCCATCCACCTAGCTCCGACAGCGCAAGGGTGCAGCAGCCAGTGCATCCGCGGCAGAGTCGATGGCACCACAGGCATCGCGGCGCTTCCACGAAGCAGGCGTGGGCTCGCGCACCGGTCTGCGTCTTTCGGCCGTCGCGCGCGACCAGGATGGGTTTGAAGACCTCGAGGCTTTCTACAAGGCGAGCCAGGCTGCGCTAGACCATCGCCAGGAAGGAGATGCCGACTCGGACGAGGCCGGAGACGACGACTACGACTCTTTCGACGAAACGCACTTTAGCCGCCGATCCAGCAAAGGCGCAGGAAAAGATGCGCGCAAAAACGCACCATCCAGCAGCAGCGCCATGGACCTCCAAACCAGCTCAGCGCCTTCGCCACGCTCGGTACTGCGCACTTCTCGGCCAGCGTCTTCCTATGCCGGCTCTCCGTCGCGGCGATCTCACGCTCAGGCACCGAACATGACTCTGGCAGACGACGATGATGACGACTTTGATCTGCCCAACTTGTCCACCGGCTCGCGCAGCTTCGACCTCGGCGCATTGGCAGGCGACGATGACGTTGACGACCGCGATGCTCCGAGTGCCCCCGCACGCGGTCTATCTGCTAGGCAAGCACAGCCAATCCCAGCATCGGCCAAGGGAAAGAAGGCGGCGGCACCCAGACGCGTCGATCTGTTGGATTCGGATTCAGATGATCAAGGGCCGCCTGCAGACGCACACCGTCGATTCCAGAAGGCCGACGACGATGCAGAGATGTCGAGCGACTACGATATCGTCCCGATCAGCTCTTCACCCGCCAGGAAGAAGAAGACCGCCGCGTCAAAACCAAGGTCACCCGCCGCCAAAACAGCATCAAAAGCTGCATCAACATCTGCATCAGGCAGCAGGACTGGTGTTGCGCAGCGCGACACCACCCCGCCAACCGCACGTCCTGGCGCAGCTCACTCACCCCAGCAAAAGCCTGCACGATCGCCAAAGAAGGTCTCTCGGCCTCCACCGCCGCCCGAGATCAGCTACGAGGACTCGCGACCCAACTTCATGCACGACGAATCACCGCAACCTGACCCACAACCGTCGCCACCAACGTCGCCGCCAGCAAAGCGGAAACGCGGAAGACCACCCATGAACCAAGCGGCGCAGAGCAACATTCTCGATGATCTGCAGCCTGAAGAGCAATTACCGCCAGCAAAGAAGAAGAGCGCCGGCCGTACTGCCGGCAGCGGCGTCAAGTCGAAAAAGGTCGGCGCCGAAAAGGCGAACGCCAAGCAGCGGACGGGTGAAGTGGTGGAAAAGGTGCGAGCGCAACCGCGCGAGGCGACCGTGATCGACGAGAACGGCGTACGCCGGAGCACGCGGCAGCGATTCGCGCCACTCGAGTATTGGCGTGGCGAACGTGTGCGCTATGGCCGACCCAGTCTACCGAACGAGGAGCTTCGAGCGTCGCAACGGCCTGGAGAAGACGACTTTGAGGACAGTCTTGGGGCGATGCCGATGCGGAAGCGCGTGCCTGTGCTCGACGTCAAGGAGGTCATTCGCGTGCCGCGAGCTCCGGGTGAGGGGACGTTTGCCGGCACCACACGCGCGCGTGCCACGCGGCGTCGCGCTGCGCCTTCCACTGCCCCGCGCAAGGCCGAGGAGAAGCTGCCAAAGCGAGGCTCTGCACCGCCCGACGGCGACGAGGACGAGTGGCTGCTGCTGGACCCCACCGCCGACACTGTGCATGTCGAGGACGGATGGGACCGCGAAACGCTCGAGACGGGACTGGTGATTGACGAGGACGGTGAGGAGGTCGAGATGTCGGTGGTTCGCACCAAAGATTCTCTCCATCCCATAATGGCTGCCGGGCAACAGTTCGGTTTCGAGAAGATCTTCAACTGCGGTGGACTCATGGCTACGGGCGTGCTGCACTTACCGCCCGGAACGAGGAAGCCCACCAAGCCGAGCAAGGACAACAGCTTTGTATTCTGCGTTCTGCAGGGCGCTCTTCGTGCCACGGTGCACCGCAAGAGCTTCATCGTCGGCCCGCATGGCATCTTCCAGGTGCCGGCGGGAAACACGTACGCGCTCGAGAACATCTGCCAGCGCGACGTGCATCTCTTCTTTGCCCAGTGCAGGAAGACGCGCAAGGCCAACGCGGGTGACTTGACCACCTTCACGCAGGCTTCCGATACGAGCTACAGCGTGCCCGGCTGGACCGACAGTCAGCGCGTACTCCAGAGCCCCCAGCAGAGCCAGCAGAGCCGGCAGAGCCAACACCAACCGCCGCCGCTTTCAGACGACGAAGACGACTTTGAAACGAGTCGACAGCTCAAGAGCAAGAAGCGCGTGTTCAGAAAAGTGTAGTTGTTCTTCCAGTTGCAATCGTATATACCCCACACTAGCGCCGCAGAAGAGGACCGGAAGTACCTCGAAGCAGGGTTCTGATGTGTTGGTCTTGCTTGCAAGCAAGGCAAAGGTGAGTGAGTGTGCTGCCGAGGAGGAGCGGCGATGTGGAGGCGAAACGTCGAGATTTTTTTTGGTGGTGGAATTTTTGGGTGAGCTTGCATTTCCGCCACCCTCCTTCCGACCACCAATCACTCGCAACAGCAACGCTGGTACCAACATGGTGGTCGCTTCTCCATCCTTATAACATTGTGTTCATGTCGTTACGAATGCTGGGTCAGCTTGGTGCGGCAGCGAGGTCGGCCGGGCCGAGTCTGCTTTGCCGTCGGTGGACTCGACTGCTCAGTACTGGACCGGGGCATGGTCCTCGGAAAGGCGACCGGATGGTAGTTGCCATGTCCGGGGGCGTCGATTCGAGCGTAACAGCGCTGCTGCTCGCTCAAGCGGATGCGTACGATCTAGAGGCCGTGTTCATGCGCAACTGGAACGAGCTCGACGAGAGCGGACGCATGGAACCCGGGTCGGGCGGCGCATCGGGCTGCACGTGGCAGCGCGACTGGGAAGATGTCCAGGCCGTCTGTAGACACCTTGGCAACATCCCCGTCAGGATGGTCGACCTTAGCCGCGAGTACTGGACGCAGGTCTTCGAGCCGGCGCTGGACGAGTGGAGGGACGGCACAACGCCCAATCCCGACGTCAGTTGCAACCGCGAAATCAAGTTCGGCGCACTCATGGACCGGATCATCCCCCAAGCAGGCATGGCTTCAAGCACCCAATCTGGCGCTTCTCCGGCTACAGCGGAGGGCGGCAAGACCTGGCTGGCAACAGGACACTATGCGAGGGTTGGCTGGTCGCCCGAGGCAAGGCCGATGTTGATGCGTGCCACGGACAGGACGAAAGACCAGACCTACTACCTCTCGTCCGTGGGCGAGGCCAAGCTGCAGCATGCGCACTTCCCACTTGCCGGTCTGCTCAAATCGGAGGTGCGCGAGCTTGCAGCCAAGTACGAGCTGCCTACAGCCGCGCGCAAGGAGTCGATGGGTATTTGCTTCATTGGCACGCGCGGATCCGACGGCAAAGCCATCAGCAACACTCTCGGCTTCGAGTCCTTCCTCAACGGCTACATTGCCTCTCCTCCCGGCGAGATGGTCGACGAGTCTGGCCGCGTCGTGGGTCAGCACCGCGGACTACACTCGCTCACCGTGGGCCAGAGGGCAAGGATAGCGGGGGCAAGCGAGAAGTTCTACGTCGCCCGAAAGGACACGAAACACAATCGCATCGTCGTCGTTCAGGGCAAGAACCATCCGATGCTCATGTGCACGCGCCTCAGAGTGGCACATCTAGACTGGATCTGGAAGGAGCCCCCACCAGAGCTACTACAGGGTGCGGCAGGAAGCGTAAGGGTGCTGGCTCAGGTGAGACACAGGCAGGCCGAAACCGAGTGCATCGTGACCAGGCACCAGGGTGGGCAGGGAAGTGGATATGTGGTCGAGTTCCCGGAGCCCGTGCTGGCGGTGGCGCCAGGACAGGTGCTCGGGTTGTGGAGGGGTGAATGGTGTCTCGGCAGCGGCATCATCCAGTCGGTTGATACTTTGCACGACGACGCAGCACGACCGCGCGCAGGGTCAATCTGATCCCATGAAAGTCGATGTAATCATATATAGATGTCCTTCTTGTTGTAATTGTACTCTTTCGATGCTCCGTCGATGCTTGTTGGTCGCATGAACGAAGCAAGTTGGCGGCTTTGCGGGATCGGTGGATTGAATTCAGATCGGCAGATCGGGACAGCGCTATCTCTCCCGATCTGCGATCCTGGTCGGGCAAATAGTTTTTCCCGCTCTCCGCCGCTCCACTTTCCGGCACTTCCGAGGCGCTTTCTTTTTCCGCTGTTCTGCCCGGCTCGGCTCAGACTTCGCAAAGAGGACGGTCCTCGGTCTCCCCTTCTACCACCACCTCCACCACACACACATGGCAATGTCGGCATCAGCGCAAGCATCGACGTCCGCCACAGGTACAGCCGAGCGCGTCCTGCGTCTGCACGTGTGGGGTAGCCACTCCGCGCTGCCCACGCTCGACCCGACCTCGCTGTACGCCGCTGCGCTGCTGCATGCCACGTTTGAGCACAACGAGCAGGTGCGCATCCAGCTCGCGAGTGCGTCGACGTCGATCGCGCGTGTGCCGCTGCTGCAGGTGCTGGACGAGCACAGCGAGACGGTGCAGCTCATCGACAGCGTCGACGAGATCCGCTCCTTCTGCACCTCGGCTGGGCTCGACGCTGCGGTTGCTGCAGATGGGGAAAAGGCAGCAAAGCAAACGGCGTTGCACGCGCTGCTCGACGACCAGCTGCTTGATCTCACGCTGCACTCGCTCTTCAGTCTTCCGTCCAACTACCGCGCCGTCACCGCGCCCGCGTATTCGTCGGTTGGTGGGGTGCAGCCGTTGACATCGTCCAACCCGCTCGCGAAACTGGCTGCGCTCCCGGCGGCGTTTCAGCCATCGATCCCGGCTCGGCTGCGCAACGTCGTCGAGGCGCGACTTACCGCAGCGGGACTGTGGGGTCTCGGCGGCAAGGAGGTAGCGATGCAAAGCTCCGAGTCGGACGACCTTGCCGCGCGTGCGGGCATCGTCCCCACCAAGAAACGAGGCCTCGGTGCGTCGGCCAAGCAGGCTACGCGCGACGAATTCGAGCGGTCCAAGCTCATCAATCGCGCCAGAGACGTACTTGACGTCGTCAATGCCGCGCTGCCCTCGTCGCCGGCACTCTACATGCTTGATGCGCCCGAACCCAGCAGCATCGACGCGCACGTGCTCGCCTACCTCGCACCGCTCGTTTTCGCCCAGCCCAATCTGCCTATCGATGCTCTCCCGCGCCTGATCGAATCGAGCTATCCCACCCTTGCCGCATACCTCGCCACCGTGCGCGAAAGGCTCTTCCCCGCTCAAGCCACATGGGTCTCGCCATCGGATGTCCAGTCCAACCCGCCTGTGCTGGCGGGCACGCAGGCGTCCTCTTCGCTACTCTCGTACTTCTGGCCGTTCGATTCCTCGTCAAAGGCAAGTGACTTTGCTCCTCCACCAGCCGGCACCGATACGCGCAGCCACGCACGTCCCACAGCACCCTCGTCGGCCCCGCGCCCGGCCAGACCAAACGGAGCGCCCAGCCAGTCGCCCGAAGACCGCCGTCTGCGCTGGGGCCGCGCAATTTGGATTTGCTCGGCTCTCGTAGGCCTCGTCGGCTACACCTTCGCCAGCGGCATTGTGAGTGTGCAGTTTGTCGACTCTGATTCCCTCGACGACGATGATGACGACTACGATGAGGAGGAGGAGGGCGAGGACGACGAGGATGAAGATGAAGAAGATGACCAAGACGAAGACGCCTGGCAGGTGCAGGGCGAAGGTGACGAGGACGACGAGCTGGACGAGCTGGATCTGGACGGAGACGACGATGATGATGACGAGTATTAAACGCATTCTCTGCTGTACACTACTATGGCTGTGCGTGGCAACGCAGCTTTATTTTTCCGCTCGTCGTGGTCGTCTCTTTGTCTGTCCGGATTTTTGTGGCGAGGAAGCGTGCTTTGCTGACATCCGTCCATCCTTACTTGTTTGTGTAGCCTTGTCAGGAATTCGCGGTGTACGATGCGACGACGAGCTGCGGCGCCGGCACGTCTGCACTAGTATCGGGCGTGGGCGAGCAGGTGTGCCCGAGGCGACGCCACGTGGTTACGGGCACATTCAACTCGCCCGACCTGTTTGTGCTCGAGTACGACACGCTTGCGCACACGCTCTCGATCCTGCACCAGATCCGCGCCGAGGGTCCGCACCAGTACCTCGCGTACGGCGAGTCTTCGTCCGGCGGTACGGTGTATGCCACCACCTGGGGGTCTCCCTCGACGCTTTCTGCGTGGCACGTCACGGACGACTATGGCTTGAGCTTTGGTAATCATGTTCCCATTACGGCGACGGGGAGCTATGTGCATGTACAGCCTCCGCCGTACGCGAGTCTGACGTCGCCATCGTTCGGCTCGACGCCCGGACTCGCGCACTGGCTCGGCTCGGCAGGTGGTCCGACGGGCGAACTGCACAGACTCGATCCCGAAACGGGTCGGATTGGAGAAAAGGTGCACGAGCTCATCTTCCTCCCCGGCGGTGCAGCCGACCTGGAGAAGGCAGACAAGAGCAGGAAGGCGTTGCGCTACGGTGCGCACTCGTTCGACTGCTCCAGCACGGCTGCGGACCAGGTGGCGTTTGTGGCGGATCTGGGCGCCAACGCTGTACAGGCGTACAGCTTCCCGGATCTCGAGCATCTGTATACGGTACCGAGTGCGCAAGATGGCGATGGACCACGTCATTCCATCCCACACCCGCATCTTCCGCTCCTGTTCACAGTGACGGAGCATACGAATCATGTCGATGTCTACCGCCTGCCCAGTGCGCGGGGGCAACAGCCCGTGCACATTGCACGCGCCGACATGCTGACGCCATCCCAGGCGGCGCATCGACACGACTTCCGCGGTGACACGCTGCGGTTCAGCTCCGATCTACGCTTCCTCTTCGCCACCACACGCGGCATGACCCCCGCCACCAAGGGCCTGCTCGTAGCCTACCGCCTCGATGTTTCCGATCTGGAAGTGAAGCTCACGCTCGTGCATCGATTCGAGACACGCACAAGCGGAGGCAAAGCCAACGCAATCGAGCTCGCCCCGGCCCCGCCCGACCACGACCTGCTCATCCTCACCGACGACGAACTCGGCTTCATGGACGTACTCACCTTCGACCCGACCTCGGCCACGTTCGACGTCAAAGCCACTGCCCAACTCCCGCCCCTCGAGGATGCAAAGCCCCAAGGCGCAAGTCATGCAATCTGGCTCCCCTAACTCACACACACACACACCTGCTCGAGATTTGCGGTGAAGAAATTTGTCATTCGAGAGACCCCAATGGAAAGAAAATGCAACCAGTACAAAAAGGGTAGAGTGCGAAGAAGATGCGTGTATATATGATCCCCGTGACGTCATGACCGATATCCAAAACAAGAGAGCGAGAACCAAAGCAAATGAAAGAGAGAGAGAGAGAGAGAGAGAGAGAGAGAGAGAGAGAGAGAAAGAAGATCCAAGACGAGGAGGGCAAGGTTAGATGGAGAGTGGGGAAGTTCTTCGGGAGTGTTTTTGGTTGAGTGGGGGAGACTCGAGGTCTGGTGACGAGACTGCCGTCTCTGGGGGGCTGAGGAGCTCGCGCATGTCGAGCAGGCTTGGACTGGTGGTTTCGGTCGAGCTGTGACTGTCCGTATGATGCCGCAACAATCCGTGTCCCCTCGCGTCAGCCTGCTGGGCTTGGAGCAACGATGCGTCGACCTGGGCGAGTTTGACGTCGGTGCTGGCGGCGAGCAGGCTCTGGGCGCGTGCCCAGTCGCTCGTGCGAGCCTGGCTGGCTCGAGGCTGTTCTCTGTCGGTACGGGTGGCGGGAGCGTCGGCGGAAGTCGCGGGTTGGATGCGGAACGTGCGCTGTTCGGCACCGTATGCTGCGGGATCGAATCGCTCTGTCTGGGACACCGAGGCTGGTGGCGCAGTGTTAGCGGCAACGAGTGGAGCGTGGACGTTGGCGGCGTGCGCCTGCTCGCTCGAGCGTGCGAGCTGCTGCATCGTCTTTTCGAGCAGGCTCGGGCGCGACTGGACATTGGGCTGGATGCGTAGCCTACGCACGCGCCGTGTGCATTCGCCCTCGCCCGCACCGTTGAGCTGCCCACCTGTACGTGCCTCTACCTCGTGCACTTTCCCCAGCGCGGGTGTGAACGTCGACTGGGCTTCGTCCACCGTGGAGAGCGCGCGCGGAGAGGTGTAGCGCGTGTCGACGACACTGTGTGCGGATGCTTCGGGTGTGCATGCGGGTGTTGCGACAGGACTCGACACGGCGGGTAGCGGATGCGCCTCTTCCGACTCGGTCTCGCTGCTCGAGGCGTCAACAAAGCAGAACGTGCGTTGGTCGCCCTCCTTCGGCACCAGCGACGGCTTCCTTCTATGCCCCTTGACGCCCGTGCTCACGTGCGAGTGTCCGGATCCCGACTCTCCCGACGCCGACTTCTCCAGCTGCATCGCCTGTGCTGCTGGCGGCAGTGTGGACTCGGTCGCCGCCCTCGTCAGCCTCTGCCTTACCGCTCCGGTGCCTGCCGAAAACGACTGGCTCTTCCCCAAGCCTCCCTCTGCCCCCGTCTTGGTTGGTGTAGCCACCTCGGCTGCTTGGTCCGGACTTGTCACACCCGCCGAGGCACTCTGCTGTGACGAGCCCCTCGACAGCGCATGGTGTTCGACGGCATGTGCAAACGACTGTTGGAACGGCATATTCCACACCACACTCCCTGCGGACTCCATCGGCGACATGCTCGCCTCACTCATGCCCGCCGCCATGCCAAAGTATCCCGTGGATCCGGTCTCGCTCGGTGCTCGGCGACTGCCGGACCTGCGCGGCTTGGCGCCAAAGTTGGTGACGAAGCTGACGCGCGGCGAGGTGGGAGCGCCCTCGGATGCGACGCGCGTGCGTGTGAGCTGGTCCAGATGCAGCAGCAGATCGGTATGTGCGCTTCCGTTCCGACTGCTCTCCGAGCTCGGCTCGGACACGGAGCTCTCACTGCTGTTCTCGAGGTTGCTGGGGTCGCATCCGACGAATGGTGCGGCGCCGAGCGAGAGGAACTCGTCCAGCACCGCTGCCGAGTCGTGCTCGTCGAGCGTAGGCACTGATGCACGTCGAGCAGTCAGCGCGTCGTTGGGGCATACGGTGCTGCCGTTGGACGAGGCCGCATGGCGTGCTGGTGCGGTGCGCTTGACGGGCTGCCGGAAGAGAAGCTCGCCGATGTGGTTGCCGAGGAAGTCGTCGCCGACCGCCTTGGTCGCCGTATGCGTGCGCATGATGCGTCCACCCACTGGGCACTGGCCGCCCTAGATGTCTGAAGCGCGATACGACCAGCTACGCTGCGCACATGGAGGTCGACGATGTGCCGACGAAGGCTGAGACGGAGCGATAAAGATGTCGAGAGGATGCGGAGTGTCGGATAGTTCGCTCAGCGACCGTGCTGCAAGGTCGGTGGTGCTAAGGGGCCGAAAAGCTGCCTGATAGAAGGCGTGGAGTCTGCGGCTGGGTAAGGCTGTTGAATGTGCGTGTGCTGCTGCTGATCTGGACTGCGACTGTCGAAGCCCAATGGTGTGTGCGGTTGAAAGATGGAAGGACCAAGTATGTGGTGCTGGTATAGATGCTAGGTGCGCAAGGATGATGAACAAGATGGACGTAGACAGCAGATGGAGTTGGAGATGGAGACGTAGGTGGAGATGCCAAGAGGCCAAGCTGCCGAATGCCAAGGGAGGAGGGAGGGGAACTTTGGGCCAGGCAGTGGAGGAAGTGTGGAATTGAAGCGAGACTGAGCCATCCACGCCTACCTCTTCCAAGCGTCCAGCCTGTGCGGCTACTTTTGGTTGTCTCATGCCATTCCGCCTTGCAGGCTTCCACCACTCATCACTTGCGGGCCTGGCAACTGCAATGCGGCTGCCAGACCCACCGGGATGTGCTTCAAGTGCTTGATTCTGGCTTTGGCGCAACGTCCCACGACCCGCGTCGCCCGCCTTGGCGACTTTGTGCACCCGGCATCGGGCCCCGGCCTTTGGCGTGCCCAATTTTTTTCCCTCGCTCTGCTGCCTTGCTGCCGCTCTCTCATTAATCGGCAATAAATAAAATATAAAACTGTGGGTTTCAGCCGGGTGGATGAACACGGCTCGGTATGCTCGTCGAGATCGGCGCCGCAGTGTGTAGCAACCAGCGAGCTTGGGATGCGCTAACCAAGCTCGCTTCCGCTGCACAGAGCATAGAGGGAGCCCGGGGGTTTGGTCACACCGAGCTGGAGCGCGCGCACCCGCCGGCGTCTGCATGCCGCTACGACGATCGCGTCGCTCGCTCCTCCCCCAACCTCCTGATACAAGGCTCGCTCGCCTACGAGGTTCAGCACGCGTGGTTTCGAGCCTGGTTGCCAGCCACTGCCGTAACATTGACCGCAGCCGAGCCCGGGCGGATTTGGACGACGGATTAGCGTAAGGGTCAAAAGGCGCGCCAACTCCAAGCGGTGGCCGTAGGGGTTGACCGCGCGTGAGGGGCTTTGCTAACCCCCAACGGCTCGTCTAGTCGCTTGCTTGAGACGGAAAGTCAAGTGACTCTAGATGGTGCATGACGGAACTGTCTGCGCGGACGCTAGGACGATGCGGAGGGGCGCTGTGCAGCCGGGGGGGATGGAGCCGCTACGTACCACAAAAGTCAGCATTGCGGGTCTTCAGGGTCTCTTGCTTGTCCGAGCCGCCGTGCGCTGGTACGCTGTCATTGTCTCAGCATCGCCGTTTGTGCCAGGATGGACTTGCAGGACCGACGACTCAGGGTGCCGACGAGCTGGCTTTCCGGTGGAAGGAGCAAGGCTGATGGAGGGCCGACGCGAGCATCGCTGCACCGTCCGATGGGCGCGGAAATTCGACGTGCGCATCGAGGTTGGCAGCTGTCAAGTTGCGGAGCTCCTTTGGTCCGCAGCTAAGGCACCGTCCCGTAGCCGATCCCGAGAAAAAGCGAGACTTTGGATGTGGAGGTTGAGCGGCCAATTTTGAGATCACAAGCGCTGAGTTGGGCATTTGGACTCCAACACTCAGCGACCGCCAGCTGCAGTGCTGCTCCCACTCCGACCAAAGTGAGACCTTTGCGTCCAGAACGCGCCCGGCTGCCGTGTGAATCCGAACACTCCCCAGCTGCGGATCCTTGAGCCTATCGGTTGCCAACATCGGGAATCACGTAGCCGTGTCGGATGCTCTTCCGCTGCTCGCGTCCGCCGCTCTGAACAAAATTTCCCAACGTGCATGAGCCACAATGGATCTCTTCGACCTCGGAGTGTGTGTCGTTGCATTGGGCGTTGCGCAGATCTGACGGTGCGGTGACGGAAGGATCTGCTGTGCTGAATCCGAGCGTGTTCGGGATTCGGTTGGTCTATCCGACCCCCCCCCCCCCCCCCCCCCCCCCCCCCCCCCCCCCCCCCCCCCCCCCCCCCCCCCCCCCCCCCCCC